TATGGAGTGTGAGTGGCTGCTTCGGACCATTTATATCACAACCGCTACCGCATGCTTAGTAAGGGTTTCCATCACATATAGCTGTCCCTCTCACGCATTCCGTGCGGCGACGGTAGAGCTGGAATCGTGTCTTGCAGTACCAAGATCTTACGGTATTGGCCCATGCTTACGTAATGCTAGCAGGCAATAAGCTACCATTGCCCCTACTCTGATTCACCATCGAAATCATGAATATAAACCTGAAAATATGGTTGTTTACAAACAGTAGGATAATCAAATACCAATATGACTGTGGTTTCTTGTCTGGCTGCAAGCCGTAAGTCGATAGTTTCAGGGAAGGCGCAGCCAGCCAGCCAGACTGGCGCGCTGGAGCCGCCCCAGCGTCTAAATATATAAGACGCGGTCCGTCACAAACCAAAACGCGCCAATCCTGATCCCACATCACACCCAATCCAACATGATGTCTGGATGGAAATTGACAAAGAAACTCAAAGAGTCACACCCGTTTTCGCGGTCCAAGTCGCCGACACCGGATTCCGATGCGAAAAAGAGGCACTCGCACACCTTGACCAAGGGCTCTGAGGAGTCGGCACCAGAGTCGGTACCAGAATCTGCAAAGCCGTACGAGGGCCGCAAAACGTTGACGAAACAAGATACCTCCTCCACCAGTGACCTCGCGTCTGGTGTGAGCAACTTGGACGTGTCCACTGTTAACGAGCAAGGGGAGGACATTCCCGAGGTGGCACAGTCGCAGGGTGCGGCAGAGCTCATTGAGCGGGTCTCTCCCGGGCTTTTGACCATCAAGGTGTACCTGGGATCAAACGTGGTGTTGCCCGTGGGTATCAACAACAATCTTCCGGTGTTGCACAAACTCGCAGAGAACGCGATGAACGTGGACACGCAGAGCCTCTCGAACAACTTGCTCCGCGCGGCGGATGCGGGGGATGTGTTGACACCGGAAGCCGCGGCGCGCGTGCTCCCGTCGTTGATCGCGATCCCCGACACCGTCAACTTGAAGAAGGCATTGGTGTACCTCACGGTGGAGTTTGAGAACACGGTGGCGATCATCGACTCCCAAGGCGGTTTGTTCGAGGCGCCCAACTTCAGCACCGTCAGCTCGTTCGATGTGAGCCGTTCGTCGGCGTTGACGGTCAACTTGTTTGCACGGTTGCCGTCGGTGTTGCTTGTGGGCGAGGCGGCGCTGCAGAATGGGCTTCTCATCGGGACCAGCCGCGTGCCGTTGAACCTTGGCATCAACTCCGCCAAAACGCTCCGCTTGTTGAACCACCAGCACATCAAGTTGGACCGTGAGGGCGTGCCTGTGGCGGAGGTGTGTCTTTCGGTGGACTTCAAGCCCACGCATAACAAGCCCATCACCATCGACGACTTTGACTTGTTGAAGGTGATCGGTAAGGGCAGCTTCGGCAAGGTGATGCAGGTGCGCAAGAAAGACACGGCCAAGATCTACGCGTTGAAGACGCTCCGCAAGTCGCACATCGTGACGCGGCGCGAAGTCACGCACACGTTGGCCGAGCGCACGGTGCTCGCGCGCGTCAACAACGCGTTCATCGTGCCGTTAAAGTTCACGTTTCAGAGCCCGGAGAAGTTGTACCTCGTGTTGGCATTCATCAACGGTGGCGAGCTCTTCCACCACCTCCAGAAGGAGGGCCGCTTCACGCTCTCGCGGCTGCGCTTCTACATCGCCGAGTTGTTGTCAGCATTGGAGTGTCTTCATGACTTGAACGTGATCTACCGCGATTTAAAGCCCGAAAACATCCTCATTGACCACGAGGGCCATGTCGCGTTGTGCGACTTTGGCTTGTGCAAGTTGGACATGGCCTTGCAAGCCCGGACCAGCACTTTCTGCGGCACGCCCGAGTACCTTGCGCCCGAGTTGTTGTTGAACCAAGGCTATACGCGCGTGGTTGACTGGTGGACCTTGGGCGTGTTGTTGTACGAGATGTTGACCGGTCTCCCGCCATACTACGATGAGGACAACGATATCATGTACAAGAAGATCCTCAACGACCCGTTACGCTTCCCTTCCTTTGTCGACAAGGATGCCAAGGACTTGTTGACGCAGCTCTTGAACCGCGACCCCAAGAAGCGTTTAGGCTGTAATGGCTCCATGGAGATCAGGAGCCACCCCTTCTTCAAAAATATCGACTGGGTCAAGTTAAACAACAAGGCCTACGAGCCGCCTTTTAAGCCGGGCGTGCATGACTCCATGGACACCTCCAACTTCGAGGAGGAGTTTACTAACGAACGCCCCATGGATAGTGTCGTCGATGACTTCTTGAGCGAGTCCGTTCAGAAGCAGTTTGGCGGCTGGACCTACACCGGGAGCGAGCGCTTGGGTGAGTCCGCGCAGTAATTTAATTTATGGCCTGATCTGACTGTAGACGGGGTAACAGTTTCTAATTAGTATCTGGTAGGGCAGATATGGAATCAATTTATACATACTTCCAAGAGTCTTGGAAATTACTTAGTGCTGTTAATGGTGGAAACTAATCAAATCTTTACATAGTGTTTATCTAGGGCTGTGAATACCATTAACTAGTTTAGATATTGTAAAAGGCCGTGTTTAGTTTGCTATTTAGCCGTACCGAGGCTTAAGTACGACGTCCATGTGGAGCATAGTGAAGAAAACGACAAGTTCCATGTAAAGTATGAGGATGATCGTATCATGTTACTCCAGATGAGAGAGGGTCCAGCGCGCCTATAAACGCCAGTGACGCACGATGGGCATTGTGACACCCTTCATGCATATCGACCCCTGGAGAGTTCCACGATAACACTTACCTTTCCCGAATTACAATGGTGAGCCTAAGTCTGACTACCGATGGTGGCTGTGAAAAAATGAGTCACATAAAATTCATAGTATAAAAGCTTTACGCCGCGAATCCCAGCCCTTTTTGCCACTCTGGCTACCGATGCTGGCCATGAAAAGAATGGCTCGTCAAATTCAACGTATAAGAATATAACTCATATCAGGTTCGATATATAACACTACGCAGAAAATTCAGTCCCCCCCCCCCCCCCCTTTCGCCACTCTTCCTCATACAGTGTCTGAAGAGGTTGCCAAGCAAGTTGAAACCTTGTCTGTTGAAAACAGATTGCAAGCTCCAAAGGAAGAGGCTCATAGAACTAAGTCGCCGAAAAAGGCCGCTGGCGCCGCCAAAAGTCAATTGTATCTCAATCCATAACCAGAGTTCATCCGGAACAGATTCAAACTCTTTGAAGAAGTCAAAGCTCAACAGAATACCGAAATTTCTGCCAAGGAAAGAGTCTCTATCAAGCTCACCTTGAAGGATGGGACTGGAAAGGAGGGTATCGCTTGGGAGACCTCCCCATTCGATATTTCCAAGGCCATTGGGAAGTCTTAGAGAGACAGGACATTTCCAGAGTCAATAGCGAGTTGTGGGACTTGGAACATCCATTTGAGGGCGATGCCACCCTTGAGTTCTTTGACTCCCTAGACGGGAAGGCCATTTTCTGGCACTTCTCCACCCACATATTGGGCGAAGCCTGTGAGTGCAACATGTGCGGCCACTTGGTCCGCCAACGGGTGACGGTTTCTTCTGTGACTTTACTGTCAAGAAAGGCAAAATTGTGTCCTAAGCCGATTTCACAAACCTCGAGGGTGTGGCCAAGAAGGCTATAGCAGAGAAGCAAAAGTTTGAGAATTGGTCTTAATCAAGGAACAGTTGTTGGAGATGTTCAGCTACAACAAGTACAAGCAGTACCTCATCCTGTCCAAGATTCCCAACGACACCTCAAGTCCTTGGAGAAGGCTGCTTCTAAAGACCACCGTAAGATTTGTAAGGAACAAGAGTTGTTTTACTTCAACGAGATATCGCCAGGCCCCTGTTTCTGATTGCCACACGGCACCAGGATCTACAACGCCTTGTGCGAGTTGATGAGATCGGAATACCGCAACAGAGGATTTGACGAGGTGATTACTCCAGACATGTACAACTCTAAGTTGTGTGAGGTCTCTGGCCACCGGGCTAACTACAAAAACGACGTGTTCGTTTTCGATGGTGAAAAGGAGACGTTTGGGTTGAAGCCAATGAACTGTCCGGGATACTGCTCGATGTTTAAGGACAGAAAGAGATCCTACAGGTAATTGCCGTAGCGTATTGCTGACTTTGGTGTCATCTACAGAAACGAGTTCTCCGGGGCTTGATCGGAGTCAGAAGGTTCCAGTAAGACGATACGCACATTTTCTGTACCGAAGGCCAAATCAGGGATGAAATTTCCGCAGCTTTTAACTTCTTGGACTTGTCCACCAGACCGGAGAAGTATGTTGGCGAGTTATCCACCAGGGACAACGCCGAGAGTCAATTGGAGCGCTGTTGGAACAAGCGGGGTGGTAAGTGGAGCATCAACCCAGGTGATGGGGCATTCTATGATCCTAAAATTGGCATCCTGATCTCCGACGCCTTGAAGGGATGGCACCAATGTGCCACCATCCAATTGGATTTCCGGTTGCCGAACCAATTTGAGTTGGAATACACCCCACAGGAATCTCTTGCTGGTACCACCAAACCAGTTATGGTCCACCGTGCCATTTTGGGTTCGGTCGAAAGAATGACCACCATTTTAGCCGAGCACTTTGCCAGAAAGTGGCCGTTCTGGTTGTCCCCAAGACAAGTTTTGGTTGTGCCAGCTGGTGTTGGGTACTTTGAGTACGCCGAGACTGTCAACGCCAAGTTGAAGGCCGCCGGTTTCCGCTCCGACGTCGATGTTTCTAATAACACCTTACAGAAGAAGGTCAGAAATAGCCAGGTGTCCAAGCACAATTTCGTCTTTATTGTCGGCACGGAGGAGTAGACCGCCGAGGGTGTCAACACCAGAAACAGGGACATCCAGAACAAGAACGTGATAGTCAAGTTGGACGATGGTATTGTACAATTGCTCACCTTGAAGCAGTTCAAGAAGGTTGGCAATGTTTTATAAGTTGACTGATTTTTGTTTGTAATATACATTTCCAAGATTCCTTAGGCGCAAACATTAGATTTACCTTCAATCGTATCATAAACATATATTATATTTTAACGAATCTTCACTCACCTATAATTGCCGTCCCTTGCAGCACCAGGAGTGCCGTACCCTTTCTCCTCTACCAACGCATTAAGACCTACTTCATAAACGAATTCAATCAGAATAAAAATAGAAGCCTTTTCAATCGATTGTTAACGCGAATCACAGCAGTCCTACTGCTCGATTTGGAACTAGTATACCCGAATAAGGGTCAGACCACCCTTTCTAGACATTCCCCTTTCTTACTGAATCACGCTCCCCATGCTGCACTGTCTATGCACCACTGGAATTCTCCCAACGACGCGTCGGCAGCCGTCCTCCTTCCGTGTATGGTAGCCCTTGCAATTGCGTGTTTCGAGCACGCGTCTAATGCACGCCCAGACACCAAATAGGCTCCTAATCACAGATTCCCCTTGCGTGCAGAAGCAAAACACGTTCTAAATATGGCGTGCTTTCATCGTCAAAAGCCATCCGGCTCAATTCTCGGATAGCGACAACGTATAAGAATTGGCAGTGTCACATCTCGCACTGGTCTTCTCCGCGTATCACGTGCACGGCTAGAAAAGGGTACCAACGATTTAAATATAGCCAACCGCCTGAGAACGACGTACGGCCAGGGTACTTTGCGATCGCGGTAGAACCGGTACCGGTAGTCAGGTAGATACAGGACCCTCACCATAACACGTTTGTTCCATCTCAGTATTATTTCACGCACTGGGAGCCGACTCTCCGGAAAGTCCAAACCTCTTACATTAAACAGCGGAAACATGTAGCGTGTAAAGAAATATTAAATGGGGAGGGGGGGCTTTTCTGTATATTTTTGATTTTAGGTCTAGTCCTTCCTTCTGCACCTGCACGCTGGGCTCCTTGCTGAGATCTCGCGCCAAACATAAACAAAAATCGACGCCAGAAAAAAAGTGCGTCAGATCGGTTTTTACCAACCACGAATACCCCCACGATCTTTACGGACACCATAAACTCGGTTGCTATAGCTATATCTTATACCGTGCATTGCTATCTACATACAGATATTTGCATACAGCCTTGCCCGATTGCGAACCTATCTCTGATCAGAACCAGACCTCCGTTTCTCGAGTGACACTCATCTTGCCATTCATTTACAATGACCGCTTCTGATCTTCCGAAGGTGGATTCGGTGGTGGAGAGCGTGACAAACGCGACCAAGAGACTATCGCAAATCTCGGCCAACACAGTCAACTCGAAGCGCAAAAACCAGAACCACGTAGGGCCGTGGAAGTTGGGGCGCACGTTGGGGCGCGGGTCGACGGGGCGTGTGCGCCTCGCGAAGCACGCGCAGACGGGCCAGCTTGCAGCGGTCAAAATTATCCCCAAGTCAAACATCAAGACGGCGGATGGTGACGGCCTTCCGTACGGCATCGAGCGCGAGATCATCATCATGAAGCTTATCTCACACCCCAACATCATGGGTCTCTTTGATGTGTGGGAGAACCGCGGCGAGTTGTATCTCGTGCTCGAGTACATTGAGGGCGGCGAGCTCTTTGACTACCTCATCAAGAAGGGCAAGCTCGATGAGCGCGAAGCGGCGCGCTATTTCCGCCAGATAATTGACGGGGTGGACTATTGCCACCAGTTCAACATCTGCCACCGCGACTTGAAACCCGAAAACTTGCTTCTCGACAAGAACCGCAATATCAAGATCGCCGACTTTGGCATGGCTGCCTTGGAGATCAGCGAGAAGATGCTTGAGACCTCCTGCGGTAGCCCGCACTATGCGTCGCCCGAGATTGTTGCCGGCAGGAACTACCACGGTGCGCCGTCCGACATCTGGTCCTGCGGTATCATCTTGTTCGCGCTACTCACAGGCCATCTCCCCTTCGATGATGAGAACATCCGCAAGTTGTTGCTCAAAGTGCAGAAGGGCAGCTTCATGATGCCGAAGGCGCTCTCTCCCGAGGCGCGCGACTTGATCGCACGCATGTTGCGCGTCAACCCGGTCGATAGAATTACCATCCAAGGCATCCTCCGCCACCCCTTCATGCTCAAATACCCGCAACGCTACCTGGAGCAGGTGGCAAAACCGCACTTCCGCTTGTCTTCTATCCAGTCGGTCGACCAGATCGACAAGGAGATCTTGAAGAACTTGCAGATCTTGTTTCATGGCGCCAAGCCCCAGTTCATCGTGCAGAAGCTCCTTGCCCCGGAATCCAACTCAGAAAAGGTGTTCTACTATTTGTTGATGAAGTACCGCAATGAGCACTCTACGTTGGTGACATCTCAGGAGTTTCAGCGAGCTGCTTCCAGCGGGTCCTCCGTCGGCAGTAAGTTACCGCGCTCGGTGTCAGTGGTCAAGACGACCATCACCGATGCTAATGGAAACACCACAACCCAGGTTACCCGCGAGCCGGCTTCCCAGCGCCTCACTCCGTCTGTCTCCAGACATAACATCACCCCGTCTGTTTCCAGACATACCACCCTCGAGATGCCATTGGGCAACATCACCAACACCATCCAGGCGTCACACGGCGCACTGTTTAGGAACCATGCCGCGGGCAAGTCGCCTAAGCGCAGCGCCAGAACGCCCATTTCGGCCTCCACCTCCTACAAGCGTAACATCTCATTCCACCACAGGCAAAAATCTGGCTCCAGTATTCACTCGTTAAAGTCTGGGCGCTCTCTCAGATCCATCATCACGAACGAAGAGCGTCTTCCTGTCTCTCCCGTCTCCCAACGAAGCCGGAAGGCCCGGGGCTTGAGCCCAGCCCGCAGTCACTTCCCTCCGTTGCCCCGCTTCCCGAGCAACGTCTTGCCCAGCGAGACTCCGTCTCCAATCAATCCATCCGACGACTATGAGGGGGTTGACGACGAGGGAATCGACGACGAGTCAATAGTGGACGAAAGCTATGTCGTGGAGCACGCCCAGCACATCCGTCTCAGCACCCCAACGGTGCTCACGAACACGCACACCGCCACGCCAGATGACTTTGCTTTGATGTGCCAGGCGATCTTTAGTGCCCATGGCGAGGAAGACAAGGAGAACCAGTCAGCCGACACGCAAAAAAAGATCCGCCAGCAAACCAGGCTTGAGTTGGAGAACCTTCAAACAATCAAAGAGTCGAAGGAGAGGTTGCGAAAGGAGGAGGAAGCAGAGTTGCTTCGCGAACGCGAGTTAACCCGACGTCGGTTGGAAGAAGACAACAGACGGCTGTTGCAATTCCACAGACCGATGTGGGCGAACGACGAGACAGAACCGATTCCGGAGCGCCATGAAGCGAAGGAGGTCGGATATCTGAGAACTAAAGGCGAGACACAAGAGCAGAAAAAGGTGCCTCCCATCCAACAACGCAATATCTCGGAACCTTTGGCGCCTTCATTCTCCAGCAGCTTAGACCCCAGACGGACCCTCAGCACGCAGAAGAAAGTCAGCCGCGACGCCAATAGCGTGTTGGGGAAGTTGGGTATCCAGGTTGCCCCAGCCAGCCAGAACAGCCTCCGTATTCCGCCCTCGCCGCGCGTGGCCCTTCCGAAAAGTCCGCAGTTGAACAGCTTGAGGTTTCCGCCATCGGTGCTCTCGGGGTCCAAGACCTCGTCCACCAGAAACTTGGCTAGCTACTTGCAGAAGGATATTTCAGTCTCGCAGTTTAACGCGAGCAACCCGGAGAAGGTGCTGGTGACGAAGCACGTTGCGCCGTCGCGCCAGCTGTCGGCCAGGGTGATGGCTAAGGTTGTGGTATCGCAAACAGACGACTTGGTCGACGATTACGCCGACAAAGCGTCGAAAACGAATCTCTCTTCTATGAGCAGCAAGTACATCCCTAATCCGAGATTTTCTCGATTTTCGTTTGGCAACTTGCTTTCTGAGGAGTACAATGAGACCTTGGAGTCCGTGCAAGCCTCTACTCCAAAAAGAGCTATGGAGCCGCGAGATATCCGTAGGGCCCATGCGAGCATGCCCGAGGAAGATGAAAGCCTGTTCGACGAAGCAGTGCAAAGGTCCTCTGCCGTTGAGGCTCCTCATGAGAAACGCGAGGACGTAGCTCAAGTTGAACAAAGTCACGACAGTGAGGAAAGTCAAAGATATGACCATGAGCAGCAATACCTTGACGATACGGCTCAGGCTGACACATCAGAAGATTACAGTCAAGAGTTTCGTATATCCACGTATGGCGTATCTTACGACGAAGACACGGTGTATGACGATATCAAGTCCGAGGCAGATGTGTTTGAGTATCCCGTGGTTAACTCTGTCTCCAAGATTAACGCTTACAAAAAGCCTAGAGCATTATCGAGTGCTTCCGAGCAACGACACCCAAGTCAAAAGTCCCCTGACGTCCGGGGCAGTTTGTATGCTGGGAACCAAGAGTGTGACATTGCCAACTCATTCTTGACGGTGGACGTTGCCAACCAGGCGTTTTCGCCTCGCGACCCCGCACTGCAGGAAGAGGTTTCGCTGGACGATTCGATCTATGATGATAATGTCGAGGAGACGGCAAAAGGCATGGAGCGCGCCAACACCACAGTGTTCAGCTCCAACTGTGACATTGGTGCGAATGGAAACATGGGTGTCAGCACCGCCAAGCAGCTGAACTACATCATCCTCCAAGATACCGGGATGGAGGGCCACCAGACCTTTGACATGTTGATGGACACCCCTGAGAACGACACCAGCGTGAAACATGATTCCAGAACGTCTTTGGCGTCGCAGGAACTCGACGAGAAGAAACGTGAGCCTGTGCGTAAGAGCACCGAGAAATCGAAGAGGGCCCCCTTCCATGATTACACTGCCAAGCCGGCGGAACCGCTAGTCAAGCCACCTGTTCAAAAGGACGAGGGGATCAAACGGAAGACGTCTTTGTTCAGAAAGTTCAACTTGAACCCGAGCCGCGAAGCCCCGAAGGCGCCAGTTGCGAGTCTGATGCTCACTCCACCGCCAGCTATCAGCGCTATTCGCAAATCGTACAACCGCGACTCGGTCATCTCAAACCAAACGTCTGTGTCTGGATTTAGCTCTAAGCAACCGTTCATGGACAACGACCAGACCCCGAAGCAGAGTTGGTTCTCGAAGCTTATCAACAACTTGACCCACGCTCCGAATAATGGTGTTCCCGCCGGTTCCAAGGGAAACACGGTGTACTCCAAGATGACCCAGAAAGCGATGAGCAACTGTTTGCGCATTGCGTTGAATGTCAAGGAGAAGCAAGGGACTGTGGCTAATGTCAAGTACAGCCACGACTTGAAGACCATCCACGGTAGCATCCCGGCAAGATACGCACGCGGCAGGATTTTGAAGTTCCGCGTTGAGATTTTTATGGTTGGGGGGAATGCTTCGTCCGCAACGTTGTTCAAGGTCAAGGGTTCGTCCAGGGTGTTTAAGAATTTGGTTGAGAACGTTAAGTTTATTTTGGAGAATGAGGAAGAACAAGTCTACTCGAGGCGCTAGAGAAGTGTTTAATGTAACATGCTTGGAATTCCAGGGGTGTACAGATTGTAATTTAATGTTCGTGTATGGCTTTAGAAATGATTTTATACCATCAGTGGTTATTTTGTATACCGGGATTCTAGTTCACCATGTCTGATCCGTCAAAGAGAGTAAAACAGGTGAAGTAGCGTATTTGCAGTCAAAAGCGCCATGGTGTCACTGAAATCGTGCTACGGCTTTTCTGCTTGTTTTGAATTCATTCCAGGTTTCTAATTGCCATAGCTGGCATCTCTGAAAGCCTAGGTACACTGCTTAATCCCCCAACTTGTCTTGCAAGCCTGCACCGCCTTCACTTATGCTGTTGATGATATTTGCCTGTCCTTACCTTCCGTTAGAACTTGCCAATATAGAAAACAGTTCATATACCTATTCACTAAAAAGTATCTTACATTAGCGGTATCTTACGTTAGCGGTGTCTTATACTAGCGGCATCTTACATTAGCGGTATCTCGCAGATGTATTCTATATTTACAGGTGACCATTCGATGGACGTTTCTCCAATTCGGAGGGTTGTGGGTATGCACAGTATTCACAGACTTTGCTTCTTAGGCCTTGGACTTCTCAACAAACTGGTCAAACTCGTCCTTCGCGATCTTTTCGGCTTTCTTGACCAAATCCTTCAACTTCTTGGCCTGGACAGCGTCGGTAACATTGGCATCAATGTAGACGTTGGTGTTGGCAAAGTCGCTGCTCTCCAAGTAGATGGCGTTAGGCAACTTTTCGTTTCTGAGCTTGACAAACGTGTAGTACAAGTTCTTCAAGTCCTGGATGTTCCTGACCTGAGTTAACTGGTAGTCTCTCAATGTGAAACCGGTGGCTTCCTGGAACTTTTTCGTGACCTGGAAACGGAGAGTAAGGTCGTCCAAGCTGACGGCAAGCAACTCTTCGATGGAGACGGCTGGAGCCAGTGTGACTTCAGCGTATACTGTGGTCAACACCTGGTGGATCTCCTCTTCTGGCAATTTGGTTTGGTCGGCCTGCTTCTGTGTCTCAGCAGCGATCCAGGGGGAAACTGTGAAGCCGTTCATCTTCTTTTTCCAGGACAAGTCTTTAACATGAGCGCCAAGCACCTTTGGCTTCTGGTTCTTCAACACCTCCTTTTTAACCTCCTCAGAGGTGGCTTCGCTAGGCAACGGCTGCTCGGCGGTTTTGGATTTGTTGACGAATGGCAAAAAGTCCATGAGCGCAGCAGACCTGTTTGTAATACTAAAGGAGCGCGCACTACCGGCAACATTAGTTCTGAGCGTGTTTCTGATAACGGACATGGTATGGATAGGCTGATGTTGGCACCGGTGCTGATCAAGCTTGATGCTAATGCTTTTATTTATGAAATTTTCAGTGGTTGAAATTCAGGGCTCGCAACTATGAGCTGACGTTTTCGCGCACTAACATTACGGCCCAGGCTGCAGATCCACGAGATGCAGAATATAGATAAGCTCCGAGGTCTCTGTGACCAAAAGACTTTTTCGAGCCTTTTTGATAGACTCTTTTACTTCTATACAATATACTCAAATGACCGGGAAACTTGATGAAGAACTCGCCAATACCGACCCAACCGTGCTCCGTGTCTTTATCGTACGTCACGGCCAGACGGAGTTCAACCGCAAAAAGATCCTCCAAGGCCACCTTAACGTCCCGCTCAACGAAACCGGGTATACACAGGCCGACCTGATTGGCTCACGTCTTGCGAACGTGCATATCGACCGTATCGTGTCTTCAGATTTGACCCGATGCCAGCAGACAGCCCAGCCGATTATCGCGAAGAATATAAACGAGGTTCTTGCGGATGAATTGCACATCACGGAGAACCTACGCGAAAGGGCGATGGGCCCCCATATCGAGGGAAAAACCATCCCTGAGGCCATGGCGTACGCCCAGTCCCAAGGGGTGGACAACTTCAGACACTACGGCGAAGCCTTAGGGGCCGTGACCCATAGGTTGGACGCGGAGTGGACCAAGTTGACCACTGGGCCGGACTCTTTGTCCCATAAAAACGTGGTGCTCGTGACCCATGGCGGGGTGATCAGAAGATGGTTACCGTACTTGCACAAGCAGGGGAAGTATGGGTTAAAGGAAGGGTTGACGGAGGAGGACTTGAAAGTGCCGTACAACACGTCGTTGACGGTAGTAGACTTTTACAAGCATGAGAGCAAGCATCCCGGAATGATCCAGATGTTCGGTGACACCGCCCATCTAGGGGCCCAGTTAAAGGTTAAGGATCAGGATTTGAGATAATAGGGTGTGTTAATGGTACGTCGGGTAATGCAGATCCCCTTCGAGATGCGGAATCTTTCCCTGCATTTAGAGTAGCATGGTATTTAGCTTTATAGGTTGATAGGACCCCCTCGCCCTCTTTATTGTATAGCTAGTGTCTAGGAAACCAACTATATTCTCTCTTAGATAACAGATTTCATACAGATGTAGGCATAGGCGCGTGAGATACCATTGGTAAAATAATTCATCTTGTTAGATATCTCACGTATATATTGAATGCTGGAGTTATGAGGATGTGAGCTCTTTTGGATTGTAAAGTTCTGGACTAGAAAACTTGTTCGGATGCAAGGGCCAGGGCTGTTGAATTAGATCTCAGGGGTTTCGCCAATGTTGTCGGAGGTGATATGCATGACATTTTAATTTACAATGGCCTTGGTTGAACTCATTTTTCAACTCCGACTTCCGCGACAACGTCCGACGACACTGCGTTTCCGTCGATATTTCTGCCAACGACATGATTAATAATTAATAAAATACCATGTCATAAGCTTGGTTCACATACCGGGGTATGCCGGTAAGTTGTTTTGCACCCGCCCAACCCCTCACCTACATAACATATCTATAGAAATAAATGTGAGCTGGTCTAATAAAATAGAAGCAAATAGAAACAATGTTCCCGGAACATGAAAAGTACAGCATAAATGCTATAGAACGGGAGGTGGAGTTCGTAACTTCGGAAGCGAAGAAACGAAACATGCAAAAAGTGGTGTCCACAGGGGTTGAAAGAAAAGTCAGCCGTACATATCCAATCTGCGTATTTTGTCTTTTTCAGCTCGTTAGTTTCTTCCAAAAGAAGGTTTTAACAACTAGCATCCAAAAAGGCAAAAAAAAGTTTGTAATTAAGGAGTGGGTGGAGCTGTAGCACAAGTTTTCGGTGAAAATTCCCTTACTCCATTTTCTTCTTGTTTGTGCTCAAACAGTTCTTCATAAACGCATAGAACCGGTCTCCATATTCACTTGATGGAATGGCCGAGACAACCTTCCGATCATGGCTCAAACTGCGCCAAAACGTCTCCATCCGCTTCACAAACCCATACCTCGTCAAGCAATCAATCACGCCAAGATAATATATCTCATCCATCGGGAGGTCTTCCTCGTTGGAGCTGCGGATACCACCATCGTCACCGTAGAACAAGAACCGGGACCGGCCGGGGAACTCCTCTGTGGGTAAGTCATTCATTCTGTCAATGCTCTCCGGGTTGGTGTTGATCACAGATTTCTTGTCGGTAGCTTTCGGCTGGAAGACGGACAACCGTTGGTTGGTGAGCTCGTCCGTGTTACCAATCGCCACGTCATGGACCCCCAATAGGAGCGAGTAGTCCATGATATTCAACTTTTTCAAGAGGGAAACGTCCTTCTGCAACTGGTCGAGGAAGAGTTTCCGCTTGGTCGGGCCAAACTTGATAGAGTCGTTGTGGTTCTCCAACCAGTTCAAATCCTTCAAAATCACGGTCGCCTTCTTGTCCGCTGGATCGAGATTGTTCATGTTGGTGTATCTCCCCATGAGCGAGCCCTTCAAATCGTAGGTCCGGTGGATGTCTCTGTGTGGCGGGAACAAGTTATTCATCACGATGAAATGCACCTTCCGCACCCCGTTCTTACCAAACGGCATTTTGACTCTGTGCAAGCCGTAAAACTGCGAGATCAACGTGTTGGGGTTGGCCTTGACGTGCCGATGGTATTCGGGTAAGATACGGAGCAACTGTTTGTGCTCCGAATGGTGGATTGTTTTGATGATGAAGCGGTAGTCACGGGAGTAGTAGAAGAACGAGCCGCTCTTCCCCGGTGACCCCAACTCTGACAAAATATACTTTTCTGTGAGGGAAACAAGATAGTCCGCCGGGTCCAAACCAAAGAGCGTCCTTAATTCACGGAAAACGTTAGGTGCGTAGTCCTTGAACTTAAAGTCATATTTAGAGGAAGGGGTCAACTCAGTACCGGTAATGTCAAAGGCAAGTTTCCTGGTGGTGGAGAAATCAGCATCAACCAATGGCTTCATGGCCTTGGAACACCCCGAGACAGCCACTCTTATCCCCGTGAGCATGTTGTAGGCCATGACGTAGTTAGCATGGCCTTCACTCACCTTGTTTCCCACTAGCACCTTGTCGTCATCCACTGTCAGTCTGCGGCCCTGCCACTTCTTGGCAGGCTTCTTTTGCAACACGCTATTTCGCATGCGATCAATTTCGATCTTCGCGGCAGACTCGCTTCGGCGCATCTCCAAACGGTTTGTTGAGGTCCTCCCAAAGGTGGAACTGGTACGCGCCAATACAGGTTTGTGGGACACGGCCGATGGACCGGTATCTTGGCCGATATGAGGAGAGTGCGGGGACGTGGGTCTTTCGTAGCTGCTTCTGCGGTTCACCGATGGTGAGGAACCGAAACGAAACTCCTTGGAGGAAAGAGCCTTGTACGGGTGTTTGGGTGCGGGCGCCTGTATGGTTTCACTCATCTGCTCGCCGTCTTCTATGTTAGGGTTGTAGGGCTCACCAGCTATAGTAGGGCTAATGAGCTTACTCTTCACGACAGGGTTGATGTGTTCGCCGGTAATGGTAGGGCTGCTGTGTTCTAGTGAGTGGGCCTGGACAGGCGCTGAAGCCGGAAGGTTGGATACGGTCTCTTGCTGCGATAACTCAGTATCCATACTGTTGTCCTGGGTAATGGTTGCCTGGGTTACGTTGGAGCCGGCGGTTTTAGGTTCCAAGCTTCGCCGGTCTGCGTAGCCCAACTTGGCAGGGTATGCATCAGTGACCGGGGAGCGATCGTCCTCCTCTAGGGAGCTCGGCGAGGTGTGGGTCTCGCTGGTAGCATCTGTTGTCTGGTGAGAGGTGGGCGTCGCAAGATACTTATGTTTGGACTCCATGGAGGATAAGCGGGTGGTAAACCCGTCCTCTGTTAGCTCCTGTCGGCTCTTCCGAGGGGCCAGGAGAGGATCGTTGGTAGTATGGGTGTGGCCATTGCTTAAAGCATCATAGGGCTGAAGACTTTGGGTCAACATCATGTATGCTTTTACTCGACCCTATAGTGACGGCTATCCGCTGACGTATGTGGCAATGTCTGGAAGGGGTTTCTTTTTTGGACCGTCTTTGGGACGGAGATGCCGGGTATATTTGTTGCAATAGTTGGTCAGACTTCTCTCCGGTATTCAGCAAGATCAATACACGCAATGTATTATTCTGGGCGTGTCTAAGCGTACAGCAAAAAAAACCAGCTTTTGGCGTAGGGTTAAATCTAAAGGCAATTTTGAGAGAAAAAAACCATGCGTTTTACTATGTGTTTACATTTGTACACTCCTCTGTCCCCAAGCCTCCGGTTTTTGTTTTTCCATGTGTTTGATCGTTCGTGTGCGTCAATAGCCCTGCCAGTCTGTCTTTTCTGCCTCGATAGTATGGCTTATGTAAGCCAGGACACGCAATCGCCGGCGTGCCGTATTACTCCCGGAGCCATATTGTATGCGCTGGCCGGGTGCCACGCGGATAAAATACGTTATGAGCTATGCAGCTACACGAGGAACCATTCCTTAGTGCAACACTAAGATCGGTGATAAGCCCCAGTGGAGTTACAAAGGGCATGGTACTTGGAAAAACTAGTGAATTAGCTTATAACATCTCTGGTGGATTGCCGGTGTGAGTGCTTCATCGGATTTCTGATACATGTAAGTGGAAACTTGCTGTACTTTTACGGTAGGGATTAAGTTTTCCAACTAACAGATATTAATGACATAGTGTAGATACCAAAGTATATAATTAGAAGATATGCATATGTATATAGGAATTTAGTCTTAGTCATTGTATTTATATTATGAGTTTAATTTGTCTAGCTAACTTTCCTATATTATCTCTGATTAAGTATACATGACATATTAATATATATGTAATATATTGTTGATGTCCATGGGTAATACTAACAACTATAGAATGGGTCCACACCAGACACATTTAACTATACTGGATAATTAACAATGTATTTGTACGTAAACCATCTATTCAACAGTTATACGTGACGCAAATCGGCGTGGGTGCCTCACTGTGTTCTAGCGTCGGCGTCAACCTGCACTGGGTATCAATTATCTGGAAAATCTCATGCTAATATATGCTTACACCTGTGCTTTCAATTTTTCCTCCATTATAGCGGACTTGTAAAGGCTATACTGTTATAAACAACAACCATTCTGATTTTAAAGCTGGATTTTCAGAAAACAATCGGGCCCAAGGTTCAGGTTGACGACTGCGTTATCTGTAATATTAAATTATCCTGTACATAATTATTGACGTGCAGGCATTCCAAGAGGAATCGCTTGGAAAGTCCCATTGCATAGGCAACAGCTTGGCAAATAACGTACAGGACACCAGAAACCAGCGGTCAAAGTCCGAACCCTGGATAGTCCACAGGTTGCCAGTGGGAATGAAAAAAAAAAAAAAAAACCAAAAAAAAAACCATCAATTAGCTTTGTTAAAGGCAGTGTAATATCCCAAGCAATGTTTACAACGCGTTTACTAAAGGAATTAGAAATTCTAACCTGAACCATTCCGGGAAACAATGTACTCTTAAACTTTGTGCAATCTTTGTGCAGAAACGCAACGCCAAGAGTACAAATTTAATACATTTTCTTTTCACATCTATAGTGCCCACGTGCCCCATCACCTTTTTCAAAGAAGTGAACATGTATTATAAATGTTCTGGTGAGTGCTCAAAATAGAAGGCAACACTGGGTTTGAAGTCTAGCTTGGATTCTAAAGCTCAGACCGTCTTACGGCACCTCACTCGCTTCCGAAAGAGCTTGAATATACCCCGAGTGGTATCTACAAAATGCGGCCTCTTGCTACCGAAAGCCGTGAATGTGGGGGTGTCAGCGGGCTTCCCCACTATGCCGTTTGAGTAAACGTCTTGGTTTGTCCATAACCTCACCTTGTATAACAGCCCTTCCGTTCCTTTTGCCCAACACTTTAGTGTCTCGCGACTACTATTCCTATCCAGCCATTCAATGAAGTCCTTTTCGAATGATTATTAAGGATCGGGGATACCTTGCTCGTAAAACATTCCAAACCACGCCAAGGAATGCCCAGGTATTTTTGTTGGTGGTGCTTACCCGCAGGATAAGCGAATGACGTGCTAAAACGCAGTGGTTGGCAGCCCCGCCAATGATTCATCACGTGCTGCACAGCGGTGCAGAAGTATTCTGCAAGATAGTACTACGGCGCAATGACTCTAGGGAACTGTCGTCCTATATAACCTAGCCACACGGTGATCATCCTGGTAAATGTAATTGGTCTTCGCATCCTTTCCGGAGACATACGCTGCCAACACGGCTCCTCAGCGTAGATTCTGTTGTGTAGATTATCTGTGTAGATTCGGTATGACATATATCCTGATTATTGCAGTGCCAAGACGTACTTCTCCTATCAGAGACTATAGCACTTAATCAAACGCCTATCACCTCTTCTGTACAGGCGATATTGGGTTCTCTGCTTGGCATAGCTACAGCAATCGGAAAAACGTGTGGCAGAGCTACTGAATTAGGACCCTTAGTATACAGGCCCTGCACCCTGGAGTCATCTTACGTCCACGTTTTACACACGCATGCATGGTCTCTGATTAAACCCAGACTACCCCAAGCTAAAACGTACGAAAGTTCTTGGAACCTTATGTTATCGTTCGTAATCCATTAAAATTTAGACGTCAAAGATAAACAGCGGAGCCGGGTATAAATAGGTCACGAGCCCCCCCTCTTGTCCCACATTTTTCAACTACTGGACTAATAACTATTAATCTATACGCTTCCTCCTTGAATCAACATTGAGTAACCTATAGAAGCAATACCTAGAATATATGACCCTGTCAACCGCCTCAATCTCCAGTGAACAGAAAAATGCTCAGCTTCCAATAGCGCGAGAGAAGACAACCGATATCTCGCAGTACAGTGTCAATGACGGCGAGAACCTCGTGCCGTATAGGCTCAGCATCAATGAACTCGAAAGACTTTTTTCAACCGACCGTGCCAATGGGTTAACCTCCAGCAAAGCCAAAGACCTCTTGGTCAAATATGGTGCCAACAACTTGGGCGAGGGTGCCTCGATATCCTTGGTCGGGATTTTCATCCACCAAGCATGTAATGCCATGGTTATGGTGTTGATAATCTCCATGGTGATCTCTCTTGCCATGAAGGATTGGATTTCCGGAGGTGTAATTGCATTTGTGGTATTTGTCAACATCTTTGTTGGTTGCATCCAGGAATACAACGCCGAAAAGACAATGTCCTCTCTCAAGTCTTTGTCTTCTCCGACCGCTAGAGTCATCAGAGACGGCGAAGACCAGACTATCCCGGCCGAAGAAGTCGTACCAGGTGACGTGTGTATTGTTCAAGTTGGTGATACCATCCCCGCAGATCTCCGTTTGTTTGACTGCATGAACTTGGAGACGGACGAAGCCTTGTTGACCGGAGAATCCTTGCCAATCGCTAAGATGCACAAGGAGGTCTATAACGAGGAAATCCCCGTAGGAGACCGTTTGAATATGGCGTACTCCTCTTCCACCGTCTCCAAGGGCCGTGGTACTGGGATTGTCGTGTGCACCGGGTTGCAAACTGAAATCGGCGCGATCGCCCTGTCGTTACAGGAGAAGACGAGCCATGTGCGTAGCGTGGAGGTTGACGAGCACGGCAACAAATCTGGTTACTCCAGAGCTATCTTTGGCACCATCAAGGATGTTGTGGGCGCTTTTCTTGGTACCTCTACCGGAACCCCGCTCCTGCGTAAACTTTCGGTGTTGGCCTGTGGCTTATTCTGTATCGCAGTGGTGTTTGCCATAGTGGTTATGGCCGCTCAGAAGTTCCACGTCACCTCGGAGGTGGGTATCTACGCTATTTGTGTAGCATTATCCATGATTCCATCGTCCTTGGTGGTGGTGTTGACCATTACCATGGCCGTGGGCGCCAAGATCATGGCTTCCCGTAACGTTATCGTCAGGAAGTTGGACTCCTTGGAAGCTTTGGGTGCTGTCAACGATATTTGTTCCGACAAGACTGGTACTTTAACCCAGGGCAAGATGATTGCCAGAAGTGTCTGGATCCCTACCGTGGGTACCTACACCGTTCACGAATCCAACGAGCCTTTCAACCCCACTGTGGGTAGCATCAAGTTTATTGATGCCGCCCCCGCCGAGGTCATGAACAGCGAAAATGATACCATCACTTTTACCGCTGTTCCAACGCCAAACCCTCCACATTTCCAACAATGGTTGGAAACTGCCACCTTGGCCAACATTGCCACGGTATTCACCAGTCTTGACGAAGACGGCCAGGAAACCTGGAAGGCCCACGGTGACCCTACTGAGATTGCCATCCAGGTTTTCACCACCAGAATGGACTTTCCCAGATTAAAGTTAACTGAGGGCGACGATTCCCAGTTTACCCATTTGGCAGAATTCCCGTTTGACTCCTCTATCAAACGTATGACCGCTGTTTACAAAGGTCTTGACGAAACCACCGTCTTCACCAAGGGCGCCGTCGAACGTGTGTTGGAGTGTTGTGACACTTGGTACGGAAATAGCGGCTCCAACGAGACCCCTCAAAAGCTCACCGACGACGACAAGGCTTTTATCGAAGAAAATATGAACGCCTTGTCGTCCGAAGGGCTCCGTGTGTTGGCCTTTTCCAGACGCGCCACTACCCCTGCCGAGGCCTCCATGAACTGGGCCGGGAAGGTTGACAGAGCTGATGTCGAAAAGAACTTGACTTTCCTCGGCTTGGTGGGTATCTACGACCCACCGCGTCGTGAAACTGCAGGTGCCGTTAAGCAGTGCCACAAGGCGGGGATTAACGTCCACATGTTAACCGGCGACCATCCTGGTACCGCCAAGGCTATCGCCCAAGAAGTTGGAATTTTGCCTCGTAACTTGCACAACTACGCCGATGACGTGGTCAAGATCATGGTCATGGCCGCTCCGGATTTTGACAAGCTTTCTGATGCAGAGGTTGACGCCTTGCCGGTGTTGCCATTGGTTATTGCCAGATGTGCTCCTCAGACCAAGGTGAGAATGATCGATGCCTTGCACAGACGCAAGAAGTTCTGCGCCATGACCGGTGACGGTGTCAACGATTCTCCGTCGTTGAAGAAGGCTGATATTGGTATTGCCATGGGTATCACCGGATCCGACGTGGCCAAGGATGCCAGTGACATTGTTCTTTCGGACGATAACTTTGCCTCCATCTTGAATGCCATCGAGGAAGGTCGCCGTATGGCTGCCAATATCCAAAAGTTTGTGTTGCAGTTGTTGGCCGAGAACGTTGCCCAGGCGTTGTACTTAATGATTGGTTTGGTGTTCATGGACGAGGACGGCTACTCTGTGTTTCCATTGTCTCCTGTGGAAGTCTTGTGGATTATTGTCATCACCTCTTGTTTCCCGGCCATGGGTTTGGGTAAGGAGGCCGCGGCCGATAATGTCTTGGAAGTTCCACCTACTTCCAGTATTTTTTCCTGGGAAGTGATTATTGATATGTTTGCCTATGGTACCTGGATGGCTGCCTGCTGCTTGTGTACCTTCATCATTATTGTCTACGGCAAGGGTGATGGTAATTTGGGTATAAGCTGTAACTCCACCTCCGGTGAATTCTGTGACACCGTGTTCAAAGCCAGGTCTGGTTCCTTTGCCACCATGACCTGGTGTGCGTTGGTGTTGGCCTGGGAATGTATTGACATGCGTTTATCCTTGTTCAAAATGCACCCAGAAAGTGAAACCCCGTACACTCAGTTTTTCAAGGATGTCTGGAAGAACCAGTTTTTGTTTTGGTCTGTCATTGGTGGTTTCGTTTCGGTTTTCCCTGTTGTCTACATTCCTGTCATCAACGATAAGGTGTTCTTGCACGCCCCAATCAGCTGGGAATGGGGCTTGGCCATGGCCTTTACCGTCCTCTTCTGGGCTGGTGCCGAGTTCTACAAGTGGATGAAGAGGATCTTTTTCAGAAAGAGGGCTTATTTGGATGCTGTTAATAACCCAGAGAAAGACTTGGAGAGAAAATCGCCGTTTGAAACGTACAAGTCTTTCTCGAGGTCCAACACCATGAACGTTTAGATAGCGGATACCCTTCGGGGAATTTTCCATTTTTGTATACTAGCATATATTATAATTTCATGTCGATTGATAAATTCGGGCATAAGTTCGCCATGTATGGTTTTTATAAATAAATCTAATTTTCTGCAAAGCTCTCACCTCGTACCGGCAATTTGTGGTTTACAGGGTTTCACCTTTAGAGGGAAGGTTAAAGTCGGCAGAGCGAGAAACCTTGATGAGTAGACATTTAAATCATAAACCACTATTTTATCCTCGATATTATGAGAGCTTTTAAATTCCTTTCAAAGGTCATTGAAAAAACTCCCTTGAGAAACTTTCTCAGCTCCTGCTGGGACATTTGGAGAAAAATTGCAATACCCCGCACTCACATCAGAGATTAGTTACCGATAGGTACTGTAACCGCGCTACATAATACATCTCTCGCCACACCTCCCGACTCTCACTTTACACGTTATATATTATAGTTACACTCAGGCCTTGGCTCTGGCCTCGATCTCTTGGACGGTCTTGCTAAAGTCCTTGGTGCTCTGGAACTCGACTTTGCCGTCTCGGACGGTGGCGTAGCTCAAGAAGTCCTGGGTCACAGGCTGCGGCTTGGACGCCTGCTGTGTGAGCTTGAGGCTCTGACTGGCCATCACCTGTTCGGTGACGGAGACCTTATTGTGGAAGCTGCGGCTGGAAAAAGACCCGTCCTTATGCTGAGAGGTCTGGAACAAGATGGTTCTCGGGCCGACAATCTTCACGTAGTCGCTGCTACCGGAAATGAAATTAGCGGTCTCGGTGCGGGAAAATGATACAAACTGCTTGAGGCCCGCGAGGCCGCGCTTGACGACACCGGAAACCTTGGAAACCGCCGATGGAGGCATTGCCTCGTCAGCAGAAACCATAATCGTCGCCTCTTCCGCAGCCAATGCCTGCTTCTTTTCAATCTCTGCAAGCTTCTCACTGGTGTAGTTGGACAAGCTCTGTTGGATGACGCAATTCGCCAAATCATTGTGGCCGCTGATACTGACGGCGAGCAAGCTCTTTTTGGCAACCATGATCTCCTCACTGGCGCGCAACTGGATACGATAAATCTGCCCATTGCCCACAAGTCCCACGTAGCCTCGGCCGGATAACAAGGTGTACCCCGCCTTGAACCAACTGAACAAGCCGGTCGCGGTTGGCTCCCTGGTGGAGAGCTTCTGGAGCAATGTGGTAGAGGCGGCTTTGGGGACCACGTTGTTGGAAATCAGCAAGCTTTCACCGCTGTAGAGCTGGACCGCATCGTTAGGAAACACCGCCCAGTCGATGCGCCCGTCCAACGTCAACGTGGCAAAAGTCTTGTTGCCGTTGCTCTTGTGGAAAGGGTTGAGCATAGACTTGTTGTTGGCGGAGACGATGAGCGAAAACGGCTCCGACGAAGAGAGCTTTTCGTACGTGAAGGAAAATCCACCCAAAATCGTTCTTTTGACTGGCGAAATGATCTCCAACTGCTTCGTGATGCCTGCAAGCGAAAGCGGGGTAGTAGTGTTGGTGCCCCGCTGGTTATGCAATCCGTACACCAGGAGCAAACTGCCTTTCTTGATGAATACCGGCGCCTTTGGCGGCAAATTGAGCGACAAGAGCACCGGTGGCGCACCCAACGTCTGGAACTGCGGCTCTTCGCCGTCAGCCAGAGATGGTTGGATCTCCTGGACGTTCTGTACAGCGTCCGCAAGATCCACGGTGCTGGGAATCGTCACCGACGGCAGCTGGGAGATAGAGATGTAGCGCACGCCGCGAAGCACAGGAATTGGTCTCATTTTGTGTGTGGGGCGAGGTGATTGAGGTTTCGTGACGAAGGGCACGAGTTTTATGAGCAAATCGCAGTAGTCCGATATGCCGGTAAGTGCACGACACAACACCGGAGAAGTTGCCATTGGTGAATAAATAGTAAGAAATCCAGAGATGAATATTGGTTAAATATATTTGTTTATTAGATTAAGAGACGTGAGAGTAAATAGTAAACGCTAGGTAGTATAGAGTGGTAGAGCAAGGTGAGGTTTTTATCGGAGATGTCAGGTCTGAGAATATCACTAGGTACGAATCAGGTCTTACGGCGGATGAAACAGCACCTCGTGAATAATTTATTATGCTTAAATAAAGGATGTTATGAGCTCCACATGGATAGTAAACTATATGAATTCATTGTTCAATAATTTATGCCCCTGAGATGCGTGACGAATTGTCACTTACCAGAAATTATGGATTTTAACGAACTTAGGCTATTTATATTACGTACCTGCAAACCACCTCATTTACTTAAGCTGACCACCGAATCTCCACTGATAAATCTACCTGTACTAGATTGCATGTGGTGTCAAAGTTACTAAACTTCCCCCTCCAAACCCTCTGTATTCTCTGGTATGTCGACATAGATATTTTTCAAACTTCTCACACTCTTGTACTTTAATTCCTTAGGGAGTCAATCAACATGGCCTTGACATGCTCACCAGCCCTCAACACACTCCCTGCCGTCTTAGATGACGGCAAACACAACAACCCATTAGCACCCTTCATGCTTCCAATACGACTGCTTCTCTGAAACCCGGTGCTCTCAGCCACAAGTTTGTGCAACTTAGTCACCTCGTCGTACTTCTGAAACACATACACTCGATGGTACTCTGGTCTGGGGTCCAACCGGATGTCCTGGGTAAGCTCCACGTCCACGGTAGCCACCCCAGACTGCTCATACCCCGCATTCTTCATCATCGACGGCAACACAAACAAGTTAAAGGTGACACTGGCAGAGGCAGGATTTCCCGGGAGACCAAAGATAATCTTGGTGAAACCCCCGATCTCCACCGTCGCAAAGGTGGTTGGCTTTCCTGGCTTCATGGCCACGCGGCCGAAATGGATCACACCCCCTAGCTTGCGCTCAATCACAGGCTTGAGCAAGTCGAGCTCGCCCATCGAAACCCCTCCAGTGGTGATGAGAATATCACATTGGGCAAAGGCCTCTCGAATCACCTCTTCTAGCGATTCCGCTCTGTCTACTGCAATCCCAAGATCCACCGCCGCAAAGTGGCTGTTTTTAACAGCTGACAAGAGGGTCGGTCTGTTACTATCAAAAATCTGTCCGTACTTCACCTCCCCCGTGAAGGTCTTCAAGTCTAGAAGCTCGTTTCCAGTGGACAAGACCCCTACGGTGGGCTTGGCAAACACTGCGACATGGGTCACTCCCACGCTCGCAAGCACACCCACCTCACTGCCGTTACTAGCGAACGGGGTACCCTTGGCTAGGATCTTTGTACCCTTCTGGATGTCGCTTCCAACGGCTCTGACGTTATCCAACGGCTTGACCCCGATCGCTAGGATCTTGACCTCCTTTTCTTCGGTTCCATCGGTAGTAATGAGCTCTGTTTCTTCAACCATCACCACGGCATCCGCTCCCAAGGGGACGGGAGCGCCGGTGGTGATGCGAGCAATTTCTCCCGGTCGTAACGTTGTCTTTTCCGAGGCATTGGCGTGCGACACCGCCACTACGGGGTAAGTGCCCGTTCCGTCGGCGCTGACCACCGCGTAACCGTCCACAATGGAGGCCGGGAAACTGGGGACATCAACAGACGCAAAGACGTCTTCAGCTAGGATATATCCTGCTAAATCGTCGGTGATTCGCTTAGTGATTTTGGTTGGCGCTGGAGTAAACTTTGCGATCAACGCCAACGCCTCTGGCACTGGAAGCATCGGAAACGGCAGTGCTCTGGCCCTGAGTGTCACGGGACTGGAAAGGTCGTTGGACACAAGTTTGTGCTTTGAGATTCCGCAAGAAGGCTTAGTGTGCCCGTGGGGGCAATGGTGCAGGGAACTGCTATGCAAAGTTGCCAGAGCATCGCTAGGTACAGGGTGCACCACTGGGGACGAATCGCTGTCGGGCAATGCATCGTTGATGGTACGGTTGAACTTCTGGTGTAAGGCTCTGGAGTCTGTCAGCCCGATTTGCGCCAATGCATGGCCCAAGACCCCCAACACTGCTTGCAAATTCTCCACGGCCGCCTTGGGGGACCCCGGCAAGGTGATGACCACCGACTGGTTACGCACCCCAGCGACGGGACGCGACATAATGGCATACGGGGTGATCTTTAACGATTCAGAGAGTAATTGGTGGACAATACCCGGCGCTTCACGATGCAACAAGGGTCTGATCGCTTCGGGGGTGATATCACGGTCGGTGAACCCCGTCCCGCCACACGTCAAGATCAAGTCCAAGCCCGGTTTGGCACTCCATCCGATAATTTTGGACTGGATCGCATCAAAATCGTCCGGAATAATTGCCTTGCTGGTGACTGTATAGTTGTGTTTGGCACCGGCAAAGGCTGTTTCTACAGCGGCAGTGGTGGCGTCGAGCAGTGGGTCTTGGAAGCAGGCATCCGAGAGAATTAAAACACCAACCAGAAACATGAGAAGTGGAAGAAAGGCTTTAATTAGGGTTTGATTAGATTGGAATGGCAAGTGGGTATAATGTTAATGAAGCAAGCTGTATAACTAAGCGTCGAGCTTTTTGAAGTTACAAATCTCGCGGGGAAAACCATGCCTGATAAGAGCCGCAGCATCCCCGCGGAAAGGGAGAATCGCCAGACAGTGTGACCTGTTGCATTAAAAAAGGAAAATACAAGGAGAACATCTTGAGGGGGATTAAAATAAGAGTATTGGTTTAGTGTGATGGCTACTTGAGGGTTGAATATTAGAGTGGCTTTGAAGTTAAAGGTAAAAGATGCGTAGCTACAGAATATGCGATGCCATAGAGGTTACCCTCGACCTTGACATACGCTAACCAGAACTTTACCTATTCCTTATTGATCCGAAATCTAATCTGTAGGTGGATTGACTATATGCGATATACCAACCGTATTTCTCCAACCTAGGACAACCTCCGGTGCACTCTAAATGCTTACCAAGATGTCCGACAAAACCAGAAATCTCAAACCACTGAGTCTCTCTGATATATCCAACCTATTCTTGTTTATCTTCCTCCTCACTCTCCACACTGATCACGGATGCCTCCTCGCTATCATCACTGTTGAAATTTGCTATCGACTCCTCCAACGTCTCGCAGTCCTGCTGCAAAAACTCTTGCAACGCAGCCGGGATCTCTGTGGCCTCTTCCAGTTCCCACACATCACTCTTGACGTAGAACAATGTTGTGACATCGTCACGTGGATCGCGCGCACTATCCGCAACGGTCGCAAAGTCCACCGTTTGAATGGAAAAATCAGAAGCGCCACTGTGGCGGCTGAACTCTACCGCCACCCAGAGATGGTCGTACGGCGGTTCCTTGCGCTTGGTGAGGTAGTAGAAGCGATCCCAGGAAGCAATCACGCCGGTGAGGAGATAAGGCTGGGGGCAATTATTGCCCATGACATCCTGGAGAATCTCGCCGTAACTGAAACGGTCGTAGCGGTTCAGGCTCGCTGAGGAATCCCTCAACTCGGCAATCCGCAGCTGAGTCGTTGCTTTGAGCTCGCGGAGCTCGTCTATCGCCTTATGCTCATGCTCAGTCTCGAGAAACTTAACAGCAGAGTCAAGGAACGACGCCAGGGAGATTCCCTGATGCTGTTCTAGCCGGGAAATCTGATCCGCAACCTTTTTTCGAGCTTCCAAACTTGTCGCCCGCGCCTCTTCACACTCTAAGATGAACGCCTGGTACTCCTGGGTAAACACCTGAGGGTAGAACCGCTCTTCAAGATGAATCCCCAGGGCCGTGTTCGCGTAATGTTCGCCCTTGATCAACGGAATCGTTAAAACATCGCCGAGTCGGGTAACGTAGACCGTTTCAATCCGCTCTGGTTCGTATCCCCAGATCAATGCAAAAAACGACTCGTAAAGATTCTGCTTGATGTCATCATCGTCAAGCTTGAACTGCCTCGTAGTGGCCGTTTCTGAGTCATCGTAGACTTCGCAACGGAAGAGCCGAGCAAGCTCCTCCCCCGCTGCTGTGTCCATGTTCCCCACCTCTCGCTCTAGCTCAACCAATACCGCGTCAATGAATTCGTCCAGGGTCTGCACATCCTGTAACAGCATCAGTAGCTGCCGCAGAAAGGCTCTGGTGGCACCTTTAGTGGAGGCAAACCAGCGCGAGCCCTCGAGAAATGCCACACACCGCTGGATCTCCATCGTGAAACGGTTTTCGGTGTCTGGTACCCTCACAGCTGCTCCTTTGAACCAGTCCGGTGTAAAGCCGTACGTTTCAAAGTCCACCGAGAAGAGGGCGGCGCGGAACGCGGGCACCTGCTGGAGGATTGTCAATAGCGGGGCCAAGTACCCTTCCAAGTAGCGGCTGGATGGAAGGAGCACCAGCGGAAGAAACGTCTCCTTCTGGTACTTTCTCACGTCATTCAACACGTCATACGCTTCGTCCTCATAGATACTCCACTCACTACGCGGCTCTGTGTACTGTGAAAGGTGGCTGGAGATTGCCGGGTCTATCTGGAACTCCGTCTGGCGCGGCGGAAGCGGCGGGGCATCCGTGTGGGTCACCGTTCCGGTGTCTGTGTCGACATTTTCGTCATGGTAGAGACTCACGGCACTATTGCCAGCGCCTAGAGGTACAATGGCCCGTTCGCTGGAAGCAGGTTCCCCGAAAAGGATCCCAATGGCCGTCTCAAGGTTGTCGTTGGAGGACTGGTCGGTTAGTAGTGCAATTGAGAGAACGCGGCGTACGTACATTGAGGGCACCGAGGGCATCGTCCCGCGAGAAACCCATTTCCATAAGCTGGGCAATTTTTGAGTCAGAAGCCATAATGAGGATTAGCTTCGGTGTTTAGGGATCAATAGTATGGAGGGGGAATACGTTGATCTAGTTGGGCTGTTATCAAGGGGAAAGATGGCTGGGGCACGACCATGGCACCCTCGATGGGTTTCGGCATGTAAACCACATCTATAATTCATGGCACAGTACATGTGGCTAAACGGATAAACCGTAGTGAATTGAAAATTTTACCGCTCTTGCTTTCATGGAAATCGGCGTTATATCGATACCGCTTTAGTTTAGAGTGAGACAGAGCTTCAACAGTGTATAATCTACAGATGAAACATCCATGATTCTGTGCTAAGATGAATTTTGAATTGAAACCATAGTGCACTCTCATAGATGTGAGGGATTTGGCAAGCATTAACCTTGATCATTTATTCCAAATATGTGGATTGTTTCAGGTGATAAAGCGAGTCTCGAGCGCTCTAAGTGGTGCATGGCCCCTGACAAGTTTCAGCACTGCATTCTATTGCGGTAAATCACTGCATTCGTGTGGTTCGACGTGAATTATAAAAATACAAAAGAGAATCGAAATTCAATGAGAAAGTAGAAGTAGTCCAGCCCTGAGATAATCGTAAAAAGTATAGGTGATGCTTAAAAAACGTCCGGTAAACGCTCGATGGCGTAGGCCCTGGAGCCCACCGTCATGATCGGCACACCTGGAATCTTTCTGACTCTTCTCTTGAGGTCCGCATCGTTGGTAGCGACGATGTAACACTTGTGCTGGATTACTCTGTGAACAAGACAGTCATCTGCATAGGTGCCCTTATGGGAACAGGTCAACCTTTCGATTCTCGGATCACGCGCCAATCTCAAGGCGATTCTGTACTTTGGCCCCAACTTTTCCAATTCCGCCATGACACAGTCGGTGACAATAGGGATGCACTTGGCGTAGAGGGTGTCCATCATACCTCTAACGAGGTCGATCTTCTTCTGGATCGAGAAGTTGATGAAATTGGTATCGATAAGGACCTGGTATGGCGGCTTGATTGCCTCATTAAACTGGAAAAACAACGCAGACGACACCTGTGGCACGTCTCTGACGAGTTCTGGGTCGCTTTTGGCTGGACCCTCTTTCTCTTGGTTCTGCTTTAATCTGGGATCCTTCTTGGTGTTCAAGGTACGCTTTACAAGGCCAAACTTTCTTGTCTTCTTGGCTTTACCCATGGTGTGTAGCGGAAGAAGAGGTTTCTGGGGTAGATCTTTGAGGTGAAAGATTTTTATTTAGTGAAGGAAAAAAAATATATATTGGTGCGCCGCACGATACGAAGGAAAAAGAAAAAAGAAATCGACACAGACAAGATTCGAACTTGCGCAGGTAAAACCCAACGCCTAAACTGTTACATAATAGCAGGGCGTCGCCTTAACCACTCGGCCACAGTGCCCGAATTTCATGACATTTTAAAGAAAGCTATCTGGAATATGCCATCGAAGATGTGCATTTATTCAAATATTGTCTCTTTGTAGCATAAATGCTATGAAATTACGGGCCATACCTTTTTCCCCTAGCCCTTTTATTTATCAATCGAAAACCACAATGAAAACTTGGACAAACTATATCAACATGCATCAAAGTTCCCTAACCATCTCGACGCGACATAAAACGATTCACCAGACTACAGACTGCCTCAATTATAATCAGTGTATTCATACTGCTACGCCGTATCAAACAAATTGGCCCCTCCCATTACATTCTATCAACCGGGGTAAGACCCAACAAGGTCATACCGTTGTAGAGCACCTGTCTAGCAGCAGCGTAAAGCGCCAATCTCGCGACGGCCAAGTCCTCCTCCTGACCCGCAACCCAGAGAATGTCGTAACAAGACGAGACCTGGTGGGTCAACTTGAACAAGTAGGTAACAACAGTCGAAGGCTCGTGGGTCTTTAACGCGTTGCGCAAGACGTCTGGGTATTGCGACAAGATACGCACCAACATCTCGGCGCACGGCTCGGTCAATAAGTCGAGGTTGGCCCCAACCAACTTCTCGGCCGGGATCTCGGACTTTCTCTCGACGGAACGCAATCTGGAGTGTGCGTACTGCAAGTACGGACCGGTGTCACCCTCGAAAGAGGTCATTCTCTCCCACTTGAATTCATAGTTATTGACTCTCTTGGCCTGCATATCCTGGATCATGACAGCGGAGACACCGACAAGATCGGCAACCTTCTCCGGATCGGGAATCTGCGCATACTTGGCCTCATTCGTCTTCATAACCTCGTGCATAGCTTCCTTGGTCTCCTCCAAGATGTTGTCCAAGAAGACAACGGTCCCCTTACGGGTCGACATCCCCAAGACCATCCCGAAGTTGACGTGCTCCAACTTGCTGGCCCAGTCAAAGCCCATCTGCTTGAGGATCTCGAAGAACTGTGCGGTGTGCAAATCCTGCTGCGACGCGATGACGTAAATCATTTTGTCAAACTTGTACTTCTCGTAACGTTCAATGGCGCCACCAACATCACGGGTGAGGTACAACGACGTCCCGTCGGACTTTTGCACAAGACACTTGCCCAACTTCTTGTTGAACTTGGTGAGATCGATCAACTTAGCGCCCTTGTCTTCAACGAGCAAACCCTTCTCCTCAAACAAGTCAGTGGCTTCCTTCATCTTCTCGGCCGAAACCTGTGACTCACCGGCGTACACGTCGTAGTGAATGTTAAGACGCGCGTAAGTGTCGATGTATCTTTCAATGGACAAGTCTCTGAAGCGCTTCCAGATCTTGAGAGCGGCCTCGTCACCGTCCTCCATTCTCTTGAAGTAGGCTCTGGCCTTCTCGTTGGTGGATTCTTCTGGCGCAACGGAATCGCCCTCCGCAGTGATATCCTGGTTGATCTTAACATAGACCTCGAATAAGTGGTTGATGGGGTCAGTGCTGAGCGTTTCCTCGCTACCGTAGCGCTCGAACCCGACGGCGAGCAAACCAAACTGCTTCCCCCAGTCGCCCAAGTAGTTCATTCTGGTGACATTCCAGCCGCACTTTTCGTACAAGTTAGACAAGAACCCACCGATGATGGTGGATCTGAGGTGGCCTGCGTGGAACGGCTTGGCAATGTTTGGCGAGGAAAACTCGATAATCACCTTCTTGTTGGCCCCCAACGGCGCGGACCCGTACGCCGCGGTTCTGGTCAACACATCATTGACAACCACATTGTAGAGGAATTTTGGCGCAGAGAAGAACTGGATAAACGGTCCCTGCGCTCTAACCTCAGAGAGGAACTCGGATTTGGGGAACTCAGCCGCCCACTTCTCCGCCAACTCCGCCGGCTTGGCGCCCTTCACGCGAAGGCGGGGGATGGCGATGATCAAGTCACCCTTGTCCATGGTGCTAGGCCAGTCCAATGCTGGATAGATGAGCGAAGCGTCAACCCCAGAGACCTTGGCGAGCTCTTCGGTAACAAAGTTTCTCAACAAATCAATAGTGTTGTGGTCTGGAAGCGAGCCCTCGAAGGAGGCCGGCAGGGTAAGACCGAGCGCGGAAACTCTGGAAGTGATGGATTCAACAGACATGGTGTGGTGTAATCTTGGGAAGTTGGGGAGGATGGGTCTTCGAAGAAGCGTGGCGAGTCTGATAAAGCGCATTGCAGAACAAGGATGACAGCAAAAGTGACGGCTGAAAAAGTCTGACTCAGAGATAAAAATTTTCGCACGTGACTCTGACCGAGAGCAAGTGCGTAGCATGGGCTTAAATGATGGGTTGCGGAATGTCATAAATTCCCGTGGACAGTCTCGGAAAAAGCGGAGCGAATAAAAGACATAACCCCTTTTTTTTGAAATCTATCGGATTGGTTTTATAACTGAAAATTATGACAGTATAATACTGTCGTGTTAAGCGTAAAAGCCCTGGTTACATGTAGAACCGGCTATTGAGAGGTAGGGTTGGCACAGCTCCCGGTTGGCCAGACATGTACTTCCGACAAAGTGCCCGGAGAGGATAAAAGAAAATAGTCGTAGGTATGGAAGTTGCAAAAATATGACTTTTATAGCATATTTTCTTTAGTTCGTCAAGCTGTGGTAATTTGTGAGCATACATTGAGTGGGAAACAGCGGCGGGCCACCCTCATTATTCCCTAGGAATTTTTTATATTATTAGGACGATTTTGTCTACCTTTAATCAGGGGTGAATTACTTTAAAACTTTTAAGAGCTGGTGTTTTAGCAATGATCTTGTATCTCTTGTACTACTCGGAGATTTGCCGTACAACATAAAAGCAAGGGACTGGATTCCCATGAAACCGGCTGTAATCCTCATCTGTGATGGGTTTGTAAATCCAGGACCATGGAAATTCTACTTTGTTTTATACTGTACTTTAGCCCATAAATTAGTGCTCTTCTCCTATATTAAACCATGTTTGACAAAAAATTCTAGTTTCAAAACTCTCCCGGCAAGCTTTGGGAGCGAGAACCCAAATTTGTACCAGTTATGTCGCTTTGTGCTTGCATATGCGCTTAGAGCATACTACGTACAAACCAATGCTTTAGGCAGATACTCCGATACTTGAACAAATATCTTGAATCATAACAAATAAGAATGTCTATTATCTAACACGATTCGTTGCTACAAAGTTACGCCTGTACGATTGGATCACAACCGCACGTTTCGGAGATTAACAATCAGATAGTTCTCCACCAAACTGTCTCCCAAACTTTTATACTCCGACACCTATTACACCGCTCCGGCTTTTGAAGTGAGGCAGAGGTTTGATACTCAGATAAGTGCCGCAATAGATACCCACTTCCTGGTTGAGACCGATTTAAAGATGGATTCGAGGAGTTTGAGCCTTCCCTCTTTCCAAACCCTAACCCGGGAACTTCCAAATATATCTCCAGAATTTGGCATTGACCCTCTTGATACAGGTACCAGGGATAATATATCTCTCGGTCTTTTGCTAGCTACACCTCACCAGAATAAAGTCACCAGAATCCAAGAGGCAAACCCCCAGATCGCTCGCCCCTTCCCCCGAGACCTTGAACTATTTAATGGTACAAAGAGGTTCCAAATGCATCGGGCAAAGGAGGGAAATGCATACCCAAGACTACGATCGTGCATGTTTAAACCCCTAATCCCACGAGATTCATCTGGTAGAGAACAGACTCCACCATCAAGTACTAGTGGGAGATCATACACCCTTCTCTTAAGTGAGTACAAACAGCTTGTGAATCTTTATACGAGGCTTGCCAGAGATTCACGAAAAGCTTTGGAGAATACCACCGCGACTATACTAGACCTTCAGAGCACTTCTAGGTCTAGTAAAGAGGCTTTGCAAGCTCAACTGAAAGTTAATGATAAAGTCATATTGGCCCTAGTTAATCTCAGAGATACGCTACAAACGTTTCCTAAGCAGAAAGACTTAGAACTACAGGAGGTAGACCAGGCATTGGGTATGATTATAAACTCCCTCTCATACGGGAACGACCCCTCATCTATAAACCCTGAGCCCAAGGAATTAATGTACCGTACCACCATAAACCATGCAGACATGAGAGATGACCAAAAAGACAAGGGAAAGGCAGCTGATTCGATATCTGAAGAAATTCCAGCTCTTAGACTCAGCTTTGAGAACCAAGCTCAATATTCTTTGTTTGAAGATACTACAACCAAAGCCCTGGAGTTTCACACCGAGGACGGAGGGAAACTTGATGTTGATACTGATTGTGAAAGCTTGGTATTCGACGACAATGGAATCATCAGAGAATATTCTTATTTTGTGCTTCCGTGGTCAAGCACCTATACATAAACTTGTCTTTAGTAAATTCTATCAATATATATATTAAAAGTTTACTGTAGAGTGGGAAATTTTGTCGACTAGAATCCCGACGGTATTTCTGTCATGGCCAAGTTGGTAAGGCACCTCGCTGCTAATTAAATCACCTGTTCAGATCTGGCTGAAGCCAATTTTTTGCCTAACCCGTTTTTAGAATTAATTTTCTGCTCCGATGTAAAAGCGTTGTTTAGAAGCTAGATACCGAATCGGCCGAGCAAAGGGTTTAAGCAAATCGCATATGCATAATGTCTTACCACACCCGCAGCATGCAGCTCGACCTTCCTCATAGATAATGCCTCACACAGAACCAGGCCCATCCCCATGCATTCATCTGCTTCAAATGTCTCAGTTTGTGCAGCGTTATTATGCTATCGCTGTCATCCGTATAGTAATGGTGGGGCTTACGGAACCAGCTTTAGGCGTACCAATAAATGAACATGCCACGTAACCCCAGGTGTATGTAATGACGCACCAAACTGAGCGGTCTCACCTTTCACGGGGTAAATCCCCGAGCACGGAAATAGCCCTCGACCAAGCTTGAAAAATAGCAGATAAATGGTCCCGGGATCCAAGATTTAGGCGATAAGGCTGGATCCCAGACCCTCTGTGCGCATGGCCTTCCAGTAGTTTCCGGATCGTTTACTATGAACCACTTTGCATATGCAAGCAATAATCTTAATATAACAGCCCTCGGGTATTCAACTGGCGTATTTTACAGCAGCAAAGCAAACGCCTCCTCTATATATACCCAACCGCCCGCACCAGGAAGCTGCCACTGGCTATAGAGTGAAATAGATCCCAGTTTGAAGTGCGAAGCGTTTTCCCAAACTGTATTACTTTGCGCTGGGAAGCCCAAACATGAAACAAACTCCGAAGTTGGTGCGCCTATCGTCCTTGTCCGATGAGCAGGCCTTGGATACCAGCTTGGTCAAAAAGTCGTTTGAATTGTTTATCCACAATCTGCTCTCGGGTGTCACAGGGAACTGGAACCCTGAACATCTCCGAAAATTGATCAAGTTCCACGTTCTGCGGGATGTTGATTCGGTATCCATCTGCTTCTCCGAACTAGATGCTGCAACTCGGTCCGAGTTGGCTCCAGGCGACAAATCCGTCATCTCATGCATCTATTGCCAAGATTTGGACGAGTTTATCGTAACATCGGTAGATATTATCCGCCTCTTGGAGCATATAGTGGATGAGAAAACCTTCAAGGTGGAGGAAAAAGGTCGGATCAGAAGAAACTTGCAAATTCTCAACCCCACAACCGTTTCGTCTAAGGATCCGGTCTTACAGACATTCTACAAGCAGTTGATGGGTATGAAAAATCCTAGAACATGCAATATACAGAAAAAGATCAAGGTATTCCCCTGGTCCTCATTGAGCCTGGCCATCAAAAAGGTTCTATCCAAATACGCCATCGTAATGCGACCAGGAGAGCTACTAAAAACCGGAAACCTTCAACAGGAGTATGTTTCGTACATTCTGCCAGTAAAAAACTCGGTATTGGATAACGCTGCAAGAATGCCGATGATCTCCCCAGAGTCTCTGCTCTATCTTGAAGACCTGTTGGAGCAAATTCAGGCGTATCAGCCACATTTTTTACCACAGGCTCAATCCCCAGAGATAAACATGATCCCCCTCTCGTACACAATGGATACTCCCATGTTCCCAATGTCCCAGACGATCCCTCATACCAGTATCTACCAGGGTTACCCCGACTTGGCAATTTCAGGGGAGGAGCCGTCGTTTGTGTCCCAGTCAATGCCAACGATTCCCGTAGTTCTTCATCCCGACGATTTCAGTTTTCCTCCAATATACTACCACGATCCACAGATATTGTCAAAGGAGACATTTGCGTTGGACTACGGAGTTTTCGTCCCGCCGAGACCAGACGAGGCGGTCGAGAAGTATACCTAGGTATATACACCATTTACAAGAGCAACTATCATTAAAGTTTATAATGCGCTTGATATATGCAAATAGTTGGCTATAGATATTTGGAGAGGTGGGCCCCCTCATGTACCTTTTTCGGTGGTCGGTTCCTTTTTAAAATTACGTATGAACCATCTGCATAAATTACCTATATATTTCTCAATTGTTTTATGCGCTCAGCATCAGATCAAGCTGAAAGCGGAGTTTAGATCTCTGTTTTAATAATCTTCCGTTGTGGAGCTTTCGATTTAACGTCATTCATTTTCCTAGTAAATACCCGTGATACCGTGTATTACGCTTATCCGGATATCTCCATCGCCCGACAATCCACGTCAAACGTACCTATCAGTGAGCCCTGGTAGAAATGCAAATCGTTGATATACCAAAACAGCTTACTAACACTTATCCATCACATACAGTTCATCCTATAATAACTATTCTAGATATCCATACAAACACTCTACTCATACCCCAAGAATTTTTTTTTTTTATAAAATTCGCCCCTAATAGCATATAACACTGTCACCCTTTTTTCGTGATCATGTGCACGTGGGCTCCCACCGCGTGCGCGCCCTTCAGATGCATCCCCAGTCGCGCATAGTCGTGTCGCGCTCGGCGATTTTTCTCTACTTCAAGTTTACTTCTTGATCCATCATCACAAGTTCAACCACCGCATCACCAACAATGTCACTGGCGCCGATCGAACAGCACTACAGTGTAAGTACCCCCATAGAAACGCCCCAAGCCAATACTAACTTCCAGGCTGCGCTCGCGACGCTCGCACGGTTGAAGGCGCACCAGATGAAGGACGTCGCGCGTGCGATAGGGTTGGCGACACTGGGGCGCAAGGCCGACTTGGCAGAGCGGCTCCAGGCCCATGTGCAAACAGCATACGCAAAGGCGGATGTTGCACTCGTCGAGGCCGCACATACACTCTTCCACCAGGCAAGTTCCGGTGCACCGCTCCCTAACCACCAGGACTTGTACAACGCGCCCCGCGCCGGGCGTGCACTTCCAGTGGGGTACGCGGCGGGGCCTTCGCACTCCACAAACATCTCACAAAGTGGGGTTCAGTACGGCGTCGCCGCAACCGTGGCCCCGCCGGCAGCACCCGCCCCCAAGAAGCGCATGCCCGCGCCCGTTGCGCCTGCGATGTGCTTTCAGCCCAGCCCGTTCTACCGCCTCAAGCGCATGCTCCATGGTTCACCCATCCTCGCGGTGAGCGCGCCTGAAACCCGTGGCACCGCGAAGCTTGACTTTGTCATCAGCACCCAGGAGCAAGAACTTCTCGCTGCAGGGCCGCATGTGCAACTTCTCGCGTTCTGCGCCGCACGCGTCGCTGGCGCGCCACACGCGCTCCTCCAGTTCCCACACCCGCTCGAGCTTCACCTCAACGGGGAACTTATCAAGGACAACGTAAAGGGAATCAAGAACCGTCCGGGGACATCGCGCCCCGCGAACCTCACACCATACTACCGCGCAGCTCCGTTCACCAACGTGTTTGAAATGGTCTACGCCTTCACCAAGACCGATTTCTACGTGTCGTTCTACATCGTCGAGCGCTTCAGTGCGGAACATGCATTGGCGCAGGTCACCATGCGCGCGCCAATACCTGTGCAGCACACCGTGCAAAAAATCCGTGGTGAGTATGCGAACAGCGACGACGAGATCACCGAGGTGTCTGCGACCTTGTCACTCAAGTGTCCGCTCCTGTACATGCGAATGCAGACGCCGTGTAAGTCATTGTTCTGCCAGCACATTCAATGTTTTGATGGACTCTCGTTCTTGCAGTTACAGGAGCAGGTTCCCACGTGGCAGTGTCCGATCTGTTCGAGTCAAATCAAGTATGAAGACCTCGCGGTGTGTGAGTATATGGGTCAGGTGTTGAAGGAGACGGGAGAGGACGATGAAGTGGTGGATTTGGCTGAGGATGGAGGGTGGAAGGTTAGACGTGAAGCGAGTGAGGGGGGCGACACGAAACCGAAGGAGCTGGGCCGAGCGAAAACAGATGCAAATAATGCAAATAATGCAAATAGTGCAAATAAGGATGCAGATATGAAGGATGAGTTACCAGCGGCGAATGCGGATATGAGTATTTCAAAGGACATCGAGGTGATTTCATTGGATAGCGATAGTGAGGAGGAGAGCGAGCCGGTTGTAAAGGCAGAGCCGAAATCAGCTGCTAAGTCGACCGTGACGCTAGCTGAGAAATCCGAAGAGAGGACAAAACCGGTGTCAAATACTCACGATCTAAATGAAGGTCCGACCTCGGATGCGGCCGTCAATACAAATGTGGTGTTGACGACCGAGCGCCCGGCACATGAGAATACAATAAATTCAAATCCTACTCCATCTCCAAATTCAAATTCTATTCCAGGCGCTAGCATGCCTCTCCCAAGCCCGTACCCAACTACGAATGCGGCCATCAGCCCCCATCGATACGTGACTGCAAACCCTTCACATGCTGCTGTTTCCCAGACTGATGCCCACCCGACTGCGTATCCACATCAAACTCAATATCCCAGCCCTCACTCTAATGCGAGTGTGGCGGATCCGCAACGCAATCCCCACCCTCAAAATGTTAGCCAGAGTCATTCTCACCAAAGTGCAAAACGGACCCATTCTCACCACTTGCACAGCATAAATCCTCTGCAAAGCTCCGGAAATCCCCAAACAATACCAGCCCATACCCATCAATCGGCTACCAACGGGCACGAGTTTCCATTAGATTCCTCCCAGCTGCCGCTGCCGGGTCTTGCCGACCAGTATGTATCGTTCAGAAATCTCCACCAACGGCAGCTTCAAGCGCTGGACAGCCTCAATGGCATTCCCTCGCATATTCCGTCATTGCAGATTCGTGTGGGGCACACGCAAATCGTGCCAAATGGCAGAACTCCTCAGCCGTTGAGTCGGCCACCTCTTGGGCCCAAGGCTGTGAGCTCTCAGGCTCAACCAGCGATTGTGAACAAGCGCGTTCTGATGAATTCAGATGTGAGCCATAAACCTCTGAATTCAAAAGCTTCTACAAATACTTCCACAAACACTTCCACGGGCCCTATCACTAATGCAACCGTAAATACCACTGCAATTGCAACTGCAGATGCAAATGCAAATGGCTTTGAAGGTTCGCCTTCTCCCCCACAACGCATCTCGTGGCTCTTCCCGCCGGTACCAACGCCGCCTACGCGAACTGTCTCTCTTACGGGCGGGACCATACCCCGTGGCCCACCCGCCTCGCTGCCCAGCCTTTTCAGAGCTAACACGTCTAGCTCGCTCGCGCCGTCGCACGACGCGACGCGCAGCTTGTTCCGTAACACAGACGCGGTGCCACAAGCAAGCGTACCAAACGGATCGTTAGGCCCACGGCCAAGCTCGGGACCACCGCCGCTTAATATTAGCGGTTTCACAGGTCAGGACGTGTTGGGTATCACCCGTACAGAGCCGGAGAAGCTCCCAGGGACAGCTTCAAAGTTTCCGGCCTTGAAGATTCCTCCGAAATTCGTCGTTCCGGGAGCTACTCCGGTGACTACAGCTACAAACGGTACTTTGAGTCTGTCGAACGCGAAGAATTCCGTAGCGAGTCTCTCCTCGGGTTCTCCAGTGGCAAGTTATTCTGCGGTCTCCCTTTCGACGATCAAAGCTGTACAGTATCAACTGACCGCTAAGAACGTTGTTCAACCTGTCACTAACTCTACGGCCAATTCCACCCAAAAGATGACCCCAATGGCCAACATATCCGATACTCTCCAAAACGCCACCACCCCGGTTGGTACCTCCCCGAAGATTCCCACTCCGGCAAGCCCTGCCCAAGAAGCTACCACTCCTGGTGTGACTCTAAAGGTATCCACTCCCGTCAATATGGTTCAGCCTTTGAGTTCCCGGTCTGTAACCTCTATTACCCAAAGTCTGGCCTCGTCCAATCAGGTACCACAACTACTGGCCGTCCCTCTGACGACTCACTCCTCTTCCACCCCAACGCTTGAGTCGTCGCCATCCCTCCCAAAGCTCAACCTTTCGTGGTCTGAAAACAACGTGCTCCAGCTGGCGTCGCGGTTCTCCCCGTCACGCTTTGGCCCAGTGCCAGACGACAGCACACCCCTTACCAAATTGTATCTCAACGGTGCTTCGAAACAGTCCACGTTCCAGAAGTATCCCCACATTCCCGTCATTCCACGATTCAAAAGTAGCTTGGTCGAGTCGCCGAAGCGGAAGCACTCTGAGGAGGCGCATTCACCAGCAAAGCGCACTCCCGTGGCTGGTCTGGATGATGTTGAGGTGATTGACTTGTGCTGGTCCGATAACGAGTGAACTGGTATTGGTAGCAAGCGATACGTTAGGTAACCAATGAGGGTTAATTACCTTGTCACGTTGTCGGTTTATATACGAATAAATGGCTAACATAAAAAGGTTAGGAATAGCTCGAGTCGCACATATGGTCGTTGTACTAGTGGCGTTAATGTTGAAACCCCCCACCTGTAAAATTCGTTTAGAGTATCCGGGAATGAAAGACATTAATGGGGGGTAAGGATTTATCTCAAAATTGAGTAAGTCCCTGGGACATAAGTCCGAGCACTCGTAAATTACGCGGATGACCTATAAAGGGCCGTTATGATAATCACACGAATGACCTATGGAGGATCTTTATGGGAAATAAGACGCTGGTATCGAACTGGAGGTGGAAAACTACAACGGCCAAAATTTGACACTTGTCTCTGGTAACTCACATGTCGATCCTAGGCCCTCACTTCATTTGCTCTTTCTTAACTTTTTGATAAACCTTCATTTCTCTATAGTAACTCTCACACAAATGGAATCAAGGTTCCGGTGCTCTTTTTAAATACATTGTACCTCTGTCCAAAAAACTGGACCAAATACCGCTCCTCCACTTCAATGCGCCTGTTGAAGAAGCGCCAGAGAACTACGGCAAACCCGGCCAAACACACTGGGTTGAGCAACATGAGCTGGGTCCCAATAGCCCACCAGTAGAACCCTGCATAGCTTGGGTGTCTAGAGAAACGGTACACCCCATCGGTTACCAAGGTATGGCTGTTCTTCTTCTCCACGGCAATGAGGTGGGAGAAAGATCTCCCGGCCGTGGCCATCGCCTGGTACCGCAACACCTGGCCCGCCACCACCAAAACAAACCCAATAGTTGTCACATAGGGGTGGGAAATCTTGAACTGGGGGAAAAAGTAGTGTTCGATCATAGCCTCAGCGAGCGCACAGGCGTGAGCAGCGGTGTAGGCCAGGCCATTGGAGTACAATAAGAACGAGTCCGCCACCACCTTGTCCGCGTTGTATCGGGCCGTCACATAGTATTCTAGAAAGTGGAAAACAGCTAGGAAGCCTAGGTAGAGATTCAAAGTCTTAAAACGGAAGTAAGGAAGCAGCGTGATGGATACTCCGCAGACAAGACCGAGGATGGCAGCCGTAAGCGACACCTCATCGAGCGGATTCTCCCTGATATCGGGGTGGACATCAAGGTCTATTTCAGATTCACCGTCACTCATATAAAGGAAAGTGTGTCGGTGCTAAAAGGATATATTTGTCAATGTTAAAAGGATATGTTTATCGATGTTAAAAAGGGGAAATATGGCGAGCAGCTCGGGAGAATATATACCCAGACTGGATCAAGACAGTTCCAAATGCAATTGCCTAATCGGGATGGCCAATGAGCCGCAGGGCTCGTGACGATTTTCACTCTCCCGGGATGAGGACGATTTCTACACTGCTAATACGGCGATACTATCAACGGGATGCAATTACTATAATACAAAAGGGGGGTGGATATGGAGTTTAAGCAAGGGGTCAGCCACGGACAATGGGGAAGGCTTGCAACCGCGAAAACTCCGCATTAGGCAGTGGAAAAGAGGGGAGGTCTCTAGTTGTTGGTTCTAAATCTGTAGCCACAGGATGTACACGTGTAGAACACCGTAGCACCTTCATCGGCGGACCTGAGTTGCAAGGTGTGGTACTGCATTTCCTCGTTCCCGCACTGTGGACACTTCTCCTTGATGGTGGCACCCTCTTCCAACTCACCGGATTCCAAGGAGGTCTTTACCACCGATTTCTTGGATTTCAAAGCCGAGGGAAAGGCATCGTCCGCAGACTTCGTCACGACGCTCAAGTTTTCAAAGTTCTTGGAATGGTACGCCTTGCCACATAAAGCACAGTCCAAGGTCTTCTTGTCGGTAACAGAGTCGAGCAAGTTACCGCAATCGGTGCAGAAAATCAAGGAGCCAACAACGGACATAGTAAGATGGGGTGGGTATAAGATGTGATCCAAACTATCTCGTTTGTTAAATTTTTTTAATCTTTTTTTTTTTCACCTGTATGTAAGCGGTCGGTTGGGAAACGACTTACAGGGTAAGCCAGTCAGGGCATTGCCATCCGTAGGAATGCATCTTGATCCACAACTTGTAAATATGAATATGGAGCTCATATTGATATCAGAGTTTTATGAGCTTCCCCCAGAGTAGTCCCTCCGGTATCTGTAAGGGGGAGATCTAGAGCTCAATGAAGGTTTGGACAGGTCCTGCACATAGGTCTTGACTAATACACGAACTAGTTTCTGGCCGAACTTTCGTTAATTTTAATGAATTGTAAATTCGGAACTGGTGTTAGGGTCGACTTAAAGTTGGCTAAAAATGTCTAAATATATTTTTACCGAGATTATTGATCCAGGTAAGCATCCCGGATTGTCGGTATGAAAAGCTAATTAGGTGTAACAGAGGTACGACCGTATATCTCGCCCCAGAATATTTACAGCATACCATGGTCTCCTTCCGCGTTATGGAACTTTGTCAAACCCTCTTCAAAATAACAACATTAAGCCATGAAACGTTTTTGCCCATTTAGTTGATGTCATCGCCAGCTACGCCTTCTCCCCACAGAACCTCTAAGAAACCACCGCCCGGAACAGCACCTACTAACACAGCACCAGAGATTGCGGCCAAAGCTTCTGGTACCAGCTGTATTTATTCTCTGATGACTTCCCCTCAATAAAGTTTCTCCAATATAGCCTTTCTGGCATATCCGCCGGTTTTCAAACCCTCCAACTATTCCTTCCATGGCCTTCTTATCACGTGCTCCTGCACGTGAGATTTACGTCCACGAAAAATTCACGCGCTGGTGGCACAATAAAACAAATCAAGCCGCAAACACCCTCCGATCTGCTCCTGAACCCATAAAACACACGCTACAATGGAGATGCCAGACCTTTCCAACGCCATTATGGCGCAAGATGAGATGGGAAGACCGTTCATTATTGTGCGCGACCAGGGGAAGAAGAAGAGAGCGCACGGGATCGAAGCCACCAAGTCGCACATTCTTGCCGCCCGCGAGGTTGCCAGCATCGTCAAAACGTCCTTGGGCCCGCGCGGGTTAGACAAGATCTTGATCTCAACCGACGGTGAGATCACCATCACCAACGACGGTGCAACCATTCTTTCGCAGATGGACTTGGACAACCAGATTGCCAAGTTGCTCGTGGAGTTGTCCAAGTCGCAGGACGACGAGATCGGAGACGGGACCACCGGTGTGGTTGTACTTGCGGGCGCACTTCTCGACCAGGCGCTCGAGCTTATCGAGAAGGGGATCCATCCGATCAAGATTGCCAATGGGTTCGAGGAAGCCTGTAAGATCGCTGTCCAGCAGTTGGACGACATTGCCGACACCATCGATATCCAGAATGAAGCTAACGACACCAACTTGTTGAAGGCGGCCAAGACCTCTTTGGGGTCCAAGATCGTGTCCAAGTGTCACGACCAATTCGCGCAGATGGCGGTGGACGCCGTGTTGACCGTCGCGGACTTTGAGCACAAGACCGTGGACTTTGAGTTGATCAAGATGGAGGGTAAGGTCGGGGGTGCCCTCAAGGACTCCCAGTTGATCAAGGGGGTGATTCTAGACAAGGACTTTTCGCATCCACAGATGCCAAAGCGCGTGGAAAATGCCAAGTTGGCCATCTTGACCTGTCCGTTCGAGCCACCAAAGCCAAAGACCAAGCACAAGTTGGATATCTCGTCGGTGGATGAGTTCAAGAAGTTGCAGACTTACGAGCACGAGGTGTTTACCCAGATGATCCAGCAGGTGAAGGACTCCGGCGCCAATATGGTGATCTGTCAATGGGGTTTCGACGACGAAGCCAACCACTTGTTGTTGCAGAACCATCTCCCAGCCGTCAGATGGGTCGGTGGAAGCGAGTTGGAATTGATTGCTATCGCCACCAACGGGAGAATTGTGCCAAGGTTCGAGGACTTGACCACAGCGAAACTCGGTGAGGCCGGTGTGGTGCGCGAGTTGGAGTTTGGGACCACCCGTGACCGCATGTTGGTGATTGAAAACTGCGCCAATTCTAAGGCATGTACTGCCTTCATCAGAGGGTCCAACAAGATGATCGTAGACGAGTCGATCAGAGCATTGCACGACTCCATCTGTGTGGTGCGTAACTTGATCAAGGACAACAGAGTCGTGTACGGTGGCGGTGCTGCCGAAATCACCGCCTCCATAGCCGTCTCGGAAGCTGCCGACAAGCAGAGCGGGATCTCGCAGTATGCGTTCCGCGCGTTCGCCAACGCATTGGATGCGATTCCTATGGCGCTTGCCGAAAACTCTGGGTTGGACCCGATCAACGCCTTAACCGCCATCAAGGCCAAGCAGGTCAAGGAGCGGAACCCGAACTTGGGAGTGGACTGCTTGGGCAAGGGCACCAACGACATGAAGGAGTTGTTTGTCATTGACCCGCTCATCGGCAAAAAGCAGCAGTTGATCTTGGCCACTCAGTTGTGCAGAATGTTGTTGAAGATCAACGACGTGATCATCAGCGGAAAGGACGAATACTGATAGAGGAGCCAGCTCCGTGTACTTATAATTTTTTTTTGTTATCAGCCTTACATTGTGAAGCAATGCGGGTAAATTCTTGTGAGAAACGAGCCTGTAGATTGCGGTCTAGGGTTGATCTATTTGGTCGCTACATATTCCAATACGATTTGTGGTGCTGATGGCGCTCATGGTACATCACAAGCTCAAACTACACCAATGGAGTGTTTGGTTATTGGATCAACACTATGCGGGGCAATGTTCGTATTAGGGTCTAGGGCTTTACTTGGTTATACTAAACGACAATGATTGTAGAAACCCGAAACCGTCAAAGAGGCAAATGAGTTGCAATACACCTTAGTGTTTCTCCTTTCTGGTTAAACCCTGCATTTGTAAGCCATTAAAATTTTTGCTTTTGTTAAGCCCCTCGGCCATTTTGTTCTATGAACGTTCCCTGTATATATAGCCAAGCATGTACACAGCCTTGATGCCGAGCGTCCCGAGGCTGGTTCTTCGCGATACAACTCATAATTATTACTTCTCATGGGTATTTAGAAATTTCTGAAGCTCAATAACCTGCCTTTATGAGTAATTTACTGTTATTTTTAAATACAGAATATGTAGACTTATAATCCCACTATCAATCCTTGCTTGAGCATCACCAGCATAGCCTGCGCCCTCCCGATCTTACTCTACGACTTATTCATATGTTTGACAAGTGTATTTAAATACCTAATCAGTAGAGAACTGGCCGGTGCTTCCCAACCGCAGTGATTAGCCGATTCAGCTCACCGTATATTGTTTCCAATATTATTCACCCACCGTCTGTTCTTCTCTTGCGCCCCGGTCGTGTCTCACCCACCCCCCCTCCCAGTCTCTTGTCAGGCTCTATCGGATAACGTATTTCTGCCACCCCGTCAACCTCTCTACCACTCCCAATTGCAACCACAACCAAAATGGCATCAATCAACACACCAGCCGTGGTGATGGGTACGTACGATTACCAGCCTATTATCAATCAATACTAACATCCCGCAGACAAGTACGTGGTAGTGTCCCTTTTTGGCCTTATCGAGGCATCCCAATGGCACTTACTAACCCCTTTAGCGGTACCGGTTTAACCAAGTTGGGTTTGGCCGGTAACGATTCGCCATCCTTCGTTTTCCCAACCACAATTGCCACACGCTCGACCTCTGCGTCGTCCAAACCTTCGAAGCTGACGTACCTCTCGGGGAAATCGTCCAACGTGGCCTCCAAGCGCGGCACAGAGGACTTGGACTTTTTCATCGGTGACGAGGCGCTCAGTGCGGCGAATGGCCCGAACTATAGTTTATCGTATCCAATTAGGCACGGGCAGATCGATAATTGGGACCACATGGAGCGGTTCTGGGAAAGCTCCATTTTCAAGTACTTGAGATGCGAGCCGGAAGACCACTACTTCCTCATGACCGAACCGCCGTTGAATCCGCCGGAAAACAGAGAAAACTTGGCGGAAATCATGTTTGAGTCGTTCAACTGCGCCGGTTTATATATTGCGGTGCAGGCGGTGTTGGCGTTGGCGGCCTCCTGGACGAGCTCCAAGGTGCAAGACAGATCGTTGACCGGGACGGTGATCGACTCTGGTGACGGTGTGACGCACGTTATTCCCGTGGCTGAAGGCTATGTCATTGGCTCTGCAATCAAAAACATCCCGATTGCGGGACGTGACATTACGTTGTTCATCCAGTCGCTCCTCAGAGACAGAGGCGAGTCCGATACCTCGTTGAGAACGGCCGAGAAAATCAAGCAGGACTTCTGCTACGTGTGCCCGGACATTGTCAAGGAGTTCACCAAGTTCGACTCGCACCCAGACAAGTTTGCGCAGTATATGGTAGAGACGACCCAGCAGCGGAAGGTGGTGGACGTGGGCTATGAGCGTTTCCTTGCTCCGGAAATCTTCTTCAACCCAGAAATCGCGTCCTCTGACTTTCTCACCCCACTTCCAACCGTGGTCGACCAAGTCATCCAGGCGTCGCCGATCGACGTTAGAAAGGGCTTGTACAAGAACATTGTGCTTTCCGGGGGTTCCACCATGTTCAAGGACTTTGGGCGCCGTTTGCAGCGCGACATCAAGGACATTGTCAAGGAGCGCATCCAGTTAAGCGAGAGATTGTCCGGCTCCAAGAGCACCGGTGTGGATGTGAATGTTATTTCCCACAGAAGACAGAGAAATGCCGTCTGGTTCGGAGGCTCCTTGTTGGCCCAAACTGCAGAGTTCAAGAGCTACTGTCACACCAAGCAGGACTACGATGAGTACGGGCCAAACATTGTCCGTAACTTCTCCTTGTTTGGTGTACCATAGTTGTACGTGTACACATTTTGATTTGAACTATAATTTGTAGGTAAATAGAGGAGATGCATATCCAGTCAGTGGGAGCTGATCGGAAATAGGGCACTAGCGCTGATCTTGGGGAGTTACGCATTGGCGAAGCTCAAAGGTTAATTGTCGTATCAAAAGATATGCATGTGATACACAATAGCTATCACCCAAGACAGTGTGTATGCACCCATACTTCGTATTGTCATGTTGAAGTTTTGTTTATTCTGTTCTAATAAAGCCCATTCTGGCCCCCATCTTATACCCTTAATGGCCGACCGCGCCGCACTGCGCTTCCAGCCTGTAGATTAGCGGTACAACATTACATAAAAATTTCCACCCTCTATTTTCTATTCTTGTCAAACAGGTAGCTATGCCCAAACTTCTCGTCTCGGAGCAGCTTTCCACGCTTATATCTCAATCTAACCTTTCCGAAGATGCTAAGGAGGCATTGAAGACCAAAGACTACATCACCCACAGTGAGCTCTTTGAGTTTTACAAATCCCAATCGCCAACACCAGCCTTCGCTGACTTGTTGAAATCCACATCCGTATACAAGCCGGCAAAGATTGTTGAAGAGGTTCCAAAGACTAAAGAGTACTTGAAAACAATGCGGCAGTTGCGTTTGAGAAAGGAAGAGGAAGACTACCAGCGGTTGGTCAATCCACACGTCTCCACCTACGATCAGAACTCGCTCAGAGAGGACGCCCCACTTACCCCGGCGCAGGCAACCAAGGAGCTCAAATCCCAAATAACCACCATTATTAATATCTTGTTGAGCGTAGGCTCGGTGGTTTACGCGATTTGGTACTGGACCAACACTTCGTGGAAGTTGAACGACGCCTACAGGGTGCTACTATGCTTATTCTTTGGTATTCTTGTATTGGTGGCCGAGGTGGTAGTCTTCAACGGTTACTTAACCAAGATTGACGATGCAAAGAAGACGGAAAGGCGAAAAAAGGAGGTCAAAAGCGTGGTGGAGACGTATGAAATCGGCAAGCTGGTTTATAAGCAAAAGTAACTGGGGGAGGTGCCTGGCTTTTGCGAGCCCTCGTTATCTCCCAGTAACGGAGATAAGAGGAGGCGGCGGCTTCATATCTTCGAATGCTACGCCTCTCCTACGGTGCAGCGAGATTACGGCCAAGTCCCTAGAAATAGACGTTAGTGGTTGATGCACAACTAGTTCGCGGTAGTACTCACTCTAACATCAACGTCTTGTAGTAACTCCACTTGACGATGACCATGGCAATCCGCACAAAGTTGAAATTGGGCCATAGCACATCCACGAACTCAATCGTGGAGTTGTAGTTGGACTGCCACAACATAAAGTCGCTCAAACGGGTGTGGCCGCTGGTTCTGATCAAAATGTCCACATGGGGGGAGTCTGCGCCGAAATACATGTTGTCGTACAATACTTTCTGGTCAATTTCATCAATAGAGAGCTCACCCTTGTCCACTTTATGGAGCACGGTCTTGATGGAATTGGCGATGTCGTCGCGGGACGTGTATGGAAAGCAGACATTGAGGGTGTACGTATACTCCTTGGAGGAAGCATCCTCGATCCGCATGAGATCCGTGAGGATGTCCTCGGGAATCATACCCTTGTTTCCGATAATCCTGATTCTCAAGCCTTCCTTGCCCGTGAAGTTTCTATTCGTTAGTATTGCGGCTTGGAGAGGCCATAGGGGTAGTCTTACGAATCGTTTAAAGTCTGGAGCTTCTCCCTCAACATCCCAAATAAGGTATCGATTTCGGCCTTTGGTCGGTTGAAGTTTTCGATCGAGAAGGCATATACGGTGACGGTGTCGATTCCAAACTTGTACGATGCCTCCAAAACCTGCATCTGTTAGTGTTGTATAAAGAGATCTCACTGCAGTACTTACTTTAGCGAGGGATTGGGCCCCTGCGATGTGCCCGTCTTTCAATTGCAAGTTGTTTTGTTTGGCAAATCTTCTGTTTCCATCCATAATGAGTGCAATATGTTTCGGGACTGGGCCGGTTCGGATGATGTGGGTAAGAACCCGCTGCGCAAATTCGGCGGCATATTTCAAAAGGAACGAATGGTCAAAGGTGCGGAAAAGCCATGAACGGGTCATTTTACAGTGGTTCAAAGGTATGATTAGTTGGGCCTGGGATATTGAAAGGGTAACTGAATTAATGGAAAGAGAGTTAGTTAGAAATGGTAACGCGGCGGCTAATAAATAGCAAAACGGTTGCCTCTGCAAAACGGTCTCTTGTGGCAGGAACGCACCTCGTTACACGCGGTGGTATCCAGGACGACTCTGGTGCCATTTTCATGTGCAAAATTAGCACTGAGGCAATGCTTATCATAAAGGATTAAAATTTTGATCAAATGGAGCTATGTTTTATATATGGTAATTTGCGATAAATTTGGCTGGTCTGGAAACTTCTCCAGTTAAATTTTCGTAAGTTACAAACGTTAACGTGGTTTCTGTGTCTACTATTACCGCGTAGACTGAATATACTTAATTGGTTAATTGATTGGCTAAATCCTTGAAGTCTGGAGATTCAGTTCCTTATTTGACCATTTTCGATTAAGTGTTGATACTTTGTAATAAGCATCGTCTCAGTACTAATTTTTCATGTGAAAGTAGCCCTGAGTCGTCCTAGGATACTGCGTTTCCCATTATTCTATATTTCAATACCAAACCATAAAAAATATCCACCTCTCGGAGTAAGGGGTTAAGCTACGCTAAAATTACAATTAGTTGGAGCCCACTAGTGTAATCCCAAAATCTTTTGGTTATTTATACCATAGTCACTTACAAAACTGTTTCCACAGAGCTATCTGAAAAATGCGTACAAACACGCATCAGACAAGATTTGGTTACCCCTATATTCACAAGCCAAAGCATCTGAGGCGCATTAGTTATATATCCAACCCGATCCCCTTCCAACCTAGTATTTTCAGTAAATATCTTAACTTGCTCCTAAAGCATGTAATCATGGCTAAATATTTAAGTTGCGAATTATCGTCACTATGATTGCTACGGCCGATATAGCCACTCTTTGGTTTCCACACCGCCGATATTATGGTTTAGACGAATACAATTAGCTTCCTTAGCCTCCCGGTATATCACATGCTTTTCCTGGATGCCCACTTGGCTTCGAGTTCGTGTTATGCACCTGCTCGCGCCGCGTTACCTGCCAAATCGGGAAACTCCCATATACCCACAGATCCGGCAGACAAAACTTTAGCGCTACATCTGTCAGATCACACCAACCTCCTCATTTCAACCACCAATGTCCTCCAAGATGAATAGAAGACCGGTACCATCGTCCACCGTTTCTGCCTCCTCGGTAGCTACTGACAACTCAGTTTCGGACTCGCGCAAGCGCCAGTCGAGACGCGACGATGCGATCAGACGCAAAATCGAAAGCGACTTGAACAAGAAAAGACCCGTCCAGACGCCCACCAAGAAGCATAGAAAGGCAGATCCCGGTACGGTCTTATCCTTGAAACCATCCGAGCCGATCATCTGCAAGCCGTCTGCCACTGTCTACGAGGTGGCCCAGTTAATGAGCGCCAAGCGCGAGAACTGCATTCTTGTGGTTGATGAGTACGAGAACCAGTTACGCGGGATCTTCACCGCCAAAGACTTGGCATTCAGAGTCGTCGGAAAGGGCTTGAAGGCTACCGCCGTCACCATCGACCAAATCATGACCCCAAACCCCATGTGTGCCACCACCGCCACAGCCGCCTCGGAAGCCTTGAACTTGATGGTGCTGAAAGGCTTCAGGCACTTGCCGGTTTTGGACGACGTCAGTCGCATTGTGGGTGTGTTGGACATTACCAAGTGCTACAACGAGGCAATGGTGAAGTTGGAGCGGATGTACCAGTCGTCCAAGAAGTTGTATGACGCGTTGGACTCGGTCAACAGCGAGATGGGCATGGGCCAGCAGCCGTTAGAAGTTTTGAACTACTTTGAAAACTTAAAGACCAAGATGAACGGGCCCACGTTAGAGACGGTCCTTGATGAAAAGGCCGTTCCGGTGTACGTGAACGTCAAGTCTTCGGTCTACGAAGCCACTGTGTTGATGAAGGAGCACCACACGACCGCGGTTTTGGTCAGAGACGGTGACGACTCCCAGGTGAGCGGGATCTTCACCTCCAAGGATGTGGTTTTGAGGGTGATTGCCGCTGGGTTGGACCCGAAAACCGTCTCTGTTATCCGAGTCATGACCCCGCAGCCGGACGTCTCGGACAAGGGCGTGTCAATTCAGGCGGCATTGAGAAAGATGTTTGAGGGCCACTTCTTGAACTTGCCAGTGACCGAGGATGGCGAAATCATCGGGATCGTCGAGGTGTTGAAGTTGACCTATGCCACCCTACACCAGATCAAGGCCATCCAGTCCAAGGACGATAACGGGAACGAAATCGAGGGACCTGCCTGGAACCGCTTCTGGACCGGTTTTGACAACGACCTCGACTCCGACTCCGTCCACTCCGACTCCATGCTCGATATCCCGGAAGTTACCCAGTCTGAGCTCAACAGTTTCAACATCAACGACCTCGGGCCGTCCGACTCCATCTCCTTGAACGGACGTTCCAATTTGAACCCGGGCTACGAAAAGGAACAGGTGGAGCACGTTCCGTATGCCTTCAAGTTCAAGTCTCCAATCGGCAGAGTCCACAGGATTAGCTTGAAACCCGTGGACGGTGTAGACGCACTTAGAGAGCTCATCACCTCCAAATTGGGCCTGCAGGACTTTTCTGTGCTTTCCGTCTATAGCTTGAGCTCCGACGCTGAGGGCGAAGCCACCGGGAGGACTGAGGATATCCGGGGTAATTTTGCCATTTCTTACGTCGACGACGAGGGCGACATCGTAGCCATCACCTCCAACCAGGACTTGATCGACTGCGTGTTGATCAACAAACGGCAGGCGAACGAGAAAGCCGATTTGTACATCCACAACCCCCATGCCTCTAGCAATTTGATTTACTGCAACACCCCAGCCGCCAAGCACGCGCCAAAGAACGATTCGAGGGGCGGTGCTGAATTCATTCCAGGTGTGGCCAACGAGGTCTTGCTCTCGGGCGCTTTGTTAGCGTTGGCTACGTCTATTGTGATTGTCTTCTCCCTCGGCCGGAAGTAGAGAGGGGGGGTGAATGAGCTTGCATGCTTTTGTGAGTTCTGGGTGTTAGAAGGGGTAGGTATGCTCTTTCCATCGGTGGTTGTGCAGGATTTGGTCCTCCCATGGCATGAAGGGCTGATGATGCATCGTACATATGTAATTTAACGAAATACGAAAGAACTTGTAGAAGTGCAAGCGGCACCAACAATGACTTACAGCATGGAGGTATGACGCTAATATCTATACGTATTGTCTGGCCAGCACACTTCCAGGCTGAATGGTGCCTGTTTCAATTGGAATAGCTGGTACACCCAGTCATTCATGCGCCAATGGTAATGCAATGATTCAGATGTCTAAATTTTTCCGTTTACAAACTAGCAGATACATTTCAACTTTTGTCACGTAAATTCAAGTCCCACTACCGCATCAGTCAAAGGAAAACGACATCCGTTTCAACAGTGATTACTCCCGCCCAAGAACATCTGACGGGTGGAGCTTCCGGTTCATTACTCGGTAAATCAGCTACACTTCCCAAAACATTATTGATTGAAACCTCTCTAAAGATACTTCCTGCGCCCTACGCAATAGTAGCGTACTCCATTTCGTTGGAGTTTTCGTACTCATACATGTCCAAGGCCACGACAGCACTGTCTCTGACCACTTCGTCTTCGTCCTCCAAGAAAGACTTCAAGACTGGGAGGACCTCATCGGTAGCAATCGCCCCCAAGGCCTCAGCTGCCTCGTGTCTGACCATCCCAGCCTCAGACTTGTCTTGCAACACCTTGATCAAGGATGGGACAGTGACGGGGTTGCATATCTGGCCAAACACGTACGCAATTTCGTGCTTGAACAACGCAGAAGGATCGGCAAACCCAGAGGCCAACGCCAAGCAGGCCTCGTCGGTGCTGATGTCTCTCAAGCGGAACATGGCTCTGTATCTCTCGAACAACGGCTTGTCCTGGTCGTTCAAGATGTTCTGCAACTTTTCAATCTTGTAGTCCTGGTCGATGGACAATGGAGGTGCTGGATCTACGGATGAGTAAGCCGACTTTTCCAAGTTCTCCTGCTTGAACTCTTCGCTGGTTTCGTAGTTAATCTTCGCAATCGCCAACTCACAGGTCTGTCTGATCTCAATGAGCGGGTCATTCTTGAAGTATTCCTCCAACAACGGCAAGGATTCGGTGTCAATCAACGCCCCCAAGGCCTCGGCAGCCTCGTGTCTAACCATGCATTGCTGCTTGTCGTTGGCCAAGACCTCTCTCAAGTGCGGGGCGGAGTGAAGATTCTTTGACTGGCCCAAAACATAAGCAACCTCGTGCTTTAACAACTCTGAGTCATCCGCAAACGCCTCGGCAATGTATTCCACGGCGGTGTTGGCCTTTTCGCGGTTCTGCTTGAACTCTTCACCGATGCACTTCAAGTTGAACAACGCGCGGAACCTGAGCGCCAAGGAGGAGTCCCCAGACTTGTTGACCAAAATGTCTCTTAATTGTTCCAAGGATGCGGCGTCGACATCGACTTCAGCAGGTTTTTCAGCGCTCATGATGTGTATAAAAGGGTTGGAGAGGAAAAGAAAGAGTAGAGATTAATGGTACGATTGGAATTTTTCAAGCACCGGAACAATTTTTTTTTCCGTTTCTTTTTTTGATATGCATGCGATACAGGAGAAGCCAAGGCCAGACTCTGGTAATCTATATGGAAGGAGCCGAAGCCAGGCTCTGGTAGTTTACACAGAAGAGAAACGAAAACCGTGGGGTCTAATGATGAAACTGTTAACTAAATCATTTACTCTTGGATGGAACAAGTTCCGGGACATGGTTTGGCCTTCAGAGCTACTGCGCGAAAGACTAAGGATATGCACATGCTGGTGAAGCGGCGTGCATCTTCACATGGCTCAGGATGCGAATGTAGCTATTCAGCAACCAAATCACACTTGCAATCGTTATTAGTCAAGATTGTGCTTGAAATCTGTGGAAAGTAATGTATGTCATACGAGACAGCCCATCGTTACCGTTAATCCCGATACCAGTTGATTGTATATGAGAACCCTGCCAAATACCTCGCATCCACGATCTGTAATTTTCATGTGCACGCCGTTGAGCAATTGGGTTTGTGGGGCAACTCGCATATATCGGCAACACCAACAAGGTCGGGCTTACAAACAATATTCAGAAGAATCAGTAAACAGGGCAATAAACTGGTGGCTGGTTTAATGAACCTGTTACAATAGATCTAAAGCTGGTTACCTAGGATTGGGTCGAACTCTCAACCAGAGATTCTGGCTGAACCAAACGCTGAAAACTGGATATGCCAGATGCCGAAGGGTTTTAGAAAGATTGTTCACCAAATTGGAATTTTCTTTCAAACTTACAATGGTATTAGAAGGAGTATTGGACTAGACTGAAATCCTTTTTCAAACTTACAATGATACTAGAAAGAGTATTGGACTAGGTTGAGATCCCTTTTCGGTACTACGTAAAAGTGGATATGGCCGGAAATCTCATTATAGCATCCGTATATTTCACAGCCGGGATATGACATATCACTCTTTGATATCGCAGCCTCAAGTTTCACATCACCCTTCATATATCTCGTCCGTTGTGGCATACACTCACTTTTCGTCTCATATCCGCGTTTTCTATTCCTTAAATAAATACGAACATTCGGAACCATCCTTAGTCGTAGAGTCAGTTACACGCAACAACCCCTTCTCCGCTAACATAATAAGCCACTTCCCCATGCCGCCAGCGGCGCCCGTCTGTTCGGTGAGTCTCCGAGTGCGTGTTCGCTCCATGGCCTGTTTCATAAACTCTCCCTTCTCGGAAGAGCCGCCAATCGTCGCCAATATTTCGCTCTTTATAGCGTCGTTGTTCAACAAAAGACGCGCACAGACGACAGAAACGTCCACACGATACTTGTCGAGAAGCGTGTGAAGCTGCGACGGAGACGTGTCGGATAGCGTTGTCTGGGAAACGGCGATGATATACTGCTTAGGAGTAAACTCAGGCTCTTCGGTGGAGCGTTCCACAAGATACAGAGAAAAGGGGTCCTCCAGGGACGTTATTTCCTGGTTGGCACGGGCAAAAAGTAAATCCTCGATCTTTTCGGCGTGGTACACGGTGGTATCCAACTCCCCCAAGAGTTTGAGCCAGGATATATCGGTGGTTAACTTTCCCGTATGCTGGAGCACAATAACCACCGGGTAATCGTTCAAGATGTTAATGTACCTCCCCACCACGAGCTGATCCGGCCCATCCAACCCATAGCTCCCGGGGTTTGACGCCATCCGCCGTCTCTTTTCCGCGAGAGTCTTGGGATACGGCACGTGCCGCAACCGCAAGTCCTGGACAAAGTTCCAGCTTTGGTCATCATTGAGGAGCTTCGCAGAGACTCGATCTGCAAGGGCGGATGCATAGAGCGGTTTCAACACCTCACGCATCATGGGAGAAAAAAGCTTGGGATCAAGCGCTAGGGTTTTCGGTCTGGACTCTTTCGTGATATACTGCTCCTTGAACAACTTGGACGCTGTGGCGGCTTTGTTACTAGGGGAGGTGGCCAGGAACTGATGCCTGATGTACTCATCTGGCGGGACTACTAAGTCTTGGAACCGTGGTAGTACCGTCCGTGTCGGGATAGGAACGAGCCGCTTCATAAATGCCAGAAAATGAGGGCTTAGTATGGGAGAGTGCCTTGTATGACAAGTCTTATCGTTATATTTAAAGGCCGGCATGAGACGTCTAAAGTTTAAACCAATCCGGCAGATAAATCTATTGGAAATTTTTCGGAATGGCTCTGCACGACTTTTAAACAATCTGCTCTCTCGCTCCACACATCACTGGCCTTACCTCCACATCATCATGTCCGACGAAGAAGTGTTGGACTTTGGTCTTTTCGAAGAACCGAATGATTTCCGCCCTCCCCCACCAGCTGCGCACTTTGTCACCTACGACAGGGTCTTGAAGGACGCGTCCCCAGCGCAAATCCCCCTCCGCCTTGTGGGGACCTCCCCGCTATGGGGTCACTTGTTGTGGAACGCCGGGAAGTACACTGCTAACTATATCGACGAACACGTGGAATTATCCAAGGGCAAAAAGGTCTTGGAGTTGGGTGCGGCGGCCGCTTTGCCGTCCTTAGTGTGTGGCTTGAACGGCGCCGCCAAGGTGGTGTGCACCGACTACCCAGACCCAGACTTGATTGCCAACATCCAGTACAACGTGGATCACTGCGAGGGATTGACTCTGGAGAAGGTGGTGGTCAAGGGCTATATCTGGGGGAACGACACCGCCGAGTTAACCTCTGAGATCAACGATGAAAAGTTCGACCTCATCATCTTGTCCGACTTGGTCTTCAACCATACAGAGCACTTGAAACTTTTGCAGACCTGCAAGGATTGTCTTTCCCCTGATGGAAAGTTGTTTGTTGTGTTCTCGCCTCACAGACCATGGCTCCTCGAGAACGACTTGGAGTTCTTCGAGACCGCCAAGGACTACGGCTTCAGATCCGAAAAGAACGACTTGGTGGTGTGGAAGCCGATGTTTGAGGAGGACGACGAGACTGCGGAAATTAGAGCAAGGGTCTACTCGTTCTTCTTGTACCCAGAATGGTAGAAAGTGTAAGATAGGTTCAATAAAAGAGTTAAATAGGACAAGTAATACGGGCGGTGGATTCAAATAACCAATATACGGTTAATGTATAGAACGAAGCCTGAGGAGGTTGTGAGGTTTAAAAGTAGCGGTATATAGTTAAGTGTCGCCTGGGGAATAAGTGTATTATGACAAGCACAGGGATCTGGGGGTAGAATAGAAAGGGTAAGTCATGACGAAATTTCAACGTCAAGGCTACATTTCTACGCAACAAATGTCATTGAAATCAATCCTCGCTAACATTAATTGATCCTATATTTGAGGTTCTCCACGACACATCCTTTAAAATCGGCATATTGCTTGTATTAGAGTGGGATAGATATCTCCCCATCTACACCAATCACCTCTTATCAAGTACCTAACATGTCACCCCTGTGTGGTCCAATCTCTAAACGCCTCATTAATGTCATACGCCTCGGCGCCCTCTCCAAACACCACCTCGGGCATGCGCTTGGCCAAGTCCAAAATTGTCTTGCCAAACTCGGAGTTGCACCAGGCGAACCACGGCCGTGAGTACGCCACACCACCTTTTGAATTCACGTTCACCGTTTCATGCATCAAGCCCAAGCCACCGGTGGTTTTTTTGAGCATTTCCAAGTTTTCCGCAATCTCTTCTGCGTTATCCGACGTCCGGATGCGCATAAGCGCCGCCATAGGCCACGCACTGTGGATTCCGACATGGGGGCCACCGATGGCCTCAAAGTACGATCCTGTCTGGTAGTACGGGTTTCCCCGCTTGCTGAGCACCATCTTGCGGGTATTTTGATACACGGTATCGGACCTGTCGAGGAAACCGAGGTCCGGAAGCGACAAAAGAGAAGGAATGTTGGCATCATCCATGTGCACCGTGCCGCCAAACCCGTCCACTTCATAGGCAAACACCTCACCAAAGACAGGGTGGTTCACCACTGCGTGGTCATAGATCCCCTGGCGGATCGTCTGGGCAAACTTCTGACACGCAGTAACGATCTTTGACACCTTCTCTGATTTTGACGCCTCTCTCAACATATCGGCCGTTTTAGTAAGCTCCACAGCCATGTGCGCGTTGGCGGGGACAAAGAGCTGCAAAATACACGCATCGTCAGAAGGCCTAAAGGCAGATCTGACCAATCCCGTGCCATAGTTGACAGGGTTTCCTGTCCCGGCAAGCGGTAATGTCTCTGAACCGATGTTGGTATCCCTCTGGAAGGTGTAGTAGAACGGATTGACCGCTCCATTTTCGTCGTAGGTCGCTACCGACTGGCGCGTGAGTACCTTCAACACCGTTTCCAAGGCCCTGAGCCACTCCTCCGTCACAAATGAGGCATCGCCAGTGCTGGCGTAATACTCGTTACTGAGAGTCAAGAACGACGCAAGCGAGTCGAGCTCCCATTTGCACTCAAACACAACCTTCCAGGGAACTTTAGGGAACACTTTGTCCGTCGAAGGCTTAGAGGGCTCTAACCCTGACCTCACAGGGGGTTGGAAGGCGTTGCAATATGGGCTGTTAAGCACAAATTGTGTCTGGGTAGCGATAGCGCTACGAATCAACTTCAGCAACGCCGGGTCGTAACGTGCAAGTGGTTGGTAGACCGAGAGCTGTCGCGCCGCGTCTCTGAGCCACTCCGCGTGGATGTCCCCGGTGACAATAAACGCCTCCGCCTCGGTTTTCCACAAAACAGTCGTGTCTAGGGTGTTTGGCAAGCAGTTTTCCACCAACCGCGCCAAATCCAGGTCGGGGATGCGCGAAACCAAGTCCGCAACCACCTTTTCCACCGCTTCCGAGGTGAAGGTCCGGCACCGCTCATCGGGTCTCATGTACGGCAACTCCAACGGCCCGTCGCTGTATGGGCCATGACGGGCTTGGGAATAATCCACGTAGTCAGGGCACGACTTGAAGTTGGAAAAAAAGGAGTTTGGCTTTGGTTTGTGCTCCGGCGCGGTCTTCTTTCCCTTGAACGGCGGTACCCGTGGAGCAACTTTGTTCATGTTCAGAACGTTATTTTTAAACGCAAATTTGTCTTTTGGCTGGACAGGCACAACTTGTGGTCTTTCCTCCCGTTCCTCAATGTTCAGATGGACGAACACATATACGATGGTCGCGAGCACCGCAAGCCACGCCGCCACGCTGAGCGGACGATACCGTTGGCCTCTGATCACCACCCAGCGGCGTTGTCTGTCAAATTGGATCATAATTTAACTGGTTCTTTAGAGGGATTAAATGGAAATAGGCGGTTTATGGATGATTTGTACGTTAATAGGGAGAACCATTGTAATCGTGACAGCTGAACGTGGGGATATATCCTGCAGGGTGTATTTACCATCAGTCAGGTGACTGGGATAAGCGTGAACCGAAGATGGTCCCTTTCATCGCTTATCTCAGTCCCGGAGCGCGACTGTATTTTTAAAGCTTTTATCAGGCCAAGCCTGAGACAGATGTGAAGGAAAGGTTCTAAAAGACCGGATCACCCATGGCCCCTTTCTAAATGTAGTTTTCAAATAGCGTTTCTCCGTGAGGGCTCCGTTTCAGCGCAGGGGTCCCCTAACCCACCACTGGTGGAGATATCTAACCCCGCCGCACACCCAGTTGATGTTTCCTTACATATCCTTTATTACGCTTTAATATACAATCCTAGTCCTCACTATTGGTTAATGTACCGGGCGATGGACTCGGCTGTCAGGCTAGAAGCGGTCTTGGCGGTCGACTCGAACGCCTGTTGGTAGCGGGCCTGCAAGTCGGCATCCGTCTTAGCGGTAACCTCACCGGCTCTGTCTTCCGGGAAGGTGTACACTCTCAGCGGGCCTTCGTCCTCGTCACGCGCAACCTCGCCGTCGTTCTCACCCGCCTCGACACTCTCAGTGTCGGACAAGACATCCACCTCGTCCCGGACAGGCTTTCCCTTGATGTCCAAGTCCTTCATCAACTTCAGGATCGATTTCTCCTTGCGGGCCTTTTCCTCCTCTTCCTTGTCCTTAATGATTCTTTCGCGCTCAGCTTTGTAGAACTCATTATACTCGTCCACCTTGTGGTCGACTGCATCTAAAAATTCGTCAAAGCCGTCGCCAGTGTACGCGGAAACGCCCACCACATCAAGCTGCGAGTAGAACTCCTCCAACATCAACGACATGGAGTTGACCAACGAATTCATGTACCCAGAAGATGTCCCGTCATCGTTGACCTCTGCGTCGTGTCTCAAAGCCTCCTGGAAAACCTCAAAGTCAGACATCCATTCCTTCGCAAAGTCCGCGCTCTGCACATCTGTTTTGTTGAAAACGATAATCATCGGCAACTTGGTCTTGTAGAGAATGGAGCATGCGTACAACATGTTGGAGATAAACGTGGTGGGCGACGAAGACCGTGGCGTATCAACAATGTATGCGATAATGGTCGGGAACGTGGATGCAAACGCTTCAGTTATGATAGCACCGGATGCGGACCAGATGAAACACTCGATCTGACCGGGCGTGTCGACGATCACGTTCAGAAAGCTCTCAGAACGCTTCTCCACCAACAGAATCACCTGGTCGATTTTGGTCGCAAAGAGGTTCAAGGACGTGACGATAGCCCCGTTAGGCCCAAGATTGTACTCCTCCATCACCTTCTTGTACTTGATAGAGTCGCGGATGTCGATGTTCGCGCCATAGGGCACCTTCAACACGGCGGGATCCAAGTTGATCACATACGGCGGCTCCTTCTTCGCATGCAAGTGCGAGTTCAAGCGTTGCATGAACGTGGTTTTGCCGGAGCCGGCCATTCCAATGCAGATAACAGTTGCTGGAGACATTGTGTGTGGAGTGAGAAGAGCAAAAGCAAATCCAGCAGTTTTGCTGCTGATATTTTTTTTTTTGCTCATCTTACTGTCTCACGCTGATTAAGCATGTATGTGCAGGATTTTCCGTAATGTTCTGTACGTCACCGTCCGTAGCGATTTGAAGCGAGAGGGGCAATTTTTGAATGTACATTAGGTTTTAAATTATTAGAATACTAATAAGCAGTGTAGCTATTTTTCTTGTCCAACTCTTTTCGACACAGTCGTTTTATACAAAAATTATAGAACATCGTAGGAAGTGTCGTACGTCTGGCGCACTGAATAGGCATATTCTCAGATCAAATTCTTAATATTGGAAGTGCCAGCTTTTTTTTTTTGTTTTTTTTTTATGGGGAAAGTATAATTTAAAGATTTGGTGACATTTGTCCGGCAATCAGCATTTTTTCATTCTTTGTATCAAAGGTTGAAGTCTCTCCATCAACCTCTCAATGAATACGATGGTACCTGGTTAGATATCCAGAGCTCGTTCTGTGGATAGCTACGCTCAGTTTGATGAAAAGCTGTGATCGGTGCAACGACTGTCATTACATGAGATTGCCCGTTCTCTTGTATGACATGTTATAATGTACATTTTCGCTCAGGCTGAACTGCTCTACGCAATCCTGCAAAACAAGAAATATAGTTTCGGAACCTCCCATTCTTTCACCATCAACTCCCCTTTAGTTAGGCTCTTCCATGGTAAAACGCCAAAACTCTGTCCTCGATATTATCAAACACAGCCGCACCGTTGTAAGACAAGATTTGGATATTTTCCAACTCAGCCTCGAAGAGCTTTTCTGGAGTAGGGCCACCCGGCATGGTGTTCAAGGTCGGCTGATTGGTCTGCATCATCTGCTGGGTGATGGTGTTGTCGCCCAAGATCAAATTGTAGATTGGTCTCAAGCCGAGTAAGTTGACAAAGTACCAACTGATAGATGAGACCCATCTGACGTCTAAATCCGGAGTCATGACACCGTTCTGAAGCATCGACTTGAAACGCAACGTCAACGGAAACGGTAACTTCATGATGACAAAGCCCGCAAAGAAAAAGTTAACCCACCACATGATCAACGTCTGCGGGACATAGTTCGCCATGTTGTTTTTAATCATCCCATACATCGCGTCCGACATGTTTGGGTCCGCCAACGGGTTAGCCGGCGAGGCATCTTCAACAATCGGCTCCGCTAAGTATTGCATCGACCTGAACGTCTGGATCAAGTACGCCTGTTTGGTTTCGAACTGCGCCTTTGTGAGCACGAGGTTGGCGTTGGTGCGGAATTGTGCACTCTTCTGCAAGTGTTGTCTAAAGGTTAGTAAGCTTTCGGCAGAAGTTTGAGTCGCAAGGGTTTTCAGATCTGAGAAATTAATGGCCATAGGGTTTTTAGGTAGGAAATTTGGTGAGTGACCGATATTTGGCTTACTTCTGAAGCCGGTCATCTAACTGCAAGAACAATAAATATCGCGCTTATCACACCCCATTGGCATAAATCACGGTTCTGACTCAATGTATACATACTGTTCTCTGACTTTCTTCCAGTCCAGAAGCTTCGGGGACGGCTGGAGCAACACCGTCACGTACTGACGCAACACCCCTACCATTACCATCACGAAGGAGATGGGCAAGAGCACCCAGTACTTCAAACTGGGGTCTAAGATCAAATCAGGCACACTCATACTATATCTCTTGGCTGTGGTTGGAATTGTAATGGAGACGGTGGATTTGCTACTGATATCCCGCCTGCCACCTGAGCCCATGGGGGTATCGTATCACGTGTAATGATATGCGAACGACCGTAGTGTAGGCCAAAAGCGACGATTTTATGAATACAGGTTTTAATAGTTTATGAATTTGTGAAAAGATCCTTAGAAGCGAGAGATATAACCAATGTGATGGATCAGATAGATATTTACATGGGACTATGTATCACTAAATCCGCAATAAAGGTATATCGGTAGTGCATACGTGGATTATAACCATAATATGGCTGGCTCCAGAAATGCTTACGATCTCTAAACGAGCTATGTAAATATTACTATGCCATTCTAGTTAGATTATATTTCCAGTGTACTAGCACTGTAGTTTGAATCATTTAAGACAATGAACGTGGTATGGTGAACCCACTTTCGGCTATGATGCACCCAGAATAAAAGTATAGTAAAGATACCCATCCTACATGAGGCTTTAGGATGGGAAATGCCGATAACTTATCAATTTCTGTAAAAAAAATCTTAGGGTTAACCGCCTCTTTGCATATCTAGCTCATGTCTAATTATCAATCAATTCTACCCGGTTATCTCGTTACCTACGTAGATATACTACAGCCTTCCGTGAATTAGTTCGGTGCATTCAAACATCGCACTCCTCGGGTTAATTATACCTGTTCTACAACATTTAGCGTATTTCCTCATTTTAGCTGATCACTCTCACCATGAATAGCTTCTACACCAACCATTGACATTATCATTATTCTTTAGACCCTAACCAAAGATACCCTCCTCCATGGAATCCGGGATGGTCCTTTGCCCATAGACCCCCTCCCAGCTTACCGGCTTGAGCCACTGGGCAGACTCAAGCTGCAATACATCCACTACCTTGCTAGCTAACGCCTCCGCGTCTCGGAAGTTATCGCCCTCGTATACGTATGTGAGCAATGCCGTCACCTTGAGCACATGGCTGGCATCGGTGCCCAGGGCACTCAGTTCGCGCAAGCCCCTCATGACGAACCGCGTGTACAACGAGCTGTGCTGCAACTTTTCCTCTTCCAGCGATAATTCGTCGCTGTGAAGCTTCAATCCGCCGAGTCTCGCGGTCAAGCTGAGGTTTATCTCTGTTTCGTAGAGCTCAAACGTCGACGGAGTCTGTGCGTCCTCCGGCGCACGCGCGCCAAAGTACTCATCCCAGGGCGTGTCGCGCATGAGAAGCCCCGCGTCGGACGAATCGAGAATCACCACTCTGGCGAACTTTTCCGACTCAATTAGCGGAAGGATAACCTCTTTGACAAAGTTTCCCAAATGGCCAGACAACACGGGCGATCTTTGCTGGATAGTTGCGACGTTGAGCGTTTTGCAGTAGTACAATTCCAAGGAATACGAGACTCCGTCTGCGGCCGCGCCCGTCGTGTCGCGCGGCGACGCAAATGGGTAGAGGTATCTGCCGCTCAATACCCGCACCTTCTGGAACAGGTACGTGTGAATGAGTAAATCGGTCGCCAATTGCGGAACATTCCCGATCGCCACTGTAGGAATAATAAGTGTGGTGTTGTCAAGCATCTGTGGTGGGGCAGGAACGGGTCTAGGGAGGAGAAATATTAGATCGAGATTCAGATCTGGGGGCAATTCCCCGATGGCGATATAGTAATAAAACTGACATGCAGCCGGGTAAAGTACTATGTGCAGGACAGTTAGTCTTCTGTGGTGTGGCCAGACAATAAAAGTTGGAGAGGCTGGAATAAAAAATAGTTGTCGGTTTTAAAGTATTTATGGGGGGTTAAATGGATATTTCTAACCGTTTGAATGAGATTTTAGTAATTGGTGAGAATGTCATTGTACATGTGTAGTTCTTGAACGAACGTAAAAGGCTAAACAATAACTCCAGTTTTTGAAATCGGTACTGTTTTGTATTTTTTTGTGGTTATGAAGCTGTTATACATTATTAGAAGGAGATGTACATTGTAGATAACCCCTCAAGTGGTTGTATTAGTACTAGGTCTCAGATAATTTCCCCGCTTTCGGAGGGGCGTTTGAGTATATCCTTTTTACTTATTGTGCAATTAGTCAGCCGTCTGTATCAACTAGCTGGCTACATCAAATTTATGCCTTTAGGCGTTATGAAAAATTAATTATATGCATGATATGTATATGAGTCGATGCAATGTTATAATGCCTTCCAGTAGGCCAAGATGATGACGACGAAGGAGAACAAGAGCATCTTGAGCGACAATAGCGGGGATTGTGAAGCTCCGGATAGTTGGAGCGTGCTTGGACCAGCCAATGGTTCTTTTTTAACCAATTCTGGAGATGAGGGCGTTGCCACTTCGAGAGTGGGTAAACTGAGTGGATCAACGTCAACCTCTGAAATCTCTGTTGGTGTAGGGGTATTTGGTGAGATGGTCTGTGAGGAAACAGGGATATAAGGGGTGACCGTCTTCGTTGGAACAGCTGTTTTTCCAGAAATGGGATTGGTTTTATTCATCTTTGTAAGGATTTTGGTAGCATCCCTGTTTGAAGGGGCTTTTAATCCCCCATCAATGTTTGATTTGAAAGGTCTTTCACCTGTATCCTCTTTGACAGCTTCTGGGATTTTCTGGGTTTCTTGGGCTTTCTTTTCCACTGGTGCAAGGGTAATGCTGGAAGGTTTCTCATTGACAGCTTCTGGGATTTCCTGAGTTTCTTGAGTTTCCTCTTCCACTGGCGCAAGGGTAATGTAGGAAGACTCTCCTTTGACAGCTTCTGGGGCTTCCTCTTTTGCCCTCTGTCTGTTGCGTTTTTTGGTGCTCCAAAGCTCCTTTACCCCCGTCTTAATATACTCCAAGTCTTCGTTGAGACCCCTTATATCCACTATATGTCCCTCGTACTCGTGGTACAACCCCTCCAAGCGGTCGAGGTCACGTCGTGACTCCCGTTCCAACAGAAGAAGACTGCGGGAGATGCTGTCGAAATTGCGGTGGATCTGCAGATGTGTATGCTCAAGGTCTAAAAGTAGCTTCTTCACCTGGCGCACCGCGATGCTTGACTGGTATTTTGGTACCGGAGAGAAGGAAGCAATAGACGCGTGTCGCTGGGAACGAAATGGAAACGGATCTGAGACCTGATCCAGCTCGCTGTGCAAATCTGGCGTCGACTGTGAACGCAAGTGGCTTGGGCCTTTGGACCGCTTTGTAGGTGATGGGCACGGCGAACTCATGGGGGAAGGAGATGAGGAACCAAACGGATTTTCTTCAAGCATCCGAAAGTTGATTCGGTTACCCGTAAGGGTTGCAAAGTCATCTAAGGGTTTCAGTATCGGCGTAGAAAGCACGTGTGAGAGATTTTCAAAGGCTTTATCGATTTCGCTGATTGCAGAGGATACCTGGCGCTGGGGAGACAGTTCAAAGGTAAGTTCCCCCAGCCTTTTCATCTCCCGTGGTAATTTTTTCATCAGCCTTTCTACTCCTGGTACTTCCCTTTCTATCAATTCCTCTGATATTTCCGAAAGAATATATTTAGAATCGCATATCTCATCAAACAATAGAAGGAAGTCACCCTTGGAAAGCATCAATTCGCCGTTTTCCTGACAAAACGTCTGAATCTCCAGTGCCGCGTTCTCGCTGAGAAGATCCCCCTGTGAAATACCAAGATAGGTTTCAAAGCGAGAAATGAGATCCGGGATTAATGACGACGGAAGCCGAGTTTGCGATCCTGGGGCAAGCTCGCTCCAGAGCTCGTCGAAAAGTGTTACCGAGTCATTGGTATCGGAGCTTATGCTCCTGGGATGGGGAAGGATAGCTGTGGGCATCTCAATGGAGATGCAATGCTTATTCTAAATGCAGAAGTTTGGAATATTTATCGCATTCCAAGGTACGGAAAGTGAATAGAAGGTACGCTGGAGGAACACATCTCCCAATACATTTTCAACTCAGACTCGTGGCTTCCGTACAGGTCACCCCACATGCCCCGCTCTCTCCGATGAGTCAGTTTTTTGTTCCACTAAAAGCTATTGAGGTGAATTATAGAACTTTTCATTTGAGTTTGGGGACCAAATTATCTCTAATCTTTTTTCATTATAGTATTAGAGGCCCTTATAATCCCCCACACCAGCCAACATTTCTCTTGAACGAAGCATGACCCGAAAAGTTTAATAGCCGGCATGTAAAACATATCAAGCTCTATCTGTACAGTCGTCCACTCAGCATTTCCATAGCAATTTATGACAACACATCAATAGAAGTTTTTATTCTGGTCCGAGTGAGGGTCTAAATATCCCAATATAAATTTAGCAGGCTCCAGGTTTGTCTTGCCAATAAAGTTCGTGTATGGCTGTTAAGCACAATGCATGACACAGTTTGATAGTCTATTCCAATGATATCCCTACGGATTCCAGTCTCGGACAAGAGGTCTGAACTTGGAAGAGTCGTAAATTCGTCATTGCCGTACAGCGGGGCCCCTTCCACGCTGAGTCGGGACTCTGGGAGCGTAATCCTACCTAGACGTACTAGTGGACAAACGGAAAAACGCTAACCAATTCAATTTTGTCGCCCGAAATTTAAAAGTTCAAGTATAATATATGATGGCTGTGCTATATTGAATCGATCGGCCCATATATATTGTAGATATTTTATTTTATCAACACATGACAACTGGGTCCGAATTGTTGACTGAGACGCAGGCCAATTGTTGAGCTAGATCAGAACCTGCACACAGGCGCATGTAAACACGACATAACTGCGAGATGACACATCCTGCATGCTGCCCCTGCGCGTGCCAGCTTTTTGTTACGATGCATGGTACCTAAGCCACTGGTCTAGCCATAAACGGAAAAGGGTGACTTGATCGTAGGAGGAATTGTCCGTATGCAATTATTTGAAAATCTTTTTAAAAAATCATTATATGGGGTTTATAGTTCATTGCTTAGTTATTAGTATTCCTTTTAGCCTGGACCAAATGGGTGAGATGTGCACGAAGCTGTACAACCCAGCATATTCGGTTGAAACGTCATCAATACCTAAGGCTGAGCAGAAACCACTTATTTATTTTTTTTGCAACCGTTCGGATTTGAGTAAATAAGCAAAGTCTCATGGTTTACTATCTGGAGCGAAACATAGATTTAAAATAAAGAAACGGTTACCGCTCACCTCATTAAGTCGTTAAGTTGTTGATTTCAAAGAGCACAAGGCAAGACCTACGCACGCTCAACCAAAGTACAGACACAAAAATCAGGCAAGATCAAGCTCTTTCGCTTCAAAACGCATTGGAAGGAATCGCTTGCTTCTTGCTTCCAAAGCTCGGGCTTACCCGGCCATCATCGTCATCATCGTCATCGTCATATTCATCCCAGCTCTTGTGGAACTTGAACCAGCTGGTTGATTTTATAGGCACAGAGGTGGAAGTGGGCGAGGCCACCTCGGAGTGGATCGTTGGCAAGAATGACACGGGTCTGGAAAACTCTGGAGTGGTGACGCCACTTCCATGGTCCGCCAAAGAGGTCAACTTGCCAGCGGCTGTCTCCCCCAATCCCGGTCTGGTGTTGGACGCAGCAGAATGCGACTGACGGCGGTTGGGAGGGATGTACAAGTTTCTCTCGGAGTTGAGCGAAACAGTAGGAACCGCGTGTGGGATTTGGATCAGAGGCATGGCTCCGTTCCGCGGAGGCGACGTGGCTCCAAGAAACGCCTGGGTCTGGTGTCTTCCGTTAAATCTGTGATTTGCGTTGAATCTCAGCAGCTCATGCAGCGCTGAGGAGTGGGGTCTCTCCCTGTCAAAGTCGGGGATCTTCTTCACCACCCCGTTGGGCTTCTTGAAGACCGAATCCTTATCGTCGGACCTGAACACATGCAGGTTTATCGCCCCATCGTGGTGGGATCCCATCAAAGTAGACGAAATACTCTGGAAGTATGGCTCCCCGTGGGCCTCATGGTGGTACTCCTGTGTTCTCGCGTACTTATCGCCGTAGATGGGCATCCCAGACCCCCCGTTCAACGAGGTCTGGCCAAGGTGAGAGGAAAGCTCATTAGCACTAGCTTCAAAATCATCCTCTAACAAGAACACTTCATCGTCCAAATCGTAATCGTGATGAGGCTTGTCCTCTTCGATTGGACCCGTAACGTTGAGCAACGGCGATCTGAGGTTTGGTGGCACATACTTTCCACTGGAGCTGGGAGGGTAGATGATCCCAAGCGACGCTCTACGAGCGTGGGGGTTCGACTCCCTCGGAACCAGGGACTGGACGTTCACAAAGTTGCTCGGACGGCACTGAGAGCTACGCCGAGAGGAGTGCGAGTTGGAGTACGAGTTGGAGTGCGAGTGCGAGCTTCTTCTGCCAGAGGTTTCACCAGGGAACCACTCTCTGCGTCTGGCCCCATCCTTGACATTCACGGTGCTGAACCCAGAAGTATTCCCGTTGTACGAGCCGCTGTAGCTGGTATTACCAGTATTGTTGGCCTTACGGTTACGGTTCCACGGACGACGCTTCCAGTTGCGGGGCTGTTTGAAGGGCTTCACAAACGAGTTTGGCACGCCCGCCACGGTCTCCTTATTCTGGTCAATCTTGTCCATATAGCGGTTGAATACCGACTTGGGGGTGAAGTGGTCCTGAAGGTTGTAGTTGTTGCCATTGTTGATGTTGATACCCTTGGACGGGTATGGGTTGTTGATATTGGGACGGTAAACGCCGGTGGGGCGAGTAGAGGGAATGGCAAGAGGCTTCCGGGAGTTACGGATAAACTTTGCCACGGGCGAAGTTGCCATTTCAATTGGTTGGCTCTCATTCGGTGGAACTGCCAAGTGAGTGTCGCCTGAAGCGTCGCCCTGAGTCATTAGTGGAGCCGAAAGATCGGTAAACACATTGTCCTCGATCTCGGACATTTCGTGGTCAATCGTAAAGTTCTCCACATGCAACAACTCGGTACGCATGCTCGCCAAATCACGGTTCTCCGGGTCCAACGTCAACGAGTAGCGAAGCACACCAAACATGTCGTACGACATATTAGCAAACATGTCAAACAAGAAGTCACGGTTGGCGCTGAAAAGCACAAAGGACTTGTCGGATGCGTTGGCGGCCTGGAACGGGTTCTTATGAAACACCACGTTCAACATACAGACCCCCAACGCCCATATGTCCACCTTGGATGCGTCATACTCCTCAAGGTTGGTGTCATCAAAGAGTTCCGGGGCCATGTACCGCTCGCTGCCAATGTCAAAATCGGTGCACATCTTTTGGGTGGTGGCCAACCCCCAGTCCGTCAACTTGACCGTCCAGTCGTCGGAGATCAAGATGTTTTCTGGCTTAATATCTCTGTGGAAGATGTTGTGGCTGTGCACAAACTCAATTCCATCCATGAGTTGGCACATAACGTCAATGACGTCGGAAGTGGCAGACGGCCCCACATCCAGGCGGATCGCCTCGTATAAGTCACCACGCGCGCAGTACTCGAGCACAATATAGGCATCGAAGTGGTCGTAGAGCGCGGTGATGTTGGGGTGCTTGTCACCAATGATCTTCAAGATTTCAATCTCGTGCTTCGCTTCACGGAGCACATATGAGTAGTGTCTGGTCTTGTTGGAGGTGTTGGTTTGCTTCCGTGAGCCGTCGGAGCCGTCTTCCTTAGGCTTGGTGGCATCCCGCGAGCTCAGGTTGGGGTTTTCGGTGATGTACTTCACCGCAACAAGGCGATTATCGTGCTTGGCGTCTTGTGCCAAAGTGACAATCCCGTATGACCCTTCACTGATGTTGGAAACCTTTCGGTACTGGCCTCTCAAGAGACCGCCCGCCTTGTAGTTTTTGTATTCCGTCAGCATCGTAGAGTTTCTGTGGCACGTTCGGTCAGATATTGGTGCCACGAATCAGTCGACGAAGGATTGTATTGCAAAGGCGTGTATTGGTCTGATAAGCCCAACGAGTCTCACGCCAATGAAGGTAACGAGTATCCGATGAGATTCTCAGTCAAAAAAAAATGATGTGGTGATCAAAAAGGAGCGACGTTTTTGGTAATCAGTCAATGACTCCAGGTTTCTCAACTGTGGGTTTGGCTGCTTTCTGAGAAGTACCAGAATAGCAAGATAATCGATGGTTCCTGAAGTGAACTGGAAGATGGGTATGCAGAGGGGATTCTGTCAGGCTCTATTTCTCAATAAGGCCGGCAGAAAATGCAGAGATGTATGCGAGGTGTTTAGGGACTAAACAGTCAGCGGCTGGGAGAGGAGATCAAGCAAGTGACTGATCTGATAGCACGGCAGAAACGATGTGGGCGGGATGTTTGTCTGGGGGTATTTTAGCGGTTAAAGTTGGGAAAAAACAGCGGATGGGCTCACCTGGCTCACTTTCAAGTCTCACGTATGGGTATAACGGCAGTGTGGATGAGATGTTCGGGGTGGTATCTAGGTGTGGAGGTGTAGCGCTACCGTTTAATTAAGGTTGGCATATGTTAGTGTTGTCACAAGTCGCCATAGTGACTTCACGCTGCTGACATAATCGTGACACGTGATCTGTCTGAATGAGTGGGCCGGCCAAACCCTGCAGCCGAGGTTCCCAAGGCGAGCTTTAGGAACGTCCGGGCGGTCATTGCTTGACTGGTAATTAGAGCCCACCAAATTTCTTTGGATACCATTTTTTTCACGCGTGACGGTTCGGACTACTCGGGATTTCTTAGCACAAAATTTGGTGCCCAACTCTAACTCTGATTGGAACTCCAATCCGAATTCGTAAACTATGCGGCTCTCTATACTTCTAATCCAAAATTTGTATCTATAATCAGATATTTAGGATTTGAAATTGGCTCTTATAGTTCAGTTTTGGTTATATATTATGCTTATCAGTGCAAATAATCTTTGTGCTGCCGGGTCCTGGAGCTTTTAGCATATTCGATGTGGCTGTACAATCTCGTGAACGTTTCGCTCGACGGTTCCCACATAAACAACACTCCCAATATTTTCCTTATACTTTTCATACTTCTGAACTCCTCTATTTGCTGCGAGCTATCTATGTTATATAATATTATTTCTGCTTCTATATAACGTGTCTGTCTGTGTGTACCTATATCCTATCGTCCATATACATCCGAATCCCGGATTGGCATATTTTATATCTCCGACTTCCCGTCTAAGCTCACGGGCATGGAGGGGCGCGTGCTTTCAATTGCATATCTCTATTGGTCAACTATCTCTGGTTAACCGTCCTCGGCTCGTTTACTTCACGACATAAATACGAATACATTCTCTTAAAACTTAGTACTCTTCAGCGACAAAAACCAACTTTTCGCCGCTGGTCTTTCCCTCCTTCAACAAGTTCATGGCAGCGTTGGCCGCCTTCAACCCGCCGGGAAGGATCTTGATTGGGGCATGCTTGATGTCGCCGCTGCTGACACGCTCGACAGACCACTTCATGAAGTTTCTAAAGTCTTTGACCAATTCCTCGGAAGTTTGTATCACTAACCCACCTCTTAAGTTGACTGGCAATCCGATGGCAACGTAAGATAAGGACGCGGTAATGGTGACGTTGGCCTTCAAATTCTTCACCTCGCTGGCTTTCTTAAACAACAAATTGTCGACGAGCGCAGTGGCGGAGTCTGCGACGGCGTCATGAGTCTGTTGGATGGTGGTATCGCTGCCCACAGTGTCGAGCGCTCTAACAATGTCTTCTCCACCATACTTCTTAATCTGTTCAATGACATTAGCCTCTCCGTAGTTGAAACAAGCTTCGGCACCCAACTTCTTCAAGGAGTCGTGGTGCTTCCCGGAGGCGGTGGCAATGACTCTCCAGCCCAACAACTTGGCGATCTGGATGGCCAAGATACCGGTCGCGGTGGCACCGCCCCAAACCAAGAAGATCTTGCCGGCAGGTGCGGGCACGTCCGGGGACAACTTCAAAAAGTGAGAGAAGGAAAGGGAGACGGTGACAACCCCCAAGCTCATACTGGCAGCACTCTCGAAAGAGTCTACCGGTCCACCCGGAATGTGTTCTGCGCCAGATGCCGGAGCAACGTGCTTCAACGGCTTTTTGTACTTGATAGCCAAGTGCTGGTCGGCAAGACAAAATTGGGCAAAGGCACCGCATTGTGGGGTCTCCCAGTAGGCACCGTGGATGAAAACAGATACATAGTCCCCAACCTTGAAGTTGGTGACGTTGGAGCCAACGGCAGCAACGGTCCCAGAGGCGTCAGTACCGACAATACAGCCCTGGTCAGCCCACTTCAAGACAATGTGCTTCCAATCGGTTGGGTTAGCGGCATAGGCCTCAGTCTTGACCAAAATCTGGTCAGCTTCCGGTAACACAACCGGGACCTGCTCGAGAGAGGACAAGTCTTTGCCCTCGACATCGACATTGGCAACACAGGCGTACTGGGTAGAAGGAAGAGACATTTAGTTGGTGCTTGTATCAAGTTGACTTTAGAAGCTATTGAAAAGAAAAGGTTATCCCTGTTCGGGGAATTAGGGATTTCATCGAAGCTATATATACCGAAGCGCATTGTGCATGAAACCGAGGCGGACGAGTAGCCTGCATCTGGCGGTATTAGTAATCGGAAAGCCGAGTGCAGGATAAATTCTCTCAAAAGCAGCAGTATTAAGCCTGTATACAGATAAACCCTCGGAACATGCATATAGTGATGCATGAAAGCAAGGCTCGAAAGAGAGTCACCGGAATAGAATTACTGTGAGATGGCGTTCCGCGAATTGTTTAAGAGGGATTTGATTTCGGGTATTTTCGCTACTGTCTGTGTTACGAGTTTGGTGTTCCAATGACTGTAAAAGGGTAAGGTGAGAACAGTAAAATGTATCAATCCAGGCTCAACAAATCCGTACTGACGATAGAATTTCTCGGGTGTCGGGGACACTATCCACGTACCCTGGCCACTGCGCACCTTGCTAGTCATGGTCTTAGCTGATAGACTTCAGGGGCCGTGTAACGGATCAGGCACGCAGGTAGTTTTACTGATGTATTCAGTGAAGGAAAATGTTAGTTTCCTTCCAGGATGAATCAGTACAACTAGTCGAGCTGTTCTATTTAAAAAAAGGTATAATAACTAGTGAAACCTTAAACGCAATCAAGAGCGTTTGGATAATGCTTGTTTTACTGTTAGTGCGGTATTAATGGTTGGCTGTGGGTGCTATTTGTTCCTAAGGTGAACTCCCAATTCTGAGTTTGTCGAGTTGGATAAAGATATATACCGCAGACAAATGGGTGTTCTTGAGAAACAACTGTGTTTGAGAGTGTTTTCTGGCTGTAGTCGAAAGACAAAATGCTACTGAAGAAATTGCTCAAAATATGACTCGTTGCTTTCCTTCCTAGACGCGTAAATACTCAAACGTTGGGACATCTATGTAGTCCCTGGGACAAATCCCTATCCGGTTAACTTTCAGTCGCGATTGGTCATACTTCATACGTATAACCACAATCGTTCCGTTCCTTTACTTAGCCCTAAGTTCCCGCCACATCTACCCTTTATAGCCCCTCAATTATATCCATACGTCACGCTTTCTGAAAGTTGCCAGTCTTAGCCCGAAACAACACTTATCACCAGGGGTTATATACTTGTCGTAGCATCCCCTTTCTCACCAATCTTATGGCCACCTCAGAGATCACACCCTTCCCTTCAGTTTCCTTTCCTACACATTTCCTAATACATTAAGATTACACCTTGTCAGAACTGTCTAATCCGCCATCGGCCACTTCCTGCCTCGCCTGTCCACCAGTAGATTCGGGCGTAGGCAAGGCATGATAGCTTTCGCCGGGAATGCTAGGTGAAACGCCTGCCTCACCTGGGGGTGTCACCTTCGCCTCGCGCGAGCTGCCCGCGCTCAACGCTGCGCTCGCTGCGGCAGTGCTGATGTGCGCACTGGGGCCAGGTTTCACCACCCCGCCCATTTTCTGCGTCTGAAGCCGGCGGAAACGGCTGTTCACAGACAGATGAGGCGGCGGTGGAACGTTCTTGGGGCCGGTGCGGTTCACAATCGCCGGGGCAGCCGCTTGCATGGAGGGAAAGCCTCGCCCGTACGGCGAGAACATTGGCCGTGGCGTCTGCAAGGCAGCGTCACTGTACATACCATACATCGCCGGAAACATGGGCATGTTCATGCCGTATCCCATGCCCATCATCTCCATGTTCTGCATGTTCTGCATCATGTTCATCTGATTGAAGTTCATCATGGGCATGTACATCTCGTTCAGGTACTGGCCCATGGGCATGCCCATCCCCACACCCATACCCATCATGCCCATTCCAGGCACCATACCCATCCCGGGCACCATACCCATACCGTATGGGAACGCATCCGGGTACTCCTCCGAACCCTCAAAAACTTTGCGCTGGAAGGGGTCCGCAGGGTACTGCGGCACCACCACCTCTTCGTCCGGGAGCACCTGGTCGATAAGGTACTCATCGCGCCCGAAGGCATTGAGGGTATAGTCATCCGGTTCTGCGGCCATGGCGTTGGCCGTCTGGAAATAGTCGAGCGGAAAGTCGTCCTCCTCGGGCTTGGCAGTGGGGAGCGCGTAGGACGACGCGAACTGACCCGTGAAAGTGGGGTCGTGATGCGGCGCGGACACGAAGCCAGGGGCGGGTGCAAAGGCCGCAGCCGGGGCGGAGGTGAAGGTCGTATCCGAGACAGGAACTGCAGGTGCGACAGGAGCCGTGGTGACACCCTTCTCAAAGAGTTTTGTCAATTCGTACTCGCTCCCCTCCTCCTCATCCTCAAAGCTTGGGAGCTTCTCCTTCAGCTGCCGCATATGCTCTGTGACCTGTTCGAAAATCGGCTGCTTCTCGTCGTACCGGAAGCTCGCCGCGGGCTCACGCCGCGCGCACGTGGTCGCAAGCTGCCCCGTCAACTCACGCTTCAAGTCTCGCTCCAACGCGTCTGCGAACAACTTATCGTGGGGAACGCTGAACCAGAAGAAAACCTTCTGTTTCTTCTGTGTCCGGAGACATGAGTTTTTGTACAAAAACATCAAAAAGTCGGACTTGGGCGCCTCGAGCACCGCATCAGTGCCACACTTCAAGTTACGTAGGTCTGAGAAAATACCCTCCTCGAACTTTTTACGGTCGGTGATCTCGCGGCCAAAGTGCTCGAAGCGGTACACGATACAGCGAACAATATCGGTGCCGGTCACAAAGTACAAGTTGTTCCAGTAGACGCAGCTGACGAAGCCCTCGTCGTGGTTGAGGTAGTAGCGGCGAATGACCTGGTTCTCCTGCCAGTTTGCCGGGGCCGTGGCGAGAAAAAACTTGAGGTCATCGATCAATCGGAGCGACTCCTCGAGCGACTCGCCGCTAAAAGCCTCAGCGTCGCCCGCGTAGATCTCCTGTCGGATGGTTTGCAGCGGAGAGGTCTTAAGAGACATAATGCAAGTGATGGTTTTGGCTGGGTTGTGAGTTGGAGTTTATTCGTGTCGAAAGGGCCTGCGGTTTCGGGTGCCTCGCCTGGGAAGTTTAAAGGAATGTAGTAGACAGGTGTCAGGGGGCGAAAGGCTAGAAATCGTGGCGGTGGGCGGGAAGCTCGGTTGAGATGCTCCGGCGAGATGCTCAGACGAGATGTCAGCTGAAGTGATACTCTCAGGAGGATATCAGGGGGGGGGGGGGGGGAATTTCTGAGGGAAGGTCTCAGTCGTTTGAGATGGAAGGTGGTTTGCTTCTTCCAACGTTAGATGTTGATATCTAGAGCAAGGTCTGTCGTGGAGGGAATTTCAGTTGTCTTCAGACGTGCATATAGAACGTTCGAGGAGCGGCCGAGGTATATATAAGCCAGGCAGGTAGTTTTAGATCTCTTGAGGGTTCGTTTAATACTTCTAGTGCCTACCTTTCCGTGGGTTGCATATGCTCCAGCAGCGTGGTCTAGCCGGGGAGTTATTTTTTTGGGGCTAGATCCGTGTAGAGACCAGGGCGCGGCAGTGACGGCCGCGGCCAAACTCTGAAACGCCCTTGAAACGTGCGCTTTACTATGGGCCATAGCCACCTGGAACACAGTTTGAAACGTGCACGTGACATTGATGCACGGTCCATGCGGCAAGTTTCTCCGTGCGGGATCTCCGATAGTTATAATTCGAGCGCTCGAGCGTTTCTGGGGTTGTTTTCCGGGCCGCCTTATGTTTTCGGCGCATGACTTAGCGCTAACTCGCCGAGAAATTCAGACACCTTCGATGACTCCTTTGGGCTCGAATCTTAGTGATGCTTTAGCCTGGCGGCTTCCTTGGTAACAATCGCGGTCCGGGATACGCTAAACAGTATAGGAGTAAAAGGGAGTGCGTACAGACTCGGCCCAGAACAACGCTGGAATAGCTGAATCGGGTTAGGCCGCATGCAGAAAGCGTGCTAGTTCCCTAAACAGCCGCAGCTATGACGTTTTCGTAGATCGGCTACCCAAGGGCTTGGCGCCGCTAGGGCATTCCGATACGGTGCAAGAGGAGATGAATGGAGGTGGGGCAATGGTCGATGCTGAATCTCCACAGGCCTAAAGACCCGGTGTATATTTTAGACACCACGGGATTCCGTGGAATCTGCCTTAGGCCGGGGAGGGAAGGTCGCTGCAACCAGTCTTTAGATTGAACCTTACAACTCATAGTATTGGCTATTTTATCCACCGAGATGCTTGGCTCCACACACTGACTAAGCTGACATAATGTTTTTTTGTTTCACACGTTGTCTATCGCACTGATGGTTTAATTCCAGGCGAAACCAAAGAGCGTTAGATGTACTTATTACGTATAGGTGGCACGTAATCCTGAGGGTTAGATTTGAGTCACCTGAGTCGTATTTCAGGTGACGAAGTCTAATTGTGCTTTGAGTAGCAGAATTGCCTGAAGTCGTAACTGGGGCTTATTAGGGTATGTAGGTTCCAAGGCGGGCAATATGTACAGAATTTCCCAGAATCTTCCTTACGGCGATTGATTTTTTCCATGAAATGTAGACGTCGGACGAGCAGATACGATCTACTGCTCGGTGCAGTAGCTATTGATACCATCGGTTACATGGTATAATTGCAGGCTAAGGAAGACAGTTCTAAGAGAGAGAGATTAAGCAAAGTCTAGTCACGTGCTGGGAAGTCGTAGACGGAGTAGCGGTACAGGCGGAAAAAAACTTGCTCATAGTGTTATATTTTACTCAGATGACACGGTTAAGAAGTCTGCAGTGCGAAAAATAAAAGAATTCTAGTTCGCGTTTCATACTTAATAAGATATATATATATATTATGATTATATTTGGTATAAACATGCTTATTAAACATTTATAGGATAAGTTAATATCTAAATTAGGTAAAATATGTAACCTAAATGACTGGTTTATAGGTTATAAACAAACGATATATTATTTTTAAGTATCAAATTGGATCGTTTTGGAAATTATATATGTAAATTATGTTGATTATTTTTATGAAACAGAAAAAGTTACATTTCATAAAATCTGCCTTGGATGAAAATCGGTCCGATAGATCCAACAGATATTTGATTTCTGTTTAATCACTCTCATATTATTATAATTGCTTTACCCCGCTACCCATTCCGTGTATGAGCCGTTGGATGTGTCGTGCTTTGGTGACACACAGCAGAAGCAGCGTTTTGCTAAACCATGGCATCTTTTAAAACTCCTATATGAATAAATCTAATCTTCCTCAACGTTCAACTCTCTTTCATTCACTTTTCTACCAAAGGTGTTTAGATGTCTACTACGAATATGTATTTATCACGTGACATCACGTGCCATATCCCTGGCCGCTGAAAGGTAACCAACACGCTTTAGAAGCGTTTGTTTCTGCGACTCATAGCTGACAATCCACACATATCACCATTATGAGTCGCAGAAACAGAAGCTTCTCGGTGAATTCCGCTTCCAAGCAGCAACAGGTGCTCATGAACCGTTCTCTTGACGACTTGGAGACGGTGTTGGCGACGGCGAAACGCGACTGGAAGCAGCTCAACACAAGTGCCCGCAACCCGTTGGAGCTCGCACTTCCGCTCTTGGACGACTCGTCCGTTGGGCTCGCGCACCGCTACGACGAATTCCAGCAGCTCGGGCGCAAAGTGGATGCGACGTTGCGGACGGCTGTCAAACAGCACTACGATGAGTTCAGCAACAGCATCGGGTCGTACGGGATGCTCGTGAAAACGATTTCTGAGTCGCAAGACGAAACAACAGAGGTCCGGCAGATGTTGGCAGAATCGTCACATGAGCTCAACGACCGCAAGGACATGCTCAGCGACTTGAACCAGTCGTCGAAGCGGTACACCGACATGCTTGTGATTTTGGAGGCGATCGAGGAGCTACAGGCGTGTTCGGAGCGCCTAGATCTGGCCATTGCCGAAAAGCGCTTCTTCCAGGCGCATTCCGTGCTCGCGAAAGCGTTCTCTGTGGCCGAAGCACACGGCCTCTGGAGCCTCACCGCGCTTTCGGGAACCAGGCAGCATCTCGAGAGCCAGGAAAACAACTTGTTTGACGTCATCATGGAAGAGCTCCACAGCGTGCTCTACTTGAAAAATGCTACGGATGTGCTGCGGTTGGTGCACACCATGGACCCATCGCTTGACCCCGCAGCGTGCACGTTCGACCACATGGACGTGGCCGATAAGGCCATGGCGCTTAATACCAAGTTGACAAAGTTCTTAGGTCAGACATTTACCAATGAGCTGCAAGGAGACGACCTTGGCCTCTCAGCCGATTTCTCAACCGACATGTTAGCTTACATCCGCTCGCTCTTGGCGGTCACGAAGCGAATGAACCGCTTAGACCAGGCGTTGCCAGTGTTAATAGCCAGACACCCCGCAGAGTACCACCAGATGGTGTTGGGGGTGACGAAGGAGGTGCGGCTCGAGTACGCCAGCCAGTTGAAGACGCTTGCAGGGCTCAGCGCGGAGGCACTGGATGTGGTGGGCGAGATGAGCGCTGACGTGGTGCAAAGTCTCTTTGCCCGGGTATTTGTCAAAACCTTGGTTATGCTCCAGGGGCACAGGGTGGTACATGAGACAGTTGCAGCGTTGGCGAGCGCGGGCGAGCGCAAAGAGATGGACTATTCGTTTAACTCTGTCTGGGAGCCCACCCGGAACGAGCTCGGCTCGTTGATTGTTGCATACATCAGCGACGACGCGGATGTTCGCGGGAAGCGCAGCTCGCACAAGAAGACGTTATTTCAGTACGCCAACATCTCCTATGCGACCGACAGCCCACACTCGCGCGACTTGCAGAGCTCGTTGCAGAGCCTATTTCCGGGCCTTGCGGTCACGGGGGCATCCTCGTTGTACCTTGAGAATGAGGCCTTTATTCACCAGGACACGTTGGTTCCAGGGAGCGTATTGCACATGCGTGCGATCTTGGACAAGTTTTTGGTATTTTGCACGGCTTCTGAGTTTGTGTTTCCGGTTCCTACCGTGGACCCGGCGCTTTTGTTTTCCCCGACAAAAGAGACCCCACCAATGGGCTTCTTCGCTGACATTATGGAGAGCAACTTTGCCCCGCAGTTGGAACAGTATGTTATGCTCCGTTATACAGCCCTAACCGATGGCTCGGACTCTTTCGACACCGCGGTGTACGATGCCTCTCAGCCACCGGTCTTCAGGAGTGCGATCGGCTTCCACAACATCTTCTTCGAGCTTTGCGAGATGTTCAACACTTCGGCCGCGTTTCGCCCGCGCTACACCAACATCGTGCTCAAATCGCTCCAGATCTTTACCGAGAAGTACGCGCTCTTCGCCAGCGAGTTGTTACCGGACGAAACATCCACGAGCCAGATCAGCCAGTGGATGCAAAGCGCTGAGCTCCATGATGTGTCCTTGGCGTTGGTCCGCGGCGAGGGCTCCGACCACACGCTCCAGCGCGAAATCAAGCTCATGCTCGCCGAGGGCATTGCCATCTTCAACATCGGCAGCCACGAGTTGTTCAAGGCTGAAGCCTTCGATCAGACGGCGCAGCTTCTCCACAGTGTCTCGTGGGTGTTGTCGTGGCTCGCGCGCGTGCGCTGCGCGGTCGAGGAGACGGAGCCGAAGGACGATTGGATGTTCTACGAAGCACCGTCGCAGTCGGACAACTCCGCCGTGTCCCTCAAAAAGGACCACATCTCCATCAAGCTCAGCGGGGAAGCGCTACAGGTGTTTGACGAGTGTGTTCTACACTTGGGCCTGCTTCTTGACAAGGCGTTGCTTACGTTGAGGTACGATTTGGGCTGCAAGGCGATCTACGGGATGGGCCGGTTGTTCAACCGCCAGGACTGGGCGCCATCGGGCGAGTCCAAGGAGTGCGACGAGGCTATCGTGACATTCAATAAGGATATTCTCACGTGCAACAACAAGCTCCGCCACGCGCTCGACCCAGCTCAGAAACGGGGCGTGTTGCTCGGCTTGCCCGAGTTGATCGACCAGCTTCTCATCCTCGGGTCCGATGTCATCAAGCTTTTGAACGAAAACGGGGTGAAGAAGATGTTCCTTGACATTTCCGTGTTGCGCCAGATGTTGCGCACCGTCACTGACAACCCCGAAGACGTGAAGTTCACCCTTTCCTTGGCATACTACGATTTGTTCAACTCGGCTGAGCGAGGGATTATCCAGAAGGTGAAGGATGGTGAGAGCTTCTTCAACTTCAAGCAGAACCGCAATATGCTCAGACTCGTGTTCAGCGAGAGCGTTCAGAGCCAGAACAATTTCATCAGCGGGAGGAACAGCATCTACAGTTCTGGCACCAGCCCGTCGATGAAAATGTACCACGAAGCGGTGAGCAAGTTACAGGAGGCCTTCGGTGAGCACTTGGAGAGATAAGCAAAGGGTATGCGGTTTTCCGTGAAAAATGTGTAATGGATGAACGACGTTAATGGTAGAGATAATAATCCTTGGGTTTAAAAAGAAAAAAAAAAGTCATAATAGTCCTAGCTGAAATTTGTAATTTCCGGTAATCGCTGAGAGACTTTTGTAGCTTTAGACTATTGGGCGTAGAGAGGCTTAATGCCTAAAGTTTGGTTCGTATAAGGGTTGGAACTTAGATATCAGTTAAATGTTAGACAAGTCCGTCACTAAGGCAATTGGACCTCAATCCCGGTGTCGATCAGCATGAGGCGTGCGGCGGTGATGTCGTCGCCCCACGGACCAAATCGGCTTGACGACCGTTTCACTTATGTCTATCGCGCTTCAGGAGTGAGAAGAGTCACAACCAACAGGTAGAACTTGCAAAGTTGCCTAAGGGTTAAACCGATGGATAAAGCCATTCAGCCGTTGGGGTATGAGCTTGAGAGCAAAGGGGCGTACAGGGCTCGTGCTCGGTTTTTACAATCGAATAGGTTTAGCTGATTGTTTAATGTGCACCTCGTAGTGCCCTGAAAGGGGAGCAACCATATTTAATATCTGAGAGCAGTTATTGCAAACTGAGTTTTAATCGCTGTTGTTCTTTAGGGAATATCTAGTATTCATGATTACAATCTCGAGATTAATGCCATGTCAACAGATGCCATCAAATCGCTCGCGTTCACCTATGGTGCACCTCTATAACCAGGACTGAGGCTTGCAAGCGCGCGCTAAAAGGCTTGTGTGAAACGCGCTGTGAGCAAGAAGCGCGTGGACGCAGCAAAAGCCCCCAAACTGGAAAATCTAATTGTAATGTATTCGCGTTTTCTATATCAGCGGGTTGATCAGGCCGTTTGTACTTGCATGCTGGCAGGTGCTCATATCGATCGAGTCCAATACTCTAGAGGATATGTAAGTCTCGCACTGAACCTTTTCGCGTACTCGTTAAAATCCATTGAGTCTGCCTTGGGGCGAAGTTTACGGAAGACCAGGGAACCGAGGGTATTGCAGACGGAGATTTGTCGAACCCGGCACAAGTTACTAAACCTCAATGATTTGTAGTCCTGTGCTGGTGCTCTTCACCCGATGTAACCCGTGAGTATTAGAGGGGTTTTGAGATAAGGTGCTTGGGGTATTTTTACCTTCCGAATCGGGCATTCATGGTCTAGACCGTGGTGCAGATAGTTGTCTCTCACGAGAGGAATAGAAGAAAGGATGAGTGTTGTATAAAAGCAAGGAACGGTATCTCCCGTCCATTATATAGAACTTCGTGGTGCCGATTGCCTTAACTTGCCGGTAAAAGGTGTTAAACTGCACCCGGTCTTTCAATTTATGTCTCCGTAAATTGTGTATTATGGAAGCCGCTACTCGAATAGACATTTGTATATCAAGTAACTGCTAGGGACATAGTCTCGAGCTATAGGAACTCGTAACATCTGTATTTATACTCGCGTTTCTAATATCCATTCGTATGGTGGCTTAGGCTGAATGTTGTCCTCACTCTTTTACGTCTGTCCGCCCGTGGGAGCCAGTGTTGACAACAATGCTGCTGTCTAGGTACCGTGGCGAGAATATGGATATTTTCATCCTTTAAGCTTGAACTTTGCCGGTGCGTGTTAGGACATCTACCAAAGCAGTCTTGTCAAGTACCACCAGATAGAGAGCAAGAAGGTTTTGATGACTTTGGGTGGTCTTGCCACTCAGTGCGGTTACAAGAACGATGCTGAGGTTGGAGAAACTTGCTAGGGCTTTGTGGGATACCCTGGCGGAAAGCTCCACCGCCAAGAGACCATTCAACGATGCAGTCATCAATGATTTTGATTGCAACATTGAAAACACCAGGTGGACTACGCTGCTTTTGTCAATTAGGTTCCATCTACTTCACTAAGGGCACCAAGTACTACATCTTTGCTGCCTCTGTTAACGGCTTATTGTCTAACCCCCGTGATAATTTAACTTTTATCATGTTTACAAGTATAGCATAAAAAGGAGTTTATTCAACTGGAACAATTGGGCTAACTAAGCTGCCAACGTTTCTCCAAAAAAGATCAAGATCCACGTTGACTCGTCGGGCTTGCCAAATGCTGTCGGATTTGGTTACGTTAACGCGCTTATAGTGAAAGCTGCGAGGGCTGGTCTGTTAAAGCCTTCGGCGATATGTCGTAGAATGCTTCCCAGGCTAATAACGATTTTGGGAGGTCCATGAATTGTATCCTTAAGATCAGTGGCTCCGCCATTTCTAGCTTGAAGGCTTCTGTCCAGTGAGTCACCAGTGAGGACCAATGTCCAGGGCCAAACGATGATTTACCGTTACAATTGGACCTACTATACCGCTGGGGAGATTCATCACGTCACCGAGTAATCCATAACCAGTAATACCTTTAATTCATTATTGAGCTCCCCTCTTTTCATCCCCTTAGATTGTCAATCTGGTATAGATCTTTGCCTCTGTGCGCGAAGTGCTTGTAGCTGACCTCCAATTCAGGTAGAGACTTTACACCTCTCCACACGAACAAGCATATACCGGAGAGATTTATCTTATTTGAAAAAGTCTTGGGTTTCGCCTAGTTCACTCTTATCACATGTGGTTGAAAGGATATAACTAGATTTATTGTCCATATTAAATTTTCGTATAATCATTTTCTTGAGATTGAAGAAACAAGAAAAAAACACGCTAGGCTAGTGTACGTGGAGTACGAATGCGCCGAGGGTCTATGCGGCTTCATCTGGGGACCGGACCAAGCCTTACGAGAGGAGCGTGACCAAGAATAGTATCGGATGTGTTTATGGCGGTACAGCTTAATAGGACTTACAATTACACTAGCGGATTCATGGCGCGCTCGGTGCTAGCGCCAAAAGATGAAATCTGATTTAGTACTCTCGGTCATTCCCCTTGCCATGTATACGACGTGTGACATGGAGCCAGACCTGATATGGCATTGCCCTAACGGGTTCTTGCAGCTAGATCAACGTAGCGTTAGACGGACCAATTTCCGGTAGTTCCGCCTCACTGGTTTACCCAACGTGCGGATTCGGATCGTTGTTACGCCATAAACTATATTGCAAGACCGCAGTAATTATGCGGTATAGTGTTACTTCCGCTTCTCTCTGCGGACCTTCTTGGATACTGTTCGCCTTGAGCTTACCTGCCTATATCAGTCATTTCACTGGAAAGCCGGAAGGAGATGTACGGATCTGGCCGAGCCGCACAGCCATTTAATTACCGCCCAGCATGTGTCCCAGAAAACTCGTACGCATGCATGCATGATGATCACTCTTTTCACACATGGCGAGTAGTTATTCACGAGGTGCGGCGTTTGGACTAATTTCACAAACGAAATTCAAGGGTGTCCACATGCAACTTCTATGTGGTGGCTGCATGGCAGTTTGAGTCTTCTAGCATACGAGTGCTGTTCATGATAGGTGACTGACACCCAAAAAGGTTTGCCTCTGAATTGCACGCACTTTTATGGAGGATGAGTGTAAGCCCGGAACGGAAATGCACATGCCTAATTCACGACCGCTGGATTACTTGGCATTGTATAGTCAACAATTCACTCACCAGATTTAGTTGATTTTTGGCTTGGCAAAGTTTTGAGCGTGCTTCGCCAGATGATGGTTGCCGGGGCTTTACGCGCGAATAGGGCAGGAGGCTCTCCCGATAGAGAAGGTACATACACCCAGCACCAAAAACTAGGCCCCTGCCTCGCAGGGGGCATACCTTCGAGCGCGCCTGCTTAGACCTTTCCTGTATACAGAGCACCAAACCTTGCGCAAATCTGTAGTTTTTCTCGAATAGTAAACAAACAATGCATAGGTGCATGAAAAGAAATACTGACTGTGCATAACTCCCTAGTTTGGAAAATTCTTACTAGAGATTTCGTATGCACCTCCCTCCTACATCACGCACGTCGGAGGGCCTCACCGTCGCCCTCCAATCGCTAGCGTTGTTGGATCGGAGGCGTGGGTGGCCCCTCTGAATGTCCACTGACAAACCAAACCACTTTTGCCTCGGAAACACAACCAGCCAACCCCTTTCTTCCTGGGTTGTCAGGTGAATGGTGGTAAACTTTCCTTTCGTAACGTAATAAAAAGCCAAGTACGCTCCTTTGACATTTCTGACATTTTCTGAGATTATCGGTTGGTTTTTGCAAACAAATATATAAGTTCTTCTTCTCTGTTGCCTGAAGCTTCTATCGACAAGAGTCATCACGTATCTCTACACATTCTTTACACCCCTTTCTACACTCATTTTTACTTAATACCCACTCCAATGTTGTCTCTTATCAAGTTGTTGAGCGCGTCTCTTGCGCTTCCACTCATCCAGGCTGTCAGTGCCTTCGACGCCAGTTCCAACTCTAACGTGGCCGTCTACTGGGGCCAGAACTCCGCTGGTACCCAGGGCCGCTTGAGAACCTACTGTGACGATAACAGCATCGACATTTTCCTCCTCTCGTTCTTGAATGATTTCCCAGCCACCCCGTTGGGGTTGAACTTCGCCAACGCTTGTGGTAACACCTTCCCAGACGGCTTGTTGAACTGTGACCAAATCGCCGAAGACATCACCTACTGCCAGTCCAAGGGTAAGAAGGTTTTGTTATCCTTGGGTGGTCAGGCTGGTACCTACGGATTCACCAGCGACGCTCAAGCCACAGCCTTTGCTGCCACCTTGTGGAACACCTTCGGTGAAGGTACCGCCTCTGAAAGACCATTCGGCACCGCCGTCGTCGATGGTTTCGACTTGGACATTGAAAACAAGAACCCAACCGGTTACACCGCTCTTGTCGACGCTTTGCGTACCACCTACTTCCCAAAGGGTACTAAGCAGTACTACATTTCCGCCGCTCCACAATGTCCATATCCTGATGCTTCTCTTAGCGATGTCTTGGCCAACGCTTACATCGATTTCGTCTTTGTCCAGTTCTACAACAACTACTGCAGCTTGGCTGGTACCCTGTTCAACTGGAACACCTGGGCTAACTATGCCGCGTCCGTCTCTCCAAACAAGAACGTCAAGATCTACGTTGGCTTGGCTGGTTCCTCTTCGGCTGCCGGTTCCGGTTACGTTGATGTTGCCACTGTCCGTAGTACTGTCAACAGTATTGGTTCTTCTTCTGCTTTCGGTGGTGTCCTGATCTGGGACGCTTCCCAGGCCCAGGCGAACAACAATTTTGCCGCCTCCATGAAGTCTATTCTTCTTGCCAATGCCAAGCCATCCTCCACCGTCACTTACAAGTCCGCCCAGATCACCTCTAACCCGGGCAAGGACGTCACTTCTATTGCTACCTTCACTACCGTTAACCCTGACCCATCGTACTTCACTTCTACCAACTCCGATGGCCACGCTGTGGTTTACCACTACAACACCATCTACCAGACTACTTGGTCCACCGTCTACGTCACTGAGGCTTAAGCCGACAAGACTCTGGTCTCTAGCCTGTGTTCTAAGGGTCTCCATTTTCACTATTCCTCGTCCTACCAAATCGCTACATTTGACAAGATGGATTTGCTTGATTTTGTTAACCTTTTCTGTTCATTGTCTTGATACCCCACTTTTTTTTACATCATCCTACTAAATAAGTTGCCTTAAAGGCTGCCATATGCTTAAAACTTAATAAAATATGTTTATTTTATGTCGCAGACGTATCTCAAGATCACGTATCCTACCGATGCTAGGTGCAGGACGCGTTTTGGGTGTGCCTCAACCTCGCGCGATACGATGATGCAGGTTTAAATGTATGGCTGGCCGGTGGCTTACAGAATTGAAGGAGGTTGGCCTATTCTGAAACCTCTCATACATACAGCGCTAATGGATCAGAGAGAACTGAAACGCGTTAATGTTGTGGTTGGCTTGCACAGCCCGGTATACAGGCCCTTTAATATCGGTTTGGCCCAAGGAGACCACCACACGGTTCAACCCGCATACGCGTGAGCTAATCTTTACAGCTGACGAGGATTAAATCTCGCTCTTTATGAATACGTCATTTCAGGCGTGGCTGGGCGTTTAGATACACATAAGAGAGGGCTCCGAGAGCATAGTGCTTCCGGAGTATGATTCATTTGATTCCCCAGGACTAGCAGCCAACAATCTATGAAACATTCATGCAAGAAATTAATAGACAAAGGCTTGAAGTAGATCGCTTCAGTCTAACATCTAAAGTTAAAGATGGTGATCAGGAGACATCAAACTATCTCGAGATCTATGCAGCATCTAACATCATACTACCGACCTACGGTGTATACATATGAAAGGGGATATCCAAAGCGTGTAAGCTTTGTCAATCAAGATGTCTAGGAGAACAGGCTGTAAAGCTGGCAGTCTAGGCAAACTGGAGATGAATCGAATTAGATACCCAGCTCCCCCCAAATTTATTAAGCTGACTTAGAAAACACAATATCTTGACTACAGAAACTAACCGATTTTACAGAGAACATTATAAATTAGATAGAGAAAATATTAATGATAAGAAAGCGAGACACATAATGAACGACATGCCACCAATTCAACCAAAGGAGGCGAAGTCTAATGCTCCACAAAGAGCAACGTGATGGCGCCATTTACGCACACATCTTTCCGAAAACAATGTTAAACACAAACCCAAGGCTCTTAGACAGAGTTTGGACCTGGGTTCATCTTTCTCTTACCGTTAGTCAAGGTGACGTTGATGAATCTTCTGGTGTACAAGATTCTCTTGTAAGCACGACCCTTTGGCTTCTTTGGCTTTTCTTCCTTTTCGACCTTTGGAGTTTGAGACTTAACCTTACCGGCACGAGCTAAAGAACCGTGAACTTTACCCTATAGACGTGTTAGTATTCAAAGTGGTTTGGGAAACGTGGCCGTATTAAGCGCGGAGCAACATGGTAGCTTCTGGTGTCGTCCAGGCAATATCCGGGATTAAAGTGAATCAGGAACGCGGATATCTGACTGCAAACTGGGATACCGTTACCGGGTGTTGGCGGGGACACTCGTCATTTGGACGGTTATTTGGTGGATTCTTCAAATGCGCTGGTGGCAAATTTCACCAGTTGTAGGCCCTCTGGAAGCCAGTCCTTAGACGCTTGAACGCTGCTGTAATACGGGGCACATCTTTCTGGAGGTATAGACATACCATTTTGAATGATTATTTATGTGGATATAGAGAGCAAGAAAGGGAAGAGGAAAAGAATGGCGTCAGTTATACCAAAATAAACGCTAATATTAGGAGGGAATCGCTAGTACTGTGCCCGTTCAGGCTCACACTACGTAGGGGGGCGACGGGTACTATGGGACTCGTCATACTGTCCGCCCCAGCCGCTACGGGACGTTACCCTCCATAATGCTCCCATGCTTAGTGAAAATTTTGCGTGCGAAATCGAAAAATTCAGAACCTCGAGCTGAAAAACTTTCTCCGTCAGTACACGACCTTCTGGTATTTAAGGGTACATGCAGGATATTCCACGGCTCGACAGAATGGGCTGGGAAAATCTGACAACTTAAGTGACTGCTTAATTACCTACAGGGTTTAACACGTGATATGCATTAGGGCAAGATAGCCGTTGCCCTGTCATCACATCGAAGGGGTTGCACCCTACATGCGACCTGTTAGGCATAGTAGTTTTAATTCAGTATCTGACCATTTGCATGTTTAGGCTCTCAGATTTTGTTATGCTATTATTGCAAAGTTTAAGCAAGTTAACCGCCTATTCCTTGTATTCGGATATATGTCTAGGTGGCCAAATATTTACTCTGCCAGAGCGCTCATCTCACGGATTGATTCGGCATCCAGCTACGGCGACTTGGTGTGAATATTCATTAGTGGTCGGGGGAGTTTTCAAATACCCAAAGTGACACAATAGTATCAAATCGAGCAGACCACGGTAACAAAAGTGGCAGTTATTAAGCAAAATACCGATATAATCAACGCAAGTACCCCTAAGCGAGACGCAGGGTAGTAATTCTTTTGTAGCAACGCCTGCACTTCAAAGTAGCGCACCACCCCGAATAGTAAACTGCAGATGCCAATGCCTATGAACAACGTCCCCAAGACTTTACCAGTGCTAAAGCTGGCCAAAAGTCCCGCTGAGGGCGATGATAGAATGCGGGCCAACTTTTCGTTGGTGACAGTGTTTGATGACTGCGACGATAAGCGGAACAACTGGGTCACACCGATACCAATCGACACGAATGCTAGACTTGTACGAAGCCACGCCAAGAATGTCCTCTCGTTTGCCATCTATAAGGTGTAAAGTTAGTGATATGCACAATAAGTAGGGGGCTCCACTGCAGGTTCCAGAGCTCGTAAACGCGATTGAACCCACAATGAGGATAAACTTACATGGTCTCTAGCAACTGAGCTCTTGTTTTCAAGGAGAACACTGGAGTAGTTTTTCAAATCAAATATGTTGTACTGGGTAGGCTCACTGGTGTTTTCCTCTTGAGGGGCACTCTCGTTTGCCAGAGATGCCGGTTGGGGAAATCGTGGATGCGGGGAGGGACTATTATCATGTCTGAATGCGGAGCTGCTGTTCTTCGGAAGTGCTAGCGATTGGACCAGAACGGCGGATGAATTAATCGAACGCGGTTTAGTTTTCGGTGACGGAGGATCCCGATCGAGGTGGCCCCCATAGACTGGAACGGACGATGAGGTAGCCATGGAAGAGGAGGGAACGGATGTGTGCGGGGTACGAAAGCCGAATGGGTTGCTTAACTGGATGGTAATATATGTGATTTGAGAAAATATCCGTTATCGGAAACTTTAATAACCTACTTGAGGTTTCTAATCTGGATTGAATCAGGAGTTGGACTTGAACCTCGGACAATTAGAGTACAAGTCTGATAACATGATGCCACACTTTTAATTTGTCGCGGAAATGGCGTAACCCGTCACGTGGGTCAATATCTAGACGGGACTAACACGTGATAACCCGCTTATCGCGACATACAGCTGGTTAAACTTGGCTTTAACGTCCTGTAGCTGAGGAGAAACGCGCGTCTCGTTGAGATTTCATGCATATGCAGTAAGTCTAGTTTCTAGCAGAATACAACACTGAAAATCCGCAGAGTACATGCTGTACTGTAATTTTGTGCATATCACAAGAGGGTATATTAAATACTATGTTCACCCCAAAAAAATCTTGACCGGGATTCAATGAACGACGCTCATTATCAAAGCAAGACGAATAATATCACCAAGATGGACACGGTCACACCATATACCACGTTTCCGTTATATCTGGGGTAGTTGACGTCGCCCAACCAGTTAGCCCCACTTCTAACCGTAACTGTAGCGTAGTTTCTCACCTCTCCGATGTTCCCAGTGATATGACCCATGCCCACAATTCCAATCTTTGGTTCAGACAATGGGCTTCTCGAGGCGCTAAACTTTTTAGTAAATCTGGTTTGGGTAGTTTTTATCTGCCCTCGGGAATTGGTTGTTGTTACCCACACCAGGGTAGGCTGTAGCTTCGGCTTTGCCTTTCCTGGAATTGCCATGGACATGGCTTGATCAAAGCAGAGAAAGAGAACAACAAAGAGGATTGAGTGACGAAGGGAAGGCATGATCACAAATAGCTGGCTTTACTTTATCGTCTATAGAAAGCTTTTCAAATGTGTAGTGGAAAAGGTATAGTTACAGGTGAGACTTCATGGATTGCAGTGGAACTACGGGCCCCAGAGGTTTATATCCGTCCCGCTCGATTAAATATGGTATTATTGGGAAATAAAAGATCGTAGATAAATGACGCCCAATACCGTAGTGCGTGTAGAATGGGGCTTCCACCTTCCGGCCTGTGATGCTGTGCTTCGAAGGGAATTTCGTGCATGCTAGCTCCAAACAGCAACCATCAATGACCACCTTAACGAGTATAATAAAGGTCTAAAGGGGAGTTATAAACAGGGGACGCTAGTTATATTGCTTAATGACTAAATCTCCATTCAGGAAGTATAATCCATACCGAAACAAACTATTCCATGCCAAAACAAACTATTACATGCCGAAACAAACTATTCTATGCTATGAATAAACGCCTAATTCATACCAAACTAAATTATGCCGAAATAAATATGAATATTAAATGCTGTAGAAAATAAGAAATTGTCATTATGTCGTATCCAAAGACTAGGCTTCGCACGTTTGCATCCCTATGCACTAGTACGCTCACACAGGTTGCGCGCCGCGCTACAAAAAGTAATCCGTCACCGGCTTTTTCGACGGGATCGATGTGGCATCCTGGATTGCCGCCTCAAAGATCTTGTACTCTCTGCTCAAATCTTCACCAATCGTCAATATCGCCGCCACATTCCCACATCGGTAGCAGTAGTTCGGGGCTGACCACACGGTCACCAACCCCTCGTCAAACATTTCCTTGTACCCCTCCATAACCAACTGGTGCGCGCGCGCAATGAGCGAAATATCGTTCCTCTCTAGAAACTTGGCCACCTCGTTCCCCCCAAAGAGAAACCCAGCGCCTCTGGGGCTGATGGCCCAGCCTGGCACGTCTTCGGGGTCCGACCAGAGCAAATCGCACATGGCGCCTTCATGAGGCACCTCCTGCTTCCTATCCAAGAGCCTGATCTGGTTGATAGCGTCGATATCAGGGGATAACCCCCCATGGATGCAGAAAACGCCGCCAGCCCCCCCGATCAACGCTCCCAACGACAAGTAGTCGAATACCTCGCAGCAGTAACGCCAAACGTTTGCACTCCCATACTTTCGCACACACTCATCGTAAAAGCCGTAGACCTGAGTGATCTGGCGCGACTCGTGGTTTCCCCTGATAAGAGTCATCCGGTCGGGGTAGCGCACCTTGAGGCAGAGCAAGAGGAGAAACGACTCGAGCGAATAGAACCCACGGTCCACAAAATCACCTAGAAACAAGTACCGCGTGTCGGGGCACTCTCCGCCGGTCTTGAACAAAGTGAGGAGGTCGTGTAACTGTCCGTGGATGTCGCCGCATACCGTCACGGGCGTGTCGACAAATTGCACATTGGCTTCGTCTAATAGTAGCTCGGTTGCCTTCAGGCACAACTCTAGTACGTCTTGCTCTGCTACGTGTCGGCATTCTTTCACGTCTTGTATGATTCTGGGGGGGTTAGTAGCTGAAGGACGGGGCACCAGCGCAATACATACTTGTCTAGATCTAGCATCGTAGGCGTGGGTGAGGGTAGTGCCGGATAAATATGCCGTTACACTCTTTCAGGTATCTGTAGTGTAGACTACGGAAAAGTAATTGGAGGTTAATGGAAGAAGCGATAACTGTCGCGAGTCTGGCTGAACTTATCGGTTGAGGTTGTCATCGCTTACAAATTTCAAAATAGATCGCGCTGCGGTTTACACACGCACATATCAGAAGGGTTGAGGTATGATCAATTACTGGGGCTAAAAAAATGCCAATCAGCTCAGTGTTAGAATTGCGTTTTTTTTCTGTCCAGGTTCCCTTCCCAGGTGGTATTTATCCAATTATTTATCCAATTATTTATCCAATTATTTGTTCATAGCATTCCCGATAGAACATCGGAAAACAGAGCTTATAGCTGTTGCCGTATCTTTTTTTTTTATAAATCATTATCCAGTCCGGCGATTGCGTGGACCATTTTGGGATTAAGAACGTTCGATAATTTTTTTATAATTCTAGACTGGGTGCACGTTTGCTGACTTTTCAACCAATGTATCGCCCAGTAAACCGTGTCGTTAAGTCCGCCCTCAAGCTTACAGCACAGTAATTCATAGCTATATCTATTCATATCAACCTTGCTCGATCTACGCACTTGCACTTGCCCTCTCTCTGCTCGGCAACGTATACTTCATAAACGACCTTTGCAACTGCTTTCTCACACTCACCTTCTGCGCACCCACGAAACTCTCCACCGACACCTGGATCGCCTTGTTCAAATCGTGTGGTGATACAAACTCTGACAAGCGCATCTTGGCAAATGCCTCGGCAATACGCAAGATCGACTCCAAGTGACGTACAGTGATAGGGAAGGAGCCGGTGCTGATGCTCTCGCGACGCAAGTCCGCGTACACACGCGCAACCTTATCCATATCCATCTGGTGGAGCTTCGGATGGATTTTAGCACGCGCGTAGTGTATATACTTGGTAAGGAACTCCTGTGAGAGCGGCGAGATCTCCTGCTCCTTGGCCTGGTTGGCCTGAGCGATGCGACGTGCGCGTGCGCGCACAGCTTCGGCGGTGTTGCTGCGTGTATCGTCAATGTCTTCCGCATCCGCGCGCGTGTCCTCCGCGGGATGCGAGCGCATGTGCGAGTCGAGCACGAAACCAGCAAGACGCTCATCGGACTCCGGATCCACCGTGTCCCTGACTACACACAAGATGTCAAAACGCGACAAGATCGGCTCGGTCAAGTCCACGTTCTGCGAAAGCGGCAAGGTCGAGTTGTATCTTCCCCCGTTGGGGTTCGCGGCGGCAATGATTGCGCACCGCGCCTGAAGTGTTGTGACAATCCCCGCCTTCGAGATGGAAATACTCTGCTGTTCCATGGCCTCGTGGATCGACGTTCTGTCCTTATCGTTCATCTTATCGAACTCATCGATCAAACAAGTTCCCTTGTCCGCCAACACCAACGCCCCGCCCTCTAGCGTCCACTCTCGGGTGATAGGGTCCTTGCGCACGGAGGCCGTCAAACCGACAGCAGAGGCACCCTGACCCGTTGCAAACACCGCGCGGTGCGCCGTCTTCTCAATATACTTCAAGATCTGCGACTTGGCGGTCCCGGGATCACCGAGTAAGAGCACGTTGATATCACCCCTGATGTTGTGCTTCCCGTTGACATCCTTGGGAACCCCACCAAAGAGCGAGCACGCGACGGCGGTTTTAATGTCGGTGTGGCCGTAGATGGAGGGCGCCATGGACGCGACGATTTTGTCGATCGCACCGCGCTCGCGCGCAAACTTTGCGAAAGCGCGCTCCTCGTCCTCTGTCCACGCGAACGCATCCAGCCCCGCGCCATCGCGGCGCTTGACCGCATTTGCCTCGAGCACCGTTGCAAACACAGGGAACCCGTTCTTCGCGTTCAACGACCCATCATAAGAGTTCTTATAAATCCCGGTGATTTCCACCTCTTCGCCAGGCTTCGCAACGTCCACAAGGTCCCAGAGAAGAATCACCTCGCGGTGGCGCGGAAGCCGCCCCGCAGGCACGGTCCCGGGTGCTTCCTGCAACGTAACCCGCTGGTAGTTGCGGTACAACGTCTTTTCTGTATTCATCCGGAAAGGCCCGCGCGCCTGGCAGTTCAGACACATGCTCACACGCACCTCGGAGTCGGACTCCTGAAGGAACGGCCCGATGACGGCCCCGCACTTGAGGCAGTCAAACTTGACGTATTTAAGCTGGGGGAAGACACCGGTACGACGTGTGACAACCCCGGAAATGCGCACCATCGTGTTCAAGTTGTTCTCGCGCAAGTCGCGGAGGTTGGTCACCTCCAAGAAGTCGGTGATGCGCACGTGGATCTCTGCATGGATATGCGAATACTCCGGGTAATGCAACTCTGTCGCATCCATCGCGACAACGTCAAAGATCTTCAACATCTCAGCAGGACACACCGCGAGGAACATCGCCAAGATGGCCTTGGATTCGGCCAAGTGGCTGTAGGAGACCTCTAAGGATTCAGAATTGACCTCACCGAGGTGGCGGATGCGCGCACCGTAGACGGAACGCCCCTCTTCATCCGTGTATTCGAGTAAAAACGAGCGGAGTTCGCGCGCGATCGAGCGTGCGACGGCTGCCTGTGCGATCCACGCCGGGATGCTCAGGGCTTTGACGTCCGCGAGCGCTTCGAGCGAAAACTCCTCGCTCAACGGATCGTGGTCCTCTGCCGCAAGGTCCTCGTCCTCGTCGAAGCGCGTGGTGCGTCGACGCGCCGGCTGCACTGGGAGCCCGTACTCGTCCACCTCGCCGTCGCGCGCGCCGTCATCGAGGAACGCGCGGTCGCGTGTGCTGCCGCGCATGAGGTCGTCACGCCGATCGAGACGTGCGTCCACTGCGCGCCGTTCAGCCGCCCCGAGCTCCTCGTACTCCTCATCGTCGAGGTTGCCCGCGTCGTAGTGGTCCTCCGCCGTGTTCGGGCGGTAGTCGCGCATCATATCGTCGCCAATCAAGTCGACACCGTCTTCATCCTCCGCGTCTTCGAGTTCGTCAATGTCGAAGTCGCGGATCTCTCGCTCGTCATCCTCAAACGGAATCGCCGGCGACGAGGGTGGTAGCTGCGGGCTGGAGTTGAGAGGGGTGCCCGCAGGCGACGAGGAGCCGGCAAAGCCCATCGTCTCGTCCTCGTCCTCGTCTGCTTGTCTCTTTCTGGGGTTAGACATTGTGTAAATAGGCTGTGTAAAGATTTGTTCTGTGAATGAGAACAAAAGGCGTGTGTTGATATGGGATAGAGGTTTGGTTTGAAAGGTGTGGAGCTTTCGCGTGGTTTTTCACGCGTCGAATTATTTCCCAATCGGGCTTAATTGCAAACTTACCCGGCACGCGCGCAGACGTGAAAATCACGTGCGGGGAGAAACACCTGGTGGGCGATGACAGGTTAAGGATATGAATATTTAAGTTAGTCGAGAATTACGTGAGTTCAAGAGATGGCTTTGTTAATACCGAGACAAATCGATGTAATCCAGATACGTGTCACGTGCAAGCTGTGTCATATAGCTGAATTAAACGTGGATATAGCTACACTTTAGAAAAACATAAAACTTGATACGTGAACAAATTCTTTTTAGCCAGATCGAAAACAGCTGGAAAAGCAATTGGACAAACAGTTGGAAAAAACAACGGGCAAAAAAAAACAAAAAAAAACTACCAGAACGAGCACCAACCAATGTAATGCTGACACAAATTCTCCACCGATGTGGCCTGCTGGATAAGCCGGTCCACTTGCACGGGCACGTTCAAATCCCGCATGCGTCGGATATCATTCCCGGTAAGCTTATCCGTAATTCTCTTCAACACCAACAACGCTCTGGCATTTCTGATTTCCACCTCATGCTGCTTTGTCAACCGCGTTGCCTCCGCCTCGTCGATTTGCCCGCGCTTCAACAACTCGCCAGTGTTCACCTGCGGTAACTTGATCCCCGTGGCATCGGCAATGGCCTGCGTCGGGAAGTCAAATCCCCAGTTGATCAACGGATCGTAGGCAAAAGCCTCCAAAATGGCCATCAACGACTCCTTGTTGTCTCGCAACACCCGCATCACATGCTCACAGGTAATGCGGAAACTCCCTTCGATCCCACTCACCTCCATCGCGTAGGTCAACATACGAGTGAGTCTGAAGGGCACCTTTTCTGGATACTTTTCACGGAGAATGGCCGCCTCGAAGCAGTCGCCAAAATCAATGTGGACAACCTTACCGGTAATGCGATCAAGCATGAGATTCGACGGGTGGCGGTCGCCGAGGCCCAAGATGTAACCTGCGATCGACATGACTGCCAACGAACGGGTGTAAGTGGTACGGCGGTCGAGCCACGATTCGGACGACCGCGACTTCAACCACAACACTTTGTAGAGATCCTGGCCGCGAGTGCTGTCCAACGCGTACGTGAAAACCTCCACCTTTTGTAAAAGCGTGAGGTGGTCATAATCGGGCGCCATCTGCAACATGAGGCGGTGCTCGAGGTTCAACCAGATCTTGCGCGACTCACGGTACTCCCGGATCAAGACGTGGAAGGTGTCACTGTTCGGCACCCACCTGAGCAACCCGGACTTGGGTGAAAGCGGAATCGCTGGATACTGCTGAATGTCCAAGTGACGCTTGAAACACTCGGGGTCGTTAACTAACAAGGTATTGACCAACCCAAACAACTGCATGACCAAGTTATCCTGGCGGATATCCTCGTGGCCCTTCAACGCGTACGTGTAGTCCTTCCCATCGCTACCCTTGCAGCACAACTTTCTCGGCCGCTGCTTGGACGAAATGACTGAGAAGGTGGGCTCAAACTTGATGATGCGGACCACAGGCTGCCCGGCCTCGTAGGTCCCCGGAGCCGCCAACTCTAAATCACTAGCGGCAAGTAACTTCGGCGACACGTACTGGAGCTCCAACGTCTGCAATTGGGGTAACTGGCGACTAATCCGCCGGAACACATTGTAGTAGATATCCCAGGCCTGGTTGAGGTTGGCCACGTCCTTGGTGCGGCGGAAGTTGAGGACCCATTCGTTCGCGTCGTTGAGGTCTCGCCCGAACGCGTTCTGGAACGACACCTCGCGTAACGTCTCCGGGCCGCGCTCGAGCATCCGGTGCAACGGCTCCAACACCTCATACATCTTTTCTGTGTTGTGCTCGCCGAAGAACAACCGCGATGCATCCTCCAACCCCTCGTACCACTGCTCGTGCCACAATACCGCCACACGGATGAGCTCCTGACTGACCAACTCCGCCTGCTCAACCAAGTTCGCACTGTGTACGCGCATCTTGTCGATGATCGACATTGCCGCCTTTTTGCGGCCCACACTCTCCCCCTTGATTGCCACCGCGAGCGGGTACACCAACGCCTGCGGATGCGCCTTGCCCAAGCCGCTGAGCAAGCCGTGCAACGAGCGGCTAACGGTCGCGTTGGGCTGGTGGATCCGCGAGATCAACTGCGGCACTACCTGCAACCACGTGTCAATCTTGATCATATCGAAGCCGTGCGCCATGGCCTGGTTGGCATCCTCCTTGCCACCGTACCGGAACCACAATGTCAAGAGGCGGAGCGTGTCCTGGAGAGAGTTGGAGTCCGAGAGTGCGATCGAATGAAAGAACCCGGTGATGGCCGGGATCACATGGCGCTGGACCAATTCGCGGTGGCGGTCTTCGTCAACGCCTTCACCGCCTTCGAGGTGGCCGATTTCTCTCTCACCGCGCTCGTTGCGCTCACCGCTGAGCGAGATCACCTCGAAGTTTACCAACGCCCAGTTGTGCCACGCCTTGTACCACTTGTCGTCAAAGTGCGTTGCCAAAAGATACGACCCCAAAATCACCTCCGAGAGCTCCGTCCGCCAGTTACTGTTCAATGCGATCTGCCACTCGCCTTGCTTCAAGAAACACCGCGCAAGCAACTTGGTGTACTCCTGGACGTGTTTTGGCCCCGAAAACGGAAGCGGCAGCGTGATCAAGTCGTTCGGGTTCAACCCGAGGTCCTGCGACATGCGTGTGCTAAAGTCGATCAAGTGTTCGAGCGCCTCCCTCCGCTGTCCCGACGTCCACATGTACTTTAACTGCGCGTACACCACCTGTGGCGGCGCGCGCGAGTTGGGGTTGTCAGGGTTGCCCTCCTCCAACAACGAATTGAGCGACTTCTCCGCCAAGCCAAGCCTACCGGACTTGCGGCACAAGTTGGCAAACTTGATCCACATCTCCATGTCCTGTTTCGGCTTCACCACCAAAGCACGCACCTTGAGCATCCGCTGCCACACGTCCACGTTGCGCTGACACCCGAGCAACCGCGTGTTCCAGGTCTTGCGCATCACCGCACGCTTCTCAGAACCCACAGGGAGGCACTTGTACTTGATGATCTCCTCGAGCTCCGCAAGCATTTGTACGCGCACTACCACGCCATAGGCACGGTTGTAGCTCTCGCTGACCAACGCGGTGATCTCCGTGACGAGGAGGTCGCGTGCCTGGAGGATGTGGTTCGACGCCTCCTCGAAATTGTTCCGGTGGAGACACAAGATCGCGTCAAAGAACGCCTTATCCGGCGAGTCCTCCTTCATCACGCCTATGTACGTGTCCATGCGCTCCCATTTGCCCAAGCCCCACGCGGCCGCCGCGGCCAACGGTGCCACCGCACGCCGGATGGAGCTCGATGCGTTGATCCACCTCGCCTGCGCAAGCTCCGACAATTGCTCCCACTCCCCAAGCGCGTGCAAACAGCGCATCTTCCCCAAGGTGATTTCCATGGAGTGCGGGTCGACCCGCTCCCTCTCGTTGTACGCTTGCAACGCGTCCTCCCAGCGCTGCAACTTCTCGTACCACGTCTCCTTCAACTGGAGGTCATGGTGCATCTGCGCGTGGCGGAGGATCCCGACGGCCGCGTCCAGCTGCTGGAGCTGGTTGTTGATGCTGATTAATGCCTCAATCGTTGGCGTCGACGGCTCCTGGATGAACTCCATCTCCTTGTAGTGCAACGCCTTGGCGTATGCGTGGCAGCGCTGCGCGTAGCGGCCGAGAGTGGGCACATCGATTGGCAACGGCTTGTCGTCGTGTTCCATGAACTCCGCGAGATTGAGCAAGATCTGGTGGATCTCTGGCGGGTTGGATGAGGACGAGAGTGCAACACAGAGGGCCTGGATCAACTCTTCCTGGTTCTTTGGGAACAACTCACTCCAGCAGCTCGCGAAACTGGCGTTGAAGAGGTCCTTGGCGAGCGGGTAGTAGACCGACGCAAGCACCGAACAGGCTCGGAGGGCGTGCGACGGCGACTCCTTGAGCAACTCCACGCTCAACCGGCGGATCCACTCTTGCCAGTCCTCCTTGGTGCTGCGCTGCGACGCGTCCCACGCGTTCTTGAGGATCTGCTGGTTAACCGGCAACTTTTTGTTGGGCATTTCGGCGTCACTGGCGTCCGGCTGCTGGCTGCTCTCGTATTCCTTGTCTACGATGAGGTTGCTGGGCAACGGCTCGCCGTGGAGCAACTTGTTAACGAGCTGGTCGTAGATGTTGGCCTGGATGCGCTGCTGAACCAACACCTTATTGATAACAGGGATGAACACGGTAAAGTCGTTGCCCATCTGCATCAACAAGAGGCTGACGGTGTTCATGGTAGCCTTGCGGAGCTCCTCGCTGTTGTACGACAACACGCGCAACAATGGATGGATTATGCGTGATGACATGTCGCTGAGACTGACGTTGCGTGACAAACGGCCGATGGTCTCGATCGCCGCCTTGCGGAGCGGCACGCTGCTGTACTCAAACATCTTGACCACGTTAGGGATGATGAGGTGCACGAACTCCTCGATATTGGCACCAAACACCACGAGCGCGCGCAACACGCGGAGGCTACTCGTCATATTAGTGCTCTTGTCGTTGCCCAATACGTCGAGCAAAAGCGGGAGAATCGCGGTCAAGTACACCTTGAACTCACCGTCGAGTGCCTTGGATACGGACTCGACAAGCGAAATGATGGTGGCCTGCAAGTTTGGCATCTTGACAAAGAACTCTCGCACGGCCTCGAGGATCTCGTTGAGGTACGGCCGGATGTGCTGCTTGACAATGCGGATGAGGTAGCCGAGCTGCTGGAAGTAAAAGTCAAGCATCGACGGCGGACACGTATGCATCACCGTGATGACGCCCGGGATGATCTGCGCGAGGAACGGCACGCAGCGGAGGCCGAGTGTCTGGAAACTGTACATGACGGCCTGGATCACGGCCGTGTGGTGGGTGCTCAACGACGGATCCTTGAGGATCTTCATGAGCGTGGTGATCACCACCGTCGGGTAGTACTCGTCATTGGACGGCGACATGCCCTGCATCAACAACGCCACATCCACGGGCGGCGCGTTCTGTTCCACCACGGGAATGTTCTTTGAGCTAACCTCCACCTCGCGGTGCTTGTACGGGTCGAGCGCACCCAAGATCCCAACGAGGCGCACGGTCTCGCGACGGATTGTGGCGGACGACTCGGACTTGAGGATGCCCACGAGCATGCCGAGGAGCTGCGGATAGTCAAGCAACGGCTGGATCACGTACCCGGAGCTACTGGTCAATTGGCCTAAGGTTCGGAGTGCGGCATCGCGCTTGAACGATGACGACTGGTCCTGGAAGGTGTCCAAGATCAACGGCATCAAGTCGGGGATGAACGGCTTGAGGTCCTCTCCACCGACGACTGCAAGCTCGCCGAGCGCAGTGATGGCCGCGCTCGCCACCAACAGGCTGGCGTCGCGTGCCTTGGGGAGTAACGCATCGACGATCGGCTTGACGTACGGCCGCGTGATCTCCTTGGATGACGCAATGAGGAGACTGAGGAGCGTCGCGCTCTCCTCCTTTTTGCGACTGACCGTCAGGTACTCGAGGTCCGTGAGCAACTGGATAAGTGTCTTGCGCAACGACGGCACGATGTACGCGGGATTTATCGCGGAGAGGCGCCCGATGATGCGAATAGCAATCTTGCGAATCGCAAACACCTCATCGTGGAGGCCGATAAACAAGAGGCGCACGTTGTCGGCCTGCGAGAGTTGCAGGTCAAAGCTCTCGCCGAGTGCCAGGAGCACCTCTGTGCGGATCTCCGGCACCGGGTCGGTGATCGCAACCGAGAGGAGCTTGTCCAAAACCTCGCACACGGCCAGGAGCGCGTTGGCACTGGTCTGGAAGCAGATGGGGTCGCGCGAGAACAAGCGGCACGACGCGATGGCCGCGGTCTTGCGCACCTCTGCACTGTCGTGCTCGATGTAGGAAACCGTCACATAGCGCACGAGCTCGTGCAACGCGTAGTCTTTGAACTCGAAGAACATGGCCATCTGCAACGCCTGCACGATGATGGCGGTGTCAACGGTCTCGGGCGTATCGTACGGGCCGTGTTCCTCCTTGGCAGCCATACCGGCACGGTACTCGCGTGCGGCCACGGGGTTCATATGGCGTGCAGCGTTCGGCGCGCCCGGCGGCCGGAACGCGTTCCCCGATAAACACAAGCTCAAGAGATTGAGGAGCTTTGCGTTGATGAGTGGTTCGAGCGGCGGGATCTCCTCCGCGAGGATCTGGAGCGTAGCCTGCATGTGTGGCGATAGCGCGCAGCCTAGCATCATGTCGAGGATGTCACGCTGGAGATGTTTGGTCAAGGCGGGGCCGACGGCCGACGCGAGCTTGCCGATGCACGAGAAGATGGCCTGCTCGATATCGCGCTTGTGGCGCTGCTTGAACGAAAGGCCATCGCGGATGTTGTCGAGAATGGCGTCCATGTAGGTGGCCATCTGGCCTTGGACCTCGAACGCAATGTTGCCGATGGAGATAAGGATCGCGGGCTTGTCCTTGTCACGCTTGAGTTGGCCGAGGTAGTAGAGCAACGTGCGGTGAAGGTACTTGTCGACAAACTTTTGCGGGTTGAACTTTGCGAGAAGCGGGATGATGGCAATCACCTCCTGGCGGATCACGTCGACCTTGTAGTCTTTAAAGCGCGCCGCTGCCTCGTACACCATATCGTACTTGTCGGAGACAAAGATGCTGTTGGGCGTGAGGAGCTCGCGGAAGCAGAGGAGCGAGCCGTGGATGGCCTCGTTGGTGTTGAGCTTGAAGCCAACCATTGCGCCCTCCATCAACCGGTTGAACCATGTGCGGCGTAACGCTGCGTCACGGTCATACACGATATCGAGGCATTTGCGCAACGCAAGCGCGGCGTCCGTACGTATTATGAGCTTGGGGTCGCGGAGCGTGACCCAGATGTGCTCGAGGATTTGGTTGACGTACACGTAGAGCAACGTAGGACTGTTGTTGGCGATGGCAGTAATGACAAGCACGGCAGCATGGCGGCGGTTCTCCTGGCGTTCTGATTGGAGCCATTCGATGGACTTTTTCGCCTCAAATTCGATAAAGTCTGCGGTAAGCGTCCCTCCAGGGATGGCCAAACGCCCGAGCGTGTGCGTCGCGGCGTACATCACTTCGAGGTCATTGCACGGGATCAAGATGCGGAGGTAGTTGGCGTAGCGGTTAAACATCGTGGCGTTCTCCTCACCGCCCTCAAAGTCGATAAACGCATCGATGGCGGCAATCCCACCGAGCTTCTCGCTCTGGTCGGAGGAATGGATCAACTCAAACACCTTGTTGTTGATGTCCTTGTTATAGCGGTTAAACTGCTCGGACAGAAGGTCACGCGAGATTGACGTGAGGTGGTTACGGAGGGCCACCAGAGCTTGCTGGCGCTCGCTGGCGCTTTTGGATTTTAGCCGCCCAAAGATCTGGGAAAGCGCGAAACTATCCATTGGTGGTTTGTGAGAGGGAATATACGGGCTTGTTGGGGGTGAGTATATGGACTGGATGGGTTTCTGTGGCGAAATTCAGCGCAACTGGCAGCAATGGAGGGGGGAAGGTGTAGATGGTGTTGTTGGAAAAAGGTGGAATGAATTGGCTTTGATATCGGGCTGATATATACCTGCCGTCACATAGAGCGATTTGGGGGAGTTACCCGCCAGCGCTTATCTCACGTGATGAATGCGTGTGGGGGGGGCATATCACCAAACCATTGACCTCAATGGGTGATGTGTATAAAATATTGTGAGTGAATAAGATTCAGTGGTATATGGGTAGTTTAAATGCCAAATTTTCGTTTTTTTCATTCATTTTCTGTATCTGCCTGAAAAATGATATGTTAACGTCAATTGTAGTACTCCTTACAACCTGTTTTTGAGAGATTTCTCATGCACAAGATATTGTCATTCGCAGGAGTACTGTTACATTATATGAATTTACGCCAGTGTAAGTTTCAATTATTACCCTGAGTGATGTTTGTTATAATAAATATCGATAGAAACTGTTAAATGTAAAAGTTAAATCATAGTCGACTATAGCATTTATGTCTATCCACCACGATCTGGAGTTGACCAGTGTTCGGTCAAACCCATAATCTCTACGTCTTATAACTATCCTTTGACAGTGAAGTCTATTGGTCCTGCCCCCGCAAGCTCATCTGGCGGATCATCTCCATCATGTCGTCATCTTGACTTCTCGCGGCGATTGCTTCCGCCACCAAATTATCATCCACATAGTCCGTGAAGCGTTCGACCTGGCCGCTCTTGTCCGCATGCGGCGGAAGCACATCATAGTCAAAGATCTCGTTGTCTTCCCAGACCTCTGCCGGAATTTTGGCCATCAACTTGCTCTCGCCGGACAAGATAGCGTGCCTCAACAAGTTTGCCGGAATGAGCTCCGTCACGGCTGCTTCTTTGGTGCTCTCTACCTTTGTCCCTACCAACAGAAGGAGCGTGTCGTGCAAGAACTGGCGGTGCTTGGCCTCTGACCACATGGCAGCTGCACGCACGAGATACGTCTCCGTCGCGAGTGCCACCTCCGGGCCAACCTGCAACAACTTGGGGTCGATTGGAACATGGAACGCCAAACCCACGGTTTCCAAGAGCTGGAAACCCGTGTAGGGGTATCTGGAATATGCCTGCTTCAATGCCGCGGCCGCCTGCACTGGTTCTTCTAGGTACAAGAGCGCAAGCACCTTGGAGTAGGCAAGGCCCGGGGTGAGCCAGCGGGCGTATGTCGTCACCAACAGCGAATCGCACAAGCGAACCAAATAGCGGTATTCCCCGCTCATGATGGCGTAGAAGTCAATGAAGTAGCGCACACCATACGGGTCCTCCGCTGGGGCGAGCGATAGCAACAACTTGCACCATGTGAGAGCCGTGTAGAAGGTTGACTTCTGGGTCAACACCCCGATATAACGGAAACACGCGAGGTAGAACTGGCGGTTGAGCGCATACGCAAACGGAAGACGGACCATCCCAGAGCCAAACTCAAAAAACTTCGGGAACGCGCGGTCAAATACAAAGAGCGCGCGTTCTGTCAAGCCGCTGCTGTTACTCTTGTCGCCTTGTCTAACGAGAATGGTGGCCACCTGGATGAGCGTCTCCACGTGGTACGGTGCCAGGTGCATGAGCCCGATCAACGCCTCGTGGTCAGGCGTGACAGCCGTCGCGACATAGAATTTGGCATTCGTGAGACGATCATCGACGTTACGCGTGAATTTGTAATACTTGATCCCGCGGCGTGCCTCTTCGGCGACTTCATCTCTGATCACATCCATCCAGTCCTCAGACTGGCTCATCTTCAACTCCACTAGAGCTTGAGCTGAAATCTCCTCCATGCCCACTTCTTTCCGTGGCGACGGTAGCCAGTCGTCGCGGATCTTGGTGAGCACAAGTTTGCGTGTGGTTCCAGGGATCGAGCGGCGGTCACTGCCACCCCAGCCGCGCACGAGCTTTTTCATCTTCTGGATCTGCTTCATTTGCTCGGGGGAGATAAACGACGAGGATGTGGAGTCTGCATCCTCAATTGCCTCTATCAGGAGGTTCCCAAACAAGTTGCGGAACTCTCTGTCGGGGTCCAAGTCGCGTGGATCGAGCGCGAGAAGCGCGACGCAGCGCGCGAACCGAGCGGGCGTGAATACCTTGAAGCATGGATCAATAACGTCCTCAGACACTGGCAGAGTCTCCTCGTCCTCCGAATCAGCTTCCTGGACCTCTTTTTTCTCTTCCTTTACCGCGTACTCCTGCAAAATCCGATCGAGCTCCTCGTCGCTATCCACCACTGGTTGTTTGCTCTTGCGTGTCTGTTTGATCTTTCGGGCCTTTTTCGGTGCGCTGATCTTTACCGGCTGCGGAAGTGGCTCATTGGAGTCACCCTGCAGGCAGTCCTCGTAGTCTGTGCTGGTTTCCTCTTCTGAGGTTTCGCCACCCAAAAACGCAAACGCGTTGGTCTTTGGCGTGTACTCTTCTTCAGGTTCACTTTCGCTGGAAACAGGCGCAAGGCTCTTGAGACGCTGTTTCTCAAGCCTTCTCATACCGCGGGAGCTCATAATGGCGGGGGTGTGTATGGGGAAGAAGGAGAGCAAGCGGTTGAAAGGTTGTCCATCGATTTTTTTTTCATGTAGGAACCAGCCACGAGCCCTTGCCACAGTATGCAGGTCTACCAGCCACAGTTGTCGCGGTAAGGGTATTTGTTAACTGTTGAATGTGTTCCTTTCCTCGTAGGTATTACAACATCATATAATTGGTGGTATGTTGACTTACGATGAACTAATAAAGACAAAGAGGTAGTGTAGCTCTGGGCACTAATTCTCTGGTTTCCAGACTAACGTCTAGTCCCCCTTTCTATCATTATATGCTTACTGTTTATACCCTATCAAATATTATTTAAAACTCATAGTTTCAGATCATATTTATCCCCCTACAGATTATATTTACTCTTTCCCGGGGATCTGTGGAATCCAGCCTCTCCCGTCGAGCCTCTGGTAGCAGTCACGCTCCAAACGGCAGACCAAACTCTGCGACTGTTCCACCCCATCACGTACCCAGACCCCCCAAGAACCCATCATGTTCGACATGAGCATGTCTGTGAAGAGCCTGTCGCCGACTACGGCCACCTCATGGGGTCCTTCCACCAAACCCTGGGACTGGAAGTACTCCATGATTTCCGCGTGGCAGCCGGGCTTTTTAGTAGAGTGACGCAAAACGGTCACACCGGTGTCGCGCTCCAACTTTTCGGCTTGTACGTGGTTGATATCGTCGTCCGTACCTGCGGAGTTGCTGACAATCAACAAGCTCTCCTTGGGGTATTCGTTGCGGAGCCTCTCCCATACCGCCTAGTTGGTTAGTCTTCCATCAATGAGGCCATAGCGTTTACATACCGAGTAGGCTGGCCAGACCTTATCGTCATGGTCTTTGGCGAAACAGTTGTCCTTGTCCAAAACCACCGCCTTGATGGTGACATTCGCCGGCTGGTGAGGAAACTGTAAGGGAATCGGCAACGTCTCAAACGTCGGGATGATGAGGTTGGGCAAGCACAATGCGGGGTTGTAGAGTAAACGTGAGACGTTAATACTAGCACTTAGGTTTAGTTTGGTCATTGGTGGGAGTGGAAATAATATGGTCTGTGTCTCGTACTGCTAAATTTCAGTCTGCATATCCGGTAAATAGAGACCGAGGTTGAGCCCTTAACACGTTGATATATGATATAGAGCGTGCTATAAGATTTATACTGAAGGTCAAAAATGAACGTGTAAATAACTGAGATATAGGAAGGAAATCTACCACTAGTAATGATATCCTAGGTTCTAGCTTGGAGAGTTTTCCGTCTTTCACTAACCAAAAGCGTTGATAACCTCATACTCAACTTTTAGTACCAACTGGCTTCTAGCATTTAATGCTCACAGTATGCCACATATTAGCTCTCCTTTGCAAGTGAACTTCCCAGCTAGCTTTCTAACAAAAAATAAATAAATAAACAATGAAACCTTGCCACGAAACTGAATTTTCGTGTTTTATTCATATGTCGGTCACAACCCACCACTATCCCAGCATTTCAACGCTCCCCTCCATTGGTCCTGCATGCTCTCCATTTTATAAGGCGGATTTTTTCGCAGCCGTAACTCAGCGAAAAATCCATCTCCCACCTCAAAGCTTCAGCCCAAGCCACCCTGGCCTACCATTCAGTCATTTCACCTATTTCATCCATCGGTCTCCCGGTCTGGCCCCTTTCTAGCTCACCAACCACTTTCCAGATCCTAAAATGAGCAGCAACCCCGCCCGCCGCCGCGCTCCACGTAAGGAAAAATCCGACAAGGTGCACACCAACGGCTGGCGCCGCAACGAAACCACGGGAACCGAAACCGAAGCCTTGGACGAGTCCGAACAGTGTCTCATTTGCGCCGAACGCATCGAAATCGCCGCCTATTCCCCGTGCAACCACGTCACCTGTCACAAGTGCACGTTCCGCCAACGCGCACTCTACGGAAAAAAAACCTGTTTGGTCTGCCGAACCGAAAACGCCACCCTTGTCTTTTCCGAAGACGGTACCAAGTCCTACGATGCCTTTTCCGCCGGTGACTTTGTCGACCATAGCGAAAAGTTTGGCATCAGCTTCACGTCGCACTACGCACGTGACGCGACTCTCGGGTTGCTTGATTTTGCGTGTGTAAAGTGCGGCGAGAAGTTCGCGAACTTCAAGAAGCTCAACGCGCACGTGAAGGAGGCACACCAGCTCGAGTACTGTCATCTCTGCGGGACCCAGAAGAAGGCGTTTTTGTCGGAGTTGCGTTTGTATACCCGTCACCAGCTCCAGAAACATCTCTCAGCGGGTGATGAAAGCGGTTTCACCGGTCATCCGGCGTGCAAGTTCTGCTCCGGGATGCGCTTCTACTCAGACGATGAGTGGAATGACCACATGAAAAAGTCGCACGAGCGCTGCCACATCTGCGACAAGTTGGATCCACAGAAGCCGCAATACTTCAAGAACTATGACGCAGTGTGGCGGCACTTTGAGGACCAACACTTTACGTGCGGGGTCAGCACGTGTCGCGAGGCTAAGTTTGTGGTCTTCCAGGACGAGTTTGAACTCCAACTCCACATGTCGAAGGAACACCCATCGCTTATTGGGAATTCCTTCACGCTAGGCGGTGCCAGGGGCTTCCGTTCCGGCTTGTCCACCTTCCAGCCTAACGCCTCCAACAGCAGCTCCAGCTCCAGAGCCCCCTCCAGGAGTTCTAACCGAGGCCCTGAAGAGGTTGTGGACTCCTTTGAAACCAAGCAGATGCGCCTCGAGGAGCGTGCCAGACATTACTTGAACTACGCGACGCGCGACTTCGAGACGTTCACACGCACAAACGCTGCGTATAAGAGCGGCGATGTGTCTCTGAAACAGCTTTTAAAGACGTACAACGAACTCTTCACCACCGAACAGTCGGACATTGCACTTCTTTTAAAGGAGCTCGCCGAGTTGTACCCCGCCAGCTCTCCCAAGCGATCCGCCCTTCTTGACGCTATGAACGATTTGCAAAAGCACATTCAACAGGAAGAACAGTTTCCAGCCTTTCCGGGTTCCGATGAGTCGCTTCTCTCGGATACCGCGTCTTGGAGAAACAAGTCATCAAAAAAGAGCGCCTCTCTCCTTGCCTTTCCGCCATTGCCAGCCAGTCCGTCCTCCAGGCCGGCTGCGCCGCCGGCTAGACCGGTTGTGGGCAAGGGAAGCGCCCAAAAATTTCCTCCGTTGGCAGGAGGGACCCAACCGAAATCAATCTTTGCCCCAACTCCTACTCCCCCGATAAGGTATACAACGGTGATCAAGAAAGGCTCTGGGTATATTAAGCCGCAAGTCAACACCTCTCAGGCCTCTGCCAGTTACAAACCATCATACTTGACGGCCAAACCGAAATCCGCGTCGCCATCGCCTTCGCCGACTCCGATCTTAAGCGTGGACGGACTCAATCTCGGTGTTTCGTCAAAGAAGACGGTTTTGGATGATCCCAAGTTCCCTTCCTTGCCTGTTTCCACCAAGAAGCCCATTCCGCGAGTTAATCCGATTAGTATTGATCCGAGCAACTGGGGGAAGAAGGTCCCAGCCCCGGCCCCAGCCCCCGTTCCGGCCGAGGAGAACAAGGGCAAGAAGAAGAAAGGCAAAAAGCAGATTTTGTTTCAGATCGGGATCTAAGACGGAGACGGTTAACCGGAGGTGGAAGGATTATATAGAACTGGGAGGTATTGGGTTGAGATATTTTTAGAGGTACCCTGGTAGATTTCTGTTATATACTTGCCCAAAAGCTGCATCGGCGTTAATTCATTATTTATTAGATTAGCGAGTATTATAGTGGAGTTCTGTATCTTTTCATATTAACCGAATCGGTATGATACCTAAAATGTTAAAACTGTGAATGACAAGTGGCAGCCTAAATCCATTATACTGTATGGCATTTCTCGATGAGCTTCCCCCTGTATTTAGGTGTAGGAGATTTCATGCATAATTTTTTTTTGATAATTTTCACTGCCTGCACGTAAAAATGGCATATATTTCAGTTCTGGTTGTAGTGAGCACCTTTGAAAACTACCATCTATCACAAAAAATGGCGGGCAAACCAACCAAAGCAGGTAGGCCAAATAGAGAAATCCTTTCCGGTGGTAAGAAGTATGCCACTAAGCAAGCCAATAAGCATCGAGTAGCGGAGGTTGTGTTCGACAAAGATGCCAGGGTCGAGTACTTGACGGGGTTCCACAAGAGAAAAATCGAGCGCCAAAAGAAGGCCAAGGACTATAACATCGAGCAGGAGAGATTGGCTAGGTTGGAAGAGAGAAAAAAGATGAGAGAAGAGAGAAAGAAGGACGTGGAGGACCAGTTGAAAAAGTTCAACGATACAGTCATGGAGCTCACCGGCGGTGTGCAAGACGACGACGAAGACTGGAGTGGCTTCAAGACCGAGAAGGCCGCTAAGGACGAGTCTGAAGATGAGACTGATGCTCAGAAACAGGTCGATGAGGCGAACGGAATCCTCAACCGCAAGGAAATCTACATCGCTGACAACGAGAATGCACCTGTTGCGGGCGAATCCACCGTCACCATCGAGTCGTTGGACCCTAACGCCGAAAACTTGGCGTTACTTGCAAAGGCCAACCACATGGAGTATGGGAAAGCCGCGGAGATGGTTGAGAAGGACGAGTCTGCGGAGTCCAAGGAGGAAAAGAAGAGGGCAGCGAAGAAGAAGAAGTTCCGTTACCTCTCCAAGGCCGAGAGAAGAGACAACACTCGTAAGGAAAGAAGCAAGAACTCCAGACCAAAGAGAGACGCTCCGGGCGCTCCAACCGGGAAGAGCGGTAAGGGTGCCAAGGGTAAGGGTGGTAAGGGTAAATAAGCATTTCATCTGTACAATATTAATAAAGCATAGCCAATGTGTTTTCAGGCATAAACTAGGTGGCTTTAAGGCCGGAATATGAAGCTTACAATAAAAGGTTAGTGTGTTCATCTAACTTGGCATTCTACCTTATGGTTAGATTAGGCTAGAGAATATATGGGCAAAAGACCGTAGCGTATTCGACTTGGGCTCTTGAACTGCGGATGATACCAAAAATAACATTGTACATTCAGCTCTCACCCAGCACCTTGGATTCCTCGTTCGCAAACTAAAGGGATAAAAGCAACCATCTACTGCTATATCTGAAATGAGACCTCAAAACTATCTAGCCGGACTCATGGACGGTGCACTTCAATCTTGTCTCAGAATTTACATCTTGACAATCTCTACACCAATGAAATTGCAGTCTCTAGTCTTTATAATATACGCTTGTATCATGTCTAAACTTTGGATTTACGCTGAGGTGAGATCCAGAAGCGAAATGGAGCTATCCCCCGCACTCACCAACGTGGTGGCCTCCATCTTGACCCACTCGGTCTCCACTCTGATGAGCATCCACATAAAGCGTCTGCCAATCTCAAGCAACTCTAGCACAAACACGCCGTACTCGGAGGAGTAGAGAGAGGTGAGAACCATAAAGGTGGAGCTGTAGTCACTCGGCAATAACCGGGTGAGCCAGATGAATCTGAGGATAAAGTCCACCACGATCGCGGTGAAGTAGATCTGGCGGTCGCCGAAGTGCAATACGGGTCTCAACAACCCCTGGGACCGGTCGTTCTTGAGCCAGTAGTTGAAAAACTTGAAATTCCAGTCGTGGGTGACGTCCCAGAAGAACGTGTAACAGGAGTTGACCAAGGACATGGCAAGCCACATCCGGAAGTAGTACTTCTTGGCCTCCTCGGTTTCGGCTCCTTTCAACATAATGCCCGCAACCAAGGGGAGGAACGAGGTGGAGTATTTGATCGCGTTGTACAAGTGGTTTAAGTTGGTGTTATCCGACGCCTCGTACTCGTGAAGGCACTGTACCAAGCGAATGGCGGTCGGATACGCCACAATCAACGAGTCGATGCCGTACCATGAGCCGTAAGTTCTGTCCAAGCTGACCTTTCCATCCACAGGGAAACAGGTGGTGCCGATGAATAAATGGCAAACGTAAATAAGAAGATCAAGGATGACCTTGGCGTAGGAGGTGAAAGTGTCAGACAAGAGGATTTCGTTGTTACGAATGGACGGGTTGATACCAAAGGCGAGCATTCTGGAGGCCGTGGACCGCAAGCGTCTCTTCCCAAAGCCCGTAGTGCTCACGTGGAAGAAAACAAAGTAGAAAATGGCCCCGATGGCGAGTAACGGAACCCAATCGATCATAGAGATGGTAGCCTGGCTTTTGGCAGGGGCAAGGGCGTATGCGGTGTAGGCCAACACACTGACTGTGGTCACCTGAGAGACGATAAGGCGGCAGGCACGCGGCAAATCGACATTCGTCGAGATATGACTGTCAAATCCAAGCACGCTCAAGGCGTTGATCCTTGTTTTTTGGAAGATTTGGATGGCCACGTACCAGAGCCACACCCCGACGTTCAAGAGGAGAATGATGCGGTACGGCAATGGGAGGAGGGTGTCGATTTCCCATTCATTGCTGGAGGATCCTTTATCCATAGCGGGGTTTGTCTTGTGCCTAATGGGGACAAAAGTCTTGCAAAGAAAGAGTCATTGGATGTTGTGCGATGTTGCAACCATAAATATCCTGCATTAGACACGTACACCTTCGCGTGGAAAATTTTGGCGATGCTCTACAAGATAGCTATAGCCGATTTAGTTTATTAAATAGATAGATCCATTGAATATTCAATACCAAAGTGCTAGGTGCTTCAGGCGCAGTAAACCGCGACTTACCGGTTTTAATCATTTCCTTATAAAGGTTTCAGGATTAGCATGGAAACATCACTAGCAGATAGGCACCTCGGCAGGGAACGACAATGGATAAAAGAGTCTACGGGAGAATAGGGATCAATAGCATATATTACAGACATGGATCCTAAAGGTGTTAGTTGCTGACCCAAAAAGTACTTCGAGAAGGAGGACGCTATTCATAAAGATGCAAGGAGCGTGAATCTTATTCTTCAGAGTTCAATGTGTTTGGCATGAAAAAATCGAATCGGTCATTATGTTTCCGTTTGGGGCGACAGCTTGTCATCAGGTAGAGATTTATTCTCTGCATCTTTAGGCGAATGGTTGGAAGGGTTCGGTACATACTAATTATTTCTTTTGGGCGCAGTTTACACTGCTCCTTTGGATTTGTGTTAGAGTAGAGAGTAGTGGAAGTTTAAGAGAGGCCCTAAATTTATACCTGCGTCGGAGATGGATAATAAGTGAAAACTTTCAGTGCGTTACCCGCCTCTAATATCCTGCATATAAACAATGCCCTACTCTTTTTTTCATATTTCTGAGCGTACTGGGGTGTATGAATGTATATACAGGATAAGCATCTCCGTGATAAAAATTCGTGGTTAATGAATCTACCGCTTCATGACTAAAGGACCTGACATTCTGCTTTCAATGTATATAGAGTAGAGCTCACTATGGATATTTTCGCGCGCGTTATACGGCTATTTACGAGTCATATAATGTTACATATTCTATCTACAAGTATTCTAACTATAATAACATGTAATGATAATAACCTGAACCTGAAACAAAGCAACGAGATAAACTATAATGCGGTTCGAGAACCAAAGATGGAACACCACAGGAAGGTATGTGCAAACGGACACCTGAGGCAAGCCAACGTGCGAATGGTTGAATTTTTTTTTTAAAAAAAAAGATAAAGGAAGGAAAAAGGAAGATCAGACGCGGCGCGCAAAGGACTGACCAGAGGAATGCGGGATGAATTCCACGAATAATGAGGCTTAGAGAGGGTACACCAGATTGGAGTAGGAATCAAAACAAAACAAAAAAGGTGAATGATGGTATCAGAATCGGGGAGTACCAAGCGGCACTGATATTTCCGAGATGTATATCAGTTTGCTCTCGTTATTGAACGTTATAAATGGCACCAACACTCGCTTTTAGCATCTTTGCCTCTCTGGCACTCGTTTGTTCCACTATCTTCACCCGATAACCGTTAATATTCATGCTGTATGCTCGCTAGTAGAACGCCCGCAACGTCTGTTCATCCGCCAAGTTCTCCTGAACCACAAAGTAAATCTCCATCAACATGTTCGGAAACCGTGAGTTAAAGTATGCGTAGAAACCGTCCGGAAGCGGACCCATCTCCTCCATCAATGCTTCGGGCATGTCATTAAAGTGGTGATACTTGTTTCTGAGCGCACGCAACAAGTCCATCAACTTCAGCCCGTGGTACTTCCTGTACTTGCCCAAGTTGTCAAGAAACAATCTCCCGAACTTTGCCCGCCAGTCTTTGCCCACAACTTGTGGAGCAATCTCTTCCAACTTAAGCAAGAGAGGGCTAGGCGGGTCCCGGCGTTCGACCTCGAAGCGGTCGCTGACTTTGAGCAAGAAGTCAAAGCGCTTCTCGTACAGCCAGAAGTACGGATGCTTCATGATCTGCAGCGAGTCGAGGCGCAGCCGCGGATTGCGCGCAATCATGTGCGCGATCAAGTGGCGTGCCTCGAACGCATCGGGAAGCACGTCCAACAAGTCCAAGCAGTACTCGCCCTTGATGATGTTCCCCTCGCGGAGATATCTGTCGCCGAACGGATGCTGGCCGCTCGTGAGCACATAGTAGAACACACAGCCCATGGAAAAGACATCAATCGCGCGCGTGAGTTTCCGCTTGGAGAGCGAGTCATAAACTAAAGGCTCGCTGGCTCCTGTAGCGTTCATACCAGGAATGGAGTGGTTCAGGTCGGACGTCATGGTCCCGTTGGTGATAATGTTATTGTACACGCTATCGTGCTCATCGACGAGCAACTCTGGCGCTCTCCAGCCAGCCGTGCCCGCCGCGTTGGCGGTCGTTGCGCGGAAACTCGACTGGTCAGCCTCAAGCTTCTTGCAAAGACCAAAGTCCGAAATGAGCGTGCGTGGTGGCACTGCCTCGCCTCGGTGCCGGTGCTTTGGCGGCGCCACCAAGATATTTTGTGGTTTGAGGTCTCTGTGAACAATTTTGAGCGAGTGGAGGTAGTTGAGGCCGCAGGCAATCTGATACAAGATCGTGTTCGGGCGCATCGATGAGAGCTCCGGGTACCGCTGGGCTTTCTCCACCACATCCTCCAAACTGGCGCTGCAGAGCTCTAACGCAATGTAGAGGAACTTCTCGCTCTCCTGGGAACAGAAGTAGCGCACCACGTTAGGGTGGTCGTCACTTTCCTGAAGGAGCGCCACCTCGTGCTGCGCCACGTCAAAGAAGTCAAGCAACATGCGCTTGACCGCCACAGGGCGGGACTCAAACGTCCCTTTGTACACCACCGTCCCGTGCGAGCCGTAGCCGAGCACCGTGTCGGAGATGACCAAGTTCCCGGTAGACGAACGAGAGTTGGCAGAACCAACCTCTGAAAGCAAGGAGCCCTCCGACTTTGTTGAGGAACCAACCTCCGAACTGATCGAGGAGTCGACTTCTAAACTGAGGCTTTCCAGAGCTATCTCCGATTCCTTCTTGTTCTTTTTGCCCCCACGACTACCGCGCTTGCGGCGTTTGGGGCCCGCATCTTCGGGCGAACTCACCGCATCCGTGGTCTTGGAGATCTCGCCGTGGTCGAGGATCGTCACGCTCTTTTTACGCTTGTCATCGGGCTCGGGAGTGGAGAGTTCTCGGGCCAGGTCCACCTTCCCCGTATCAGGGCGCAAGGCCAGATCGCTAAACTTGATAGACGGAGCTGAGTTATCGGCCACATACGTGACCTCTGTCTCGTGGCCAATCTCCCGATCTGTCTCCTGCAGGTCCTGCCCTTTCTTCTTTCTCGCGGCCTCTTCCTCGCTAAGCATCTTCTCGACGATCTCGATCGCGTTCTGGGTCCGTCTGAAGAACCCAAGCTTGACCAAGATCTTGGTGAACGGTGGGATTACCCCCATCTTGCCCAAGCCCACCATTACCATCACCACGACTAACGTGGTGACAGCATTCTCCACGATCCGGAGAACAATCTTACCCAACGACATGGTCAAGTAGTCTTCGGTGATATCGAGGGTGACCGGCTGGATAGGCTTGGGTATCCTCTGGTGCCCCCACGGAGTAGTCGTCGTCGTCGTCGCCGGGAGGTTTTTCAGAATTGTGGCTGCAGGGCTCGGCAAGCGCTCGCGGGTATGGGTGGTTTCCAGGACAAGCGACTTGTGCACGCCGTTCAACGTGAGGTTCTCAAAGTCCGGCGACGAGGGAACGTCACGACTGTGCCAGCGGCTGGAAGTCCAGTACTGCGATCTCGGCGCGGACGCCACGAGCAACGGATAGTTGAAGCCAGACATGGCGTACCACGAGCCGGTGGACGTCTGGTCGAGGAACGTGCCATAGTCCGCCTTCGGGTTGAACGCTTCAGAGTCCGGCTTGAGCGGGTGGGGGAGCACCGCGAGCTCAGCGCTATGCGACAGGAAGATATCAAACACGTTCACGGCAATCGCGGGGAGCCGCGATACCCACTTCGGCGTGGGCAGCTCCAAGTCCATTGCTAACACTGACGCGTCGTAGTTTGGCGCGAGGAACATATCGCGCGGGTACCGACTCTGCTGCACCAAGTCCTTGTCCATGTTGTTAGGGCCCCAGGACGCGTACGTGACTTTCCAGGTAGCCTGGTCCTTTCCTTGGTTTGATCCTTGGATTGTGAGCTCGTAGATGGTCTGGCTCACATATACATGGGGCTCTTCTGGACCCCGAGGGTCCACCGGGCATTGCATCGACGGGGAGCCAGGACCGTAGGTGCCCAAGACCTCGCCGTCAGACACACGAATGTCGTACAACAACGACCGCATCGCACCGGTGTAGATTTTGTCATCTCCCGATAGCACAAAGGGGGACTCGAGCACTAAGTGCTTGATACTGACGGGGAACTCCTGGAGCCCCATCTCTTTGGAGAAGTAGTAGAGTCGGCCGTCGTCTAGGGGCTCCACCGCCCAGATGACCTCGGACCGCTGGTCTTCGGGGGATGTGTGGGTCTGATTGACGATCTGGACGAGCGGCGTTCCGGGCAAGGTCCAGAGCACCTCGCCTGTGGTGCGATTGAGCCCGTGAAGTGCCCCCTCAATGTCGCTCGCAAGAAGCGTGTCTGTAACGTCCCAGGCCTCAAGCGGGCGTGCATAGAGCTCTGGGAGGTTGTCTAGCGCGCGGAGCCCGAGAGTGTCCAGTAAGATTTCTAGACTGGGAGTGTTTCGTGCGTACTCGCCAATCTCCGCCGGTGACGCGAACGTGGCGACGGACTGACAGAGCGCAAGGCAGAATAGTAGTAAATAAGGCCTCATCTGAAAATGTACAAAACAGGGGGGGTTTTTTTGGTGGGGAAATTGACCCAGGGAGTGTTTAAGCGAACACTCGATGAATGCGGGATGATCTGATGGGGTTTGGCGGATATCCGAGATCAACTCAGGATGATCGCTCAGTATATGGTAAAAAGAAAGAGACTCGGCTGTGGGTGCACTGAAATAGCCAAGTTACTTGGATTGATGATAGAAGATCAAGTCCAGCTTGGCTTTTCGACACGGTGGATACTCAAAGACAGTATCTATTCGGTAAACTGATCGCACCTGTATATGTGGCAGACCTGAAGCGACTTTCAGCAAAGAATGGGTAGTCTGTATATCTAGCAGACCTGGAGCAACTTTCAGCAAAGACTGAGAAATCTACTGAGCTCAATTTTTTTTTCACAGTCTTTTAGTAAGGACAAGATCGGAGAGTGTAGGGTCTCCTGATACAAAAATGGAAGGGGTGTGTGGATATGTGATGAATGGTGTGTCGTGGTGGACGTAGTTGGGACTGATTACCCCTTCTTGAATTCGATAATTCAATGGAACTCTCTTCCTCACCTCATGCACAATATCCTCACGACCGCAGGTTTGCCTGCACGTTAGCAGGAAAATTTTGTCAGTGTCACGTGCCTTCCGCGCTAGCGATAACGATTCACATATGAGTAGTTACTTTATATTGTGCCTATGGATATGAGGGATCGGCTAGTTATCTGCCGTATTGAATAATATTCCATTCTACGATTTCCAATGATGGAAAATAGTGGAAAAGACTAAGTGGCTAGTGGGTTGTTTTATAGCGATCTGGGCATTGCCGAAAGTTAGACGCCCGCCCAGGCTGCGGGAGCTGCATTAGACGTTTGCCACAGGATGTTTGCCTTCTGATTCGTCGTTACCTGCAGTTTTAGAGTTGCGTAGATACGGATGATGCAATCACACTCAAAGGTATACGGTAACTCACGCAGAATCGGAATTAGAGCAAATCTGTAGACATACATGTTTTAGCCGAACGTCACTTAGATGGGGAGGCCGATCTTGTGAACCCTTGAATTCACGAGGAAAATAAAGCCTTTAGAACGTTCAGGGGCAGTGTATAAAACCAGAATGCCCAGCATTATGAGAATCACTTTTCTGCGGTTGCCGAATCTTTTCTCAGGGTTTAAATCCCCATCGCCAGCACGGCCATCAGCCCGAGAAGACAGAACCAAGAGGTAGTACAACCCTGTAGACTCTATACTATGCTTACAATCATACCATCTTACTTGGAAGCTAGTCTAAGCATTGGTCCATTGAGCCCTACGGTCATTCATTATAACTTGTGTACATCAAACCAGTGGGGATAGAAATGGCTCCTAGCCATCGGATTCTCTCGACGGGTCCAATAAACTGCCTCCAGGGACACGAGATAACTCTCGGTACGCAGAGTCATATTTTCAGAACTCCATCTCATACCCTAAATCTGAAGGTGGCGTCTCATAGATACGCATTTCATCGGATGGTAGTGTTTGCTTTTATACTACCATGGGCAGTTCACTCCTCGTTTGGCTCTACGCCCATCTCGGTAAGCACATCTGCGATTCTCAAACTTCTCTGCTCAGCGATCATTGTCACCATTGCTAGAGCTGCATCTCGTACCCCGTTGTATCGGTTCAAGTCTGTGACATGACGCTTAACTACCGTCTCTGGCGACTCGGAAGACCTAGAGATGTTAGTATACCAAGTTTAAAAAGAACGTCTCGCGTTTTCATACTTATATTGCTCCAGAAGCTGTTCGAACTGGAGCTTAAGCTGGGCCAATTTCACTTCCTTTTCCGCAATCCGCTTCTTGGAAGCCTCAGGGGTGGAAAAGGGCAGGGACTTGAACTGGCTGCGGTACATCAAAAACGTGGGTATATACCACACTGTGACTATCCGAGTGTAGAAAGGGTACAGTGAAAAATGTGCCTTGAGTGGCAACTGGCAGGTGAAAAATGCGCGTCCCTGACGCGTTAAACGCGGCCACGGGCCACAGTCTAACGTATAGTTGATTACTGTCAGGCCACAGAGTAGGCAAAAGTCATTATACCAGAACGAATTGGTTGTTAAGCAGTTATTTAAGCTTAATGGGTATCTTGTCAATATCTAGCCCAAGCGTAACGACTTTTATAGGCTATTTTCCCGCACCGGTACCTAGCATCGAGAGGTGCTCTCGCACAAGTCCCGTTTATATCCCTTAGATCCATCCGAACACCCCAGCGGAGAGATAGTTCGGAATAGGGGTTATATTTACGACGTTGTATTTACAAATATATAGCATTAAATAAGCCATTTGGTCTCAGGAATATGATTCAACGTCCGACGGAAACGAACGTTACACCTCTAGTGTATCCACGTTGTAACGATCAACAGAGACGCTAAGCGAGTCGTTGGAGCATGTCATGGTCTTGGATGTTTATGGGACTCTGGATCCTTGCAATAGACAGCACATTTTAACGCACGTTCCATCTCAGTCACCGCTGCAACCTCCTCACCCCAATGGCAACAATTGCTGCTCGCAGACAGGCTGCCGACAGAGCGGACACTCGGGCCGTTCGCGGCACCAGTCACCAATGCATGACCAGCAGAAGACGTGACCACACGGAGCACAGGTGGGCTGGGCCATGTAGGACAAACAGAGCATGCACTTTCGAGAGACCTCCGGAATATAGGGCAATGCCAGCGGGTTTGCCAAGTCGATCCCATCCTGTATGCGTTTTTGGAGCCCATAGATACGGGTAACCTCACCAGGGGGTTTCTCTGAAAGCGTCACGGCCCTATTATGACTTAACACGTCGTTGGAATACCTAGCTACGGCGCTGACAGCTTTGAACGCTAGCTGGGCAAAGATTAGCCCCCCGAGGAGCTCATAGTTGCCGTTGGCGAGCTTCTCCTTGTCAACCTTGTGGCCAAACGCATAGCGCAACCCGAAAAGCCGTTTCAGGAGCTGGTAGTACTTGCCGGAAAAGTAGAACAATCCGATGTGGAGATTCATGATAAGGTCTAGGATCTTTGCGTAGGACAACTGTGACACTGCAGATCGCAAACGGAAAACTAACAGATGGATGAGGGAGTGGTTCGCTTCTTTCGTTTCAGGCTGTTGCTGGGGCTTGAAAAGTTTAACCAAGCGGCTGACCACATAGGGAAGTAAGGCGTACGAGGCGATAAACCCGAGTTTGGAAGCCATCCGGGGAAACTTGCGGCCTTGACGATTCACATACACCAAGTCAACGTACTCTTCGCCGAGCGTTCTGGCGCCGAGAAGGGTTGTCACCCCTAAGTAGAGCGCCTTGGCAAAGATGGTGATCTCTTCCGGGTGTGTGTGGATGAACCGTTGGCCTGTAAAAATCTGGAGCACGTCCTGGAGCTGACTCCGGAGCGCCAGCTCAAAGTATGAGTCCTTTTGGTGCGCCCGCACGATGCTGGGTGCGTTGGCAAACTCAAACGGCGGGTCCATAATGTGTTGGAAGATTGAGAGGCGTTCGGTTGAGGAAGTCTGTTTGAAGAAAGTGGCGGTATATTGAGCAAGGCCTTTAAAATGTGCGAATGGCTGATAGAGCATCGAATTGTTATCGTTGACTTTTTCGTCCCCACATTTTCGTAGCCTGCAGCTTTCGCTAGCCGAACCCCGAGGGCTCGTAAGAATGTGCAGACCGGCGGAGAGACAAATGCTTATCCAATCTATGGTGGGACGTGGATTTATTGGCAATTTGGGCTTTCACGGAGCTTATGTTGAAGAAGCATATATTAAGTTTGACGCCGCTGAAATTTGGCGACTGTAGAGATAATATATACATAAGTGGTACCCCTCTACCTTCATAAAAGCCATAACCTTGCAAATAAGCGTCTCTATTACATCTGTCACAAATTTTTTTTTTTTGAATATCGTGCGAGCTAATCCATAGACTCGATAATAGCTGTGGGATTCAAATACTTAATTACTGTTCATACCCTTTACACGCACGCCTCCACAACCCATTCGCAGTGCGCGACCAACGCGGGATACGTTGCCTTCACCGTTTCAGTCAAAGTAAAGTCGTCCGTCCCCCAACGAATCAAGCTGTAAACCAACCCGGCTAACTTGCAATCAACCATACCAGGTGTCTCGGCAAAGCCCTTTTTGTCGCCCAAATACTCGTTCAACTTTGCCAAGGCACGGTCAGCGTGCTCCACCACCTGAGCAACCTCCATCTGGACGTCAAACCGCGCCGGAGTCACTCGTCCTACAAGCCGCTGCCGAACACGCTCATCCCAGAGGGCGGCCAAGTTCGGGTGCCGCAAATGGAAGCCGTTGCGCTTTACCAAGCTGGCCATGCTGTTGAAAACGGATATCCGGGAAAACCAGGAGGCGTCAGTGACGTCGTTGTACACGCGCAATCGGGTTTCATCGGAAAGATAAAAGAGAACGAGTATCATCCAGGCATCATAGACGGTGGAGTCAATCAACTGTGCAAACATCACGTCCTGGCCCTTGAGATGGCTTGCGTTGAACGCCTGGATAGTCTTGAAGCCACGCACCACTCGACGTCCCTGCTTCTCCTCAATGAGAATCGGCAACTCGGACTCTGCGCTCGCGTGGTGGGATAAAACCATTACTGAAGACAAAGAAGGTGTGGCAATTCCTGAAGATTGCGTAGTACATTTAGCCAGAGATATATTGGTAGGTACCTTGACCCCGTTGCGCTGGCAGAAGCTCAACTGTTGGGACAAGCAAAGTGGATCTGAGGCTAACAAGCGTCCCGTGGTCTTGTACTCGTGCAATCCGTAGACACCCAAGACGGCCCTGGTGCTGGAGGGCTTGGCGCCCACGAAGGCGTGGGTGCGGGCGGCAATGTGACGGTCGCTAGCAGGAGTGGAGCTGGGCACCTCAGAGAAGGTTCTTAAGGGAAATGTATCAAAAATAGCTTTGATTGGTGCCGGGACAGTTTTCCATGAAGATTCTGTCATTGTGGGAGATAGGGCGTTGGAGTGAGATGAGAAGGCGAAGTGGGGTCTGTGAAGTGATTCATTTTTCACGCCGCACGAATTAATTTGGAAACAAGGTGGAGATGGCGGATACGAAGCCTGGAGATTGATTTTTTCTCTTTAAATTGTGGATATTCCAGTAACCGAGAGTTGGTAAAAGGGATACCATCTGGTTTATAAATTATTAAACACTTTGGGTGATTTACTCTTTACGGCAGACTAACAACCGATATCTGCCACAACTCTCAATCCATGTAACGTGCTAGAGGGACGTTCCGAAGTGGGGAGAGCGGGAGTTGAGTTTAGTTTTCGGATATATAATTCAAAGTGTAATTAAAAAGTCGATGTGGTACTCCCAAATAGATGATTATTTAGAACAATACGTAACCTGGTTTGTGTGTTTATGCCTGCTGATTCCAGCACAAACACGTTTGACTTGGGTAAGCATAAAGAGGTCTAATATTCTTAGCAAGACAAGATTTTTTGGGGGAAAATCCACGCCAGAACAGATCTTAACATCTTATTTATTATCTAATTACTTAAAATACGGGTTCCAAGAGCTCCTGCGGGTTTGAATACATCCGGGCTGAGTTAAAATAAAGCCAGGATATGCAACCCAGAGGTGGGGGTGAACCGAAAAAAAGGGCAATGGAAAATATAATATAAAGGAAACAGGTTTGTGTAAGAATGGGGAGGTAGTCCCAGCTTAGGGAGACACAAGTTAATAGAGGAATAGCGGTAGGTCGGGGTTCTAATAAGGAAATGTGTAAAAAGTTCTAATTTTCATGGAGGAGGATGGAAGAGCTTGAGATATGAAATTTAACCCGGACAGCAGTCGATAAGAAAGGCAAATACAAAAAGAGATATCCGACCTGAGAAACCATCTCCAAAAAGTTGTTGCTTCACAAACGATTATTATTTCACAAATCGCCATATCAGAGTACCGCTTATGGAACTATCCGCTCAGTGGGTTCATGCATAAAAACCGCTAGATCATCCGTTGGATTTCATCCAATCGTATTTGCGTCAACCGTATCATCTCTTCAATATCCCTACTGGAGTGTTTTCCCATCCGCTCCTTCACTCCTATCTTCTCCCACGTCTCCCGTGGGTACCCTGCTCTGCCCCTATCATGCACCCAATCCCAGAGTTCTCCGCCGGCAGCATGATACTCTTCATTCCTGCCGTCATGCACAGACGGTACCAAGTTGTAGATCCGCCCTTTGTACTCCATCTGGTACATCCCGGTGTTCCCCAATGACAAAACGTTAGAGGACCGCCTAAAAAGGGAAAAGAGGAGATACGCAACGAGTAGCAATACTGGAATCTTGGCAGCGTCTGGGATGGGCAACGGGATTGCGGCAGAAAGAGAGTCAAGCGCAGACATAAACCCAGGGGGCAGTGGCGGAGGTGTCACCACTGGCACGACTTCCACCTCCACCTCTTCTGACTTCCTTTTCTTCGACTTGGATTTTGTCCGTCCCTTCCCGTTTGCCGCAGCAAACACCTTAAGTTCGGATACCAAAACCCCCAATGACTCCTTTTGCCCACTGATGGAACCATTCTCCACCGCGCCCTTGATCCAGCTCTTGCTCGTCCACTCCACAGACGTCACTATAAACACTTTAGTGCCGTTGTTCTCGCCCCATGCAAGATAGAAGCGTGTCTGGACGCTGAAAGACCCACCAGACGGCACATCTGGAGTTCTGGTCGACTGTAAAACCATCATCGACGAGTCAAGGTCCTCCTTCTCAATCGTCTCTGTAACCTCGCACTTCGTCTGCTTCGGGCCAATTGGCCCGTTGAGCGGCTTCACATAGTCATACTTACGGGTTTTCTTCCCGGAGGAGTCCTTCTTGAACACTGGGATCAGAGAAATATCCCTATTCTTCTGCTTCTCCAAAACCTTGCGGAGGTTCAGCACGTCATCACCGAATAGGTAGCTGAACACGGCACCGAGCGGCGCATCCAACGTGTCGTTAACAATCTCAATATCATTAGGTGCCTTGGTATAGCCGAGCGACGTTGGTGCATGCCCAGATTCAGTGCCAGGCAGTGGGTCACTCGCCTTGGGTTCGTCCTCCTTGACCATTTCCTCGTCGCTTTCCATAGTTGACTCGTCGGTGTTGTCCGAATAATCGTAGTCCAGATCATCGCCCGACAAGTCGGTGGGCGAGCGGAGTGCCAGCGAGAGGGTTCCTGAGCGTCTGCGGGCTCCCGGGCCGCCTCTTGTTCCAGATTCCTGTACCGCGTTTCTCCACGTCTCGGTGAGCACGTCAAACGACGAGTCACGCGAGAGGAAACTCGCAAATACGTGCCGCTCGTGAAGCGTCTGTATCACCATCGCGTTGGGAAACATCAACGCGGTTGACTTTTTCTCAATCTGCACCACCTTCTTCAACGGGATCACCAAGCTCGTGACCCAGCCGAGAATGTTTGAGTTGAAGCAGATGTGGTTCGCGCTTACATAGAGCTTGCCGTGAACGAGTATTTCCTTCGACAACGCGCAGCCGTACGCGGCCGTGCACTTTTCTGATGTCGGAAGCGTTTTGAACAACTGGTGGAACTCCGCGTTGCGCTTATTCGGCTTTTCGCCGTCGCTCTCGGACTCCGCGTCCAGCGCAGGCTCCATAGGCGTTTGTGGCGCGGATGGCGAAAGCTCGCGCGTGCCGCGGTCCGCGAGCGACGCGGTGCGGCTAAGGCTGAGCGGGCGGCGCTTGGGTTTGAGCGTGGCGAGAATGTTCGGTTTGCGGCGGGTTTTCGACGTCTGTGGCGCTAACGCCGCGCCAAAGTCCAGCACGCGCTCCGCGCTGGCGACGGGGGTCAAAATCAGTTTGAAGTTGGTGTCGTCGCGTTCGGTGTCTTCGCCAAAACCAAACGATGCGAGCGAGAGGTCGCCGTTGCCGAGCGTATTTATAGGGGATTCCTTGATCGGCTGGAATTGCACGTATTGTGCCATGGTAGCCTTGGGGCTGGATCGGTTTTCCTCAAGAATTGTAGAGCTGGACACGTTGGCGTCCTGCGTGAGCTGCTTCTCGTGCGGGGCGATGCTGCTAGTGAGATGGTGGGCAGCAGAGATAATCAGCGACATGAAACCTTCGCGTGCCTCGGTCGAGGTTGCATCCGGGATTTCTGGGTGAGGCAAAGACATGCTGGAGTGAATGGACGGCGTGTCGTTGCGGGTGAAGGATACGCCGATGGTGCCTTCTTCGCGTGTTGGCTTCCGTTCCAAGGGCCTAATGGATGGAAGGAGCTCTGATACTTCGTTGGCCAGCCGTGAGGGCTCGTGCTGGGACACAAAAATCTGTTTGAGAGACTTGCCGTCGGGGAGATGGATCAGGGAGCCGTGGGGGCTAAGGCGTGACGAGAGCTCACGGTGCGATTGCGACTTCGGAAGCCCAGGCTGGGGCAGGTTTGACGTGAGGTCGCTGATAGACAGCGATTTGCGATGGGCAAACTTTAGAAGCTTATGCCGAAAGCTGGTGCCAGAGTCAGAAGATGTGTCCATTTTGCAGTAAACAGGGGACAGTGGCTTGGTACGGAATAGGCTTTGGTTGCTCTTAGGTTTTTTTCAATGCACGCACGCAATCCCAAACGGGCAAATATAGGCACGAGGCGAGGTGCACCCCCCTTAGCCTTGGCCCGATGGGCTCCGTAATCATGTGATTGGTGTATGACCGTACATTGTAATCATGTGATTGACTTATGACCCGTACTCTGTAAAGTCAAGTTTGCCATAACAGATGGGTCACCAAAGATATCGTTTGTCAGTATAAATGGTCTATGAGAAATTGGTAGAGATCGACGATTATTCTTTGTACATGTTACTGCAGCGAGCCTACCTCGCAGCTTAGACTATTGCTGGTGTTTACATAGCCCCGTGCCATGGAGCTGGGGTAAGGCGCAGCACGTGTCCATCCTGGATTTCCACTTGTTATCGGGACAACCAACCAGTTGTTTGAGTTAATTGTTGCCAGTGTTGTCCAGATGGTTAGTTAATAAAACTGTAGTTAAGTGTACATGTAACCTGGGTACAGATTGCTTCACTAGTTTTTTTTTCCTGGCCATACCCTCCGAGGCCGAAAACCATTTGGCCCTTATTCCGTATTGTTCGCCTTTGAAAAACAGCCGACTCTATTAGTTAAACCGTATTTTTGTGGTGGAGATATGTACGGTTGCGTAAGTGTTAATATTCCCGATGCCATGTCTGAGGTTCGCGACAGGATGAACTTGCCAAGCCCAGACCCTAGGGTATGCAGAGTACCGAAAAGCTACATCATCCGGGTGCTAGTGCGTGGAAACCAATTTTTGTCTAAATTAGTCACTTATCAAGGTTCAGAGTCACTCCTACCTGTGAGCCGATCATACAATCGCAGTTACAGTGAATGTTAATCCAGTAACTTGTATGGGCATGAACAAAATACTACACGTTATATAGTAAATTGAACGGTAGCCTTTCCTATAACCGATACTTCCCACAACACGCATTTCATCTCACGTCAGTTTTACGTGGCTTACAACTATTCCAAAATAGGCCTTTTACGATTCATAACCGCGGGTAGCGTTAGTCTAGCTACAATTGTAGGTCGGCTTGGCAAGCCCGCTGCTTAACGGTCCTCGGCCCATTCGTTCTCTCTCTTGATCGCAGCTTCCTCTTCTGGAGAAAAATCGTTTACAATGTTGAAAGTCTTTCTGATCTCCTCCGGGGACTTGCCTCTGATCATCTCGGCAACCACCTTGCAGCCGGCGTCTAATAATGGTCTGATGTTCAAATAGTTGGCGGCGAGGATAATTTCGTACAACATCTCTTGGTCCACCTGCAAGAAGTTCTTATCCCAATCATCAACAGGGGTGATCTTTCTGGTGTCGTCGTCGTCCTCGTCTGGGAACTCGGTGTCCTTGTGATGTTCACACCATTCCAAGACGGCCTTCAAGACGTTGGATCTGACGTTAGGTGTAGGGATCTCGAAGTCCTCCTCGAGCCCGTTAGGTGCCAAATCCTCGATCATCTTCTTGATCAAGACAGACTTCTCCGCAACCTTCTGCTCCACTGGGAACTTGCCGTTATCGGAAGAAACAATAATAACTTTAGGGGTGTCGGACATTCTGTGGCGTTAGTAATTCAAATCATGAAACAAAGGGGGATACGTACGTTGAATTTGTGTATAGTAATAGGGCTGTGGAGAAGAAAAGCGTATATCCCCAATCGCCAGTTTTGATCGGTTTGCGGAGTGCCACTGCAGCATGAGGACCCCGAAAATTAAATGGTTGGTACACGCACAACAGCTAAAGCAAACGGGACAGCCAATAAGATTACAACTCCCAAGCAAGCTTAAAGTCTAAGTGATTCCAAACGGTGTAATGTAATAAAATCTACACATTTTGAATACTCTAAGACACTGAATATCTTAAGAGATTGGGTGTGTGCTCCCAAGAAGGTGAGGGTGATTCTAAGCATCTGGTTAACGTGAACGACTTCTGTCCAGCGTGCCTGGTCAGGTTTAAGCTGTCAATATCAGGAAGGTTGAATTCAATGGATTATAAATGGAATTGTTCAATATCTTGTATCAAACCAAGGTTATATTAAGATTAAAGTTAGTTAAGCACCGCTGATATTTATTATATCGAGCCTTGCTAATTTGCTAATTCCTGGCCCAAGGCGCACAATCGTTTTAATTTTTGTACCCTAGGGTTCCATGAGTCATTCCACTCAGCACCAGAAACCAATATATATGTAGTCCCTTTCATATGTCAGTTGAACCGAGTCTGGCATGATCCAGATAATTCAAGCAATGATTTAATATAGGATACAGAAATCAATCAAAGATCGAGAAGCTGGGGGTATGTAAGCCTATATCCTTATAATCCTTCGGTACCGGCCTGTTGCTACAACTACAAACCTGACAGCACAATACCATAAATTACAGCTTCTCCGTCATAAATTCCTACAACTTTTCCATCATAAATTCCTACAGCTTCTCCTTCATAAATTCTTACTCTCTATCTTAATTATCAAAGTTGGAGTAGACCCCAGCGCTCAACTCGTCCAACTCCGGTAAAGCATCCATGTTGGCCAAATAGTCATTAATCCCGTTCGCCTTCGCGAGCTCGTTGCTCTGCTTCGTGATCTGCGCCAACAACGATGCCAACTTGAATTTTCCAGCGGTGTTGTCCCCCACGTTGTTCAAGATATTGTTCAACAACGTGTCGATGTTCACATTCACCAAGCGGTTAAACACGAGAAACGTGGGCTCGGCAAAGATATACCGCTTCGTCTCGTCCGTCAACACGCGGAGCGTAGAACCGCGGTCGTGCAACGCGTGAACCATTTCAGGATTGGTGTGTCTCAACACAAACATCTCAAGCTCAATGTTGGTTGGGAAGAAGGAGCTCAACAACTCGTGCTTGTTGTTCATCTCGATTACGTCAACAGTGTCAGCAAGCAAGCTGGACAAGTCGTCGATGGACAACTCGGACCGCGGGCTGACGTCAGCAAACACACCTTCCACGGCCGCCTGGACCTTCTCGTGCAACGCCATCCAGCCGTGGTTCAACAACCACCAGCTCATACTGACATACGCCTGCTCGCAGTAGTAGTCCTCCTCGTCCTCATCCGTCTGCGCTTGCGGCGCGGCGCGTGGCGCACTAAAGAGCAGCGTGAGGCCCGTGAGCGCGCTGCCCTGCTTCGAGTTAGCCACCTGGATAGCCGATTCCAAGTACGACCGGCGCGCCAAGATGTTCAACTGGAGCCGGGTAATCACAAACAACGCGGAGCTCGCGTAAACTAACGTCAAGAGCCGGGTCACACTTTGGATCTTCAACTCCGTCCATAACTCCGCCTTCGACTTTGCGCTGTATGCGTCCAACGCCTCGTCGTTCAGGCTGACGGCGACGTTCAAGATGTTGACGGACGATGCCGGAGTGGCGCCCGGCGCGCGCTTCATTTGGAGCGACTTTGTGATGTTCTCCACCGGCAACCGCTCGAAAATGGGCGCCGCCATCACCGGTAAGAGCGACAAGATCGTGTAGTACGCATCTTTCTGTGTCTGTTCGAAACGTCTGCGGATCTGCTCCCGCGCGAACTTCTCTTCGGAAAGCCGGGCCTGGAAGTCGGCGATGCGCTTGCGCACGTACCACTGCGCCAAGTAGACGAGTGTCGCGATGGATGTGGTCACGATGAGCTTGCGCTTGTGGCGGTGTGCCAACGTTCTGAGGTATGTGAACATAGCACGGGATGAATTGTAGCGTCAGTAAAGATAGGTCCTTGTATCTGGATGATACTATGTGTAGCAGAAAGACGTAGATGTATGGCGGCTGTAAAGAGACGGACGTGTGGGGTTGACGTGTGGGCTTTGGCATATGACGAGGATGTCGAGAAAGCGGAGATGGTCACGTGCCTGAGATTTTGCTCAGTGCCGGAGACAGGGCTGCCGAGATCCGTTGAGGGGAGCCGTGGTGAACGCACCAAATGAAGCCACACATATAACGGTGTTTTAAGCGCTGTTGCAAAAAGGTAAATGTATATTTAACTAAGGACTGAAGAAGCTCCTTATTCTCTCGGAGTGTACTATGAAGGTTTCATGCAGTCGGGAGGTTACGGGACTTATCCGCCGCATAAACGTCGCCTAAGGTCCGACAGAGATTGCAGGGGTTACAACCGAAATTTCCCTGGTCGGTGAGGTTATCTCTATAAAAAAAAATCTTTTTAGGCTCCTTCTATAGCTCGGAGGTTTGTTGTCATTCCAGGGATCGGACCTCCTACCTGTGCTGTGGGTAATCGCAGATGCTATTAGATGAGAATACTTTGATAAAATGTACAAAAAGATGTGGTATATTTACGTAGGTAGAAAGAATTGTTCATTGGGTATGAACTAGATATACAACGAAGCGGTCGGTCGGTCTTTATATAGACCGGCTGATACATTTTTGTGACAGTCTTCAAACTTATTACAGAGGTTGATACGTTATCAGCGTTTCACGTTCTGCAGCCTCATGTAGGATGGATACCCACGGCACTTTCAATACAGAAGGAGTTGAGATGAAGGAGCGGCGTCATCGAGGCTAGCTGATAATGTCATGAATCGACTATACGTTACCGAAATATCCGAAGATCGGTAGCTATATAGAATATCGTCGGTAGGAAAGAGGATATCGGTTAAGTGTTACAGTGCATCTCGTGCAGCACTTACGTCCCAAGGCTTACTCGATCCTTCTGCCATACTGAGTGGGGTGATATGGTATAAGGACTTCTTCGCCTTTCTTTTGGTTATATATTGCAGGTTACAAGTGAAGTGATCATTAATATAAGCATGCAAATTAGGCATTTAGCCGTGTCCGGCTTATGTGGGATGTGACTGACCATGGCCAGAGATTTGAAATAGAGAAGATACCCTCGATTGTTGTTACTGACTACTTAGTGTTGGAGAAGTAGGATGGAATGGTGGTGATGGAATTTACAGTACAAGGCGAGCTATTCTACTACCAATCCGCGTATCTTGAATGCATTTTGAATGGCAATACAGGTATGGTGTTGCTTAGGCCGAGTGCCCAAGCTAATCAGATTTTTAAATTCCCATTGTCTATGGTTGAGATAACGGGAGATGTTGGGTGAATCGTCACGCCAATGACTCCCCTGATGATTTACCCCTCGTGATGGACCATTCCTGTTGAATATTTACGTGAAGGAATCGGAATCTGATATTGCCGAATGCCAATGTGACACGAATATGGGTTGGTTCTGTGATCAAGCCAAGAATGAGGCAAACGATGTGTTTTCCACCTTGAGACACCGTGGTATGAATAAATTCCATTAACACGTATTTCGTGGATATATTGGCAGTCCAAGGTGTACGAAAACTTGAATATTGGTCTGTAGTGCCCGTAGAAAGATGTGTGGTGGTCTTTTTAACAGAAGATACAAGACCAGATGGTGTCGCTTACTTTTACAGTTCTAGGCGAGTCAGAATACTTGTCTCAAAACCTAGATATTATACATTATATCTATACAATGGGATTCTTTACCGTCGAAATCGTATCACCTCCTTCCCAGTCAACCGCCACTGCGGTTTCAATATTCTCATAGCTAGATACACCATATTTCTCGAAACATTATTCATTACACCTTTGATCCAGATGACAAAGGCCGGAAGGAAGCTTGATCATTAAATCTCGGAGTGGTAGACCCAGTTATATGGCAACATTTAAGTAGATGGGTGAGTTATAAAATATCACTTTATATAAAGCGCCTGCTGGGAATAAAAGAGAGTATAAAATGGCATCTGATTAAGTAAACCCCGTGACTATCGACAATACCCCCTATCCATCTGCCTACATCCAGTTTACACTTCACTTTTCAAACCTAACCTTTTATTTGAATAATATACAATACCCTAGACAGGAGTCATCGGACACACCCCATCTAGGGCTTGGTGACCTTACTGGTCTTCTTAGTCTTCTTTTTGCCCTTAATTTCCGCACCAACTTTCTTGACGTCTTTTTTAGATACACTAACTGCTTTAGGGGTCTCGTTGTCCTTCGCAAACTTTGTGTGGGTGCCGGTAAAATGGGCTGAACTGATGGCAGGGGTATGCGCACCGGTTACGACAGTGGAGTTGCCTTGACCCAATGCAGACTTTAAGTATCTTTTGGCCAACTCAGCGTCAGCACTCTTATCTTCACTGCCGGCCTTTGCCTGTTTGACGGTAGCCATGTACGACTTCACCCTGGACAATTCATCCATGATGCCGTGTTTGTTTGTGTCAACCCCACTGGCTTTCAAGAACGAGAAGAAGAGGGAGGATATGCTGTAGGCGTAGTTGTTGGTCAATTCGGCTCTTTCCAACGGCGTGATGGCAGCACTGCGCTCATTGAGGGTCTGAGCCACAAGTGCCTTGATCTCCACTGTAAGAGAGTCCACAGCCGAATCCAAAGCTTGGGCATAAAGCTTCACATTTTCGATGTTATCCATGGCGCTAGTTATGTGTAATGCCAAAAAAGGATGAACTGGCGAACAAGAAAGTAGAGCCATCTTGATAATACTTTTGATATGGCATAAAAATAATTTTCCTAGTCACGTGATTTTGCGCGTCACACGAATAGAGGCAAACGCACGGCATTTAAGCCGCACACTTTGGTATGCATGCAGACCGCTAAACCATTGCTAGCCTGGCCAAGCCCCTGGAATCCGCTGTTCAAGGCTATTGCTTTGAGAAAAGTCCTGAGGAAGTTAATTGCAAGTATGTGATTACAGTGTACACTACGAAAGGGCTCCTCGACTACAGAGGGAAGACTGCATCAGTCAGCCGTGTCGGCCCACTGAAGCATGCTAAGGTTTTCCATCTGCATCTCGGTGTCGGATCTTGTGACATCTTAGCCTCACGATTTACAGGCTGACGACGAAACCTGCGAAGATCGACTCATGACTTCTCCGAAGTGTGCTATGATGGAGCAAAATGGCCGGGATATACAAGTACGGGTCCTGGGTAACTGAGTCCACCGGGGCCCCCGCCTGCAAAACCATCTCCCGTCACTGCCACCAAACGTAAATATCTCGCACCAGTAACCTCCTGGGTGCACTCTAATCAGACTACCTCCCCAAAAGCGGAGTCTTAGTGTGCTATGCTGTCACTGTAGGCGAGAGAATGCTCAAGATTACCCGGCCATACCATCAAGCTCTCCGGCACATAACGCGCATATGTCTGAATTGGGCCCGATTAAAACTTGGAACTGCAGCCTGCGTCAGCTCTGTCCTCGGAATCGTCAAGTCGTTTTTTCCATCGCGCATTAGGTGCAAACCCTGTCTGAGCCTCTCCATCCACGACCTCCGCAAGCTTCTCCGTCGGTTCAACGTCCAGAACTGATTTGCGGGGTTTGCTACACATTCCTAGCCCCTACTCGCGTTTATCCCGTTCTCATAAACCGGAACAGCAATCTGCCTCAAACACAAATCCTCACCGTATGTCATTCAACCGGGACGACCATGGAAGACATTCCTGGTTCGTTCAGAGGTGCCTGTAGCGATTACTCCTGTCATATTTAGCTTTTGACTAACTTTCTAGAGAATACTTCCCCGGCGGTAGCCATCTCACAGATCTCTCCCAGACTTGCATCCGACCTTGCATGCAAATCGCAGCCTGTCAGCCATAGCCTATCACCTATTCACACAAAATGGGCCTTAAAAGAAGGAGTGCATCGCAACACACGAGCCCCACGAAACTCCCTCGACAGACCAGGCGTTCATCCGAATCGAGCAATGCCGTCGAGCCAAAGCCCCCGAGAGTGCCGCTAACGGTGCGGGAAACGGCACAGATGTTGCGGAAGATCCCGCAAATGTCACTCGAGGACATTGAAGGCTTGGAAAAGGACCTCTCAGCCGAATACAGACGTTTGTCGACAGAGTTTGCGCGCTCGCGGTTGCCTCGGATCAATGAGTTGATCAAGCTCATCGACGAGTCTTTGAATGTTTCCGAGCTCAACCACCGGTACTACACGGACTATGTGAGTTTTACGGTGGGCGAATTCGACAAGCACAACGCCCAGTTCTACAAAAAATGCGCCTCTACCGCACCGGAAGTGAGCCCCACAAAGCGCCGCGCCCCAGTCGCTAGAACGGCCTCCGTCTCCTTGGAAAAACTATTGAAGGCAGAGCCCACCATCCCACATCCCACCGAGTTCAAGTTTTTCCCACAGGCCTGGAAGCAGATCGAACAGCCGTACCAGCGCGAGTTCAAACGCCTCTTGACGTCGCACAAGTACGCCACAACGCTCATTGCGCAGAATGCGGAAACCAGCCGAATCCTCATCTGGAAGCAATACTTCGACTCCAGGCAGAAGGAAAAGGAAGCACTAATCGCCAGAACCAATAAAGAGTTGTATGAATTGGAGAAGGAGTATCGCGGCGTTAATAACCATACGATTGACTACCATGACGACGCGGTGTACATCAGATCGTTGCGCAAGCCCACCGACAAGAAAGCAAACAAGGCGGGCAAGTTGGAGATTAAAAAGCGCGTGATTGCAAACTATGCCCGGGACGAGAGGAAGCTCGCAGAGATGGATTACAGTAAGATGTCTTCGATTACTGCCTTACAGACCAGCGAGGTGCTAAATGATCTCTACATGATCAAGGAACGCCGGAAGAACCCAGCAGACTTTTACGAATACGCCTATGAAACGTCAAAGTTCCGCGAAGTCATTCCTCTTCCGGCCAACCAGGTTGGTAACGAGCACAACGAGGAGGAGAGCGAGCCAGAGACCGCTGAAGTGGCTGCTATCAACTCCGAGTACCCGCCTCTGTTTGAGCCACCCTTTCCGTATATGATGCATCCTTTCTTCCCGTCTCAGTACGGCGAAATGCCTCCACCCTTACCCTACCCCCACGGCGAAGCCCAGCCGTTTATGCATCCGTTCCAGGGGTTTCCCCCGCCTCCAATGGGATTCCCAGAGGATGGCATGCGTCCACCGGCTATGGGGTATCCGCCAATGCCCTACTTTTACCCACCGGGAATGCCGTTTCGTCCGTCTGCCGACTCTTCCCGGTCGCTGTCACCTGTGGATTCTGTTCCGGACCAACCTACCAAGGAGCCAACGGGAGAGCTCCAGCCAAGCAGCGTCCCGATCAAAGAGGAACAGCCGCAGGAAGTTATCCATCTTCCTGAGTTGCAACTTCCTGGGCGTCTTCCTGGGCATCTTCCTGGGCGTCTTCCTGACCATCTTTATGAACGACCCGACCCTTTCCATACTCACCATCCTGACTCCCTTCCTAGATTGCATCTTCCCGGTGCGAGCCCCTATCTGGAAGCTCTCCAGTCTGAAGTGGTCCAACCCGCATCCAATATGCTGCGGGAGATGCCCATGGAAGTTGTGCACCTTCCTGCAATTACAAACGTGCTTCTGGGGATGAGCACTGTGAAGCCGCGCTCTAGACCAGCCTCGCCCTTACTGATTAACCGTGTATTGAATGCCGAAGAGCCGGTGCATGTGGCGTTGCCGGAAGTGAAGAAAATCCTGGTCATTGAGATTTCCAATCCATAAAGAATGAGGAAATGTCTAACTCATAGACAAGAATGAGGATATGTCTAAACGATATTTTGTCAATGAGATGGTATCAATATATCACGGATGAATGTAAGGATAAGTCAAGGACGTAGATCTCGCATCTGGAGAAATAAAACAGGTCAAACCTTTACTATAGTTTGCCAGCCCATCTCTAAGTCAGCTTCCATATTCGGCCCATCAAGAAGCCGACTCCTCCGAAACCTCTAATATCCTATACGCTTGTAATAACCATCCGCCTGTACGTCATCTAAATCCCCATCTCCCATTATAATACATCCTTACAGCGATTATTCTTTTAAATTATATTGGGATTTTAAATATTTTACGTATATACCTGACTCGAATATTTTGTACCCAGAAAATCAGATAAGGCCCCGGCTATGTAGCAACCTGCACCTGACATAATTATCCTGCATCTGATACCTCCCGTTATCCTGCGAAAAAAATCTGGCAGCATGTTAAAACATATCAACGCCACAAAGTGCTACCATCCATCATCACACCATGGACGAACAAATTGACACATTTTTAGCCATCACAGGCTCGTCCGACAACAGCGTGGCCAAACAGTTTCTTGAAATGGCCGGCGGCGACTTGGAGACCGCTATTGCACTCTTCTTCGAGCACGGGGGGGCACAGGTGGGCGGAAACGGGAGCACCGTCAGCCAAACCGCCGACGAAGACGCTGAATTCGCTCAGCAATTGCAGCGCGAGGCATACCAAGAGCCACGCGACGTGAGGGATGCAGATTCCAACGCCCACTACCACGACACGTTAGTGGATGACGGGATGGATGGGTTCTCTTTCGGCGGTTTGGGCCGTTTGATGCCCCAGAACGCTCCGACACTGGCAATGTTCGGTAACGGTGGCAACAGAGGCGTATTCAACCAATATGAGGTGTCAGACGAGGAGATGAGCGATGACTACGAAGACGACTACGAGGACGAGGAACGGGCTGAGACGGCGGCAGATCGCGAGGTCAGGGAGAGGCGCGAGCACCGCAAGAAGTTGGCTGACATGTTTCGGCCACCGTTCGAAATCATTAGCAAAATGGCGTTGGGTCAAGCCAAAACGTTGGGAAGACAAACAAAACAATGGATCTTGGTCAACATCCAGGACAACACTGACTTTCGGTGCCAGATATTGAACCGCGACTTGTGGTCGAGCGCGCTGGTGAAGCAGCTCGTGAAGGAGCACTTTATCTTTTTACAGTACCAGTCCGACGCCCCCATCGCGGCCGACTATGTCCAGTTCTACCCGTTCACCGACTACCCGCACATCGCGATCTTGGATCCCTTGACTGGCGAGCGGTTAAAGTTGTGGAGCGAAAACCCGGATGTAGAGGACTGGAAGACTGAGGTGTACGAGTTTCTCGATCGGTTCACCGTCGGGAAGGACTCCAATCCGACCGTCACACACAAGAAGCGACTCGACCCATCGGAGTTGACCGAGGAACAGCAGTTCGAGTTGGCCATGAAGCAGTCGATGGGCGAGATTGTCGAAGACACTGATGCCGTGGAAATAATAGAGGGGGATGAAAGCAACCCAATCGATTTAGACTCCGATCCCGAGGTACCAGAAGCCGATGGGTTGTCTCCTGAGCAACGCTTGTTTGCGGAAATTAAACCCGTGAGTCACGAGGAGCCCCAAGACCCCGCCACCACCACTCGGATACAGATCCGTACCGGCGACGGGAAGCGTGTGGTGCGCCGTTTCGGTGTAGAAGATCCTGTCAGGGTGATCTTTGAGGTGATCAAGGCAACCTTCGAGCAGGTGAGCGATAGGCCGTTCGTCTTGACTAGCCAACGCACCAATTTACTCACCGAGTTGAACAAGACAATCCAGGAGGCTGGTTTGAAGAATGCCTCCATTCTCTTGGAGATGAGCGATGTGTAAGATTTAGGTTAATAGAATGTGAATAAGTAGCGGGTTTGTAGGATAAAGGCTTATGGACCAGAAACCGCGGAAAGTTCCATGCATCGGATAGTGATTTTTGCCAGAATAAAAACAATAGTGCGTATAACCGAGGCTATCGAATTGGAACTATCTCACAAAACCACCACTCCCGATAATTCCCCATGGGTTACACTAGGTTTCCTTGTCCTTGACATCTTTGATCCTATATCCTGCATGTACTACTGACCTGAGCCGCACATTTTCACTTGCAGCTATAAATTTTTTTTCCTATAATTTTTTTCGCTATCACTCTCTCAACGTTCTCCTACTCACCACCATGGCCGAAAAAGTTAGATACTACCTTGAACAGTCCGTTCCGGAGTTGGAAGATCTCAAGAGAAAGGGTCTCTTTGACAAGGGCGAAATCACGATGATCATGAGAAGAAGAACTGACTTTGAGCACCGCATCACCGGCAGAGGGGCCAAGCCGAGAGATTTCTTGAAGTACACCGAGTTCGAAACCAACTTGGAGAAGTTGAGAAAGAAGAGATACGTTAGGTTATCGCGTGCTGGGTTGATCGAGACCAAGCCGTCGATTTCCGACTGGGCGGGGATGAGACGTGTGCTCTTTGTTTTTGACAGAGCCACCCGCAAGTTCCCCGGCGACTTGAACATTTGGGGGTCGTACTTGCGGTTTGCACGCAAAAATGGTGCCATCAAAGTGATCTACAGGGCCTACACGAGATTGTTGCAGTTGCAGCCAAGAAACGTGGACGCGTGGATCAGCGCGGCCAAGTACGAGTTCGAAGACAACGCGAACGCAAAGGGGGCCCGTACCTTGTTGCAGAAGGGGTTACGCTTCAACCCGGAGTCCATGACCTTGTGGCTCTCGTACGCAAAGTTTGAGTTGGCCTACATCACCAGGTTATTGGCCAGAAGACGCGTCTTAGGGCTTATCACCGAGAAGCAGCAGCAGGAGCAAATGGACAGTGAGCAACAGGACGTGGCAAAATCGGTGGAAAGCTCCGCTAACCTTGCGATCGACGAGCCTGACCACACCAGTGACAAGATTGTCTTGCCGTCTGTCACCAATGAGGACTTGCGCGAAGAGTTGAACCAGTTGCCAGAAGCGGACATAAACATGCTCGGGAACCCAGACACCAACCCTGCCTTGCGTGGTAACGTTGTGTTGGCCGTGTTTGACGTGGCAATGCCAAGCTTGTTGAAGACCATGCCGTCTGACGAGTTTAATGCCGCCAGAAAGGTTGACAGAGCGTACGAGATTGCCCACGAGTTTTTGGCGGTATTTGACCAGTTCACCGAGTTGGACCGCCCCTACTTGTCTGGTCATGTCGTGGACTACTTGAACCAGGAATTACCTAACGACGCCAGAACCAAGATGTTGGACGTTGTGTTACCGCTCAGGACCATGAGCTTTGACGATAACGAGTTTGCCACCACCTTGCAGTTTGTGGTCAACAAGTTCATCGCCTACAAGTCGAAAATGCAGGAACAGGCCCAGAAGGACGACTTTACCGCCATGTTCACCACCTACTTACAGGAGAGGTTCTTGCAGTCCGACCCGCAGCCTACCGAACGCATCCAGACTTTGTTGCAGGCAATTATCAAGAAGGTGAGAAACTAGAGAGTGTGTTTGTGATGGTATGTGTTTAGGATGGTTATGTATCACTTGTAATATGATTCAAAATTGTGTAAGACCTGCATCTCAGGGTTAAGTCCCTATCGTGTTAATGTTTGACTTAGGTCCTGATCTGACTATCGGCTCGGCATGATTGAAGGTACTTGGCCTGGTCAGATATTTGAGCTTTCAGTGTATAGCAAACCACCTAGGCCAGTCAGCCTGAAATACTAACGTTGTGGTTGCAGTCAGGTATTAATAATTCACAGCTAATCGGTTACTCGATCTAGTCGCTGCACCTATTATGTAACTCCATCCTACATTACACCACCAGAAATACCATACCTCTATGTTTGCATATCTATTTTATCCGCCGCAATTATCCTTAAATCTCCACTTATAAGGATCCACCTTCAGCAATTATTAAACACCACCGTAAAATTCATGTGACCCCACCTTTTAGCTCTTCGATGACGTACTGTCCCGGGGAAACTTTAAGAGGTCGTCCCCCCACCAACAAAACAAAACAAAACGCCGCCAGCTATCAACACCATCATCGCCACTCACCAATCCATCCATCACACACCATGGCTGCCGGGAAATTCCATTGCGACGTGTGCTCGTCCGATTGCACCAACCGTGTGCGCATCCGCTGTGCGGTGTGCAACGAGTACGACTTGTGTGTGCCGTGCTTTGCCAACGGGTCCGCGACAGCCAACCACAAGCCATGGCACGCGTACCGCATCATCGAGCAGCACGCGTACCCGATCTTCGACAAGGATTGGGGTGCAGACGAGGAGTTGCTGTTAATAGAAGGCGCTGAGCAGTTGGGGTTGGGTAACTGGCAGGACGTCAGCGACCACATCGGCAGTAGAACAAAAGAGGAGGTGGGCGAGCACTACACGCGCTGCTACTTGCAGAGCAAAGACTACCCGCTCCCCGAGACGGATACAGACTTGTCGCACATCACGCCGCAGGTCTTTGCGGCAATGCGCAAGGAGCGGCTCGAGCGCTTGGAGCGCAAGAAGAACGGGCCGTTACCACCGCCAAAGCCCAAAGCCAGCGCCTCGGTACCGCTCTGTCATGAAATTCAGGGCTACATGCCGGGCCGGATGGAGTTCGAGCACGAGGTGGAGGACGAGGCAGAACACACGGTGAAGGAGATGATCTTCGATCCGGACGATCAGCCGAACGACATCGACTTGAAGTTGACCATTCTAGATATCTACAACTCGCGGTTAACCACACGAGCCGAGCGCAAGCGCATTATGTTGCTTAATGGGTTGCTTGAATACCGCAAGAACATCACGCTCGACAAGAAGCGGCTGAAGGAGGAGAAGGAGGTGTTGAAGAAGATCAATGCCATGATCCGCGTAATGACGCCTGCAGACTTTGAAGACTTCCTGCGCGATATCCTCACGGAGTTGCGGTGCCGCATCCGCATCCAGCAGCTCCAGACGTGGCGCCGCAACGGCATTCGCACCGCCGAGGCCGGGAACCGATTTGAAAAGGACAAGATTGTGCGGTTGAACGCGTTACAGCGGTTCGGCGCCGGCTCTGCGTTGAGCTCGCGGCACACGGCCAACTCCATCGCGTCCAATGCATTGGGCACGCCGCGCGGCCGTGGGTCCGCCACGCCACAGCCGGAAACCAAGCCGCCCAAGAAGAACATTAACCAGCCGTTGGACATTTCCGGCGCCGCTGACTTTGATCTCTTGTCGCAGGATGAAAAGATTTTGTGTGCATCCTTGCGCATGTACCCGAAGCCATACATGGCCATCAAGCACCAGTTGATGCGCGATGCCGCCAAGAGCGACGGCGTGTTGAAGAAGAAGGAGGTCAGGCAGAGCTTGAAAATTGACGTGAACAAGGCCAGTAAGATTTTTGAATTCTTTGTCACCCAGCGCTGGATCAACCAGGGGTGATACGGGGCTACAGAGAGGAGTACGTTTGGATAGAGCGCGAGGAGGGGTTTTATACGTGATCCGTCAATGAGTACCCTGTACTCTTGCTCATTGGCAATTTGGGCAGTGGATAAAACCATTTGGTATGTGACTTGATTGGTGTGGGCCATGGCGAAGCTTACTATAGCTACTCGGCATAGCTATTATGGATATGGCTTTACAAAGCTGGGTTCAAAAATAGTGTCAGATAGATATACTTTAAAGGGTTTTCTCGTGAACAGAACCGTCTTTATTACGGCTATACTCTGATATGTCTCGGGACATGCCTTATATTTATTACACTCCTTGTATCTTCAAAAGTGCCATGTAATAATGTGCGTTTTTTTACACGTACCGATCGTACTACATTTCGGTATAATAACTATTTCGGTATATATGGACCTCTAGTCCTCCTCTATTTGTGTATCCCACCTATAAATGGTATTTTCATAGATAACTAATGGAACTTGCAGTTCAGCGTGCAATCATCAAGTTCCATCTCTGGGTATGCTAGTTTGATTCCTTCTTTCCACTTACTGTAGTTTTCAAACGCGTTATCATGTATGTGTAAGGTTTTCAAGCTGACGGGGAGGTTTAAGTATCGAATGGACTGCTCAGACAAACCGGTGTGGCATAATCCCAAATAGTGTAGCCTTGGGGGAAGTTTGGATAGCCCAGCGACATTCGTCAAGCCTTTTTGTGCAGATGAGCGGGAATTCTCTGGTAAATTTCAACTTGTAGAGGCATGGCTAAGCAGATCATACTCATGGCAGTATACTGATTAGCTATATAATACATATAAGATAAAAGAGGGAGGAATCGGCCTCTTTATATAAAGGTATCGATCCCTATTATGTGACAACTACACGCTTACTACAGTATCTAGTGTTCGCCGTGTGACATCCTTATACATAAGTGATTGATAACACTGTCTTTTGGTTTAATAAACTACCATGTTGAAGTAATACCTAATGGAATAACCTTATTTTTTAGCTCGTACTGGATAGTTCCCTCATAATAAGCTCGCATACTCTGGGCTGATCTTTAGATAGTCGCCGGGGTTAGGTCCAGGGCATACATAACGTTGAGATAAGCTATGCAGGATAATAGAAAATCCTCACCATACGTCATCGTGCAACCCATAATAAGATCTTCCAGACGTATTTATTTCGGGAACTAGTTTAAGCATTCATCGCGCTAGCACCCCATACCCGACCCTTACTCTCTGCATCAAATAAGCACGCCTCTGAATATGAGAATCCCTTCATTAATCTTAATTATCCCGCTATTGGTGCCAGTGACGGCCGAGTGGTACCCCAGAACCGGTGATGACGAGGTCCCACCCATGATTCCTTATGATAACAACCAAGAAATCCCGCTAGAGTGCACCCAAAGGGACGTCGAAAACAATGGCGAGCACAAGTTTGACGAAAACATGAATGTCTTGTATGCCCCGTTCCCTCTGTGTGCTGAGACGGGCAAGCCCATTGCTTTCCACTATGGCACAGACGCTGAGTTCAATTGCACCTTTAGCTTTACCGATGAATTGTTTCACCAATTTCAATACTACGTTCACGAAGATGCCCCGTTTTCCTGTCGTTTGCCGTTGAGTAACCCCGACTCGGGCGAGGCCAAGTCCGAAAAGGCCTACATCCCGTTGAGATTCAACTTTAGGGGTAACATCCAAGAGTCCCACTTAGACATCGACGACTCGATCAACGTGTTGTTTACCAGTGCCATAGAACAAAACACGCCCATCAGCGCCATCTCTTGGTCTTCCTCTACGGAAGCGAACAGATACGTGATTGGGGACTCCATGACTTTGAAGGTTGCAGTTAAATGGTTCAAAACAAGCGGTACCGGTACTTCTGAAACCCCCATCAACGGCGGTTTCTACAAGTTGCCTAACTCTTTGAACGGTGTGTCTACGCCTGTTTACATCCTCTCGCTTATAGTTTGTATCCTCTTGACTGCGGGTGGGGTGTATGGTATCGTCTATTCCCGCTTCTCCAAGAAGGCATACACCATGGGATATCGTCCTACTATCGACCATGAAACCGCCGTCGGAAAGAAGGACTAGGCATTTCTGTAGTCATCCACGTCAGTTGTTGTATAATACATGTGTTAACAATCCTGCATAATATTGTAAGAGGCAGCATTGGAAGCTATACCTGTAGCCCTAATGTAAATCACGTGTACTTTACCTGATTTTTCACAGTCACAAACTCTTGCGAAAAACTCAAACGCTTTCGTTTGAAAAAACCTACGCATGGACGACGAGCATTTGCCGTTTTCGATAGGTGAAACTTTTGTGCAGGTCAAAGGCTGGCGGTAAGAAAATTGAAAAATGGCAATGTCAAATTCTGTGTGTCTAAGCCGCACCGCTTCAGAATTTTCACCAGTGTAGTGTAGCGGCCGACGTCTCCATAGTGTGCACGGTAGTGTGGGAGAGAGGTGGGCTGGACATAGTGCGCTTCGGGGGGCAGCGCCAAGTTACTGTGTGCTAGCTAGGCCGTTCTGGTTAAAACTACGTACTCAAAAAAAATACCTACCAACAAGCAAGTTTTAAAGGTTTGTTCACAGTACAATAATCAGTAAAAATGGTATGTACCTGCTACCGTTGATATTGAAAAGAGCACCCACTAGTCCACCATATCAGCAACCGGGATATATCAGATTCCCATCGTCGAAGCGTCCGATGTTACCATGAAAATTTTTGCATCTTGCCCGTCCAAACACAGGCATCTCCCTCCAGACGATTATCGAGATGGCCCAAATAACCAGGTGGCTTTATTTACTCCTATTAGCTTAAGGCTCCCACAATTGTGGTGCTATTTTGATCAGTCTTCGAGACATCCACAATATCCAACACCGCACTTTCTATGCCCGCGTCTCTTCCCTCCCCGGGTATTCTGCATCCATGGTTTCTGATACTAGTGTACCCTGTTGGGATCCTTTTCAACCAGCTCAAAATAGCATACTAACATATATAGGGTCGTGTTAGAACTAAGACAGTCAAGAGAGCCTCTAAGGTCCTTATCGAACGTTACTACCCAAAGTTGACTTTGGATTTCGAAACCAACAAGAGATTGACCTCTGAGATCGCTATCATCCAGTCCAAGAGATTGAGAAACAAGATTGCCGGTTACACCACCCACTTGATGAAGCGTATTCAGAAGGGTCCAGTTAGAGGTATTTCTTTCAAGTTGCAGGAGGAAGAAAGAGAAAGAAAGGACCAGTACGTTCCAGAAATCTCTGCCTTGGACTTGTCTCACACCAAGAACCAATTGGAATTGGATGAAGCCACCGCTGACTTGGTCAAGTCTTTGGGCTTCAAGTTGCCAGTCTCCGTTGTCCAGGTCTCTGCCCAGAGAGGTCAGCGTTTCAGAAAGAGAAACTAAGTCTAACATTGCAATTGCTATAAACCGTGTCATACTCGCGGGTTTATTATAATTCAGTTTAGTTTTTTTTTCGGGATGTACAAATTATATGAAAACACATAAAAATACTCCTTGTTTGTAGATTAGAAACACTAAAGAATCGGTTTCAGCCAAGTATGTTAAGCATCGCGCTGCCAAACCTAGAGAGTTTCCTAGCTTTTGGATCAGTCTCCCTCCCGCTGCCGCCCTGGTTCTCGGCATGGTGCTGCAACACCCCTTGTATGACGGCTTGCCCATGAATTAATCTACTCCTGGCGGCAGCCGCCTGCTTTTTAAGCTCGGAGTAGTCCCCGAGCAACAGGTACCCAGCAGTACTCCATTTTTCCAAGTCACTAGGGCTCATTGTAGCGAAGTAGGCTGGATCGTGCTCGAATTGCCGGAGTAGATCGTCAAAGTTGGCACTGCTGACGCTCAGTGTGTTTGAAATTCGTTTGGAATTGTCCACCGAGGGGGAAGGGGTAATCTCTTGATAGAAAATGTATTTTGGTTCACCAGGGTCAACATTTTCCTTGTCTTTGATTTGGGTTGAACACGAGAGGTTGGGATCGTCCAGGAGAATCTTGGCCATGGACGTATCTAGGACAACTCCGAAGGATATGTCTGTATCGTGAAGGCTCCTGTCCTTCATCAATCTTTCGGTTGGGGACAAATCAGGGTTATATTTCAGGTCGATCTGGTATCGGTTCTTTCTCGTAATCCTTGGGGTGTTTCCAAGTTTAGTTGATGTCGCCTGTGCGATAGCTTCGTTAGAAGTGAGAGCGGGTGTTTTGGGCGGAAATATAGGCAGCAAGGATATCTTACCATGAAATTTATCATTGGGGGTATCTCCTGTGGCTGTTTGAGCCACCAGTTTTTTCTCTAGTGAGAACTGGTTATCAGAAGGGATTCGCTTTGAGGTACGGGTGGCTCGTGGCGTTCCAGCTCTGACGAACGCTGGTGTCTGATTACGCCCTGGGAAGTTTTTTAACTGCCCCCTAACTTTTGGGGTTACAATAGGTATAGCTTTACGTGACTTTTGTCTAATAGGAATTTTTGTGACAATCTTTGGATCTTTAAATAGCGGAATGCCAGCCGAATCGCCAGCCTTCAGGCTAATTAGTTTCCGTTTGTTCCCCATATCGTGTGGCAGTTTCGACAGGAAGAAGGATTTGAGAGAAGAGTTTTTGCAAGATAAATTTGGTACCAAGAACAGCACGCTTTTGAGATATTAGCCGCCCAACACCCACTTTTGGTTTGTATCACCAGCACTGGTTGTATGTTTCTGTGTGCGGCGGAACGGGGAGGACATGCATATAACTTGCACATCACTGGGCCGCGGTAGCCATATTAATTATACGTCAGACCGGCTATAATCGAAACTTCAAGCACTAAGTTAATTTTTTCACTTCATATATATCATCTGTTGTTGTCTATATAATATAATGGATAGTCTATGTATACCTGTGTTTTAGATATATAGTTAAAGCTTAAGATTATATTTCATTATTATATGTGTCAATTTAGGTAATAATTTTGCATGTTATTTTACGGGATAATTGTATTCAATCTGCACACAGAATTGACTTATATTGGCGTATATTACCAAATATACCCTTTTCAACTGCGGGCAGATGTATATATAGATGCAAACTTTAAAATATACAATATATTTACAGTAACGCTTTGAAGTAGCCAATAAATGACATTAACATGTCAGCATGAAAAGATATTTTGGTTCACATTACACACCCAGGCAGGTATGCTGACGATAATCTGTACCGTTTCGCATTTCCTGTCTATCACATCCGATCATTCTCTAGTTTGAATAACTAATATCAGTATACCTAACTATAAGCTCTGTCAACCTCCAATACAAGTCCCTCGTCCTGCACCTCATCGATAACCGACTGTGCTGCTGCATAATTGCGCGGGAATTGTAGACGAGCGAAAAAAGCTTAGACGCTGATTTATTCACTATATATACACCCCACCCCCATTATCTCTACTCTCATATCCTGCCTTATTACACACATTACAATGGTCTTTGACGACAAGAAAGGCTTAGAGATTGCTTTGGAAGAAGCTAGAAAAGGCTTAGCTGAGGGTGGGGTCCCAATCGGTGGGGCTTTGATCGCCGAGGACGGTACCGTGTTGGGCCGTGGCCACAACATGCGCTTCCAAAGCAACTCCGCCATCTTGCACGGTGAAATGGCTGCCTTGGAAGCCGCTGGTAGACTCAAGGGTTCCGTTTACAAGAACTGTACCGTATGTACCTTGCTTTTTTGCAGCCTTAGCTGACTACTAACCGAGCCAGATGTACACCACTTTGTCCCCATGCAGCATGTGCACCGGTGCCTGTCTCTTGTACGGTGTCAAGAGAGTCGTTTTGGGCGAAAATTCCACCTTCATGGGCGCTGAGGACTTGCTCAGGGCCAGAGGTGTTGAGGTTATCAATATGGAAAACCAAGAATGCAAGAACTTGATGGCCCGCTTCATCAAGGAAAGACCCCATGACTGGTTCGAAGACATTGGCGAATAAATGCCGCGTTTTGCATTATATACAAGTTATGCAAAGATTGCGTAACGACCGCATGCAGCTGGAGAGGGCAGGAGCAAAAGTATTTAGGTGGTTTACTGAATTGTTTACTCGTATAGATCAAATGAAACGTAAATAATCGATTTAGAGATAACGTTGATAAACTTTTGTGGAGGTCCAATCGGGATAATAAGATCTTTGGAATAGACACTGTGTGCTTCAGAGATAAAACTATCATGAATGGAGGAACTTGGAATAGGTATATTACCAGGCCATGCCGCGTAAAGTATAACACTTTATGGGAGAAGGAACAATTCGGCCGCTACGTTCATACAGCTTCGCATCCATGAATTAATATGCGAATTGAGAGATAGCCTTTGGAAATCCTATAAATAACACACTTTCGAGGGGCGTATTAAAACACCAAAGAACTCTCACACTAGATAATATCTCATGAAAATCCTCAAAGATTAAATCCTCAAAGATTAAATCCTCAAAGATTAAATCCTCCGTGCTGCAATAATTTCAAGACCACACCGGAATTGGCTATATCCCTGATCTAACAAACCCTAATGCCCTTCGGATAATATTCTATGAATGCTATAAATATACCATGTTATACAATAGAGTTTTAAACCGTAATATATCAACGGCTAGTGTACTAACCCCGCATTCAATCGCTTTTCGCTCGTCAATCCCAAGCAAAATTCTCCTGCCGTTTACTGGCCCTCTCTGCCTGCATACAAAACCCACCCCACTGCTTGTTCCCTCCTCCTTTCCTTATCCGCCCAATGCTTTCCCGGGTGATTAGACGCCCTGTGCGCCTCCATGTTCCGTTCATGAGAACCTACGCGGAGCCAGCGCGCTACAAGAAAGTGCAACCACAGCCGCCCCAAGCCGATGCGTCTTCCGAGATCAACGCACGAATTGTCACCACCTTGCTCCTTGTAGGGATTGCAGGGACAGTTGGGTTCATTGCCGCAACCAAGAAAAACGAGTTCAACCCACCACCAAATGTATACCCGGGCTCCTCCACCACAAAGGTGGAGGACCTCGCGCGCCCCTTCTACTGCGACTCCATGACGATGATGCAGGTGGTGAAACAGATCCGTCGCGTGGTGGGCGACGACCACGTGTCAACCTCTAAGGACGAGTTGGACTCGCATTCCGACAACTCGTACACGTTCCATCGTGCACAGCCACTGGAGAGACCGGTGGCGGTGGTGTACCCAGCAAACGCCGAGGAGGTCCAGGAGATTGTCAAGATCTGCTACAAGTACAGGGTGCCGATGGTGCCGGTTTCCGGGGCAACGTCCATCGAGGGCCATTTCATTCCCACCCGCCGCGGCGTATGCATCGACTTGGGCCGCATGAACCAGATAGTCGCATTGCACGAGGACGACATGGACGTGGTGGTCCAGGCGGGCGTGGATTGGCAGGAGCTTGGCGAATACCTCCAGCCGCACGGCTTGATGTTTGGACCGGACCCGGGCCCGGGGGCGAAGATTGGAGGTATGGTGGCGACCAGCTGCTCGGGCACCAACTCGTACCGTTACGGGACCATGAAAGAAAACGTGATTTCGTTGACGGTTGTGTTGGCGGACGGGACGATAATCAAGACGAAAAATCGTCCGCGGAAGAGCTCCGCTGGCTACAATTTGACGGGCTTGTTCGTGGGCAGCGAGGGGACGTTGGGGATTGTGGTGGAGGCGACGTTGAAGTTGCATGTGCGCCCCCAGAACGAGATCGTTGCCATTGCCAACTTTCGCGAGATCCAGGACGCTGCCCAGACCGTTGCGGATATCGTTCGCGCGGGCGTCCAGGCGAACGCCATTGAGTTCATGGACTCCAGACAGATGAAGGTGGTGAACGCTGCGGGATTGACGAACCGCACCTGGGCTGAAGACCACTTGTTGATCTTCAAGATTGGTGGGTCCCCTGGTACCTTGAAGGATAACACCGCGGCTATCCGGGCCATTGCCAAGAAGAACAACGGGTTCAATCTCGAGGTTGCTGGGGATAGCGATAAGGATGAGTTGTGGTCCGCCAGAAGGGCGGCGTTGTGGTCCTCTGTCGCCTGGAGCAAGAGTTTGAACCCAGACATGCAGTTCTGGCCGACGGACGTGGCGGTTCCGCTCTCCAAATTGCCTCAGGTGTTGACAGAGACGGCGGCGGATGTCGAGAACAGCGGCTTGAACCTCAACATCGTGGCCCATTTGGGGGACGCCAACTTCCACGCCAGTGTTATTTTCCCCCCGGAGAAGTATGCGCTTGCTGAGGAGCTTGTGAACCGGATCACCGCGCGAGCCATCGCGAACGAGGGAACCGTCAGTGGCGAGCACGGCGTGGGGATCGGGAAGCGCGAGTTTTTGGTCCAGGAGTTAGGCGAAGATACGATTGACACGATGCGGAAGTTGAAGATGGCACTCGACCCGTTCCGGTTGTTGAATCCGGATAAGATTTTTAAGATTGATCCGACGGAGAACCGCAAGCACTAGGGACAAGGCGCAGGGGTTTGAGTCTTTGTATGTGCTAGAAGTTAGAGCAGTTTTCACTAAACAGGAAACTTTTTCAGTGTAACGTGGAGTCAATCGGGAAGATTGGGAAAAGCACTGGAAGGAAACAGACTGAAAATACAATCGTCAACCAGAGTATTAGCTAAACAAAGTACTTGTACGCCGAACACTGATATTGTGATCGGTAGATATGAAAGTCATGCAAAACCTTTGGTAGGTATTTGAAATCCCGTGAGTCGGTTTTGGGGTGAGTAGACATACAAGATTGGCCCATGACCGTGTTGTCTAGATAGTGCAAATGAAGTTTCGACCCCACACTGGCGTGTTTGTGTTGCCGGATGACAGCTGAGGGGCCGACCTATAAATATCGTACACCACTGAAGCAACTCTTAAATTGCAATGAATTGTAGGACAGCCTCACACATAATTAAGGCGGAACTTGACAATTATAGTACCAGATATGCTTATGCTCATATTAAGCATTTTCAACTTGACCTTGAAAGTTGGGTATATTTCCAAGTCAATCTCTCACCAGTACAGAGTCATGCTCCAAAACCGTTGATATTTCTGGAGACAGGCATTCCCGTTTCTATAATTTAGGACCTTACCACTTAGTAGCTCCCTTCTACAAATACCTTCATCCGTATTCAACATATATTATCCATAGTGCAGGAGACACACCAAGTAAATGCTCTCTTCAAGAACTAGGCAGAGGTGACGGCGGAAACAATGGAGCTGGCGGTGGTGGCTGCAGTTTCGGCAGCTTGCTTGGCAAATTGGGAGGCCTGGTTGGAGCCTGACTGCGGGAAGACAAGCTCCATGTAGCACATGACCAAAGAAACGGCGGCAAGACCAATGGCCATCAGCGGCGGGGTAGAGGCTTCTTTCTTGGCAACCTTGTACTTTGGTTCGTTCAAGTACGCCTGGAGGGCCAAAAATAAGGAGGCCCACGAGAGCATCTTGTTTCTAGAGCGTTAGTATGGAGTAGAGCGGTGAAAGTGGGGTACATACCTCATGAACATGGCAGCCATAGGTAATGTCTGGGAGATGGTGCCAGACACGTCATTACGAGCCGGGGCCGGGTGGTGGACGTATGGAACAACGAGTTCTTCGCGCTTGAATTGTGGGGCCATTATAGAGTGATGAAAGAAAGAAAGAGTTGGTGGGGATTTGCCGTTGAAGTCAACGAGTTGATATTCTGACGCGGCGCGAAAGTCGGCGAAAAAAACGTCTAAGAGGGTTGCGGAGACGCGGGGGTATACTTGAGATTCTCAACAGTCTCTATATGTTTATTGTAATTTCATAAAAAAAGGTGGATCAGAGTAAATTGGAGATATTTAATATCCGAGTTACCAATATTCTGGGCGTTGAATACACTCAAGTCTGGTGATGGTGTGGCGCTGTTCAGGTCGTGGCACTACCCAGCCTTGCATTCTTATCGATATCAACGCCATCAGCTCTTTTGCCATCAACCCGTCTCTCGGCCCTCAAGCTTAAGATGAATAGGCTCTTTGGAACAAAAAACACCGCACCAAAACCCACATTGAACGATGCCATTGGTGGCGTAAGTATCTGTACTGTACCCGACGAGCCCTACTAACACCTCAGATCGACGAGAGAGTCTCTTCCTTGGACGTCAGGCTTTCGAAACTCAACTCTGAGTTGCTCACATACCAGCAGAAGCTCGCCAAGATGCGCGACGGCCCCGGGAAACTGGCGCTCAAGGCTCGGGCGATGAAGTTGCTCAAGCAGCGCAAACAGATCGAGACCCAGAAAGACCAGTTGGAGTCGCAGGCGTGGAACATGAGTCAGGCGTCCATGACCACCGACAACTTGAAGAATACCATGATCACCATTGATGCTATGAAGACAACCAATAAGGAATTGAAAAAGACCTACGGAAAGATTGATATCGACAAGATTGAGTCGTTGCAGGACGAGATGTTGGACTTGATCGAGAAGTCGAACGAGATCCAGAGTTCGTTGTCTATGAGCTATGATGTACCGGACGACATTTCCGAGAGTGAATTGGATGCCGAGTTGGATGCGTTGGGGGAGGAGATGGACTTTGAGGCGGAGATGAACTTTGGTGGCTCCGTGCCCAGCTATCTCCAGGATGAGTCGCTACCTAGCTTTGTGGAGGAGGCAGCTCCTGAGGAGGCCAAGATTGTGGAGTAGGATAAATGGTGCCAGTATACGGTGTAAGCCGTAAGGAAATAATCATTACGAAAGAGTAAGGATATTACTGGAGTTTAGGTGGAATGAAATTAACAAGTATAGTTTATGGCATTCCATGTATATGTCAAGTCATTATATTTGGTCAAATCTTGTGGTCCAATCCAAATTATGTTGGTAATAGCTGACCCCATGAATTGTTTAATCTTGGTTTTAGATTAAACCGGTAAACAGTCTGGAACGACCCGTGCTATGTAGAAAATATGACATTGATATAAGGCTTCTGCCAGTGACGATGATATGAAACATTCACATGCTATGACTAGTTGTAGCAATTACATGTTATAAGAACCAGAAATGGCAGTTTTGATAACATCCCCATTGTGAATACTGACTAATCAACAATGGTGTACAAACCTATAACAGCTACACGCACCGGGTTAATACAGAGCCAACTTCACAAAAACCATCTCGTAATATCGACAGTTGTACCAAGAGACAGAACTTCTAAAGTATATTTAACGCCACACCAGTCTTATTCATACTCTTGCCCTATCCCATTCTATTACCCATTTTCACCCCAATTAAACCAACTCAGTCAATTCATACTATATACAGTCAGGCTCTCTACAGCAACCGCTGGATGGCCATGAAGTAGTTGCCCACGTGCGGCGAGTCGGTAAACTTCCAGCCGTACAAGGGCATGTAGACACAGCCCTTACTACTGGCAACCTTAAACTGAGCAACTCCCTGTTTTGTGTCAGCCATCCAGTTGCGGATTTCACTTTCGTTAATGTACTTGTCGTACGTATGGGTGCCCACCGGGACAACGTTCAACACGTGTTCGCCCATAAAGATGGTAGTGAACCACGAGACAAAATCGCGGTTGATGGTGGAGATAAAGACCCAGCCGCCCGGGTTGACCCTGCTCAACGCCTGGGTAAGCACCTCAGACGGGTAGTTCACGTGCTCGAGCATTTCAAACATGGTCACCACATCGTACTTCTCCTCCACGGGAATGTCTTCCACCGGCTTCAACTCGTAGCTCACCTTTTCACTCAACATCGGGTCTAACTCCTTATGACTCTTTGCCACTGCGAGCACTTCGGTCGATAAGTCAATGCCCTTTACGTGCGAGATCCACGGCATCCGGCCCATGGATTCTGTCAAAATACCCCCACCGCAGCCAATATCGAGCGCGCTCAACCGCATGGTCTTTACCATGGCGGTACGCTTCGTTTCTTGCTCCTGCAAAATGGCGTTCCGAACGTTTTCCGGCAACAAGTCCAAGTTATAGCACGGAATGTAGACCTCCTCTTCCGGAGATGTGGCGTCAAAATTCAACGGGAGATGCGCCTTGATGGTTTCGTTGATAAAGTCCATCCTCAAGAGATTCATCTTGTGGAGAATGCGCTGCGGACCATTGACGTCCCACCAGGTGTTGGCCAACGCGTTGAAGTGCGACATTTCCGACTCGGACGTTGTAGTTAATTTTTCATTATGGAGGGATCTGAGAACGGTCGAAAAGTAGCGGCTGCCGATACACCGGTTCACAACCGAACAGCGGGCATTCATTGGGATAGGGTAAAATATATGGATAGGATGGGGGTGAATGAGAAGTTGCAATTTGAAGGATTTCCTGCATACGTGCGAGCGGCTCGGAGAGCCTAGATGCCATCGGGAATAACCTTTCATGGTTGTAGCGTATCGATTTTTGATTGTACTCTTTTTATATATTTAAATATCCGGGAAATTTTAATTTGGTTGAAGCATTTACGGAAAGTAGCAGTCACGAGGAGAAGCGTAGCTAGACGGGTTCGTGAGATTTGACGGTTTCATTCAGATCACCGTGACGAGCGTAGAAACCTGACACAAGACTTTCAGTAAAGAAGCTGGTTCTATGGAACAACCCACAAAACCTAACCGAAAAGGTGGTCGGATTAGTTGTTACTTGGCAACAGGCAAAATCGTATTTTAAAATACGTGACTGCATCAGGCGGTATTTTTCTGGGTAATCTAAGGATACTTAATTCAGGTGACATCCCATTAAGTCAACAGTGTCGTATTAATGCAGCTGGTTCTTCATCGCGCACGAGAGATACAGTCTAATGTAAATAACGTACCCAAGTCACGGTCTCCTTGCCGGAGTGTCTAAATCATACCGCTCAATCAAACAAAAAGTGCGATATACCGCGGTTGAGCCTCCAGAACCAGCCTGTCTTTACCGGCTTCTGATTGATTTCTGCCAACCCCGCCTCTTCTTCCATATTAACCTTATGCTTTCCTGATATAATATCCATATCAAGCGGGTTTCTTATCAATGTCTTTTTCAAAAACTTCCAGAAAAAGTAGAACATCACAAAAAAACACCTGGCAGAAATAACACGTGAACAAGTCGGCCACCGTGAACTTCCCCGGGAATAACACCCAGAATCCATTAAAGATCAAGGAAAAAACCACCATAAGACAGCCGAAGTACGAGGCATACGGCTGGCAGTTGAACGGTGCCTTATAGTAGGCATCTGCCTCTGTAAATCCCTGCTCTTTGAACGCACGATGAAACTGAAAGTACGTCAAATAAACGACAAAGTATATACACAACAACCTGGTAGTGGCTAGGTTCACAAACCAGTTGAAAACTACAGCCGTAGTGTCGGAAACGGAAAGATAAGACAAACACCTGATCAAAATCGAGAAGCCCACACAGTAGATAGACGACCCGTTTGGTAAACAGGTGGCCATAAACTTAGGGGAAAAACTCGCTAACGATGCCGAGTAGAGCACCCTGGTGGTGGTGTACGTAAAGGCATTACCATAGGACCAGGCAGCCATCATGATACAGACATTGATATGCGAGTCTAGCTCATGGACACCGACATCTTTAACACCAATCACCCACGGGGAGGAGCCGGCACCGGCAATGCCTTCAGCCCGAGCCTTCAAGAGACCAGCATTGTTTGAGGCGCACAAACAGTTCATGAAGAAAATACCGCCAAGATAGAAGAGACAAAGACGGATATATGAACGCTTTCCGGCGATGGGAATGTTAGTTCATGGCTGGATGATTTCACCAGAGATAAGGGCGAGACAGTCAGGGCCACCGACCGCAAAGGCGACATGGATCGTGACCTTCCACACGCCAAGAAACTTTCCGGTGCTGCCCTCCACCAAATATGCTTTCACTAGACCACCTTCGCTCTAGTACTGGAAGCCATATGCATTTTTTTGTGGGTTACCGCCACACATGGAGATTAGACTAAAAAAACATCAATCCCACAATGAGAAGCACCTTCAACATGGAGGAGTAGAACTCTGCCTCTCCGTAGTTGTTGGCGAAAATGGTCACCAAGGAGAGGGTAGTCCAAACGGCGGGATTTATGTCAGTCCAGAACAGGATAGTGCCGGCCACAGCAACGGCTTCTACACAGATAAACATCATGGCGGTGTAGCAGTGGATCCACGAGGCGGTAAGCCTCAATTCGGGGTCGCAGAACCGGGAAGCAAAGTATAAAATTGAGCCTTTAATGGGGAGCCAGGAGCACATTTCGGCCACACACCAAGCGCTAACCAGATGACAAACCCGATAAAGAGGGAGAGGGAGCCAGATGTGATGAGTAGCGAACCCATCCCCACAAACAAACCCGTCCCGATGAATGAGCCAATGATCATCAAGTTGACATGGCGGGAGTTTAGCCCCCGTTCGGTCTGTCCGTATTTATCTGCATCTTTCTCGGAGTGGAAATCAGTGAGCTCGTTGTAGCTTGCATCCAAACTAGTACTCTCCACTTGGATGTGTTCTTTTCCAGATGTCATGTTTCGGAAAGCTGAGGATCCCTTCAAAAGGCGATACAACAGAAGGGGGGATGGCCCGTCATATATATACTTGTAAACCAGTACGAGATTAGACAATGATCTCTGATAGCCAACAGGGATGCATTATCACTTATACTCGGAGTTTTTCAACAACCTACGAGATACTCAGGTTCATGAATGTGGGGTTCTGTATACCCTTTGGACGCTAGTACACATGTGACAATTAGAGTAATGTCTTTCTGGTGATAGGCACTGAGAACTGAGCTAGAATCAATTACATCTTCTGATAGGTTTGTATCGTCAGGGACTTATCTGAAGGGAGAAAAGTTCACGGGTATCTCTCACATTGCTATTGATACACGTTATAGTCGGTTTAGCGCCAGAATCTCTTGGCGTTTGCTTGTTTTAGATACTCGTTCCCGCGGAATATCAAGTTAGTTCCACCTTGCCCGAAGGATAATTCAATAGCGCTCTACGGGGAACTTTGCCGTATGTCCCTATGGTACCGGATTGCGTCTGCATGTCTATCAACATCCTTATCGCATCCATTGGGATCGGCACGGCATTCTACGATAATCTAAAATATCGCCCAAAACGGATATCGTGGAGGTACTTAATTCGGTTAGGGTCCAGATGACAAGGTCTACGTCTATCCGGCACTGGATTGTTCCTGCCACCGCAAAAAATTCCATGCAAACATTGGCGAATCGCAGCAGATCCAGGATATAACAACACTTAAGGCGTAGTACTATGCACAATACAGGTAATCTTTAAACATATATTCTATTCTGGGTATTTCCTCTGACTCACCCAAACAAAGCATCAGAAACCTTGTTGAGAACTCTCCAAACCGTACCTTGAGGCCTTGGATGTTGCTCCAAAGCCAATCTTTCCGCCTCCTCTTCCATATCGATCTTGTCCTTGCCCGACATAAAGTCCACGTCAAGGGGCGATCTGATTCTGGTCTTTCGGAAAATCTTCCAGAAGAAGTAGAGACAGACGAAAAACACCTGGCAAAAGTAGCAAGTAAACAAATTAGCCACAGAAAACTGACCGGGGAAGAAGATCTAGAAGCCATTGAAAATTAATGTAACACAGACCAAGAAGCACCCCACGTAGGAAATGTACGGCTGACAGTTAAACGGAGCGGTGTAGTAGAGATCCCCCACTACAAAACCCTGCGCCTTGAGGCCACGACGGAATTGGAAGTAGCAAAGAAACATAACCAAATAGGTGCACAACAAACCAGTGGTGGCCAAGTTGATAAACCAGTTAAAAACAGTGGCAGTGGTGTTTGAAATCGAGAGGTAGCCCAAACAGCCGACCAAGATCGAGGCAGTCACACAGAAGACTGGTGCACCGTTGGGCAAACACGTGGCAAGGAACTTTGGAGCAAAACCAGCGAGAGCGGCCGAATACAACCCTCTAGTAGCAGTGTAGGCGAACGCATTACCACAAGACCAGGCGGACATCATAATACCAGCGTTTACGAGGGAGTCCAACCCGTGGACCCCAACGCTTCTGATACCAATAACCCATGGGGAGGAGCCCGCTCCTGCCTTGCCTTCCGCCTGGGCCTGCAACAACTCCGCATTGTTCGAGGCACATAAACTGTTCATGAAGAAGATTCCGCCAAGGTAGAAGAGGAGAAGACGGATATATGAACGCCTGCCTGCCATTGGGATGTTGGTTCTTGGCTGGATGATTTCACCGGAAATGAAGCACAAGGTGTCAGGCCCACCAACGGCGAAAGCCGCATAGACCATGACTTTCCACACCCCGAGAAACTTTCCAGTGGTGCCATCTACCAAGTATTGCTTCGTGAGCCCACCTTCCGACCAATGACGGAACCCGTATTTATCGCCTTTAGGGTTTCCCCCACACATGGTGACCAAAGTGAAGAGCATTAAGCCCACAATGAGGACTACTTTCAACATCGAGATGAAGAACTCGGACTCGCCGAAATATTTGACGGCACAGACGTTGACCAAAAACATTGCGACCAAGGACAAGGTGATCCAGACGGCGGGATTGATATCGGTCCAATACAGGATAGTGCCGGCCACAGCTACCGCCTCCACGCAGACAAACATCATAGCGGTGTAGCAGTAGATCCACGAGGCGGTAAACCCCAAGGCTGGGTCGCAGAATCTGGAAGCGTAGTGGAAAAGGGAGCCCTTAATCGGAAGCCATGAGCACATTTCGGCCACACACTGCATCAATGGCCATACCACAAGCGCTGACCAGATGATAAACCCGATAAGCAAGGACAAGGATCCGGATGAGACAAGTGGCCCGCTCAACCCGATGAACAACCCCGTTCCGATGGATGAGCCAATGATCATCAAGTTGACGTGGCGGGCGTTTAGTCCTCTTTTTATTTCCCTATACTTTTCGAGGTTTTCAAGTGCGTGAAAGTCGTTGAGCTTGTGCAATTGCAGCTTGTCGTCTATGCTCTCAGTAGCGTCTACCTCGTAACCGTGCTTCTCAATCTCGGCGGACATGATTGGTTAGTATTTTTGGGTTAAGGGGATTGGAATACTGCCAGTATATCGGTTGTGATGACTCTGATGATAACAGAACGGTGAAAGATTTTGGGATGGAATCAAGGCCAATAAATACTCTTAAAGTTGGGGTCAGTACATATTCTCGATATCAATGCGGTATGCAACATCCGCCGCATCCTGCAGCTCCTGCATGTTGAAGCCTGTTTGGGACCTGCCGCGGATAGCCATGCCGGTGGGGGTAAAATTGCTGAGACGGATGTTGAGGATTTGCTTCTTTCGGAGACCCGCGGGAGTTACTTTTTATTTGTTAAAGCACACACGATTATGGAAATATCCTTGCCCGATGAAATTGCTCTACGTACATATGGTCATTCGTCAAATTACCTAAGTAGGGAATGAGAAGTTGCCGCCACGTCTAGGAATAATAGCCCATCCAAACCAAGTACTGGCTGACCCAGAGAGTGAAGAGGATAGCGTTGTGTACACGACTAGATGCCAGAGCCAGACGGTCAGGATCAGAGGGAAGAGCGATATATATGACGGATTAGTACCGTGACTTAGCCTGCATATATATTTCCGCTTAAAGATATCGGTTTCCTTCGTTGTGGTTCCGGAGGAATCTGGATCTGGCGCATAACTAGCCTTTAAGAGCTATTCCAGGATTTCTTGTAAATGCTTATCAAGATACCCTGGCCTAGATCTCCTATCTAGAGGCTCTGATGATCCCCACCAATGTGTATTTAGCCGCCATCCTATTAATCGTAATTTTTGACAACATCGATATTAGCTATGTCAAAAGCTTGGCGGCTACCGCCCCGGAATTTTGATGGTGACAGCCAAACCCCCTTGTAGCGCGGCTAGCTAGAGGTTAGCTCTGTGGCCGGTGGACCGAAAGCCCGATCACCAAACGCAAGGGAACGCACAGCTGCAGAACGGCGGCCATAGAAGGCAGAATTTTAGGTGGAGAAGCCGGCAAATTTCCGCTATCACGAGCTAGGAAAATTGCACAGATAACAAGCCTTACCTGTACCCCACACGGCCGGAGAAATGCGATACCTGGCCCCAAATCCAAGCTTGATGTATTTTATCTGAAGGTCATTCTCACTTTTCTTTTTGGGTGTAACTCAAGAATTGGGCGCTTAGCCTGTGATTATCCGCATTCGACGATATCTCCCGTGACCACTTATCAACAAGCATCGAGCCTGAAACCATCGTCAGATGTGAGTCTCGGAGGAGAAGCTAAGGCACCGAGGTATCTGATAAGGTGAGAGAAACTGTATCGAAGTCTGTAGAACAAATAAAGGCGGACAAACAATCTTCAGTGACCAAGTCAGCTGGCGGCATATTATTAATTGAGAACTATAGAAGCAACCAGATAAGAAATATGTTTAATTTAAGGGCTAAATCTGATTCTCCCTAAGCCTGGCTCTCTTTTAGAGACTTTCCCGATACTTATGAATAATTCCGTCAGGAACAGATCCTCTTCGCAATCGTCTCATCAATGCCAAAATAACTCCGATAATTACGGTATCACAAACCTTAGGGCAAATGTTTGCAATCCACCAACATTACCTTTCTAAGAGGAATAAACCAACCAGATTATCCAATCATATTCCAACAAAAAGTAAATGCGCCAGCCCGGAATCGAACCGGGGGCCCAACGATGGCAACGTTGGATTTTACCACTAAACCACTGGCGCTTTTTTGTCAGAGTTAGAGAGTTGTTTCAGGAACCTTATGAGGTTCCAGTTGAGGCTACTAGGATTATTTGATAATGAGTATCTGAAACTAATCCTGTCGCATAAAGCAAATGAGGCACCGAAGAAAGCTATATAAGGAAGTAGTTTTCCAGATCTAAGAATGATCTTGGTTTTAATATTATCTTTATTTTTGTGGAAGATCACGATAAGTAACTTGTGAATCAATGACTGATTACAACCCCCCGACTGGAATACCAACAGGCGCTGGAACCCTGACAGTTTCCAGGAAGTGCTTCACTAGCTCAGTTGGCAGAGCGTCAGTCTCATAACAGGGCCCTTCGGGGTCACGTGATGAACTATCTGAAGGTCGAGAGTTCGACCCTCCCGTGGAGCAGCGCTTCTTTTTTCGACCTCATACATATGCAAAGCCATCTTTTTGGGTCATACTAAAGCAGTTGTACTTGTTTCGTCCCCAAAGTCGATTTTTTTGCTGATGTTTTGAGAGGCTTAAAATTGTAGTGTCTACTCCATATCCTGTGTATAGTGACATATTATACTATCCTGCATGTAAATGGTCGGGGTTCGAACCTGCTAGGAGCTATTCTTGTTTTTTTGCCCCCCGTATCGTGCATGACCGAATAATATCTTAAAGTAAAACCCTTTTCCAAACCATTCGCTGAAAGGTTCCGATCCATTCTTAGTCTTACCGACCGTCTTATAATGCCAGAAGTCGGTGAAGTTGCCCACGCGGTGGCCCAGCTACGCAGAAACACCCTCAACCACAAGATCGTCTCATTAGGTCTCCAGGAAGACAGTCTACTCTTTCCCTTTTTAAAAGACCCCGAAAACACCGAAAAAATACTGGATCTCCACGACAAACTCCTAAATACTACTATTTTGAGTGTCGGCAGGCACGGCAAGTACTTCTGGATCCGTCTTTCCTCGAGCGATGGCAGTCCTGAGACCTCAGTCTTGGTTATGCACTTCGGGATGACGGGGTGGATCAAATTGAACAACATCCCATCCAGCATGGTCTTCATGGAAGGCGGAGGCGACAAGCTCGTATTGGAGCAGATCAAAAAGGAAGAGGACAAAATCAAATACGAAGCAAAGTTTGAGAAGGAGGGTTTGTTTGGAGACAAGGAACCCGAAGAGGTGTGGCCACCAAAGTTTTCTAAGCTAATCATGAAGTTACAGAACGAGAGTACAGGACACACAATTGACTTGTCTTTTGTGGATCCCAGACGGTTGGGGCGGATCAGACACTTGACGGGGCCAAAGGTCCAATCCAACAAGTCGCTAGTGTGCGAGTGCTCGCCTCTCAAGGAGTTGGGGCCGGACTACCTGAAGTCCTCGTACTTTGACTCGTCGCCACCGTTTGTCAGTGGGGACCCGGATCCAAATAACCACGGAAAACCGAGATTGTCGCTCCCGGACTTCCAGGCCCTCGTGCTTTCCAAAAAGAAACCCATAAAGTCGTTGTTGCTTGAACAAACAATCTTTTCCGGAGTTGGAAACTGGATGGCGGACGAGATCTGTTTCCAGGCCCGCATCCATCCCAATGAAATCCTCACAAGTGTCATCAGCAGCGACGGGACCATACACCCGTTGATAGAAAAGCTCTATGAGACGGTGATATTTGTGTGCGAAACGGCGGTAAAATACGAAGCGGAGGTGTTGCAGTTCCCGAAAGACTGGTTGATGCCCTACCGCTGGGGCAAGAGACGTAAGAACGTCAAAGTCAAGACCTCTGACGGGTACGATGTGGACTTTATCACCATCGGAGGAAGGACCAGCTGCTTTGTTCCGGAGGTGCAGAAGACGTTCAAGAGTATGGATATGGCGCAGAAGCGGAAGGTCAAAGAAGAAGCCGTTTTAGAGGTTCTGGAAATTACCGTCGCCGGTTTCAAGGTGGAGGAGGTCACACTTAAGCGGTCTAAGAGGAAGAAGAACTGAGCTCTGAGAAAGGGTGAGCATTAGCGGTAGGGCCGGGAAGATATCTAGGTTACTAAGCCGTTTCGGAAATATTTAAAGAGTTTACACTTCAGAGTCTAGGGGTTACCTAAGTTTACTAGAATACTGTAACTTAATAATAGACATCTTTAAATTTTTACATCTGCAGACCTGCCGATGCAGATACAATGGGAGGGATGGACTTGGCTTCCCGAACACTCCTCTTGGGCTTTTGCGGTCTGTGCATGTATACCACGTACCTGTTGTTGCAAAAGCATGAAGATCAGAGGTCACTAAGCACCATTTGTCAGCGGACTATTGGAGCATAGCTGTGTTTTATTCAGCAAAATTTCTAACCTTTTCGAACCTTGGTTGTACCAACCTGATTATTGTGGAGCCATGTGCGCCCACAGCGTAGAGAGTTGACGTAAGCCGTAGTGCGGCGTTCGACCCAATTATATAAGATTACAAATTTTTCCACGCCACACTTATGCAAGATATAAGTGTGGAGGCCTGTCTTACCAGCCACTCTTTACCACTTAGGGACGTTACCGCCACGAAGATCACCACATATGCGGCCTTTGACCCCGAGATTAGGCCGATTATGCATGGCATGGTTGAATCAGCATTATTAATCTTGTGCTAAAAAAATTGTACACGTAATCGTGGTATTACGCACTAACTAACGTTTGTCATCGAAGTATGCCACCTCTCAACCACAGTTTCACACCTCTTAGTGGTGCCACATCGAGCTCATCCTGAAACTATAAATAAACCACCACCCGCTCCAATCGAACATATATTGTGCTCTATCATCATCAACAATCCTCTTATACAACTATACACAATGTCTCCATCATACAAGCCAATCGTCGCCATCTTCGGTTCTAACGGGACCTTGGGTAAGCCAATCCTCGACTCGCTCACCTCTTCCGAGTTCAGCTCCAGATTCCAGTTGCCAATCAGAGTCATTACCCGCTCTAAGGAAGGCAAGCAGGACTCGGCTGCGATCAAGTACTACGAAGCCTCTGTGGATGACACTTCTTCCTTCAAGGATGTGTTAGATGGCACCAGTGTGTTTGTCTCCTTGGTTGGCCATGCTGTTGACGGAAAGGCAATTTTGTCTATTATCAAGGCCGCTCCTTCTTTGAAGGTCTACATTCCATCTCAATTCGGGTCTGACCTTGACAATACCGGCTATCTCCCTATCCCTGCCTTTACAGGGAAGACCGCCCACTCTGTGGCTGCGCGTGAACAAAACCCAGGTTTGAAGGTGGTTGATATTTACAATTCATTCTTCATCGCGCCTGGCGCCTGGTTGTATGAAATCGTTGGCCACGTCGGTATCGATCCAGAGTCCAAGACCGCCACTATCAGAGGTGACCCGGCTTTTAAGTTCAATGTTTCCTCGTTCCCGGATATTGCCAACACCGTTGCCGTGGTGGCCTCCACTCCTCCGGCCACGTTGAAGGACACCATCAAGGTCTACTCTGACAGCGTCACCCAGGAAGATGTTATCAGCAAGTGGGAGCAGTCGCACGATGTTAAGTTGGAGAGAAAGTACGTGTCGGCGGAGGACACCTTGGCCGAAGCTAAGGCTAAGTTGGCCGATGGTTTCAACTTTAAGGACTTTTTCTTCTACTTGCAAACTTTCCTTTCCCAGGGCGAAGGTAAGGGTCTTGCTTACCACGCTGATAATGACAGAGAGTTGCTCAACCCGGATGAGTCTTTGTGGAAGTGGACTAAGTTTTAGACAATGAGAAAACTTGAAGTCTTGAACTTTTTTACTTGTAATCTTGATTGAGTATTTTATATGGTTTTAATTTCTAATTTAATAGTCATCTGTATTATCGCGCGATAATCCATTTTAAAATGCATCCTAAAATGAGTTGAATTTAACTAAATTGAATTATATATATATATACTACGAAGGGGGAGCGTATATCAAGATTTTTTTATAAGATCCTAACAATATTGAATCTCTTTGTGAAAATCTTGTGAATATCTTGCCCATATTTTCATATATAAAGCTACATGCGTACGAATCAGAGACTGGAATAAAAATATGTGAGTGGTAAAATACACCTTTACTATATACACATATGTATAGTTAATAAAAACTTTCATATGGTCTCAAATTCTTTGGATGTAGTGATCAGGTTAGAGCCCAGTCTTGCCACTTCGCGCCCCACGTATAACATATGTTACATACTGCACGCACTACCGTTTTCAGTCCCATATAAATTTGGAGTTTTCGACTCCTGCGGTGTAAGAGCGGCCGGCGCTAGCCCCCTGACTGCTCTGGCGCATGGGCGCCGCATGGCGATTCTCAACGCTCACTCCGACTTAAAAGCGCTATCGCAAAAATATCCTTATCTGGTCTGCTCTCCATCACATGCCATGCCACAAAGAACAGTCCCTACGGATGCTACCTCTTCAGAGATAGCCATCAGCAACTTGAATATCGCCTTTGATGTATGTATTACAGCTCTTGAGGTTTGTTTTTCCAGGCACTAACATTTAGAACGTTTTGGTATCGATGGGGTTCATTATGAATGCGCTCAGCTTGGGTAACGCCGCACACCAGCAGATATTTGGTGTCAAGACGGAAGAACCGGTGATCCAGAGTAACCAGTCGCTCAATGTAATCCATGCGAACAACAATTACCATCTTTCGGCGAACGCGTTCGCACCGAGCGGCACGGCGCGCGGGTTTGACGATCTCGGCAAGTCAAGTGTGCACACGGTGCTCTCGCGTGACTTGAAGGCGTTGGACGACTGTCTTCTCGCACAGTGGCGCCAGTTGGACGAGCTCGATATGGTGGTGAAATACGCGACGCAAGAACAGGGGCCGTTACAGCAGAAGAAGGCGGGACTCGCGCGGGAGTTGGCAGAGAGGGAGAAAGTCTTGACCGAGTTGAAGAGGCAGGAGACGGAGAAGCTACAAAAGGAGAAAGAGCAGCGGGAGCGCGAGGAGGCAGAGAAGCGACAGATGGAAGAGCGCGAGAAGACCCGCGTGCGTGAGGAACAGGAAAAAGAAAAGGCCCGTAAGGAACAGGCTAAAAAAGAAAAGGCAGAGGAGGACAAGCGGGAAAAGGCCCGGAAGCTGGCAGAGGCCAAGAAGGCGAAGGAACAGGCCAAGACGCCGGCCATGCACAGCCCCGAGGCCCATTCGACGTCTCCATCGCAGGCTAAGTTTACCAACCCTACGGATATCTTGAACAACTTGTACACCCACTCGGATGCTCCGGTTCCGGCTCCGATTCTCGCCAGCACCAAAAAGCCGGATACAGCCCCTATGCCCAACACCGACATGATGAACACAGACGATTACTTCGACTATGACAATGAAATGTCGCAGTTTGATGATTTCGTCAACAGCGCTGGCTTGGACCAGGACCAGGATATAGACCTCAACATACCCGAAATGCCCGCTTCGTTGCAGGTTCTGGCTTCGGCGCCCATGCCGCCGATAGACAGGCAGGAGGAGGAGATGAACTATCAAGACATGATGATGTTAGGGCAGGATGGGATGCTCGACAGCAGTGCCGGCAACGGAGACTATGACATGGGTGATATGCTTGTGGGGGACGACATGAACAGCAACTTGAACGATATTTTTGACGAGTTGGGGCTAAATTTAGGCTAGGGTACTATTTGTTTACGAGAGGTGTTTGCGTAACAGATGAAGGTTTGAGATCAAATGTAGGTAGGGAAAGGGTATTTTATTGAATGTAGGTAGAGGAAGGATATGTTATTGACTATAGACTGAAATACGGAGTTCTGTCATGTGTATTCTAGTGAATGAAACTCCTTGCTACGCCTAAAATTTTACCGTTTCGGGATGAGCTGGCACTAGTCTATCCATCGCGGTATTAAATTATTGATGGGGCAATCTGTTAAGGTACACAGTTATACAAATCGTTAGAGCAAGTGCCGCTATCGCGAGAAGCAGCTTGGATACTAGGCCTTAGTATTGAACCTGCCATCATCGAAATAATATCGATCAAACATTGATGTGAAAATTTCATACCTTATTGCAACAACCACGCCTCAACTATCTGAAAAGCAGATCCATTATTCCAAATTAGAGTTATTTTCCTTCAATAGGGACTACACAAAAAGCCACCACACAGAACTTGAAAGTAGACCCAAAAATACCCATTATACCACCAGAAGCTCATACTTAAACCATATATGTTTCAACGCATGCCGATAATTCCTCTCGCTTACACATACTCTTCGTCTTCCGCGGGACATCCACCGTACATCACCTTTGATTCCATGCGCTTTACTTGGACGAGCTCCCAGACCGCTCTGAGCGTTATGAACAAGCCCGCACCAAACAACAACCACACAAACGCAGGCAGCGACAAGATTTTTTTGCCCCTTTCTATCGTCACGGTCTCTAGCCCTGGAAGGTCCGAGTGATATGTATCCAAACCTTCCAGAGTCCCAATAGTGTCAATGCCATTTGGTTCCAGGAGGATCACCTTTTGCGGGGTAGTCTCCGAGGTCCCCCCATCTTCTGTTACTTTGCACATTGCGTACGCCCAGCTTATCAAGGTGTAGCCGAGTCCCAAGTTGCAACCGGCTTTAGAGGCGTGGGACGTGTGGAGCAAGTAGCTGAGCACAAACCCGGGGAACTGGAAAATCACCACCATCATAATGTTCCAGAAAAAGCTCACCAAGTCCCCCACTGGAAGCCCGTCAATAAACAAGTCTTCACCGTCCAATTCAGGGGAGTAGAACGGAAGCGGGTCCGCTTCTACGTCTGCGTAGGCTGGCAACTGGTTGTCCGAGTCATCTTCCACCGTCGGCTTGGCAGAGAGGTTGCTGAAAACGCCGTCGTGGGGGGCGGGGGTGGCCTTAGGGAATATGCGCCCAAGCGGACTATACCGGAAGCGCGAGAGGAACGGAAAGCGGGAAATGGAGGGCGAAATAGTGCCGTGAGCGTTTTCATCGGAAGACCCTTCTTGCGGTTCAGTTGTGAATAGTACGTTGGGTAACTAGAATGGTTAGTACTGCGTTAGAGGATTTTTAGTGGATACTTACTTCTTGATACTGTGCCATTAGCAAAGATGAAATATTCTTGGTTAAAATGAAGGGTCAAAGGCTAGAAATGAGAGTCCAAGACGGAGTAGCAACGAAAAACGATGAACAGTATTGAAGTGTACCAAGTGAGAGCTTGAAATGGTAAGAGAGGGGCGAAGTGATCGGGCACGATTGCGCATGTTTATATCGCATGTGGCGTAACGCCTGAACAAAAGGTTGAGAGCCGCACGTTTTAACCGAGTTGTTGGTTACACCATTGTTCATGGGCACCAATATATCTAGCAACTCGTTTATATAGATCGCAACCAGGTGCAAAAGGTGTCCGGAAAATATTAGGCTAATTTAAAAAGGTGGAAATGCCACAGAATATGCTCCGACGGGACCATATCTGAACTGTAGCACGTCATTAAAAAGCTTAGATCCGCATAGCAGAGTTGCAAAAACGCCTGGACAAATGAGGTGTGTTGGTGTGCCCCTGGGGTTCGGCCTTAAAGTATACCCAGTAACCTTATAAGTGAAATCTAGAGTTGTTGGAACAATTACACGGTGTGAATGAAGCTGTGGGTAACAGTTTTGAAGTAGTTTCTGGAGGCAGTGAGAGCTTAGATGATTGCCATGTCTCTCTACGTTGGAGCGGAGATGGGTGAAGACGAATTCTGAGAGAGTAATATTTGATTGCATTTGGCTTGTCTGATATATGAAACGCATAGTCAACTTCTGAATCGAAAAATAGTATAATAGAGATAATTAATAATGACAATAAATTGTGTTTAGATACTATAGCTGCCGGGATAACCCCTATGATTGTACCACGACCCAACACACTGCCTATCTCTACACCAAATATTAACCACATGCACTTAAAATTATCATGATTGAGATATATAATCATGGCGCCTGACCTGATCCATCTCTTAAGTCTCTAAAACCTTCGCAATTTGATCGACACTATCAATGACAGCGGACCGTACTGTACCCGCACACTATCGTTTCTTTCCGGCACTGCCGGCACCTCCACCCGCTTCGCCTCGAACTTTGGATTCGGCACCGTGTACGTCTCAATCACTTCCGTGAACGACTCCACACTTGGTCCCAAGTCCAAGGCACCAGGCAAAACCGTAGATGGCACCGGAGTTCGGAACGTCCTGGGAACGTCCGAGAGATCGGGCAAAGCGGGCACGCCTCTTCTGCCCAGCCGGCCGCCCTGTCTGCGTTTACGCCTGGATTCTCTCTCGCGGTCTTTGTCCAAGCGCTCCAACTCGTTGTTAGTGATATCGATCAAAGAGGGCGAGAAACCACCCACCACCGCTCTCGCACGGTACACTTCCTCGTGGGTAATGCCTGGCAAAAGATGGTGGGCAATCTCGTCCTCTGCAACGTACGACCCGTCAAACTTGTAGCCCACAAGGAACAAGGCGCGCGTGAAGAGTTGGACCTGCTCGCGGATTGCATGGGCAATCGCCGTCTCGAACTCGCCGGGAAGACTCATTTCAGCGCACATAACCGAGGCAAACTCCTCGGGATCGTTGTCTGGGTTCAGAATGTCCCACTCGAACTGGTCGAGCAACTGGTTGTTGCTGATGGTGATGTCGAGCTTAATCGTGACACGCATATCGCTCGGTTGCGCTGGTACATGCACGGCGGGATGGTACTCTGCGAGCTGTTCGCGAATCGCCGTGAGGATCGTCTCACCGCACAATGGGTTGGCCATGCGATAGTCCTCCATCATCCCGCTCACAAACTGGTCGAGCGTCACAGTCTGCTCGTGGATGTTCCACAAAAACGTATCACGGAGCTTGAACTTGTCACGCTCGACGTCGAACTCGAGCCGGATCGGCACCAACTCCTCTGGCGCGTCCGCCTGGTGGAGCGTGCGTGCGCGCGACACGTGGTAATCCGGCAACCGCGACGGCTTTTTTCGGTGTGCCGGAAGCACGAGCTGCGTCTTGCCATTTGTGATGCCGTTTCCGTAGCCAGCGTAGCCGTCGCCCCAGATCCCGCCCACATTGCGCTGGATCGAGCGCAAGCGATGGTTTTTGATGGTGTCGTAGAATTTGAGGTCACGCGAAAGACGGCCCACACTGCGGTACGCCATCGACTGGCGCTCGCTATGGGAATTTGCAATGTTGGCGGCGTCACGAGAAGTGATTTGTTCGTACATGAGCGTGTCTGTCGGCACTTCCTTGCCTTCCAGGAGGAGGCGCTCCGACCATGGAACGGGCCTCTGTTTGGGTGCAACTGGGAGTTGCGGTGGAAGCTGCGACTCAAGCATTTGGTGTGACGGGTGCTGCATTTGGGCCATTTGGTTGACCTGGTTATGGGGGATGCCCTGGACGTTGTGCAGAGCCTGGGGCGGATATTGGTTCATTTGATTCCCATGGATATGGTGCTCTTGGAACGGCGTATAGCCCTGCTGAAAACTCATATTGCGGTTGATGGATGAATGGTTATGGGTTGTTGTCATGCCGAGATGTTCAAATAGAGAACCCGAGCGCGAACCAGAGGCTGGGCAACGCACGACCAAAGATAGATGCAGGATGCTATAGGTGGCTTGCTTGCATGGATTATCTGATGTTCTGAGGTAGAATCCAGGAATTAATCCGAATAAATTTGAGGGATTCATACAGATCCACCCCCAACCTCGATTTTTTTTTCTGAGTGGTTAACTGGAGAACGCTCTGACAAGATTATTAGTTCGCAAATGCAGGTGCCCATGAGGAATAACTTCAGCTGCCCTTTTCTTTCATGTTTTACCTCAAATATTATTAGGCCATGCTGCCCTGGAATAAATAGCCAGTATAAGGCTGTAGATTCCAACTATGCGCTTGACCTCTACTGGCTCAGCTGATAATTATCATACAATTTATTAACTGCCTAAGCTCGAGTTCACCGGTGCACGCTCTCGCTACGATCTGTAGTCTCCATTAATAGTCACATACTCATGGGAAAAGTCACAGGTCCAGAACTTGGCCGCGGCACCGCCACCCGTGCCCAATTGCACCACAATCTCCAAATCCTCCGCTTCTAAGATCTCCAGGGCCCTGGCTTCGTCCACATTCTCGGGCTCACCGTTAACCAACAACTTCAACTCGGCAGAGCCGTCGCTCGGCACAAATGAGACATTTGTCTTGGCCGGAACCACCTCCACACCGGCGTAGCCGGTCGCACAAAGGATTCTTCCCCAATTAGCGTCCTTCCCGTACAACGCGGTTTTGACTAGCGCAGAATTAGAGATGGACGACGCCACCTGCTTAGCGTCTGTGTAGCTCAACGCGTCCTCGACCCTGATTGTGACAAACTTAGTGGCACCCTCGCCATCTCTGACAACCAACTGTGCCAACTGCTGGGCAAACCCGGTGATTTCGTCTTGCAAGACCTTGAACTCAGGCGTGCCTTCGGTGATGGTGGCACCGCCGGCTGCACCGTTTGCAATCGCGGAAATGGTGTCGTTGGTGGACATATCCCCGTCAACCGAGATACAGTTGAAGGATCTGTCAGTGGCGTGTTTCAAGATGGAGTGAAGTGCCGGCTGGGAAACTGGGGCGTCGGTGACAAAGAAACCAAGGAGTGTCGCCATGTTAGGGCAGATCATCCCCGCACCTTTAGCGAGCCCCGCTAGGGTGTAGGTGATGCCATTAACCGCAAACTGCTTGGAAACCAACTTTGGAAACGTGTCAGTGGTGCAAATCGCCTTGGCACAGTTCAACCAGTGTTCGTGGGAGTCGCCCAAACCCGAGGCAATCAACTTTGGAATCCCGTCCGTGATCTTTTGGATCGGCAATCTCTGGCCAATCACACCAGTGGACATCACAAGCGTGGAAGGGCGGGAGTTACCCAAAGCCCTGTCCACCGTGTCCACCATTAAGTTGGCGTCTGTCATACCGCCTTCACCTGTAACAGCATTCGCACAGCCACTGTTTACCACAATTGCATTCACGTTCACACCGTCGGTCTGCTTGAGGACGCTCTGGGACACAAGTACCGGCGCGGCCTTAAACTTGTTGGTGGTGAACACACCAGCGGCGACGGAGCCGGGAATATCCGACGTTAAGATCGCCAAATCGAGGTTTCCGTTTTTCTTCACCCCGCAGTGGAGCCCACCAACCTTGAACCCCTTCGGGTACGTGCCGCTGAGGGGAACAAAACGCGACTTGTCCGCGGCTCGCGCAAGCGAAGTGGTGGTGAAGCGGCGGAGAGAGAAGGATATCATTGTTTGGTATGTGAGGGGGGTATGGAAAATGCAAAGGGGAAGAAAGAAGAAAAGAGAGCAGGGGAAAGGTTTTATGCCCCAGGGGCATAGGTCGAATTTTCTCCATGACTCAGGAGCAGGTGCATGCAGGATGCATGTTGGGAATATAAGATAAAAATGAGAATGTCCATACGGAGGTTGTCTGGTATTAATAGATAATTCAACAATAATGAAGCGGTATATGTTTCTGCACCGGTTGGGTGTTTAGGTTGCTCTTTTTGGGTCTGATAGGATGGATAAGCTCGTTCGAGTGTCTCGGTGTGTTGGAATACGAGTGGAGAATTAGCCGCGGTGTTTCAGACATCACGTGGTTGGATATTTCCGCAAATGGAAACGAGAAGCTGCTGGTGCGTTGTCGGGGACATAAGGTACATACCACTTGGGGTTAAGACTGACGTCTTGAGACGGTATGGGAGTATTTTATTGGTTCATTTACTTCAGATTATATTAGTGAGCAGGCATTAGCGTACATAGGTTTCAAGAGTAAGCGTATGTGCAGTCACCCGAATCTGCTATTAGTTTGCAATTGAGGGAATGCAGGTATACTTACTCTTGAAATCTGTGTATACGGCTCCTGTTAAGGTAATACGCTTGCATTGTAATATCCGTCTAATTGAAAAACATAGATGTGCCAACTTTTAACCAAAGAAAGTTAGTATAACGCCAAAGTCTCCAATATCTACTTTCAAATCGCAATCACAGTATTAGCTCTCGCGCGGACAAAACAGCTTTAGCCACGAATATAGAGCCTTCAAAAATTCCCAAAGTACACATTATTTCCCAATCTTGATATAACCCCTCTATTGCCTTCAATCTAGTTGTAAAGATTTAATATAGCCATATACTCGTAAAATCACCCCATGAACAGAATATTCCCTCCCAGCTAAGCCCCACCTCGCTGTGCGGCTCACACGTGACTATCTTGAAAAATTGTTCAGTTTCCCAGCAACCATAAACGACTCTCTACATCCAACCCAGCTCTTACCCTTTATTCTTTATAACCACCTGTATTATAATGTCAGCCCAACCAGACACCTCCATCCTCAACTCTGACGTCATCGCAAAGTACAAGCTTGCAGGTGAAATCACCGCGCGCGTGTTCGCCCAGGTCAAAGCCCTCGCGGTGCCAGGCGCCATGATCTACGACATCTGTGTCAAGGGTGACGAGCTCTTGGCGGAAGAATTGTCCCAGATCTACAACAACAAGAAGACGTCCAAGATTCCTAAGGGCATTGCTTTCCCTACCTCCGTGTCCCCAAACAACATTGCTGCGCACAACTCGCCGTACGCCGCTGCTGACCCGGCCAATGTCGCTTTGGTCGGGGGTGATGTCGCCAAGATCGCTTTGGGGATTCAGATCGACGGCTACGCATCCATCATGGCCGAAACCGTGGTTGTTGGTGTGGAAGTCGCTACCGGGCGTGCTGCTGATGTAGTCTTGGCCGCGTGGAATGCGTCCGAAGCGGCTTTGAGAAGCATCAAGGTGGGCAGAAGAAACTGGGACGTCACCAGAGTCGTCGACCAAGTCGCGGAGGCCTACGGGTGTAGTGGCTTGGAGGGCATGTTGACCCACAACCAAGACCAGAACGTGTTGACCGGCTTCAAGGAGGTGATTATCAACCCATCGGACGAACAAAAGGCCGAAGTTGACACCATGACCTTCGAGGAGGGCGAGGTGTACGGGTTGGATGTGCTTGTTTCTACCGGTACCGGTGCCGTGAACCCAGCCGAGGTCAGAACCACCATCTTCAAGTTGACGGGGAATACTTACTCCTTGAAGTTGAAGCAGTCCCACGGTGTGCTTGCTGAGTTTAAGAAGAAGGGTGCTTTGCTCTTTCCCTTCTCTATCAGAAATTTGGACGACCCAACCAAGGGCAAGACTGGGTTGCATGAGTGCTCCGAGCACAAGATTATGCAGGCGTATGACGTTATGAGAGAGAAGAAGGGCGAGCTTATTGCCCAGTTTTACACCACCATCGGGGTCACCAAGACCGGGTTGGTCAGGTTGACCAGCCCCGAGTTTGATGCGTCAAAGTTCCAGAGCGAGAAGAAGATCGAGGACCAGGTGCTTTTAGACTTGCTTGCCGAGCCATACTTGAAGGTGACCAAGAAGAAGAACAACAAGAAGAAGGCATAACAAATGAGCCAGCGAGACGGGGTTATTGTTAATGTATACTATTATATAGATTATAATTCGTGTGTTCCTAAAATCGTGTAGTAATGCGATCTAGAGCATGCCGAGTATGTACGTCCTGGTTGTTAGCCCTTGTGATATGACCAAGATGTAAATAGTGCAGTCATTGATGGACATGGCTAAGCAGTGGACACATCTCAACAATATGAAGTTATAAAGCTTATACGGAATATCGCTTGGAATTTCCAGTTAATGTATAACTCCTAGCACCAGCGCTAGGATCACGAAATTGCCGTCAAACATCCTCTCTGTAGGTGTTTGAAGGAGAGTACGGTGGGAATAATGGGTGTTTTCTTATGAATCCTTGGGAAAATGATAAAGTAAAGTGTATACTGTTTGAAGCCGAAGGAAGTTTGACTCTAAAATTGGGTTATTCATGTCTCGTTTATGATGTAATATGCGGAGTGTTCACCAGAGATTTTTGAAGGAAATATCACCTTCGTTCTAGAGGTACCCCTCTTTGCTACACCCAAGATTCTAGTTTCTATTTCATTTATTAACCTGTATCAGTGAGAGATATTTGGGCCAAGGTTACCTGTTAGAGTTAGGCCAGCTGATTGGCTACACCTGGTACCATTGCCTTTCTCGTCACCCCAAAACATATCTTTCATTAAAGTTTCTTCTTCCAAGTGAAACTAAGTACATTGTTCTGTAATTCCAGTCCACTTTTCACCAAAGGTTCGGTATCTTGTCTGCCTTACGCAAGCGATTCTCACCTCCTTTATCCTTTACTTCACGTACACAATTGCCATCTTCTACCCTGTCTACAGATTATCCGTTCTTTTTCCTTCATATTTATAATATCCTAGCCACTATCAGCCATCTTTTACATTTTCTTTTTTATTCTTCCGCTTCTTCTTCCGATCCTTCCATAATTCGTCTCCGACCGGGACGCGTTCAATTGACGCGTCCCAGCCGAACATTCCCGCGCTCTAAACATTAGCCCGCTTGACTGAAACACGATTGGACCCTAACCACCTCCTCCTTAATATCCCAAACAAACATATTTATCCAAACCCAATTATACTCATAACTGTACATTATCAGTTTCATTATACAAATAGATTCGATTATTTCCCCTAGAAAAAGCATCCATCCAACCCTCGTGCACCTATCTGCCTCGGAATTCGCGCGTTATAAAATTGGATCTACTTTTTTTTTTACCTACCGTGACACTACAACCTCCACGCTATTTGTGACCCGCCCCTCCCAGATAACGCGTCCTGCTGCCTTTAAGTTATATGCCGCTTTTACACGCGATGCAAATATCACCCGACACTAGTTGTCCGATGTCTATTGAACTGCTGCCAAGCGCATCCCCGACGCCCGAACCGGAAACCAAAAGACGCTCGTCCAAACGAGTATCGCTCCAGGCGCGAACGCCAGTATATGCGGAGCTCTCGCCACTGCCATATATAGGCGGATCTTTGCCTGTATTGACCCCCGAAAGCCCGTCAAAACACGTCACACTCTCATACAACAAGCAGAAGTGGCAGGAACCTGTTCCAGATGAGCCGGCGCCCGTCTTTACCGGGGCTCCTCTCGCGGCCTTTCCGCTGTCAAAGGTGAAAAAGGAGTCGCTATGGCCAAAAAACCTCAGTGCCCGACGGAAGGGCTCCCAGAGCAAGTCCCAGACGCCGCAGCGCAAGTCCGGGGAATCGTCCCAGGAGTCCACGCGCGAGTCCACCGCCGACGCGGAGTCGCGCGCGGAGGAAAAACTCATATTGAGTTTACAGACGGCAAAATCAGAGGCAATCACTACCAAAAGCACCGTCCGGGAGTCCCTAGACGGTATCAAGGCCGTCCCCAAGCCGGGAAGTACAGAGGTGGAGGACAACTCGGATGTCAGGCTTGGAAAAAGGGGGTTTTCGCCCCCCTCTACGCCCACGCAAACCCCACGACTTCCCTCTCAGACGTCTCCCGACGACGCCAAGAAGAAACGAATCAAGTTTTCCTCGCCAAAGAAGCCCACACAGTCCACGTTCGGGTTCGATGGCGGGCTTACGGGAAAGCCGCGTGCGGCAACGGTGGAGGCGTCGGACCCTACGCGCGATAACGAAGACTTTTGTGCCGCGTGTGGTGAGCCGGGGATCTTCTTATGTTGCGAGGCGTGTCCCAAATCGTTCCATTTTGCCTGTTGCGATCCTCCGTTTGACGAAGATTCGTTGCCTGATGACGCGTGGTTCTGCCGTGAGTGTTATGTGAAGGCCCATCCGGCCAAGACCTACCTGGTAGGCATGTTCAGCAAGTTGATGAACCAGATGGAGAGGCGCAACCCCAACCAGTTTCTCCTCCCGAAGCGCATCGTGGAGTACTTTGACGGCGTTTCGGCTAACGCGTACGGCGAGTACCAGGACCAGGACTTGAAGCCCGAGATCAAGCTCGTGCGCACTACCAAAGAGGATGTAGATCCCGTGTTGGACAAGCACGGCCGGCCGCTCATCTGCTACCGGTGCAAGGGCACAGGACTAGAGCAGCCAATTACCACATGCGAGTACTGTCCATTGTCCTGGCACCTCGACTGTTTGTCTCCGCCGCTTGCGACAATCAAGACATTGGGCAGCAAGTGGAAGTGCCCCAACCACACCGACGATTTGGTGCTCGAAAGGGAGCGCGCTGTGCTGAAGGGCACCATTGTGGATATCAGCGTAAGCCACGGGTTCAGAAACAACGGGAATATCGAGGTAGACCTCGAACTGTACGATTATCTGGATGAAGAGATGGAGCCGGTGGTGTTGCCCACTCCACCGTACTTTGAAAGCCATGCAACGGAGAACGGGGTCGCCGCGCCAGCGTCCAGGGCTTTGCGAAGGGCATTCAGCATCGACGGGGTGAAGTATAGGATCCCGGAGAAGGGGATCCTTCTTGACTTTATCACCGCCACCAAATGGAAGAATGAAGCTGAAAGGGAGGAAGGCGTAGAGGGTGCAGAGGGGCCTAATTCGCGGGGTAGAGCCGAGGATGCTACCCAGGAAGTCATTGAGAAAGCCATTCAGGAAGCTACTGAGGAAGTTAACTCGGAGGGACCAGAGAAAAAGGGTATCAAGCTAGAATCTGTCTCTGGGATTACTACATCGCCCATCCTTGAGGAAACACGCTCTTCGTCCAACGCCTTACCCCCTGGGGATCCTCCTGGTATAGATGAAACCAATTTTTCGGCTTTGGTCCGCGTTGCGCTATCTGACTTGGAGGTACTTGGGCTTTGCGATATTATTGACGCGAAACAGCAAAAAGCGCGTCAGTCCCTAGACTACGTGGTTTCCGGCGACGACGTGGAGTCTTTGGCGGAGGGCGAAATCGAAGACTTGCTTCAGATCAAAAGGCTCCTTCAAGCGAAGGGTAGGGCATCTGTGTTGGCATTTTTGAAGTCGTAATATATTTGTGTAATCAAATGTAACCCTGGTCTGTGTGAGAGGGCGTTACAATTCCCGGTTATGTTTCTGGCCAGATCCAGTGTAACAAATAATAGTTCGTTCCCGGTGCTTACCGGTGAAACTTTCGGGGTTTCGATAGGCATTGATTTATCGCATTAACGGGGACGTATCGAGACCAAGATAGGACGGGTGAATATATGAGTTCCTCCAAGACTGTTGCGCCGAAACGGTTGATTACCGAAATTTAAGCGATAACTAGCTACCTAGAAATACAGAAAGCTCAAATCACGTTTCCAAATCGGAGTCCCAACGTCCTAGATATTAATTTAACTCCTTCATTGTCTGTTCATTATACCCATCCTACTGGTCACAATCTATAATTATTTCAGATTTAGCATTACCAACTTTGTAAAACAATTCATTGCGTGTGAACATTATTCAAAATCAGAGGTCTCTTCCTCTTCGGAGTCACTCACCGTATAACTAACATTATTTCTTGAACGAGAACTTTTACGAAGATCCTCCGGATTGATTGCCACCTTAGCCTTCTTAGCAACCTTCGATTTCGGAGACTTGGTTCTCTTCACGGGCGTAGATTTTGCCTTTGGGGTACCGGGATTAACCGCAGGCTTGACCCTTGGAGCAGCCTTTCGCTTTGGCGCCAGTTGCAACTTGTGTCTGATCAACTTGGCCAACTCAGCCTGGGCGGTTTCCGGAACAAATACGGTCGATACAATACGCTTGGTTTCTTCCACACTCTTCATGGGGGCAAACAAGTCCGCTGTGAGCTGGATCCTTGCAGGGTACGTCTCTAACGTCCAGTTTTTTGCATCATGAAGCTCCTTCACCACCATCTGAGCCACCTCTGCCACTCTGTAAAGGTTCAAAACGCTCTCAGGAGCAACGGCTTGGTCGTAAAGGCTCTCGTCGATGGTGTTATCGCGGTACTGTTTCACCCTGCTCGCGAGATAGAACAAGAAGGAGATATTCTGCTGGGTAGCAATGCAGTTGATATAAAAGGCAATATACTCCAAAGCATAGGAAAAGCCCTTGAGTAGCGTGGCTTCAACACTCACCAAGTCTGCAAACTCCTGGTTGTGGGCAATCATATGGATAAGCCTCACCAACGTTCTCTCGAATTTGACATCCTTACTCCTGGCACACCGGGTGCTGAAGGATCTGACCCAGGTCTGCACGTCGTCCCTCACCTCCGTGTTTGGCTCGTGGGCCATAAAGAAAATCAATGGAAGGAACTTCTCGGAAACCACTTCAGACGCGAGGTACTTCTTCGCCTTTGTGATAAACTCCCGACGGACGTTCTCGGATTGGTCCTGGACCACAAACGTCAACCGGTTGACCGTTTGCGGGTTCACCATGTTGCTGTAAACCGGCAACTTTGCCAACTTTAGTAACAGCAACCCGGCCGCGAGACGCAAGCGTGATTGGTAGTGCTTCGGAGTTGGCAAGCCCGTTTTCTGGTTCACAATCTCACCCCCGCTGCCAATGAGCGTTGAAAAGAGCTTGAACACAGGCCCCGACACACTCCCATGACTGCTGGTCTCCAAAGACTTTAAGCGGTTGACAAAACAACGCAACGTGTAAAGCTTGGCGCTTAGTTCAGGCTCGCTACCCGTCTCCAAGGCCTCGTCGCTGATCCATTCGGGGTCTGAGTCCACCGCACCGCGTGTATTTGTTAACAAGATATTCTTGATGAGAAACGATGTAAGCTCCTCAGCATCGTACACCAACACCAGTGGCGATTCAAGAAACATTTGCACGACGGACGACAAGTGGGTGACAAACTTCGGGCTCTTGGCATTGAGAGGGTAGATCAGATCAAAAACGTCCTGGATGAGGGGCTTTGTGTCGGAGTGCAAGCCCAAAATCTTGATGGAGTACTTTGCTTCTTGCGGGGTCCCAGAGATCGCCAAACTCAGCAACTTGTCCGTCACTTCCCGTGGAGGTTGTTCCAGAAACTTCTTACAATATCTGAAAACTGTTTTCAACGACTTTGCCACGCTCGTCTCGGTGAGCACCAATCCGTACAATGTTTGTACATGGGACTTGAAGACCGACGGGTTGGTCACTGACGCTTGCTCCAACCACTCATCGGCGGCCTCCTGGAATGAACCCCGGGCCTTGGACATAGCAACCACACTGGAAATGTTCGACTTGTTGTACAAAACGACGGACGCACGGTATAACAAGAGTTTGAAGGTGGATAGCATGTCAGCGCCACCCTTCTTGCCCTTGATCTCGCTCATTTTGGCAAAAAGCTCTTTCATGGAGCTGGCGATGGTGTCGTAGTCACTCTCAGACGAAATGGCCAAGCGGATGAGTTTGTACCATCTGCGGTTGTTGAGCCTCACAAACAGGTCCAAAGTTTCATACGCATTGCCATTCTCGGGTAACGAAGCACAGAGCCACCTGTTGACCGTGTCGATCTGTTGCAACGTCTTGACGTTGTCTTCTTCCGCGGTTTCGGCCCCGCCATTGTACGACTCGCTAAACTCGACGAGCTTTGTTAAAACGCCCGCAAGCTGCTGCTGGCGCTTAGAGATGGCCATGAATGCCTGCTTGGCCTTTGGCTCTAAGTGTCTCATCACCTGCAACTGTCTCGCGACACGGGTTTCAGCGTTTGCATCGGTTGGCAAGAGTTTTTCGAACACCGCCATGTCCACAAGACTGTTGATATTTCTATCGTTGATGTAGATCAAGTTCAAAATTTGCTCGGGGATCCAGCCGACCAAAGCGTCTAGGGATTCGTCGCCCTGGAACAACTTCGGGAAGCAGTCGTCGTACAATGTGGCTAAAACCTGCACAACCGTGGTTCTGATTTCGGGGTGACGCTCTCTAATGAGCTGAGCAAGCGTTTTGAGCAAAGTTTTGTCGGTAGCCAAGACCGTGGCCACGAGCTTGGCTGATGGCACCCGTGCAATGGCCCTACAGGCGGCAAACCGCACTCTTTCGTCGGAGTCGAGCAAGCACTTGCTAATCCCGTGGACAATCTCCTCTGGAAGGTGGCTGGTTGACACCATCAGCACCATATTGGCGGCCTGCTTGACCCACTCGGCGCGCACGCGTGGGCTCACGTCCAAGGTTTTTTTCATCCAGTTGAGCCAGGTTTCGGAGTGCTCAGTGGTGAAGTTGACCCTGGACGGTGAATGGCCGATTATCTGACCAAGGGTTTGGGTGGCAAGGACTCTGATCTTCTCGTTCTCCGCCAGCAACTCGTCATCGATGAGGCCCATCACCGACCCGAGAAGTTCAGGCACGTGCTTCCAGATGGCGAGCGACAAGTCGTGGATCTTCCCGAGCTGGGCAATGGTCTGGGCGTCGGAGATTTCCTCCAGGTTGGTGTTTTCGTACATGATCTCGGAAAAGTACTGGGCAATCTGTCGCGCCATCCGGTCCATATTCATGTTACAGATGGCGAGCGTGAACTTGAACCCAGGGTTTGAAACATTGGAGAGACTGGTTTCGCTGGATAAAAACTTGTTCAACACCAATGTCAACACTTTGTGAGGGATGGTTTCGGACTCGGAGATGATTTCGGAGAGAATGTCCGCTGCCAAGGGCTCAAGCTTAGCTGGGAAGTTGGCAGAGGCGAGCTCATACAAGGTGGTAAACACCTTTTCGACGAGGCTTTCGGCGTCCGGCAAGTCGGTGATGAGCACCACGGACCTGACCTCGGCCAAGCTTTTGAGAAGGTAGACCTGTTGCTGGTAGTACGGGTTCTCTGCATCCTCTAAGCGCCGTAACTGCAAGAAGATGGTTTTGAAGATGTCGCTGAGTTGGGGCGCCGTGAAGGGGGCATCTGGGGCGTAGAGGCGCAAAATGTCGGCACAGCAACAACAGGTGAATGCCTGCACGCCCTGGTTCGTGTGTTTCAAGAGCTTCTTATTGAACAATTGGTCCTTGACGGCGTCGAAGGAGGCGATGTTGATCTTGTCCTGGTCCGCGGTAGAGAGTTCCGTAGAGAGCTTCTATATAGGCGTTAGTACTGGGGTGTAAAATACAGTAGGGGTCAAAGGTAAGGCAACAGAGGTGTGGAGATACTGGGATAAATGGGGGGTTACCGGAAAAAGTAATCATTTGACTGTTTTCTCGGTTGAATAATGTCCAAGTAAATCAGCAGAATATTGGGATTGCCGAAAATCCTACAAGAGGTCAAGTCGGTGATACCACTTATATCGTGACGCTTATCGTGACTCCTTAGTATGGTTTTCTAGAGCATAATTGGCACCTCTGAGATCTCATACGTGTTCCAGGTCTCGCCAACAGACATAGCCCCTCGCATCGTGCAACACGCACCTTCGCATCCCTTTGTAACATACCTGAAGACGGTTTAACAATTCCTTGGTAGAGATCGACTCCACTGCAGAAGACAAAAGTTTCTGTTTGAACTTCAATTTCTGAAGCAGCGGCATCGTGGTGTAATTGGTGGCGGGTAGAAAGTTGAGATAGAAAGCAAAATGAATCGCTTTTTAGCCGCGCGCCCCTGGGAAAGCGAGCCAAAATCGAAAAAATAAAACGCGTCAATTTGAGCAGCAAACTATTATGAAAACAACGCGCTCGGATTATGTAAGCGATGACACACCAGCCACCAGTGAGGCGTTGGGTCGCGCCACGATGTTCCGGTTGAGATTGCTGACACTGGGAATGAATATTTGGCAGTAGGTCATTTCCAGGTTGATCAACAACGGTCACTGGTACAATGACTCTGAGATGTTGGTATGATAGTTTGAAATGACTGGATTAAGCTCTTTTATTGGCAGGGCTTGCCGTATCGCGGTCATGTGTTTAAGACATCGACATTGACTCAATGCATGGAGTCTATGTCCTAAACACAAGGCCACCTGTTAGTTATATAGTGGGTGTTTCTCAGTCAAAAACTTTGGTGAATATTCGATGCTTTCTCATTTTAGGTTGCATCAATGTAAGAGCGGCGATCAGAGCTATATAGGCGTCGTCATAAATCTGCACTAATTAGGGCTTCACATTTCACTCCGATGACAAATTAAACCGTAATATATAATAACTGGGACTAATTGGATGACATATACCTTAAACTTCATAATCACCCGGCTAAACAATCTTTAACCATCAGAATCTTTATGAGTTACAAAGGTGTTACGTTCGCAAAAAATAGCAAGCCCTGATTACACTATCTAACACGAAAAAAGAGAACCTCAGCAAGCCGCGGAATAAAGCCAAGCTGAGGAGATACAGCACGCTGAGGTCTGTAATAGGGATGTGTTTCGCATTATAATTTGTACCAAGACTTAACGTTGAACGTAACTACTTCCATTTGCTAAACCCGTCTCCCATGGTTAGATCCAGTGGCTCCGCATTAAAAGGACAGAAGCGGGTATAATTGGGTTCCGTCACGTGTTAATTTACTCCACTCTTGCCACATGATTGAGGACTTCCCCCCATCTCTAATGCATCTCCTCGTCCGCTTGCCTGAATCGCACGGTATCAGCTGACTGACAGCTATCGGTCCTCTTATTTTTTGACATGCATGTTGCGAAAATTTAGTACCGCATTTTAGCATAAAGCCTCTACGACTCACCGTTGTCACTACGAACTTTTCGTATCCTAGGCCCAGGAGCTCAGGAAGTCGAAATATGTGCCACTTCAGGATAAAATAGCTATATTCGAACGTCCTATGCCCATCTATTCGACTGCCTTATCGTCCTCTGGCCCAAACCACTCATTTCGTTATTACCTAAACGATTTTCTCGGCAATCCCGCTGCCTCGGAAACCATCGCTCGACTTGGCAAACGTGCGTGATTTTTTCCGCCTAGTGCAGGAGCACAGGAAAACTGTCCCAAGACACTATCTGCAAGAAAGAGCCGAGGCTGGTAAATTAGATGTCGAGGAGAAATTCCAGTACTAAGATAGAAAGATTCAACGTTTTATATTCGTACTTTTTAGAGACTGCTAGAAATCGATGGTTCCATAAGATTCAATATTGCGAGATTCTTTCCGTGTATGCTGTATTGCTGCTCTTCCAGTTCACGATTTGCGCACCGAATGGCGTAAAACTTTCCCTCAATTTACCGCGGCATCTATCTAGCTCCGGCCCTGCACAGGCATAACACGCGGAAAAGATGTGCCTGCATGCCAAACATCAATATTAAACATTTAGTTCTCATTTAGTTCTCATTTAGTTCTCGATGCCTGGAGTCAGTCTTCGAGTCACCGACCTAACTTTGATACCAAAAAGTTTTAGTCAACCACAGTAACATTGTTTTTTAGCCACAGTATCTCAGAACATTCAGTTCACCCAGACCTCATAGACCCCCTCCCCACTCTGGAGAGGATAGTTCAACACTCAATCCAGCTTCGTGCTCGCAGTATCAGGACCTCCAGTAACCTTGGATTCCTGGTTTCCGCAACCAACTCCCAACTTGCATACACCATACCTCCAGTTCTCCAGAACCGAATCCTGACCCATGTCCGACTTTATGACCCCCCACGAGACCGCCCTTGCGTGTGTCGCCACATGTATGAAAAAGGCACGATTACGGCCTGACACGCTCATTGTCTCCTCCCTCATGGCGGGTGTGCTCTTTAGCACCGGCGGGATGCTACACACCTCCATCCAGAGCTTCTGCCCCAACCTCATGGCGCTGAACCCCGGCCTCGTGCACCTCCTCCAGGGGATCGTCTACCCCATCGGTCTCTTCTATGTGGTGATCATGGGCGTGGACCTTTTCAACGCTAACGTTTTCTACTTCACGGTAGGGGTTCTCCGTGGTGCGGTCACCATCTTTGACCTTCTTATCAGCTGGAGCATCAGCTGGCTCCTCAACTTGGTGGGCAACATCTTTGTGTGCTATATCGTCTGCCACTTTTCCACCGTTACCCTGAAGCCGGACTTTGTCGACGGTTCGGTGGCCATCGCCATGGAAAAGATCACCTTTCGGTTCCATCAGACCTTGATCAAAGGGATTGCTGGTAACTTTTTTGTATCCCTATCCATCTACCTCCAGCTCATGGCGAAACCGCTCCATGTGAAGTTTCTTCTCATGTCGCTTCCCATCTTTTCTTTTGTCGCGTTAGGCTTCACCCACGTGGTGGCAGACATGTTTCTTGTGACCATAGGCATGATCAACGGAGCGGACATTGGCGTCGGGACGTACATCTGGAAGCTTCTCCTCCCCGGGACCCTCGGAAACATCATCGGCGGTGGTTTCTTCGGGCTCGTCTTCCCTTGGTATTTGCACTTAGTGGTGGTTGAGCGCGACGCCCACATGTTGAAGTTGCCAAAGTACGACGAGAGGGACGAGCAGCCAGAGCTTGGTGTGGATTCCAGGATCGTCAGGGTCCCCACCCGTAAACTGCTATTGAATCTGGCTCGCGTCAGAACCAGCTCCCGGATAAAGCAGAGCCGGACGAGCACATTGTACGGGAGCAGACTTCCGACCAATCGAACCTCCTTGTCCTCTGAGAGCGAGAACAAGCAGGCGGGCACCCCTCCTGAACAAATTTACGGCGATAATGTGGATCCGCTTGATCCCGAGTTCAACCCAAGCTATGATGTCCCGAAGGAAGAGGAAGAGGAAGATAACTCACCATCCGGGGTGTTCCCCGTTCTTGGAATGGGTCCACCGTTGCAACGTGAACGGACGATTGCCAGTGCATATCAGGACTCGGATGAGTCTCTCGGTCATATTCAAAGTCATTCCAGCAGTTTTCAGTCACACCGAAGTGGCAGTGTATACACTGCCCGGGACACATCGATGCGCGGGCAGTTGATGAGGGTATTTACCAGGACAAAACCTGATGGCTCAGCAGCGTAGGCTAAAATCACCAAGAAGTGAATGCATAAGACTTGAGAGACTATAAATTTCTGAACTGTATACCTTGAACAGCTCGAAACGTAGCTCTTGGGTATACCCCAGTGAATAATGTATAGAAATTTAGACGCAATTACAATTCAGCGAAGCCTGTGTATCTCATAGCCTGTCCTTTCATTACAGTTAGAATTGCCCTAGTTGTTCAAGGCGAGTATAGGAATATATATTATAAAATAATCCAACTATTTACCAGTCAGTCGCCCAGAGGTTTGATTGAAACCTGGATCCTTCTCCACCGAGCTAACTCTGGCGCTACATTCTACGACCATGCGCGCGCGCGGAAGGCTGCGCCCGTTTTAGCACGTGACTGCGGCTGAGGCCGAGATTCTGGCCTTTCAAATTTATGTGCCACAGGCCCATCAACCCTGATTTATCCTACCTCCAAGCACAATTCCAATCCGTTCATGGAAAAACATAGCATCTCCGACATTGAAAAAGACAGTTTCGGGACTTCCGCGCCGGTGTCGTCCACGGGCCGTATCTATATGGCGCTCGGCGTAGAGCTCGTTGCGTGTGCGCTCATCTACGTCAACTACGACAAACTCAACGCGTCCGCACTCGGGGCTTGGGTGCCGCAGAGCCTCCTCGCGCCCACACTTCTCGGGATGTCCAGCGCGTGTCTCGCGCAGCTGGTCAATCAGGGCTTTCTCATGAAACAGCCACGCCGCTTCAACCTTTCGCGCTTGGCCAAGTTCGGGATTTGGGGCGCGATCAATGCGGTCACCACCAACATGTTCTTCGATGTCTTGCGCGCACGTCTCGACATGCAACGCGACGCGGTCACTGCTGTGCTCCTCGACCAGTTTGTTAACTCGCCTCTCTGCCAATTGCTCTTTGTGATCTGGCACAGCATCTGGGACGATCTTGCGTTGGGGCCGTTGTTGCGCACGACGTATCCGCGCTCGCTCAAGACGAGTTACATGTTTTGGCCGTTTGTGTCAATATTTACGTTTTTCGTATTGCCACATGGGTTGATGTTTCCGGTGAACTGTATCGCAAATATCGTGTGGACGGTGGTGTTGGGGGTTCTAACATAGGTTGCACCGCCTTCCCTCAGTCTGTATGGCGTCCTTCCTGTATAACTAAAGCCGGGAAGTGCACATTTATAGCAGTTTAATCAAACCCAAGAAATATTCTGTGTAACGCGGTAAAATTTATCTTGCTTCCGTTAGGCATTAGCCTTGGTTGGAGTCTAACTCATGTAGGCTAATTCAACGCACCAGCCACAAAATAAGCAGTAGTATCTATAAATAGCTAGTATCTCATTCCTCTCGATCGGCCCACCCTGGACCATCAATGAAAGCGCCAAGTACGATGCATTCGAGTCTAGATCTTCGCGAGGGACTAGTGATTCCCTCGCAAACCGCTATCTGGTCTCCATTCGTGCGCAGACGTCATGTGATAACCACGACACTCGCACGACCTTTTCATCGCTTTTTACGCGGCAGCAGATCAGTATTTACATTTGTTCTTTATCTTCCACCCACTCCCAATTCGACTACAAACATCCACATACGCCTTTATGAAGCCCGAGGATAGTCTTATCGCCACCAGGGCGCGCAGAGCCAACGCCGGCTCACGCCTCAAGCATTTGCTCGAGCTTGAGGAGATCAACAACGAGCTCACGTTCCAGCTGCATAACGACGACGACGATAACGTGAATTTGCTTTTTCAAGAAGACGAGGACGATGGAGAGTTTATGGACGAATCAGAAGCTGGTGAGGTTAGTGATGAAGATGAGGATAATGATGATAAAGACAATGGTGATCAGAACGATAATTACTATGCTGAGAAATCTGATGTCGATGGGAAATCCGATGGTGAGAAGTCTGATATTGATGAGAAGCCTGAAGGTGATGAGCTAAAAAGTGACAGTGATAGCGAAGGCGGACTGCTCAAACGCAGACGAGACGATGAGATGCTCACAGATTCCGATCTCTCTTCGTCGGAAAGTGACGAATCGGAAGGCGAAAAGGAGCTCCAAGCACGGGAAAAGTCGCGGAAACGCCAAGAACAGAAAAAGGTTCGCGCGGTCGTGGCGCCTAAAATCACCCAGCGACCAAAGCCAGCGGCGCCCAAGCCCAAAAGACAGGCGGTGGAGGCCGTATCGCTTCTCTCGGATAGCCGGCGGTCGTCCACGCGGCGTGCAGCCGTAGAAAACAAGCTTGCAGTGGTGAAAAAGCTCCAAGAAACCGAGGAAAGGCGAATTAAGTACTTCCTGTCACATACGCAAGCTACGAAAGAAACGGAACCCGAACTCACCCAGGAGGAGCGATTGTTACAAGCTGTGGAAACCGAGAAGCTGAACATCTTGTCCTTAAACAGGCTTCACGAGCAGGAGGAGATCAGGCAAGAGAGGCAGCGGATGCTCCATGCGGCAAAGAAGATGGTTCTCGGCGATGTGTGCAACTTCACATCGCGGTTGGAGTATGTGACGCCGCTCGCGGAGATCCAGGAGTTGCAGCGGCTCGAGGAGTTGCGGCTCTACCAGTTGCGGAATAAGTCACGGAGGGGCAGAAAAAAAAAGTCGGTGATAGAGGCGGAGAGACTAGAAGCGGAGAGACTAGAAGCGGAGAGACTAGAGGTTGAGAGACTAGAAACTGAACGAAAGGAAGCTGGTCTCAATGAGGTTGAACCGACTGAGGTTAAGAATGAGGTTACGGGAGATCAACCGAATAATGGTGACCAGGTTAATGATGAAGAGCAAGTTGATGACGAAGATTTAGTCAAGGATGGTGAGATTGATGAGGTTGGTGAGATTGATAAGGTAGGTGAGGTTGATGAGGTTGGTAAGGTTGATGTGGCAGGTAAGGTTGAAGCTAGTCAATTTGAAATCACATCGACCAAGCCAAAGATTGTAAATGAGGCTACGACTACGCTGATGAATAACATAGCAGAAAGCCCAAACAATGATCTGACCAACTCCGGTGAAACCAAGGCTACAGATGTTGACGTCGAAATGGTGGATGCGGAAGAGAAACCAAATCAAGAAGATGTTAAAAGCGAAACCATCATCAAATCAGAACCAACTGATGGCATAAAGACAAAATCAGTCACGTTCGCGATCCCTGATACTGAACTGCAGGCGGAAGAAACTTTCCCTGTGAGTGAATCTCCATTACCAGAGTTAGAAGGTTCCGAACCAGCGGACACCTATGAAGGCCCCTCGCTCAAAGTGGCTTGTAACTACGTCAGTTTCCGTGACCTTTCTCGCGAAGGCACCCTCTACAAGCCTGAGAACACCAAAGAGATGCTTTTTGGCGAACAGTCACTTCTCACGGCCCATCGTCGGTCCTCCAAGGTGGAAACCATCATCCGCATCACCTCATCCCTCTCCAACGTCAACCTTTCAACCAACATCGATAACTTGTTCAAACCGTACGAACAGATCTATCTGCGCGAGTTCGACCATCTCGCCGAATTGCCCCGATTTGGAGAGTTCGACAAACAAGTGAGAGAGATTGTCAAGATCGAGGACGAAGAGGAGTTCAAGGTGGAAATCCTCACCGAGGCGCCTTCTGGGATCTTGTATCCGAACGGCTCCAAGAAGCGCTGTTTTATTACCGGTACGAGCGCAATCTATTTCGACCCCAAGAGTGGGATTCCTTACTCCAGTGTGGATGCCTACAAGGTTATCCAGCGGATTCAGGATGGCTTAGTTCCTTGGTGTGACTTTTCTTGCGCGGACAAGGAGGATGACGAATCCGAGCCTGGTGCGGTAGAGTTTGGCAAGTACGGAGCATACATTGGTTTGGCGGGCGAACAACAGCATGCCAAGGGCGTGCCTGAAGGGTTTGATGGTTAGTGCCAAGTGGATTTAACCAAAATAAGACTAAGGAGTTTTTTTTTTCTATACGTTAATCTCTCCGGGGTTGATATGCATGTATGGAACAGCATAGTAAATAATTACGAACTAGTTATTGAATTCAGGATAGACTGCGTTTCGACTTTTAGCACGTGGGTTTATGAGTCTCAAGTCAATTCTACCTACACGGCAATGATTCTGAAATATTTATTCCATATATATATATTTCTTTTTTGACGAAGCGTTCCGAGACATTAGAAAGCTCCTATGCGTTTTAGCACACTGTGGCCACCAACATTCGTCGCTCGGAGCTGCACCACGCAGCCCACGGGCCTACATTCCTCATTTATCTATTTCGTATATTCGTCTATTAGGTTGGGCGGCATAACCCTAGCACCTGTATCCTTAATCAGTGGCGTGCTGGACATCACCTTCGTGGGTGCTGATCAAGTCGCTCTGGAATTTCTTCAACTTGGCCAAAAGAACCGGTAAGAGGTACTTCTTGACATCCACAGAGTTGTCAGCCTTGACCTGGAACTCGTACTCGTCGTCATCCTGGTCGTGGGTGAACTCTGGCAAGATGACAGTCCCGATAATGTCTCTGGTCTCGTCCTCGCCCTCTTGGACGGTAGAGGTGATGGCAAACTCCACCTTCATATCATAGATGCACAACACTTTGCCCTTTCTCTGCGTCACATCGCAGTCACCGGTGACGCTGTCGATATTGTGGACGACAATCTTCAACGAATCGTTGACAAATTCGGTGTTGAGCACGTTCTGTTGGAGGTACTCCTTGGACCATGGAAGACAGTTCTTCTCGACCCAGTGCCTAAGCTGTTAGACTTTGCAATAAGCTAATTAGAGGCGGAGAAAACACATACCAGTTGTTAGGATTGTGAACGACCATTGTTTATAGAGCAGGTGTGTAGTGGCTGAAGTTTGAGGCCGGCGAAAATTTCCGAGCTTTTCTTTTTATCTCATTGATGCACGTCTGAAGCTATCATCCGCTATGTAAGGTAGGAGGTTGGTGAACGAACATTCTGGAAAATTTAGCGCCGCGGAAAATCTCAGAGATTTCAGTGTTGAGGTATAGAGGATACTTATAGTGATTTTTTATTCTAAAACTCGCAAATAAGAGATGGGGGTGTTTTCGTTGAATATCACCGGTGTCAGACAATTTTGTGTGATATTCCTGGATTGGTACCTAGAGAAACCTGAAGCTTTCAACCGCGCAACTGAGAATTATATCCAAATTCGGACTGCGTAATCCTGAGCTAGAGCCAGCTGTGCATTTCTCGCCGGGAAAGTTCGATAAACATTGCCACATTCTGGGCAAAGCCAATACACGCTTCATCCGAGCTTATCTTCTCCAAGTTGAAAACCCGGATGATGTGCATATCTTCCTCTTGTGCCCCACAATTCATTAATGCCAAACACACGTAGTTACCTCGGATGCCAATGCCAAAGAGATTCTTCGCAGCGGCTTTGAGAAAAGGATGAGATTTATCCCTGAGTGCCCGGTTAAAGCTGGCTCGCAAGGTTTGTTTGAGCTGCAAGAGGATTTGTCTTTTGGATGGGCGTGCGACATCTGCTGAGTCGATATCTAAACTACAGATGTAGTTCAATTCGTCTTTATTTATTATAGGGATGATTCCGTTTTCAATCTCCCGGGAAATGGCATCTGTTTCCCATGAAATTATGAGGTATTTGTTGAAATATCGCATTTCTTGAACAAAGTCTGGCGATCCCGAGAGTCTCCTCTCTTCGCATTGTTTGAATGTATTCATATCGCGGGATATGACAGACTTAGCCGGGGTGGCATAGCTTAACAAAAACGTGTATCGGACCAATGTATCTGCAACTACCGAGGTTAGAAGACTCGTTTGGCCAGTATTATGCATCGGGTTATTAGTGAGTGCCTGTACTTTCATGGGCAAGTAAACCATCTCTCGAAACCTTTTTGCTCCAAGTAGTACAAACTCCATCCTACTCCGGCGATCAATGAATGTACTACTGGAAATTTCGAGTTCTGGAAACACCACAAATCTCTGTGTCACGCTTTGTATCCGATATTGGAGTAAACTTGTCCTCCCCAAAGGTGTTGGTTTTTGTTGATAGAGGTTTCTGAACTTCAAAAGCGATTTTGTCATCTCCTGGGAATATTCCGTTGCTTTCGGATGTCTGTAGAAATTTTCATCCGGGCGGACCAGCTGAAAAAAGGGATCATCTGCGAATTCGGCATACCAAGCAGAGGGTAGGAGGATCCGGTGGGTTCTCGGTTTATTCTGGCACTTTTTGGAAACCAAGTATAGCAAGAGATGGGCTGTGTGAGAACTAAACAGGGCTGGCAAGTATGAAAACTCCTCGTTGGGATGTAACTGGGAAAATCGTATGTATCCCCTTTTAGCGCTATACACTAATTTGAAGGGCCTGGGATGAGTGTTGGGGGTGTATGTGCTAAAAGGCATGTAATAATGAGAATGATATCGGAATGTGATTTCAAGGTTTATTATTCTTAAGCTCCTCACGATGTTGAACGAGCATACAGACCATTTATCTAGATTTATGAAAATAAGTTTGCGCCTCAACCTCGATTTGCCACAACATTCTCAATGTTGTAACAAAGCATCATTTATTTGAGCTGCGCAATATCTGAATTCTCACTCCTTACCTCGATTGACATATATTATCCTACTATGCCTAATTCAAGGTAAAGGAACCTAGTCAGATCGTTATCGGGGGATTGCGAAAGATAGAGAGTGTGATAAAGTTATGTCTAAGGGAAAGGCTATACATATTAAGCCCACTACATCATTAAAAAGTGTCAGGGTTCCAGCGCCTGTTGGTATTCCAGTCGGGGGGTTGTAATCAGTCATTGATTCACAAGTTACTTATCGTGATCTTCCACAAAAATAAAGATAATATTAAAACCAAGATCATTCTTAGATCTGGAAAACTACTTCCTTATATAGCTTTCTTCGGTGCCTCATTTGCTTTATGCGACAGGATTAGTTTCAGATACTCATTATCAAATAATCCTAGTAGCCTCAACTGGAACCTCATAAGGTTCCTGAAACAACTCTCTAACTCTGACAGAAACAGAGCGAGTATGGTTAAATGTAGTAACATGTCTCATGTGTATTCATACTGATGAAATAATGTAAACCAACGAACGTTATAGTAATAGCAAAACACTGGAAGTCGACGCCATGAGACCTGCGGTCTTGTAAAGGCGCAAATCTCAGTACGCCCTCGAACGGCCTTCTATCGCATTATTTGGTTGTCCAGAACACTGTCCGCGTAAATAGATTTCCACGGCATCTAAGCATGTCCATATGATCAAAAACTATGCTATTTTCTTTATAATTATGAGATATTCCTTTTCAAAAAGTAGTAAGAATATTCTCAATAACTATATTCTCACTTTTGGCGTAATATTAGTACCTGGTGATGTAGCTCGTGGAGCTTGTGTTTCACTCTCTCAGCCCCGTATGCTTTACCGGCATTACGGGTCCCGCCGCAGGAAAATGACGTATATCCTGCGCCGTGTTTTAAAACGCCCTGGAGGCTATCCAAGACATTGACGTGTTTATTTATAGCCTTATCTCTTTAAACCCACCGCTTCTTAGATTTTGGTATCCATCTTTCCTCCTCTAACTCTTGGTACCTTTTCTCATCGACCCAGTCTTACGAGAAAATCCTACAAGTCGTATACCACACCCTTTGAAGTATGGGTCTCGGAATCAAAGAACCCACAAACTACGACGGCGATGTCACTGGAACCATCATGATGATGTCGATGGATGACAGCCATCCCGCGTCCCCCGATATCCTTTCCAAGGTCACCTCCCACGACTCAGCCGCGTCCACCGTCAAGACCAACAAACAAGGCATTGTGTTGTTTCCCCAGCCCCATAACAACCCAAACGACCCCCTCAACTGGCCTATTTGGCAGCGTGACCTCGCCTTGGTTGTCATCGGCTTCCACAGTTTTATTGTTGGCGGCCAGTCCCCGCTTCTCGCTGCGGGACTCACCACGATTGGGGCTGAGTTCCACGCCTCTCCCTCCAAGGTGTCCTACTTGGTCGGTGGGTTCATGCTTTCACTTGGCTTTGGCTCTGTATTCGCCGCCCCTTCGGCAGTTCTCTACGGGAAGCGCGTGGTCTATCTCGCGGGCATCCTCATCTTCATGGGCGGCTCTATCTGGGGTGCCTGTGCCAACAGTTTCGGTTCGCTTATGGGTGCGCGTGTGCTCACAGGACTTGGTGCGTCCCCCTGCGAGTCTCTTCCGTCCGCTACGATCGCAGAAATCTACTTTGCCCACGAAAGAGCCTACCGCTTGGGTATCTACACCATGTTGCTCCTCGGGGGCAAGAACTTGGTGCCCATGCTTGCGGGCTTTGTTTTCCAGAGCTTGAACCGCCACTGGCTCTACTGGATCTTGACCATCATCTTGGGCATTAATCTTGTACTCACCTACTTCTTTGCTCCGGAAACCTTTTGGGACAGAACCCCGATCCCCAACAAGGAGTCGCAGAAAGAGACGGAAAAAGCCAGAAAGGTTAGCAAGCGGAGAGGAATGAACCTGTTGTATCGCCACAGGCCGAATTCGTTTGCTCTCAAGGACGGTGAGGATGTCACATCGTTGCATTCCTCGGTGGCGGACCAAACGGCGATTGAACCGGTGTTACAGCCAATTGCAATGACCGACTCTCGTCCAATCGAGGCTGTTACGGGTCCAGCCGAAAGCACCACGAAAACACTTCCAACGGATACAGAGAGAGCCTCCGGTACTCCGCCTAGAAATTCCTTCTACCAGAAGCTCCGCATCGTCAGTGGCCGCCATACTGAAGACAAGTGGTGGATGGTGGCCGTGCGCCCGTTTGTCCTCCTTTTATATCCCTCCGTGCTCTTTGGCGCCTTTCTCTACGCCTTTGCCGTCGTCTGGTTGATCCTCATCTCCGAATCCGTCTCCCACTTGTTTACCAAACCGCCGTACAACTACTCTGTCATCACCATCGGCTTGTTCTACGTATCGCCGTTTGTGGGCGGCACCTTGGGCTCCGCCGTGGCCGGGAAGATCTCCGATATTTTGGTGCGTAAGCTCGTTGCCCGCAACAATGGTACGTACGAACCAGAATTTCGCTTGTTAATGGTGGTACCCATCTTCATCGCTGTGTGCATCGGGATCATGGGGTTCGGCTGGGCCACCGAGGTCCACGATAAGTGGATAGTTCCGGTTATTTTCTTTGGCATCTTGGGCTTTGGCTGTTCGCTTGCCTCCACCACTGCCATAACTTATACCGTAGACTCCTACAAAATGTTTGCCGCCGAGGCATTGGTGACGCTCAACGTCACCAAGAACGTGCTCGGGTTTTTGTTTTCCTTGTTTACCAACTCGTTTATTGACCGAAAGGGGGCAAAGGATGCCTTTGTCACCTTTGGGGGCATACAGATCTTTATCTGTTTGTTTGCCATTCCATTATACTTTTACGGGAAGCGGTGCAGACATTGGACTGACGAGCGGGAGTTTATGAAGTGGTTGTATGTGAAGCGTCACCACGAGGCGAAGTGAGTCGTCGGTTCATTTGTCTACCGACGTTTAGTTTATGCCATTCCCAAATTTTCCATTTATTTTTCCTCATCCACACTCGGCTTTCAGTCCAGCCAGAAGATGGGACGGAAAGATCTGCATAGTCACCGCTTGCATGCCGAACTTGGGCTAGACTGCCGTTTAAATCAGCAGTGCTGGCAGGCCGAATGACGGTGGGCCTGAGGCTTGCATCTGCTTACAATATAGCGTTAGAATGAATTTCGAAAGTCTAAACGTTGCTTGCTCTACTCATAAGGGCCAATTCCAAGACCTCATTACCTTCAGATTGAATATCCCAGATTTATATCTATGTAAAATATGTCCTTGCGTAACCACAAATCTCTTGGCTCATGGCAGAAGTGCATGCCGCGTTAATAACTGCATATTACGTACTGCAAGGTGGAAAAACTTGGTGCCGTCATGCAGGCTACCGGAAAAACGCACCATGATATTCGAGTAAAATTTTCCGGAGTAACGGAATAATTCTCGCGTGAGAGTGCATGATTACAGCATTGCACGTTCGATGTCAATGAATCTGTTAACATCATGGCAAGAGGATAAACAGTTAGACCTCGATGCTATGACCTGCTAGTTCTATAAACGCAGAGTCCCGGCATAGTTGTCAGAGGCTCAAATCTCGAAAGCAGCATTGTCACAATTAGTGGAAGATCCATGCTTTAGACCGATTTTCACTAATGCACAGTTATGTAATCGTCGGAGAACTCGGAAAGTCAAGGGAGAAAACCTCAGATGTAAGGCCAGTTCGTCTGACAAAGCCGTCTTCCGAAGGTACGTGGCATCACCTTATGCTTATCCCCAAAACACTCCCCGCTTTAGTTTTTGTGCATAACGGGGTAGGTGGAGTAAGAATACTAGATCTTGACAAAAGACAGTGGCACAACAGGAATGTGTAAGTGGTTGAAAAGTATCTAAGTTTCAGTCAACTGCAGAAAAAAACGTACCTCTACTGAAGTAGCAGCTGCAACGGCTCAAAAAGGACGCTTGGGATTAGGCACTGAATTTCAAACTTGCCAAGAGACACAAACGTCATACTTTGACCAAAGATGCCTGAAGCTCACAGAAGGAGCCCCGAATTGGTTAACCCAGAGGCTTTACAAAGGGGCAACGTTCAATGCAGAGTTACAGCAGCCCGCATGAACCCGGATCAGGTCATGTGCACGGCGAAATATTTTTCCAGCAACGTCTTCAAGCAAACAACCATGCGTCAGTGTGACACGTTGGACATACCTCATTGGCCAGAAGTACAGGGCTCGTGCTTGCCCCGGAACATTCTCAGACACAAAAAAAGCCAGGGCGCATTCCCGGGTAACCCCCCCGACTCTGTTAACACTTGTTAAACTTTAAAAAAAAATTACACTCACTAAACGTTAGCATCTAAACACAGCCTTTGTTTGCCCTGGGCCAAGCTTCGAGGGATGAGTATGCTACGCTACTTTTGAGGGAGCCATGATATAGAAAACGCCAGTAACCCTTCATCTCTGCACGTGATGCAGAAGAGATATGCACGAGCCGCATTTCGGAAATTCTCCCATTTAGAAATCACGCTATCCCGCAAATGCTTCGAGTCTCAATTCTCCAAATGATGATCCCACCTTTATTAGGTTTTACCACCTACAACTACGCACTGCACCGAAAGCTTAATGTGACTTTGTGGCCTGATGAATGGGTCATGGGGAGTATTTCATGTAGAGGAAATGGATTTCAACCGATAGAAGAATGCGAACTCTCAATACCCATAAGCAGCCTCGCTGAAATCTTGCATGTGCCGGCTTGTCTTACTTCTCCACTCTAAGACCACTCGTCCCATGGGGATTAACCCGCCCCATGGTATCCAGAGCTACGAATGACTTTCCGCATGGCTACTCCGGAAGGGGAACAGCAGTTTGAGGAGAAAAAGTGGGCACTAGTGGGGGAGTCCAGTACACCCGGAGAACAGTGCATGCAGAAATAAAATGGAATATGCAGACCCGGGACTTTGAAACCGGCTAGAATTTTCCGTCCCCCTCCAAAATGAATCTTTTCCGTCCCCTCACGTTGGGGGATATAAATTCACCCAAATCCGCTCAGGCAGAGTACTCTCACAGAACCATTTTCTTCCCTCAATCAACTCACAATGTCAACTACTGGTGCTGCCACTCCACTCTCGGGCACCACCACTATAAACCCAACCAACTCCAACCAGGATAAGATCGAGGTTGCACACGATGCCAACGATCACTCCGAAAACCACTCCGCCAACGCCGTCGGAATCCCAAAGAAGCCAGCTTCCGCTTACATGCTTGTCTCCTGCTTATGTGTCATGGTTGCTTTTGGTGGTTTCGTCTTTGGCTGGGACACCGGTACCATTTCTGGGTTTGTCAACATGTCTGACTTCAAGCAGAGATTTGGTCAGCTCAACTCCGAGGGCGAGTACTACCTCTCCAACGTTAGAACTGGGTTGATTGTGTCCATCTTCAACATCGGGTGCGCCATCGGTGGGATTGTCCTCGGCCGCTTGGGTGACATTTTTGGCCGTCGTATGGGTTTGATTATTGTCATGTGCATCTACGTTGTGGGGATTGCAATCCAGATTTCCTCTACTGACAAGTGGTACCAATACTTTATTGGTAGAATTATCTCTGGTTTGGCCGTTGGTGCCGTTGCCGTTTTGTCTCCAATGATGATTTCCGAAACCTCTCCAAAGCACATCAGAGGCACTTTGGTTTCTTGTTACCAGTTGATGATCACCCTTGGTATCTTCTTGGGTTACTGTACGACCTATGGGACCAAGTCCTACACTGACTCCAAACAGTGGAGAATCCCATTGGGGTTGTGCTTTGCTTGGGCCATCTTGATGGTTATCGGGATGATCTCCATGCCTGAATCACCAAGATACTTGGTTGAAAAGAACAAGCTTGACCAGGCCCGTAAGTCCATTGCCAGAGTCAACAAGTTGCAAGCCGAAGACCCCGCCGTGCAGCACGAGGTTGAATTAATCGCCGCTGGTATTGAAGAAGAACAGGCTGCTGGGTCTGCCTCTTGGATGGAATTGATTACGGGTAAGCCAAGGATCGGCTACAGAGTAATTATGGGAATCATGTTGCAATCCTTGCAGCAACTTACAGGTGACAACTACTTTTTCTACTACGGCACCACCATCTTTAAGGCCGTTGGTTTGAACGACTCCTTTGAAACCTCTATTATTTTGGGGATTGTCAATTTTGCAGCCACCTTTGTTGGTTTGTACGTGGTTGAAAGATACGGCCGTCGTAAGTGCTTGTTGGTTGGCTCTGTTTGTATGGTTGCTTGTTTCGCCATTTTCTCCTCTGTTGGTGTCACCCGTTTGTATCCGAACGGTCCTGACCAGACTCCATCCAAGCCAGCTGGTAACGCGATGATTGTGTTTGCGTGCTTGTACATTTGCTTCTTTGCCGCTACGTGGGCAGGTGGTGTTTTTGTCATCATTTCCGAGACCTATCCATTGAGAATCAGATCCAAGGGTATGGCTGTTGCCACCGCGGCCAACTGGCTTTGGGGTTTCCTCATTGCCTTCTTCACTCCATTCATCACTTCCGCCATTAACTTCTACTACGGTTATGTGTTTATGGGCTGTTTGATCTTCTCCTTCGTCTACGTCTACTTCTTCGTCTGTGAGACTAAGGGGTTGACCTTGGAGGAAGTTAACGAGATGTACGCCGAGGGTGTCTCCCCTTGGACTTCCTCTAAGTGGGTCCCAGGCTCTAGAGCCTTGGCGGTTGAGATCGACCAAAAGCCAGAGGTCTTTAACGTTTAAGCCTTTAGCGTTATAGACTTATGAGCTGTGTATATTACCCCTAGTTATGAGATTGAAATGAATTTTCTATTTACCTAACCCTGTTTTACGTACGAAATTCCGAGGCCTAATATTGAATTTTTCGACCGGAGAAGTTAGAAGTTGAGCCGTTAAGTCCCGCCACACGTTAGACGTGATAGCAGGAACGGGAAACCATCTGATATTAAATCTTGTAGGTTAGCAAACATTGAACCATAAACGTGGGAAAACTACGTGAATATATCTATTTATTGTGTTGCAGATGCGTTTTAGACAGCTAAGGGTGATTGCGATTCTGAACTACGTTGAAGGGGTGTTATGCATTTATCGTGTGATAGGGATTGATCATTGCCTCATCCTATATTCATTATAGAGCTAATCAGCATACTAAAGTAGATATCTTGTATACCGGGGAGATATACCACAGGTTGAAAATTCCTTTAGAAAGGTTGAGTCCGGAAAACTCTCGTATTTGTGCCGGGAAAAAAGATTTATGTGCCCTGTTGTTGCACTATCGTTTAGTCAGAGGAATGCGGTACGATGCTTACGAATCTTAGCACCAGTTTTGCTAGTGTGATAGGGCTAGTAATTTATTACGCTGGCAGTTTCTGTCCAACCGTACTCAAGCTATGTTCCCATGCATAACAACCTGCCTTGTCTATCTATTTGCCAAGTTGCTAATGAAACTCGATAAATTCGACTGTTGAGACTGGTTCTGCGACAAGGCTCGCCTGCCCCGCCCTCTACTCCTTTCCCTGGTTGCGCCTCTAGCAGCACCACCCCTAGCTCTCACAAACTTTGGTGGCGCCACCTCGATCATATCGTCATCTGACTCGAACTTGACAATAGCCTCGTCGACAGTATCCAGGTCTTCGCTGTTGCTTTCCACATCGTAGCTCTGGGCCCGAACTTGACGTTGCAGACGATCCGTCAGTCTTACCTTATTGTCGCTATGAGCTGCCAAGGGTTCGCTGATCGGTATTTTTTGCGTAGATTCCTTGACATTTCTCGATCCGTCGAACACGAAAGGCTCGTTATACTCAATGGCCGATACGGAGTTGAGCATCAGACTCTCCTTTTTGAACTGCTTGTAGATTTCCCTGATGTTGTTACTTGGATCGTCAAAGTCCAAATCGTCAATCTTCATCAAGATATCCGTCTCCTTGGTGACCTGACCTTCGATATACTCCTTCAACGCGTTCCTATCTTCTGTATCCACAAATTTCTTTACAGCCAAGTTCAAGTCGTCCCTTGGAAGCAACGCCAAGTCTGCGTCCTGGAGGAAGTCATTCACCAAGTCCTGAACCCTGATATCAGCCTCGTCCATGTCCTCGAGCGGCTCAGCATATCCGCTACTCTTCTTGCCCGTCATCAAGTGCCCCGTATCCTTCTTTTTTCGGTAGAACTGGACAACGTTATTTACATTTGCCACGCGTCCCACAAACCGGTTCGAGAATCTACGCGGATTTTCCACTTCGTAGCCCCCGGAGTACTCAACTCTGAGCCGAATCAACGGAAGAGGAATGAGCTCGGCGGTTCCCTCGTCCTCTTCCTCAAAGAGCTCCGGGTTTGAATCCTTGAACTGGTCCTTTGCCTCCTTAATCAAGAGCTCGATCTCCTGGGTGAGGATCTTGGAGACCTCTAGCTTAGAGGCGGGGCCTGGCGGGATACCAAATATCAGGAGCGAGATGTCGCGCATTACAAACGGCCGGATAGTTTTGAGCTTGACAGACTCTAGACTGTAGTCACCGTTATTTATGTGGAGAATAAAGACGCATTTTTCAATCGCCTCGCCCTCGCAGAGGGAGGTGGCCACGGAGGAGCCCGGCTGGAGGGTATCGAAGCCCATCTCTGGGTTGGGTACCGGATACGGAATGCACTCGTGCTCGTGCCCCCACACTACAAAATCGAGAAACTTTGGCAAAAAGTTTTCCGGCAAGTACGAGGTGTTTGTGTGAGCCGAGTGGTTCTGGTGCACCGCCATGAGATTAAACCATTCGTCCTGTCGCACGCCCGGCCGGGTGAACTTGATCTGCTGGTCCCGGAACGTCTTGAACAAGCGTTCATCACGCACGTTGGAGAGCCCGTAGAGCGCGAGCTTCGTGGAGCCCTTTTGGAACAAGAGCGGGTCCACAGCAATCTTGTCGTTCTCAAGTACCCTTCCGAAGTGGTTCACCAAGCCGGTGACCGAGAGAATATCCATGGGCGACAAGAGCCCATCGCCTGTGGCATCATCATGGTTGCCGCTGATGGAGAAAATGGGGATGGACACGTTGATGTTGGGGTCTTCGTAGTTCACCTCAAACCCGTTATCAAACACCACGCTGGGGTCGCTGAAGAACTCGAGCTCACACGGCTTGTCCCCGAGACAATTTAATCGGATGGCGCGTAGCACGTGAAACATTGACTTTTTCGACGGCTTGTTCACGTGGAACAAGTCGCCCGCCTGTAAAACCATGTCCACCTCCTTGTCCTTTGCCACGTTCATGATCTCTTCCCATGTTCGCCAACTATCGTCTCCGCGGATTGTATCGTTTTCATTGTAACCCACATGGTTGTCTGTGGTGATAAGTACCCGGATCGTATCAGGGCCGTCTTCAATGTGTTTTACCTGTGGCATGGTGGTGGTTGGAAGAGTTGAGTCGTATGGCCGACGCGTTTTGCTTTGTATTACTCGTGTTGCGTGCAGGAAATATATAATGCAGGATAGAGAGGCTGTCTGGAGAGATTGATACAGATCTTTTGTGAACAGGACGAGAAAGGAGAAGCTAGGAATGAAAAGGTTGAACTGGTGAACTTGTAACACTTTTACATTATCCCTATTTCATGGAATACTGACGTAAACTGTTTTTTTTTTATCAGCGCTTGCTTTACCTGTAGCATGGACATCCCTCCTTCGTACTACTCCGCCACGCGCACCGCCACGATACGCCGCACGCTTACTCTAAGGGAGCGGATAATCAAATTGCGAATTTTAAGTTGATAAGCGCCATCCCCAAAGCAATTGGTACGCACCACGGACACCATGAACTACGTGGAGATCCAGGAGGACGAATTCAACTGTGTCAAAGGCGTGTACTTTATGGACGACGAGTTCGTCGACCGTACACCCACCAAGTCCGCGTGGAAAAACCAGAAGCCGCTGCCGGCGTTTGATCTTTTGCTCCGCGCTGACACAGATGCCGCAACGCCGGTACTGCTCATTCTACGGGTGGAGATGAATCTGACGTATCCCGCAACAATTCCCACAATCACAATCCTCCACCCTACCAACCTCCTTGGTTCGCAGGTGGCGACTCTCACCAAAATGGTGCACGCCACGGCGATGGAACAGCGTGGCTCGGAAATGGTGCTCATCATCGCAGACGAGGTGAAAACAATGCTCAACCAGTTCCAGGAGGAAGCAACCGCGCCACAGTCGTTGGGAGAGGAGCGACGCCAACGCTTAGAGCAGCAGAGGCGGAGTTTCCACGCGCGCGAGGAGGTGAAACGCATCCAGGAGGAGGACACGGTACAGCGCAACCTTGAGACGCTCTCCAGCACGATCGACGAGATTCAGGCGGCGCCGGAACCCGCGGCGCCGCTAGAGGACCACCTCTTGCCCAACAATGTGATTGAAACGGTGAACGACTTCTTCATCTTCGACAAGACTATTGAGGACAGTTTGCCCACGCTCAACATTCCGTTTGTGTTCCGGACCGTAACGGGCTTGATCCAGATTGCCCTGTCAGACTTGCTCGGCAACATGGGCAAACAATTCTTGGTGAAACCGTTCATCCACCCGGATTCGCGCGTCGCGAAGCACATCAAAAACCAAGGCGGCGCGTTCAACCGCAAAGAGGGGGTTCTCCGTAATGCGGACGAGGAGGACATCAGTCTGGTGTATCTCCTAACCTTCATCGAGCTTCGTAACCCGCACTGGCTCACCGACACGGGAAAGAACGAGCTTCGCGCGTTGGAGAGCCAGATGGCCGAGTTGGTTAAGCTTCGCTACGACAACCTCTCCAAGCTCTTTGCATTCCAGATCGAGAAAAAGACCGAGCTCGGGAGCTGCTACTGGAAGCTCAGCCTTCTCACCGAGTATTTCCCCATGGGAACTCTCAACGATCTCCTCGGCACCATCGAGCTTGCCAGTCTCCTGAACGCGCGCTCGTGGACACTCCTGTTGGTGTACTGCCTCGACCAATTATTCTCGCGTGGCGTCATCCATGAGTTCATCAACACCCACACAGTGCAATTGTTCCGCAATCCGGACCTCGGCACCACCGCCGTCAAGCTTGCGCACCCGACATACGGCTTCAAGCTCATGGACATGCTCAACCGCCACCCGAACTCGGGCTCATCTGCGTACGACGCCATCGATGTCGGTTTGGGCCGTGGCTGGCGTGCGCCCGAGCTCAAGGGTGCGCACAAGAACAAAGAGGACGCCCATACACGCAAGACCGATATTTGGGAGCTCGGCGTGCTCTTTCTCGAGATGATCTGCGGGCTTGACACCTTGCGTGAGTACGAGTCGCCCGAGAAGATTCTCTCGAACGGCATTCTCGTTGAATCCATTGGTGAGTTCTTGAGCAAGATGTTGAAGCCCGAGTCGAAGAAGCGCACAGACCCGTCGTACTTGATCCACACCCAGTTTTTGCGCGAAAGCGTAAACGATGAGAACATCTTCCAACAGCGGCCGCAGAGCGACGCCACCAGTGATTCGGATAGCGACGAGCTCGTTATGTCCACCCATTCTCATTCGGCTCACTACAAGAAACACTCCTTCAGCGGAGGTAAGCCGATGACTGAGGACCGTTTCACCAAGGACTTTGACGACAACGGGACCTTGGGTTCTGGTGCCTTCGGTAAGGTTATCAAGGCGCGCGGTAAGATTGACGGGAACTTTTATGCCATCAAGCAGATCAAGCACGTATCTGACAGCTCCAGCGTGCTCAGCGAGGTGTCCTTGTTGTCGCGGATGAATCACCAGTATATTGTGCGGTACTACAACGCGTGGTTACAGGACGACTACTCGGGCGACTCTGCCATTGGGTCAGAATCGGAGTACGAGACGGAGTCGGATTTAGAATTAGAATCAGAGTCTGGGTACTACTCCAACCCGCGTATCAGCTTCACGAATAGCTTCTCCAAAGATGTCAGTTTCTCCAGAGATGCCAGCTTCTCCAGAGATGCCAGGGACACTTCCGGCTTGGACTTTATATCCAGTTCGGTCAACGGCCCCGAAATCGTCTTTGGCTACTCTGCCGACGGAAAAAGCACCGTGAGCGAACGGCCCAAGGCGCGAAAACCCAAGCGCAAACAGATCTTGTACATACAGATGGAGTACTGTGAGAAGAACACGTTGGCGGACTTGATTGCCCGCGGCTTGCCACAGCATTCGGACGAGTACTGGCGCCTCTTCCGCCAGACGTTGGAGGCACTCATGTACATCCATTCACAGGGCATTATTCACCGTGACTTAAAGCCGGTGAACATCTTCGTGGACCAGTCGAACAATGTAAAAATCGGGGACTTTGGGTTAGCCCGGAACGTGCACTTTTCGCTCATCTCCACCTCCAATGCCAAGAAGCCCGACCAGCAGGAGAATTTGACCAGCGAAATCGGCACCACGTTGTACGTGGCGGCCGAGGTGATCAACGGGAAGGGTGACTACAACGAAAAGGTGGACATGTACTCGTTGGGGATCATCTTTTTCGAAATGTGCTGGGAGCTTAATACCGCCATGGAGCGGGTCCAGACATTGCGTGAGTTGCGCACCCCCTCTATCAACTTCCCTGCCTCCTTCGCCACCACCCGCTTTGCCAACGAGCACAAGATCATCCGCATGTTGCTCAACCACAGCCCGGATGTTCGGCCGGGTGCCGACGCGGTGTTGCGCAGCGGATTGGTACCGGTACCCCAGAAGGACGAGATTATTGAGGAGGCGTTGCGGTCGATCGCTGATCCGTCGTCGCCGTGGCAGGAGCAGGTCCGGCTGGCGTTATTCCACCAGCAGTACGATCTCGCATCGGATGTGTTGTTTGAGAAGGGGCGCACAAAGTACAGCACCGCGTTTGACTACATGTTCCATGCCAAGTTGCTCGGGGCGGTGACGGACATCTTCAAGCGGCACGGGGCAGTGGAGAACCTCGGGCGAAGTTACGTGTTCCCCAAGGCCCTGGTGTACACCAACGAGTTGCAACAACCGGTGTACGAGATCCTCGACCGAATGGGGTCGGTGCTTCAGCTTCCGTTTGATCTCACCTTCCCCACTGCCCGGCAGCTCGCCTCATGTGACAGTCCGATCCAGAAGCTCTTCCGATTTGATTACGTCTACCGTGCAGTCTCCAGCTCCTTTTCTGCTCCACCCCGATACGGCGAACTTGACTTTGACATTGTGACCAACGATTCGCTCGACTCCGCCTTCTACGATGCCGAGTGCTTGAAGGTTATTTCGGAGATTATCGAGATGACGCCTTGCTACAATGCTTCTAACGTGGTGATTGCGCTCAACCATGCAGACATTATTGAATCCATTTTTGACTACAAGCGGATTGACCCGGCCAAGCGGGTGGCCGTGGCCCAGCACTTTTCGCAAGCCGGCTACACAAAAACCATTAATGACATCAGGAAGACTCTTAGCGAAACTCACTCTATCGGTTCAACCACCTTTAACGAACTCGCAAACTTTTACTTCCGCGCAGATATCAACACCGCCAAGGCCAAGCTCTTGAAGGAGTTCAAGGACTGGCCGGAAGTGCACCGGATCGAGTCGGCGCTCGGGTACATCTCCAAGATTGTCACTTTTGCCAAATCCTTTGGCATTAACATTTCATTTGAAGTCAGTCCCTGGGGCAACTATAACTACGGCTTCTACCGCGGCGGGGTGATGTTTTTGGTGCACGAGAAGGAGAAACCGCACACGGTCATTGCTGGGGGCGGGCGCTACGACAAGTTGATCTCCAAGATTGGGGTGGCCCGAGGAAAGAAGCCGGACAAGGTACCGCGGGCTGTGGGGTTCCATTTGGCGTGGGAAAAGTTCTATGACCGCATGAAGCTGGAGCTTGTACGGAACAAGAAACTGTCCAAAAAGCGAGAGAATGCCTACAGTAAGTGGACCCCCAGCAGGTGTGATGTGCTTGTGGCCAGCACCACCAATGCTAGCTTGAAGCCGGTTGGGGTGGACATTTTGCGGCGCTTGTGGACAAACGGGATTAGTGCGGATGTTTTGAGACACGCCAGCGCCATTGAAGACATCGAAGCGTCTGCTGGTGACGACGGGGCAAACTGGATCTTGATCCTCAAGCAGCAGCAGTCTTCGTTGATCAATGCTCGCAGTGTGGCGAAACGCAAGTACAAGGCATATCGGGTAAAGAACATGGAAACGGGGGTGGATGTGGATCTCGACTTGGAGGAGATTGTGCCGTTCTTGAAGACCGAAATTGCCGAGCGGAATGACAGAAAATGCACCCAGCCGGAAAAACAGGAGTGCTACGATGACGCCATGGAAGAGGAGAGTACGCAGGTGGCGGTAACGTTTGACCAGAAGTGCATCATTGTGCCAAACGAAGCGACCAGGACCAATAGGAAGAACAACCGGAAGGAGCAGTGGGTGGTGGAGGAGGCGTCTAAGGAGGCATCGTCGCTGCTTATCAATTCTCTTGCTTCAGCGCCAATTTTCACGATTGATGCCAGAGATGAGGTGTTGGAGATGATCAGCATCACGTCGTTAGATCAGCCAGAAGAATGGAAGCGAAAAGTCGGTGGGGCTTCTAATGCCACTCCGCGGAGTTTTGTGAACAACATGTATCTCTCATTGAGCAAGGAGGCACTAAAGGGTACCCGTTGGGCCGTGCTTTTTGCGCCAAAGACAAACAAGACGTGTATTTATGATTTACAAAGGTGAGATGGTGCCGAGCGAGGGGATTTCTCACTTGTATTTAGTTTAGTACAACTGGATAAGGACTTAGATCGGAGAGAATGAGGGTGGTGAACTGCATATTGGCGTGTATCTGAAAATAGCCGACCTGAGTGGTTTTAAAGTATGTTAAATTGGATGGAAAACATTTCGACGATGGCGTTATATGCGGCCAGGCATAGAACGTTCTGTCACTGACTTTGGAGCAGTACAAGGATGAACGTTAGGGAGTAAGCAATAACCAAAGATTCTGATTCTTGAGATGCATTATAGTATTTATTATAGCACCATTTATGTAGTAAGCGTGTAGCTGTCACGTGGTAGGGATCTATATTCTATATAAGGAGGTCTATCCCTCCCTCCTTTATCCTATATACATTATATAGGTAACCAGTATTACTTATTACTATAAGTAGATATTCTACCCTTGAGGTAGAGATATACCACAATTTAGCTACCCTATTAACATATACCTCCGATCGGTATACCAAAATCTCCGAGAACCAAACTAAACTCAACCAATTGACTGTGTTTAGTCTCTAATAATAACAAACTGCTTATATATTTCCGCCTTTCCCCTTTTTCTGTGTCTGCCTCTGTTATTCTAAAGTCTGGGCTTATACGTCGTAATGAAGACGAAGCACCTGCATATAACTCATCTCAAGCCTAGCGACCTCACTACCAGACAATCACCATCTGACCAAAGCTTACACTAGATTGTCAGTTCTCAAACCTTGAGGATACTATTGTGAATTAGCTCTAAATTTGACGGTTAATCGATATTTAATCCATTCCAATAACTACCCTGTTCTCTAACGTAATTTTTTTTGTCAAGACTAGCCCTGCTTTCTTATCGCCGAGAGCTCAAGGTCGTGCGCCGCCATGACTGTGCCTCTTTAGGGGGCGGCAGTTCCGCTCGACTCCGCAATTCACAGCTCGCGACTCGCGACTTGCCCACCCCTACAAATAAATCCAGCGAGGAGGCCTGGCGCAGTCGGACTTACAACTATTATCATTCAATTGGCAAACTAAGATAGCTACAACATCAACAGTATGAGCAACTTGAGCGATTTGAGTCCCCCTTTCAAGGTGCAGGCGCTTTTCGAATACAAGTCGGACTTTGAGGACGATTTGACGTTTGATGCTGGCCAGGAAATCACTGTGGACTCCGTTGAGGATGAAGAATGGTTCTCAGGAACCTTAACCCTTTCTGATGGCTCCCAAAGGAGCGGCATGTTTCCAAAAAACTTTGTCGAGCCAAAAATAGAGCCAAAGGTTGGGCCAAAGGTCAAGGCTCCTACGGCGCACAAGCCCGTACCAGTGCCAGAAGCCAAGGATATTACAGAGGCTAAAGCGGATGCATCAACCCATGGGATGAACAAGTTGACCCTGAGGGCCACTTTCGATTCTTCCGGCTATATTCCCTTACCGGGCCAGCCTCGGGAGGAGTCGTTTGTGCACAAGCCGTTCCTCGCAGCCCACACCTCTTCGTATGTGCCACCATCGCTCAAGAAAGACCCCTATGCAGCTCAGCCAAGTCAACGTGCTCCTCCTCCGATCACAAAGGAAGAATCGGCTTCTGAAGAAGAAGACGTCCCAAAGTTGAGTTTGAAGGAGCGCATTGCGTTGTTACAGCAGAAGCAGACCGAGGAGGCTGAGCGGCTGAAGGAGTTGAAGAAGAAGAAGCAGGAAAAAAAGCGCGCGGTAAAGACTGATGAGGCCAGGCCTCAGCTCCCGGAAGAACCAGAAGAGGCCCACGCAAGCGATATTCAGTCATTGCACTCAGTACTGACTCGCGAGTCACACCATGAATTGGCTCGTGAGTACACTCACGACTCCACCCACGAGTCTATCCACGAACCCGTTCGCGCCCTTCGCCGCGCATCCACCCAAGAGTCCTTCTACGAAGCCCCTCACGAGCCTCGCAGCGAGAACATCAAGGAGGAGCCGGATGCCACGGAGCCCGCAGGTGATTCCTCCGACGATGAGGAGGAACGTCGTCGTGCGCTTCGCGAGCGAATGGCCAAGATTTCGGGGGGTATGGGCATGTTTGGGATGATTGGGAGCGGCTCGTTTGCAAAGAAGCCTGAGCCTGTCGCTTCTAAGGAGGCGGAAGAGGCTCCTAAGGCTCCTATCGCGGTCATGCCGTTCGCCAATCCGGCTTCATTGCCTCCACTGATGGCTAAGCCGCAAGAGGCAGGATCGGAAAGCGAGAGTGACGAACCCGTGGAACAACGGGATATCAGAATTGTTGCAGCACCGGAGACTCCCGATTCAGATTCAGACTCTGGTAACGACGGTGAATTTGGCCTTCAGCAGATTCCGTCGACGGATAACGTTGCGGACAATGAGGATGACACGGACCATTCGAGGGCCTTGGAACCAAAAACGCTCGATCCAAAGCCGATGTTCCCTAGCTTGCCAAAGCCGACAGCTCTTGAATCGTCGGCTGACGAGTCGGATGACAAAAGATTGCCTCCAATGCCCCCTGTTCCTCTCTCTCCAGTAGAGGCACGCCTGCCACATCTGTTCAGACCGCCGCTGCAGATGGAGTATCAGGCCACGGGCTACGAAGCAGATGAGGACACGGACTATGTCCGAAACACGCCTCTTTCCGCCGCCCCAGTGCCCGAGTCCCCTCTGGCACGCCCCCTGAGAGGTGCGCCGCCGCCGCCGCCTCATCCGGTCAGTGTTGCGGTTCCGGACCTGACTGCCAGAATGCTCGAGTTAGATTCCAGTGACGATGATACCCTTGCGACTCTGGTTCCCAGAAGAACGTCCACCGAGGGTTCATTTCACTCATCTCCGGAGGACAGCCTTCGTAGAGCCATGACCCTTCAGGGGATTCCTGGACATGCACCACCGGTTCCTACCGGTTTTGCCCCTGGTCCTGCCCCTCCAGTTCCAATACCTCCTATTCCTCACGGTGCTCCAGCAACCCCTAGAAGCTTCGCTCCAGTTCATCCCCAGGCTCCTTCCGTTCCTCTTCCTTCTGCCCCTGCTCCGGCCGCGCCCTCCGCCTCGGGGATGGATACCCGTTCTTTGCTCTCCGAGCGGTCGTTTGACATAGGCGGCTTGCTGCGTTCCAACACGACCATCCAGTCATCCACGGTTGAAATCCATTTCGACCCGCGTTCTCAGTGGTGGCTCACGAACGGATACCCCCCTGAGCTCGTTCCGAGCATTGGAAAGGACGTGTTTGTAGAAGTTGATACTCACGAGGTCACGAAGCGCGGCTCGCGGAGGGTCATCCTCAAGGACTACCACTTCCTCTACTCTGACTACTCGCAGTTGGTGGTGGAAATTATCTATGACCAGGCGGACCCACACGGGTCTGTGGTGTGCAAGCAGACATACAAGCCAGCCGCTCCGGTGCGAATGGATTTGTTGATGCTGGCGCCGTCAGCGTTCGGTTTCAAGATCGCCGAGGCGGCGCACTTGTGTCTCGGCAAGCACTTGCATAAGGAGCTTCTTGGGCATGTCACTTCGCCGTTCAGAACGGCAATCGTCCCAGCGATCGGCAACAAGGTGTTTGGGGTGACAATCTTGTCTATCGGAGGCTCTTCGACGAGCCAGATTGCAGAGGTGAAGCCGGGAGACATCTTGGGGATCCGCAAGGGCAAGTTTGCGAACGCTAAGCTTGTGGGTAAAGCTTTGGAGCTTGGCTTTGGCGAGATCCCGGCGATGTGTGTAGTGTTGGAGTACGACGAGATGAAGAAGAAGTTCAAGGTGGCGATGCAGGATAGTCACGGGGCTGTGAAGAAGGAGTCGTTCAGGGTGAGTGACATGAAGAGTGGGAGGATGAGGGTGTTCAGAGTTGTGGCGAGGGAATATGTTGGGTGGTAGCGAAGCTATTCTCGAGTCTTTAACAATTGAATATATATCGCCATGCTAGGGCTATATGTATAGTATATGAATTCCAAGATTATTTCGGTAATAGATGTAGTTATATTGCTCCGGAATGGTTATAGGGCTATGATATAAGCATTGGGGGATAGTTTTACCAAACAATTACAAGTAATTCTAAATTAAGTGAAACGAGAGAGACAACGGAGATGGCATCGGAGATAGTATCTGAGATAGGATGAACGGGCAATATATATAAAATATGTATGGATAACACCATGAAGCTTTAAGCTTCATCCTCCGGTCCCAATGGAGTATATACGATATACCTTTTTCATCAATACATCTTCAATCGAGTGCAGTACACCTCCTTTTCCTGCACGCAGAGCTGTCAAAGCACCGGCGTTTCCATGCGTGATCTGAGTTTCGGCACGTGGGAATACCAGACAGGAGCGGCAACTCTTATCTCCACGATGTCTTATAAATGACCATTAGTTCACCCTTTTTGAACAAAATCACTTACTCTCTTATACTCTAAATTTCATACGAATCCTACCGCCAATAGTCGCCCTCGAACTCCGCCTCCCCGATTATGCATCTCCGTCCTGCCACCCATTCCGGTTCGTGGTACTCCGCCAACCCCACAAAACTCTCTGCCCAAATCAAGCAATGGTTTAAGACAGCCCTGGCGGAAACTGCTGACACCGAAATTGCGGTTCCTCGATTTCTTATCGGCCCCCATGCCGGACTCACGTACGCGGGGGCTACGCTAGCACAGACATACCGTCTCTGGCACTCAAACAACACCGATCACATCAAGCGCATCTTCATCTTGGGCCCGTCCCACCACGTTTACTTTAAGGAAGTGGCATACACGACGAGATTTGACGCCTATGAGACCCCGATGGGGAATGTACCGTGCGACGTTGCCGTGTGTAAGCTGCTTGCTAAGAGCTCCCGGGTCAAGTACTTGCCAGAGAGCGTGGATGAAGAGGAGCACAGCTTTGAGTTGCACATGCCATTCATCCATCAATGCTTTGCGCTGAAAAACCAGCCGCCCCCTGCCATTGTGCCTATTTTGCTAAGCCACGGCAGCGAGGACTTTGACGAAGCGTTGGCGAAAATGTTGGCTCCGTACTTGGCAGATGACAGCAACGCGTTTGTGATATCCAGCGACTTCTGCCACTGGGGCCGGAGGTTTGGGTACACGGAGTACGTGTCCGATGTGACTGGGTTTGAAAGCGTCAAGGTGACTGCTACTGACGGGACTTACGACCTGTACTTACAAACATTAAGGTCTTCCAAGACAGCGCTTGCTATTCCAATCTACAAGTCAATTGAGTTGTTAGACCGCCGGGGGATGGCGGTTATCAGCACCGGGTCTTACGACGCCTGGAGACTGTACATAGACTCCACGGGGAACACAATATGCGGGGAGAAACCCATTGGGGTATTGTTACGAATGATGGAGATAGGGAGGGAGACACTCGAGGAGGTGGGATTATTTGAATGGGCTGGATATACCCAGAGTAACGCTGTAACGAGCGTGGCCGATGGCAGTGTCAGCTACGCTGGGGGATATGCCTTCTAGTCTGCCCCCCTCAGATAATATATACACTATGAATAAATATAACGTACAAAAGAAGGTAGTTTAGAGAAGTTCTACAACGTTTATAGATTCAATTTGCAGATAGAAATAAAATGCATGTATGAGGTTACATCCGCAGCCTTTGAACAGACCCTGACACATGCACAACCAAGAGGTGGGCCGCCGGGTATCCTCTCGGCCATGAGAATAAACATAATACCTGTAGGGATAAACCAGAATGGTCATTCACGTCTGGCTCCTCGGTATGATTGCTAATTTTTTTTTCAAACCCCAAACACCCGCCATCCCCCAGATCTGCATCCAGGTCATGCCGTCCCTAGTTTGCTCATGTACTCCAGATTCCGGACATCTCTCTCCCTATCGCCTGCCAGCAAGGTGCCTATCCTGCAGATTGGGCCTGAGGCCTCCTGCACAATGGCCTCCTACCTGATGCCTCCTGTACATTGTCCTCCAACCTGATGCCTCCTGTACATTGTCTCCTGTACATTGCCTGTCGTGCTCCATTTTACCAGTGCCGCTCCAAAGTCGCTGCTGTACCAGTCCGGGTAACGTCTGAGCGGCCTGCAAGTTACCCTGCGAAAAAAACTTTTCAAATTACCCGGCCGTATGCCTTCCAGAACGCAGCTAATTTACGCTCTCACTATCGCAGCTCTCAGTCTGAGCAAGCGGCAATTCCAGCGCTAGGAAAATTTTTCCCATTCCCTCTTTCTACTATTACCGGTATATATTTCCTCTTCTTTCTTTTTCCCTTCTCTTCTTCACTTCTAGTCAACTACTCTAAAGTTTTCATATAAATATTACAATATGGGTATGTATCGACGATGAATTGCCTCCTGGAGGCCATTAGACCCCCCCTCTTTCCGTCCGGTTACTAACCCGTGTAGTGAACTTCACTGTTGATCAAATGCGTGGCCTTATGGACGTTGTCACCAACGTCCGTAACATGTCTGTTATTGCTCACGTCGATCATGGTAAATCTACCTTGACCGATTCCTTGGTCCAAAAGGCCGGTATCATCTCCGCCGCCAAGGCCGGTGATGCCCGTTTCATGGACACCAGAAAGGATGAACAAGAAAGAGGTATTACCATCAAGTCTACCGCTATCTCCTTGTACTCTGAGATGTCTGACGAGGACGTTAAGGACATCAAGCAGAAGACCGTTGGTAACTCTTTCTTGATCAACTTGATCGATTCCCCAGGTCACGTTGATTTCTCCTCTGAAGTCACCGCTGCTTTGCGTGTTACCGATGGTGCCTTGGTTGTCGTCGATTGTGTTGAAGGTGTGTGTGTCCAGACCGAAACCGTTTTGCGTCAAGCTTTGGGTGAACGTATCAAGCCAGTTGTCATTATCAACAAGGTTGATCGTGCCATGTTGGAATTGCAGATCACCAAGGAAGACTTGTACCAGTCCTTTGCCCGTACCGTTGAGTCCGTCAACGTTATTATCTCCACCTACTCCGAAAAGGACTTGGGTGACGCCCAGGTCTACCCAGACCAGGGTACCGTCGCTTTTGGTTCCGGTTTGCACGGTTGGGCCTTCACCGTCCGTCAGTTCGCCTCCAGATACGCCAAGAAGTTCGGTGTCGACAAGACCAAGATGATGCAGAGATTGTGGGGTGACTCCTACTTCAACCCAAAGACCAAGAAGTGGACTAACAAGGAGAAGGACGCCGATGGCAAGTCCTTGGACCGTGCGTTCAACATGTTCATCTTGGACCCAATCTTCAGATTGTTTGCTTCCATCATGAACTTCAAGAAGGACGAGATCCCAGCTTTGTTGGAGAAGTTGGAAATTGTCTTGAAGGGTGACGAGAAGGACTTGGAAGGCAAGGCCTTGTTGAAGGTTGTCATGAGAAAGTTCTTGCCAGCCGCCGACGCCTTGTTGGAAATGATTGTCATTCACTTGCCATCCCCAGTCACCGCCCAGTTCTACAGAGCTTCCACTTTGTACGAAGGTCCATCTGACGATCCATCCTGTATCGCCATCAGAGACTGTGACCCAACCGCTGACTTGATGTTCTACGTCTCCAAGATGGTTCCAACCTCCGACAAGGGTAGATTCTACGCCTTCGGTCGTGTCTTTGCCGGTACCATCAAGTCTGGCCAGAAGGTCAGAATCCAGGGTCCAAACTACGTCGTCGGTAAGAAGGATGACTTGTTCCTCAAGTCCATCCAGAGAACCGTCTTGATGATGGGTAGATTCGTTGAGCCAATCGATGACTGTCCAGCCGGTAACATTGTCGGTTTGGTCGGTGTCGATCAGTTCTTGTTGAAGTCTGGTACCATCACCACCTCCGAACTCTCCCACAACTTGAAGGTCATGAAGTTCTCTGTCTCTCCAGTTGTGCAGGTTGCCGTTGAAGTTAAGAACGCCAACGATTTGCCAAAGTTGGTTGAAGGTTTGAAGAGATTGTCCAAGTCTGACCCATGTGTTTTGACCTACATGTCCGAATCCGGTGAGCACATTGTTGCCGGTACCGGTGAATTGCACTTGGAGATTTGTTTGTCCGATTTGGAACACGACCACGCCGGTATTCCATTGAAGATCTCTCCACCAGTGGTTGCTTACCGTGAAACCGTCGAAGCCGAATCTTCCATGATTGCTTTGTCCAAGTCTCCAAACAAGCATAACAGAATCTACGTCAAGGCCCAGCCAATCGACGAAGAGGTCTCTGTTGCCATTGAGAGTGGTAAGATTAACCCAAGAGATGATTTCAAGGCCCGTGCCAGAATCATGGCTGACGAATACGGTTGGGATGTGGTTGATGCCAGAAAGATCTGGTGTTTCGGTCCAGATGGTAACGGTCCTAACTTGGTTGTTGACCAGACTAAGGCCGTCCAGTACTTGTCTGAAATCAAGGACTCCGTCGTTGCCGCTTTCCAGTGGGCCACCAAGGAAGGTCCAATCTTTGGTGAGAACATGAGATCCGTCCGTGTTAACATCATGGATGTTACCTTGCACACTGATGCTATCCACAGAGGTGGTGGTCAGATCATCCCAACCATGAGAAGAGCTACCTACGCCGCTATGTTGTTGGCTGAGCCAAGAATCCAGGAACCAGTCTTCTTGGTTGAGATTCAGTGTCCAGAAAACGCTATCGGTGGTATTTACTCCGTTCTTAACAAGAAGAGAGGTCAGGTTATCTCTGAAGAACAGCGTCCAGGTACTCCATTGTTCACCGTCAAGGCTTACTTGCCAGTTAACGAGTCTTTCGGTTTCACCGGTGAATTGAGACAGTCTACCGGTGGTCAAGCTTTCCCACAAATGGTCTTCGACCACTGGGCTACTCTCGGGACTGACCCACGTGACCCAACCACCAAGTCTGGTGAGATTGTCACTGCCGCCAGAAAGAGACACGGTATGAAGCCAGAGGTCCCAGGTTACGAAGAATACTACGACAAGTTGTAAGAAGCTTAACGCTTCTGCTGTTGTAAAGCTGTTTTAGTACTTGCGTTTCTGCACGTTTTCCGTCGGTTTGCCGACTAATAAATTATTTTAAAAACTTGGGTTGTAGGGGAGTTTAGGTTTTTGCGGAGATATTTCCTTTGTTGAGGGTTGGCTGGGATTTAATATTTAGGGGTTGTTGATTTATATGTATAAGCACCCTTTGACAGTCAATACAGATGGTGGACCGTGGGGTTTCGATTTTATCTAATTGTAACGTTGCCTGTCTCAAGACGTTGATAGTTTAATCGTACGCTAGACCTTAATACTGCAATTGATCTCCACGCGGTAGATATGGTTCCAATGGACCGCTTTACATTGTCACAAGTAAAACTAAAATAACTTTAAAGCATGTAGAAACCTACCCCAGTGATCGAAATTGATGTGTGCACACAAGGTTGAAATTTCCTCTATGGTCGGAGTGGCGTCGTCACGCAACCTGTGCGCTCTCACAGGAGTCCCTCTGAGTTGCTTTTCCCCAACAGATCCAATCGTAATTGTGAAAGGTTTATAGCTTTGTGTATTTATAACTTTCGAAGCATATTTCAGGACATGATCCAGACTGGTCTGTGTAGTGCGCACCGCGATGGTTATGCGCCCGGCGGCTTTGCTTGCAAGTCGCGTTGACCAGCTGCAACCGGGCAGATATCAAAGATTTACTCTACACTATAGAGACAGATGACCGTCCAGCCAAATAGCTACCGGTATATAACTATTTCCTTGACATAGTGGGATCTCTCTAGAAACCACCGCTGCTTCCAGAACTTCTGAATTTCCCCACCTCACCGAATCTTTCAGTTCGCGCCCTGATACATAGTTTCAACCTGACCTTTCCTTGGTCTTTCATATTGCATTTGCTTAACCGTAAGCTAACTATCGCTGATTTGACCAGTCGTATCTCAAGTCTTTTTTGCCGCCAACTCTCTACACACCGCTTCATTAACCCCTAACATGCTCGATCCATACAGCTACGTGGCACCGTCGCGGGTCAAGACGCTTCTTGTACCGCTCAATGGCCTCCTGCATCTGCGGTTCCTCCAGATAGCGGACCAGCTCGAACAGTTCCGCGAGGTGCGCCTCGTGGACGTGTCGCCCATCTCCGCCGCTCCCACTACTCCAGCCGCCAAAGTCGCGCCAGTCAATTTCAACCCACAGGGCTACCCCAACGGCCGCGTATGTTTCGATGTCAGCCTCACTAGCGGAGACGAGAACGCTGGCACGGAAATGCTGGTGTTTCTCCACGATTTTGAGCCGTGGCGCAAGACGTTTGTGGTGCTTGGGTGTCTTGACCACACGGACAACCTCACAGCCGAGGCCGTGGCTGCCCATCTCGCGCAGTTGAAGCGCCAACACGGGTTTGCTATTGTTCACAAGGTCTGTCTCTTCAACTCGCCGCAAACCTCTGGGCTTGGTCCGGATGTCTTGTACGTTCTGCAAGGTGGCGTCGAAACCGTCATGTGCGATGTGACCAAACACTTCCTCGTTGCCCTTACCTCCTACGCCAAGGCGTACCAGAATATCACGCTCCGTTCGCCCGGCTCCATGAGTAACAAGGCCATCACACGCTCGTTCTCTGGAAGCTCCGCCATCGCGCTCAATAAGCGCAGCAGCATCGTGAGCACGTCGTCGCTCAACCTCACAACCAGTGAGACGAAGCGCGCGGCCGCGCGCGTCAAGGGTCGCCAGCATAAGGTCCTCGGAAACTTCTACATGCTCGCAGGGCGCTATCCTGACGCGCTCAAGGAGTTTGGTGACGCTGCGGCGACCCTCAAGCTCGCACACGACAATTTATGGCTTGGCTCGGCCCTTGAGGGTATAGGGATCTGTATTGTGCTCCTCACGTTCTTAGGGGCGCCATATGGGGTTCCGTCTATTCTCAACCTGATTCTCACCAAGGTGCCCAAGCTCCTGGGGCGGTTTGCAGACGCGAAGGAGGTGACGCCGTCGCCTACCAACTCGCCCAAGAATTCGCTCTCCCTCACCCGCACGTTCGACTCCAGCGGCTTGTCCACGCCGGAGCTCATCTACTCGCTCGCCATCAAGGCATTGGTCCACTTTGACATGTCCGCGAACGACCATGAGGACTACGTGCCACAGCTTGTGTACTGCGAGACGATTCTCCGTATCGTAAAGTTCATGGCGGCTGTGTATGTTGGTGGATCGCTCTCGCCGTCGGTGTTGGACCACCTCGTGCGCGGCGGGGCCGTGGCGAAGAAGCCAGATACCGGGATGTTTTCCAAGCGGGATATCACGGTGTTGGCAAGTTGGGTTTCATATGGCCAACTCAAGGACATGGAGGCGTTGTCGCAGTGCCGGGTGTACTGTGCGCTTGCGAGCGTGTACGGGGACTTGGAGTTGTACCGGAAGCGGGGATTTGTTCTTCAGTTGTTGTTTGCCAAGTGGGGAGCCTCAGGCGTAAGCCTGGTCATCCAGACCTCCCACCCAGGAAACCGCCAAGCCCCTCTTGAACTCCTCTCCTCGCTTGCGCTCATCTACTCCATTGGTGACAAAACACCTGCGTCGTTTGGCTGGGGAACTCTCCACAAGCCCCTCCTCCACATGGCCCTCGCCACCTGTGTCTCCCTTTCCCAGCCATCTGGTGTCATCTCCTTCGGCTCGCTCCTCCTCTCGCGCTACCTCTACGCCATGGACACAACCGAGCAGGAGGAGGTTTTCTTCCTGATCAAGCAGGCGATCCATGAGCTCAAGGAGCCGGCTTGTGAGTACTGGGACCCGTTCATGCTCAGAAACATCCGCGTCTTGAAGCACGCTACCAACCTAGCCACCACGAAGGCCCCAAACTCCGACAGCCCCTTCTACAACCCGTTTGAGAAGCAGGAAAGTGCGGAGAAGGTGTTGGTCCAGGACGATATCGCCGAGCTTCTCATCACCGTCCAGAACCCCTTCAAGTTTGAGATCGACTTGACTCTGGTGGAGGTGCTTGCGGAAGACCCCATGTCGTTGGAAACGGTGCTGAGTTTTGCACAATTCTCCTATGCCGTCGCGCCCGAGTCATTCTCCGACATTCGACTCTCGGTGATTCCGCGCGCAGCTGGGACCTTGCGGATCACCGGGATCCGTGCCGTGGTGTGTGGGTCGATGGAGCAGGTTTTTGAAATCTCCGGCGACGAGAACGTGCTTCGGTTGGCCAAAATCAAGTCCCACGGTCCGAACAAGAGCCCTGGAGAGCACGACTTGTCGACCCATTTCGAGCACTTGAAGTTGGCCGATGCGAGAACGAGCGATGACGCCAGGGTGGCTTCCGTGACCGTTGTCACGAAGGTGGTTTCGCCACAGCCGACGCTTTCGCTAGAGGATGTCTCGGTGCAGAACGGCTGGGCCATGTTGCTCGAGGGTGAGCGGTTCAACTTTGGGGTCCTGTTCCGCAACTCCTCGCAGACGCCTATCAACCATCTTACGTTTGCGGCGCGTGACCTGACCATCGAGCCGCTTACGGAAGCGCTCGGCTCGAAGGATCTCCCGGCGAACGAAATCTACGAGATCGAGTACTATTTAATCAAGAAGGAGGGTATCCGCTTGCGCAACCAGCGTCAGATCAAGCAGACCATCGCTGCGGGCGAGGAGTTCGTCTTGGACTTGGAGTTGATCGGCAAGCGCGGTATGAAGGAGGCCAGCGTTGTGTTGGAGTACGCGTTCCAGGACGTGGGGGCGTTTCTCACCCGGAGCATCGCTGTCCCAGTGCTGGTTTCGGTGTATCCGTCAATCGAGCTTGCGGGGTGTGACTTGGTCCCAATCTTTGTGAATGCGGCGAATGATTCTGACCTCTGGCGGTACTTGAGCGACAGGGAGGAGGAGGGTGAACGGGTGAGCGACTATTGCTTGCTTGTTCTTGACTTTAGGAATGCGTGGGGGAAGGCTATTGACATTGAGCTAGGCAATATACCGGCCGCTGAGTTGGTGTCTGGAGGGTTAAACGGTAAGTTGATTGAAGACAAGTTTGACGAACAGTCTCGCGGAAAGTTGGTTGAGGACAAGCCTAACGGAATGCGCACTAGTAAAGGATCATCAGGACGGCTTAGCGGTGATGGTTTGCCTGGCGGCATGTTTCTACTCTCCGACACTATCCCGCCCAGATGCACCCGCCGCTACATTCTTCCTGTCAAACGCATAAAGTTTTCCGATGAACACCTCCAGCAGCCCATCCCGTCTCTCCGCAACAAACAGTTTATCGTTGACAAAACCTCCAAGGAAGAGGCACGCTTCATCCGTGAGGCGTTCTGGTACCGCAAACAGATCCTCTCGCTGCTCCAGGGGACGTGGAAGGAGGCCGAGAGCGACCGTCATGGCGACATTGAGCTCCGCGGCATCCGTCTCTCCCAGAAGATGGTCAACATCCTCAAGGTGCAGAAGGCCTTCTTGGAGTTGACATTGAGTAACGCCAAGCGCACGGGTATGAACTGGGACGTGGTTTGCGAGGACTTTTTCACGGTCAAGACCAAGATCACCAACTACAACGACTGTCCCATTGTCGGGGTGTTGCGCCACGTACCCTGCTCCATCTCTGATCCGGCCAAGTCGGTGGACCGCAAGATTTTGTATAACGGTGTATTGCAGCACGCGACACTGTCTATCGCTCCCGGCCAGACGGTGCTGTTTGAGATGGGTGTGTGCGTGCTCGACAAAGGTGAGTACGAATGGGGTGTGATTTTTGAGGAGTTACGCGGTGATAGGCTTGTGCAATACGCCCAGCACGAGCCCATGTACATCCGCGCGGTGTAGCATAATAGAATGCATTGGAATAAAGACGTAGAAGGGGGTATAGAAAATGCCAGAGGTAATAGCTTGGGGTGCATAAAAGATTTTGTGTGACCTGGAGGTTTGACTCGTCAGGATAAGTGACGCGGCTATGAGCTCAATCGTTACATGAGATATATGCGTTCGTACTAATCTACGTATTGGTCATTCAATACCACCTTAAGGTGTACCAATTTGAACCATACTTACTAGTTATCCATGTTGATGTAACAACAAGCTGGTTATATTACAAATATGGGACATACATATTAGCTGCATTTATAAATTATAGTATACCCGGAGCCGGTCGGATAGCTTGCATTATGGCTTAGGGAAGATTGAATGTATACATAATGAGTTGGTCCTGAGAAAATAATTCTCTGAAAAATCAAAAGCGTATCTCTGCCGATTTGAAATTTCTACCTCACCGGTAACCACAGCGGATGTACTTCCCCCTCTGTTTTATTTCAATATTTTGTGCAAACGCGACGACCCTGATCTACTGATTATGCAACGCTGATCTTTCGTTATTCTCCTCTGAAGGGTTTTGCCGTGTTGAAATACGAATAGCATGGATGCGTGTAAACGCAAGCGACACGCAAATACAATTAGAGATGCATAATACATTACGAACCAGAAGGGTGTATGTGGAGTGTAAAAGGCCTGTTTTGCGAAGTATAAACAAACCAGGAAGGATCGTATATAGACAGACAGCCATTGGGCCTCACGGACTCTTCTCGTTAAACCTATACCGCTTAGCAAATGGAAATACACTGTCATGCTGTCAAGCCAAGATATCCAAAGCATTTACTGTTTACATTCATGTGCTTGACACCCTTCCGAACATTTAACGCGTTACCTCGCCCGTTCTCTTCCGAGTCACCTGATGCTGAATGGACACACTAGGTCATGCATATGGCCGTTATGTCTGAAAATTTTAGCGTGGCACGAGAACTTCGAGAGCGCGTGCCACCGAATACTCAGTTCCGAAAGAGAATACGCCCTCTCCCCGTTTCAACATCTAAGAATTGAGCTAAACTTTCATACAACTTTTCCTCCTCAAGCCCACAGCATCCAATTGAGAGTATCGTCAAGTTATGCAAACACGTAGCTATCGTAGACTGTCGGTCATTCGCCCCGATGCCTGCCGGCCGTGCGGCGCACTGTCTCCCCCTCCGACCACGTCAGATCTTCCCGACGGATGTGGCGCTTATTAGCCTATCAGACAAATCAAAGTAACACACTCTGAGTCCTTACCGAAAGTTTTTTTTTTTACTCCATTAAAGCTAGTTGGTATGCCGCTTCTCATGAACCAAAGCACCGCTCCTCGCCGTGGTTGAAATACTCCGATCTGCTCGAATCTTCCGGCCGTTGCCATTTTTCTCTTTTTATCCGAACTGACAGGGTAATCCTGCGCTGGCGTTTTTCAGTGGTAGCTCGGCTCCGAACTCGTGCGCGTTTTTCGGACTGTCTCCCCCCTGGACAAAAGAAAGCAAAACTTTTCCAGCAAAGTTTTACTTTTAAAAGTACCCGCTACTCTTCTTCTCTCTCTCTCTTTTCTTTCTCACTCTTTATCCACACAATGTTTGCTAGAATCTCTGCTGCCAGAGCCGCCACCAGATCCCTCAGATCCTACGCCACCAACGTCGCCGAATTTTCCGGTGTCAAGAACGCCCAGGGCCAGTACACTGTCACCTTGATCGAGGGTGACGGTATCGGTGTGGAGATTTCCCAGGCCGTTAAGGATATTTACAGTGCTGCCAAGATCCCAATCACCTGGGAGCCAGTCGATGTTACCCCAACGTTGATCAACGGTAGAACCACCCTTCCACAGGAGGCCGTCGACTCCGTCAACAAGAACAAGGTTGCCCTCAAGGGTCCATTGGCCACTCCTGTCGGGAAGGGTCACCAGTCCATGAACTTGACCTTGAGAAGAACCTTCAACCTTTTCGCCAACGTCCGTCCATGCAAGTCCATCGTCGGCTACGCTACCCCATACGAGGACGTGGACACTGTCTTGATCCGTGAGAACACCGAAGGTGAATACTCCGGGATCGAGCACACCATTGTCCCAGGCGTTGTTCAGTCTATCAAGTTAATTACCAGACCAGCTTCCGAAAGAGTCATCAGATACGCTTTTGAACACGCCAAGAACATCAACCGTCCACATGTCGTTGTTGTCCACAAGGCCTCCATCCAGAAGTTGTCTGACGGTTTGTTCGTTGAAGTTGCCAACGAAGTGGCCAAGGAATACCCGGGTATCAAGGTTTCCTTCGAGTTGCTCGACAACACCTGCTTGAAGTTGACCGCCGACCCAGCCGACTACAAGGACGTTGTCATGGTTATGCCAAACTTGTACGGTGACATTCTCTCCGATTTGTCTTCTGGGTTGATCGGTGGTTTGGGTTTGACCCCATCCGGTAACATGGGTGACACCGTCTCCATCTTCGAAGCCGTCCACGGTTCTGCTCCAGACATTGCCGGTAAGGGTCTTGCCAACCCAACCGCCTTGTTGTTGTCTTCTTGTATGATGTTGAGACACATGCACTTGAACGCCGATGCCGACAAGATCGAGAATGCCGTCTTGAAGACCATTGCCTCCGGTGCCGAAAACAGAACCGGTGACTTGCACGGGTCCGCCTCCACCTCCCACTTCGCCTCTGAAGTCATCAAGAACTTGTAAGTGGCCAAGCCCCGCGCCTAGCCCTCATCGGGCACAGCCCGCCTCATGATTGTTATTTTTTTGTCATGCTAGAACTGTCTATATGTTAATCGTTAATTGTTTGTAGTACTCGGAGCGATCATGGACCGTGCTGGAGCCATTGTGTGGAAGGGAACCAGGGGGAGTGCGGTACTATCGGGTGGGACGGCTTTCATATTCTGTGAGACATGTATTTAAGCTTGTCCCTCGAGCCATCGATATCCCAAGGAAGCTGGTAGGAAAAATACGTGGTTGCCGACACTGTAGGTAGATCCGAACCTCTTGTCGCTTAACCTTTGCGACAAGCATCAAGAGCCACCAGGGCAGGCTGACATTGAATATGTTCAGCAACAATGTCTTAGGAAAGGTCACAAAATGATATGTAAAACTTGATAAAAATGGAAAAGTGAGAATAGCCTATCATTACAGTGTTGTGCACGTAGAACATAAAATTTTAACGCCTTTGGCTAACGTCCATGCCTTTGGTTTACATTGTTCTACCCCTTACCACTACTAGTTTTTTTCTTATCTCAGTCTGAAAATACACGAAACGCTCAAAACTCCAGAATTCATAATCTACAAATGCAGCTCTTATCCTCTGGTCTTGATAGCGCTTAATGGCTTACTCGAGTCTCCTGTGGTCGTGCACTGCACACTCCCAAAGGGGCGCAACTGAACGATACGTATAAAACGAATTGCACGCCAACAGTTCACCCTAGAGCCCACGATTTCCGTCCATCTTTACACCTATACACACAATGCCAGGCTTAGCGTTTGACAACTACCAAAGAAACAACTATTTAACCACTAAGGGTTACGGCTCCCCAACAGCCACCTCCACCGGTACGACCATTGTCGGTTGCAAGTTCAACGGTGGCGTTGTGGTATGTATATGAGAACTTAAGGGATTTAAAGCATCAGGAAGAATAGAAAGGAAATGAATATTATACACAAGGTATAATGGACTTGTCAAGAGTGAATTGAGGCACTTTTGCCACCGTTGGGGACATATTGGAGAGCGGTATTTTGCCATACTCCCCACTAATGTTAACTGCCCATATAGGAAGAATATTCCAACGCTCTAGAATCCCAATTACTAGACTACGCCTTGGTTGGTGTTGGTAAAGTTTCCACCCGATATCCAGGATATCTCCGGGTGCAGAGTGGCGTCTCAAGCTAGACACCGTAAGCCTCTGCAGGTTGGATCATGACACCAGCTCATCGTGGCTAGCCGCCAGTGCTCCGCAACTACACCTCAGGCCACCCTGTATGCCACTACTGTATTAATGACGGACCAATCTCCTTTGTATTATTGACCTGTCCTTGCACCTTCCTGTTCTTCAGTGACCTGTTACATCATCACTCTAATAACTCCTATTCTTACACAGCAATACTAACATCTTTAGATCGCAGCTGATACAAGAGCCACCTCCGGTGACATTGTCGCTGACAAAAACTGTGAGAAACTTCATCGTCTTGCACCTCAGATCTGGTGTGCCGGTGCCGGTACCGCTGCCGATACCGAAATGGTGACGCAGCTAATCGGCTCCAATTTGGAGCTCCACTCGCTCCACTTGAACCGCAAGCCTCGTGTTGTCACCGCCATGACCATGTTGAAGCAGCACTTGTACAAGTACCAGGGCCACATCGGTGCCTACTTGATCGTTGCGGGTACAGATCCTACTGGCGCCCACTTGTTTTCCATCCACGCGCACGGTTCTACCGACGTGGGACAATACCAGTCGCTCGGTTCTGGATCCTTAGCCGCTATGGCTGTGTTGGAGAGCGAATGGAACGAGAAATTGACCAAGGAGGAGGCCATGAAGTTGTGTTCCGACGCCATCGAAGCCGGTATATGGAACGACTTGGGCTCGGGGTCCAATGTCGATTTATGTGTCATGGAAGTGGGTCAGGACGCGGTCTTGTACAGAAACTACTTGACCCCTAACGTGAGAGAGGCCAAGACTAGAAGCTACAAGTTTGGCAGAGGTACCACTGCCGTGTTGAGGGAGAGCATCTACAGCTTGGTTGAAGTGCAAGAGGAAATTGTCTCGTTCAAGTCGGCAGCCGAGGCTATTGAGGTGGATGCGTAGAGGTTAATATTACATGTTTAAAGAATGAATATACGGCCGTGGTGTGCTTGTATAAGGAATAGGAGGGATATGTTAAAAGGATAGGATAACGTCTGGGTTAGGGCTATTTTCTGCTTCAAAATGCCTGATTGGACTCCTTAAATGAACGTAGTATGTCTTTCCATTCACCCCAACTCCCTGATGTAGGTGTACGCGAGCCACCTGAATTACTAGATTCGCCATTTGCATCTGCTTCCGGAGCTAAGTATAAATCTTGCTTTTGTATAGAACGATTATCTTTCCGCTGGCTTGCCAGAAATCGAATTTCAATACATCTGGTAACCAGTGTAGTTGCAAACGTTATCCGTAAGTCGCCCCTAAGTCGTCCTTTCAACCACACGATACCAGCTAATACTGCTTCAAACAAACTTGGTATGTTCTATATGAATTATTCACGCGCAACATAGCATAACGGCGATACTTGAATTGTTTTTTTTTTTTTCATTTCCATCCAGTTTATATCCATCCCTCCCTATGGTCTGAACATTTAACCTTAGTGCACCAAACACCCCTACTCACGCTAGTCCCAGTTCCTACCATTATCTCTACAGATCAATGAATATTTCTACATTTCTTTAAACCTTCTCTAGCCACAACCGGGTCGCTAGAGCTTAACCTCGTCAAGAGCCAACTTGGTGCCCTCCACTATGGCCACATGCTCCGTGGAGTGGACACGCTCCTCGTACTGCTCCAAGGTCTCGTCCTTTCTCAAGTCGAGCTTCTTGACCAACAACGGCTCGCCTCTATCGACCTCCACAATGACTTTGTGGATCATGACACCACCTTCCGTGATGAGGCCATCCTGGCCAGCCTGCCAGGCACGGTCGATGGCGTGGGTGCCGTCGAAGGCCCCGGGAAGTGCCGGGTGTAGGTTGATGATCGGAAGGTTAACCTCTGCCACCACGTTCAAAAATGCCGGGGACAAGATGAGCATCCACCCAGCACACACCACCAAGTCGGGGCGCACGTAGTCGGCCACTGAGCCGTGCTTGGAGCCGTGCACAACAATGTTCGCAAGATCCGTGTTGAACTGCTCTCTGGCAGCCTTGCGGCCCTCTTTATCCTCCTTTGGAATACTCGCGTAGTATTCTTTCAAGCGGTGTACCTGGCTAGGGATCTGGTGGTTCGCCGCCCGGGTGAGCCCGTAGGCGTCGGCCAGCGATGAGATGACCCTGTGGATCCTGGCGTGGCCCAAGAGGCCCTTCGCCGAGGCATCGATGAGCGCCTGGAGGTTGGAGCCGGAGCCAGAAATTAGCACGAGAATATTCAATTCACGGGACATTGTATGGGATGAAAGCGTGGAGATGAGAAGAGGAATGAGATAAGGAATGATTCATAGTGAAAAATTCCTCCCGCAATCGCAAATTATCTGACTCGGGATGCAGGATGCAAGATCGAAAGAGATTAGAAGTTGCACAATGGGTTGTGGCGTAAATATTTTATTTCAGGATGGCATACAAATATGAAATTGGCTTTATCCAGGGATAAAGTGTTTCCTGCAATGACTAGCAGGGGTGAATTATCTTCCAGCCATTTAATTAATGTATGTCATACCCAGGAGAATGAATGAACGGTTCTAGGATCAAAGTGCAGGTCCTCACATTACTCACCTAATGTATTAATGGGGTCAATAGATCAAGAATAAAGGGTAGATCACTACACCTCGCTAGAACCCTTCAAATTGATTGCCGGGTTGCACAGACGGGAACGATAGGTGCTTATTATCCTAACTATAACGTTGGTAGAGTAGGATTTATCCTCGTGGAAATCAATCACATGACTCTTCGCCCATATTCCAATTTCTATCTAGTATGAGGAATATTGTAAATCATAATGGATAAGAGTCCTATAATTACGCTTTATAAACCCTTTTCGAATTCCCGGAAAATACACCAAACCAGCTTCCCAGTCTTTGGCTCAACTCTGCTGTTTACGGTACGGCTGTATACAGGACCTCAGCTTTTCACCGTGTACAAGGCAGCACTCTTCCCGTATAAGTATCCCCCATCATACCACAGCCCCAGAATGCTTGGCTTGTTCGAAAAGAAAGAAGAAATCGTGACTCCGGCTATAGGGCAAAACGATCTCCAGGAGATGGTCTCGATTTTTGCAGAGGCGTCTGCCGACGTCTCCACCGCAGCGCAACCGAATCCCAAGTTCAACCCTTTCAAAGGTAGCAGTGCCCCAACGCCAGAACAGATCGGTTCAGATACATCACTCTCGCAGTATCCACATGTGATGTCGTGTACACAGGCATTTGACCTCTTGGTGGGCTGCTTCTCGCTCGGCGGGCAGATTAAGAGCTACTATCGGTACGGGACTCTAGCCAACTGCGAGGACCAGTTGACCAAATTCAAATTTTGTATTTCCAACTCTACAAAGTCCGGTGCTGAGAAAGAACAGGGTATTTCGCAGTGGTACAAGGAATCGTGGGCACAGAAGAAGGCCAGCGGTAGCAGTGAAGACGTGTGGGATGCCAAAAAGTAGCTGGTACGGCTCGTGTATATAGGAATGGTTACGTTTGTGCATGGATTTTACTGCGTAGAGAAAGGCTTGGTGTCTGCTGGACGTGGAAAATGACAGATCCAGGCTCCTGGGGGACCAAGAAGCTTCCACCGCGGGGTTTAGTTTGTGACCTAAGATATATGTAAGACCTGTTGATGGCTGCTTGAGCATGCTTTAACAATTTCAATCATTGAGTTATTTTTGTTGCCGAACCGTGGAATAAACCGGTGACAGTGATGTTTAATAGGAAGGGTTGTACGGTTGTGTTTGGTTTATCAATTTTAGTACTCTAGGTTAGACATATTCCAGCCCGTCAATATTCAACAGCTTTGCGAGGGACAAGTCATTATAAAATGGTAAACTATGCAATTCACCAAGATCTCATATAGCTCTACCCTTTTAACTAAAATATACATTTTTTCATATGTAATTATTACTACAAGAACCATTAGCTCTGCACTCGCTCTCGTGCTCTAAAGGTGCGCGGGGGTACCATACCTAACCTCCTTTGACATAAAGGCAAGCGAAAAGTCCTTGCGGAACAGAGTATCCTGGGCGAACCCAGTATGGTTTGTGATTGTATTTGTTGTTGCCGCCGTGAAATTTTGGATGTAGTTCACCATGTAGCCCAACTTGTTGTAGTACGGTACCAACATATGCTCCACCACTGCCGAGACTCTAAAGCGAATGATCTTTGGGTCTCCTCCACAGAATTGCTCGGCATAGTAACCAGAGGCAACCATACCCTCAGAGATTTTCATCAAGACCTTACCAGCGGCTTTTTGGAATGACGTAAAGGCGGTGATTTCCACCATGCCGGCCTCGCCGCCATCCTTGAGACCAATAGTTCCCACCACACGGGAGATGTTTTCCGAGAGGAACTGCAGGTTCGCAAGGCTCCCCAAAATGTGAATTTGAATGTCCTTAAGAGCGTATTGGAACGGTTGGGTGACATCCCAGTTGTCCATATCGGCCTTGCTCGTGGAGGAGACAAACGGAAGACGGTCTCTGACGTCAGAAAGTGGAATGAGCAAGAGCGCAAACATGGAGGAGGGGCCCATGTGGGCATCGTCGGTGATGTGGCCCAGGATGCGACTCCCTGCAAAGATTTCGTGGGTAAACTTCACCTTGGCGTACCCTTTGTTCACGATGGCTGCTAATGTTTCGGCGAACGCAGACGGCATCGCGATGAAATTATATGGAATGAGAACGAGTTCTGGTTTGGTAGGGTCGATAGACATAATACTGAGATTGGACTAAAGAGAAATAAGATCGAAAAAAATTAGAATGAGATAAAATATTGCAACTTTTTATATAATTTTTTTCTGGCCAGCGTTCATGCAACGGGAACGTAAAGATACCGCATCGTGCATATGGGCTATGTATGGCATCGGAGACCACCGCATATTGAAACAGGCACCACTCATTGTGTATGGCAAGATCCACAAATAGCTTTAGTTTAATTATGTCAGAGAAGGTGTGGGGCAGGATACCAAAGCCCTAAAGTTGTCATATTGCTAAGTTTCAAGTATGGGAAACAAACTGGACTTATAAAATGAAATGCGGGAAAAAAAATGACCGCCAAAGTATTTTCCAAAAAAATAATGGTCCCTAGCAGGATCGAACTGCTGATCCCCGCGTTATTAGCACGATGCCTTAACCAACTGGGCCAAGGGACCATTACACATTGGTTGCGAAGGTCAGAAAAATTATTCCCGAAATTTTAAGGCTACCAGGAATGCCAGGTAACGGTTATCAGAATTAGCTCCCTAACTTAAGCAAAGTCATGTAGCAATCCGAAACATTCGAACTATTTGTGGAGATTCAAGCGAAATTGAACTAGTGGTGATGCGTACCCAGAGGATCATATAAAGAAGTGGTTTCCCGTTGATAGAAAATGTTTAGAAATAAATGTCCTTGTTGCAGAAGATTGTGATAGTATCTTGAGAATCGACGATAGACTAAAAACCCCAGACTGAAGTTCATACAGGCACTAGAACCCTGACATCGATATGATATATGGCTTATACTGAGATAGATTCTTGTGATTTCCATACCCAATCACCCTGTTGCTTAGATAGCTTCGTCTCACCTCGGGTTACCCATATGCCGTACCCTCACCACCTGGAAATCATCAGTTTCCGTTGTTGCCTACAAGTGAATGGTAAATATTGCATGAGGCCTATGTTTAGAACTCGTGACATCGTATGAAATCGTAGATTCGAAAGAAATTACAAAAGGGAGATAGCCAAATGTGTTGCTCTTGTTGGATGCGCCTGGAAAAGATCTGAGAAACGGAAAAATCTATCTTTCCTCCTCTCCCCTCAGTCCAGATACCAGATCCTAGGCTTCATTTTCAGCAGCCACCTTCATTCCAATTCGACAACGGCTCTGATACAGTCACCGGCATGCATGTCATCGAACGCAGTGTTGATACCATCCAACTTGTGTCTGTGGGTGATAAAGTCGTCAACCCTGATCTTCCCGCTCATGTAATCCTCAACCAATCCTGGCAACTGGGTTCTACCCTTGACACCACCGAACGCACAGCCTCTCCAGACACGGCCAGTAACCAACTGGAACGGTCTGGTGGCAATTTCCTTACCGGCAGCGGCAACCCCGATGATGATAGACTCACCCCAACCCTTGTGGCAGGCCTCAAGGGCATTTCTCATGACACCGACATTACCGGTACAGTCAAAGGTAAAATCACAGCCCCCGTCGGTCATCTCAACCAACTTGTCGACAATGGTGGTGCCCTCTGGCAACTCAGTAGGGTTGACAAAGTCGGTGGCTCCGAATTTTTCGGCCCACTCCCTCTTTTTGTTGTTGATGTCGATGACAATGATCTTACCAGCCTTGCGCTCAACAGCACCCTGGACCACGGACAAACCGACACAACCAGCGCCAAACACTGCAATGTTGGCGCCTTCCTCCATCTTGGCAGTAATGGTGGCGGCACCGTACCCGGTGGTGATCCCACAGCCCAACAAACAGGTTCTGTCTGGGGCAGCCTCTGGGTTAACGGCAACCACAGAAACATCGGCCAAGACGGTGTACTGCGCAAAGGTGGAGCAACCCATAAAATGGAACAAGTCCTGGCCTCTGCACTTGAAGCGTGTGGTCCCGTCTGGCATCACCCCTTTACCCTGGGTGGCCCTGACGGCACCGCACAAGTTAGTCTTGCCGGACTTGCAGAACTTGCACTCCTTGCACTCAGCGGTGTAGAGCGCAACAACGTGGTCGCCAACCTTGACGGAGGTGACGCCCTCACCGATACTCTCAACGATCCCGGCACCCTCGTGCCCTAAAATCGATGGGAAGACACCCTCTGGATCGACACCTGACAAGGAGTAGGCGTCGGTGTGGCACACACCGGTGTAGAGCACCTTGACTCTGACCTCGTGCGCGCGTGGAGGCAAAACCTCGATGTCTTCAATGGTGAGGGGTTTGCCGGCCTCCCAGGCAACAGCAGCTTTACAGTGGATAGTCTGGAGGTTAGTAGGAGTAAGATTGGTGATCAATGTTGTCAGAAATCAGTGGGGGGAATACCATCACTGGCAGTCTTATAATGGATATATGTGTACTACTTACTTGGCCAACAGTGGACATTGTGATATAGATGGATAGGGAGAAGAGGAGGTTTGAAAGCAGGATACGTGCCAAGGTTTATATATTGTCAATGTCGGGATTTTTCAAGCGGCGCTTTAACCGATCGGGACAAGACTTCCGCTAATAGCCTGACCGTCTCGGCCGGGGACATTCGGTGGGGTTTGCGTGCAGGTCCTATCAATTAGTAAGGCAGCGTGGTGAATCCGGCCGGTAAATTGCTTACCGACATCCTCGGAATGTACTGGAGTGAGGGGCTCTTATCAACAGGCCTTCCGCGTCTTTTTTTTCTATTAGTAATTCTCTGGGCGAGTCATTACAGAGAATTTCGGACAATACAGAGGCTAGAGCTGATTTGTTTGGGAAACGAGGCTAAAGTAGATTTATTATCAGCAAAGCGATATTAATCCTCAATGTCTCTGTATGAGGGGTGAGAGTGTGTGGCTAACGACGGTTGGACTGAATTTGCAATGTTCATTCGAAAGCATTAAAGACACTAGTATTAAAGACACTAGCATTAAAGATACTAGTATTACTTTACCAGGCAGGATTATGTATACGCCTCGATTCAGATGCAATACTGGATGGTATTATACCCGGTAATTGTCCAAGCCTAAAGTACAAGTTTTCTACAGAAATTCGCCAGGGCTTTAACCATATTCCTGGTAGCGTTGCCTGAGGGCTTGGTTCATGTATCTCCCCGCATTTTTCGCCAGTGACTGCAAGACCAAAGTTTAGGCTGGCAGCTTTCGCGGGGACCATCACCGCCGTGGCATCTGGAAATACCAACTGTGAATATGGTTAAAACTTAGGTGTATTCCAGCCCAATTTATTATCAACATAAATCCATGTAAATACATCATTTGTCTCTGGTCTAGACTCCAAAGGTATCGAGGGAAATTCAGAGAACAGCCATATCGGAGTGAGACATGTAGGCGGAAAATGTCGAAGTATACGAATTTTCAATGTGGCAAGAGAGTTATAAAATTAGCTGCCAGGTCATATTGCACGGTCTTGCGTATTTCTAAGCTAGGGTGCTGGCTACATTCACTTGTTTCGACCAGCTTGAATAGAAGAGACCTAACTTGCCAGAACTATATTCTATGTAAATTTACTCCATCCTTGTTCGAAGGATTTAATCTAAAATACCTTAGTCATTACTTATCTAGGAATACATTATACATCCAACGAACTGGGATGAACAACCATGTACACACAATGCTCTTTCTAACATACAAGCTCAATCAGCAGAACTCATTAAAGAGGATCCTCCTTCAGATCTTTTTTTTTTCTTCTGATCCCATTCCAATACCTCATCCTGCTTTAGTCCTTACATAAGTTCTTACACATCCACAAACTCCGCTCTTTCATCGCTCCCCGCAAACACAATCTTGCAGCGCACACTTATCGGCAACTGGGGGTCTGTAATAGCCACCTCTTCAGTCCCGTCTTCCACCAAATCGCACAACTTCTTGCTGAGGTTCGGTCTGGTGGCCTTCTCCAACGCCTCCGGCTTGCGCAAGTACAAGTTCTTGCGAGCCGTAGCCAACGACGGCTGCTTCATCTGCACCTCATTCTGTTCCGCAATATGGTCGACAAAGTCCTGTAACGTCCACCAGCGCTGTGCTGTAAAGGTCTTGCTGTCGTAGCCACACACGGCACAGTTCTCCTTGCGCTCATACTTGAACGTGTAGGTGAAGATCGAGTCGTCTCCACTGTACATCATGAAGTTTTCCAACGAGGCAGTACATCCCGTGACCAACTTGAAGGCTTCGCTGCAGCAAGCAGCGGCCACCACCGCGTTCGTCAGCGCAATCGCCGGGATTATGTTCTTGACCACCCCAAGGGTTAACGATCGCGTAACTCCGTTAATGTTAAACTGTTTGGCTCGCGTGAGCGCGGTGGCATACATCCAGTCTACCGCCAGAGGGTCGTCAGCATCGAACTTCACATCGCCCCAGTGGCGCGGCCATTCCAAGACACTGGCCCATTCGACACAATGCTCCGGAAGCCTGGGGGTATTCGCAATGGTACACACAGGATACACTGTCCGCACCCCTAGGGTGTCTAGTGAGCACTCATAGCAGGCTGAAACTCCGGGTAAGATGACCCTGGCGGAGCCCTTGAATCCCTCTGTACCTCCGTCGATCAAGGGAATGAGCGCCAGCGGGTCGGCCGAGTTGTCTGTGACGATCTGACAGAGTGTCGCGTTCATCCAGCGTCTAGCCTCAATACTGTCGAGCCCGCACACCACAAGCGTGAACTGCCGGTAGTATGCGTGGGTCATGTCCTGGATGCGGCAGCAATGGGCGTTAATGGTGACCCCAGCAACGCGTGCCATGACAAAGTTGGCCGCGGTCTCCGCTTTAGAAGCTCCTACATCGTGGCGGCGGAACAAAAACTGGCGGTTGAGGTTGGACACGTCTATTGTATCCATATCGATGACGTCAATGCTTTTGAAGCCCGAGAGCGCAAGGTCCTTAAGGATTTCGCATCCGAGGCCTCCCGCACCAATCACCCTGGGCTGTTAGTGACCGCCTGATGGTTAATTCTTGGGAATACATACAAAATCCGGCTGGTGTGGAGGAAGTCGAGCACCTCCTGGCCTGGCTCGTAGTCAGGATCGGAGAACGGGCCAGTGGCGGTGATGTACGGGAGAATGGAGGATTCACTGGTGGTTAGTAAGACTGAGTGACTAGACTTCGGAAGTACTTACCTTCTCTCAGCTACAGTGGTCATAGTAGGTGGATTTGGAGGTGACAAGAGTGTGGCAATAGCACTAAATTGGTTGATATATAGACACAAGTGCAGGACATACGCCACAGGGTCTAGCCACAACGTATGCGCCACATCTGCAAATGTGCATTCGATATTTCGAGGTCAGTGGGTTTGTCCCAGTGATTTTCAAGCTTTTACGGTATTTTATATTTGTATTTACTTTATCCCAGGTGTTTAATAATTGTAAATGTCTTTGGAATGTATGAGTTATAGCAAGATGTCTTTGGAATATAGGAGTTATGGCAAATGATCGAGACCTGGGATAGGAAGAATGTGCGATCTAGGTATATAAGATGATGAGCTAAAACCCTAGAAAATGCCTGGCTAGCTCAATCGGTAGAGCGTGTGACTCTTAGCAGTACGCGATCACAAGGTTGCGGGTTCGACCCCCGCGTCGGGTTTTCTCTTTTTGCTACTTTAAGCTTAAATATGGGTGTTCCTAGTAACGGGGTTGCTCCTTTGGTTCCGTTTGAAAGAGCGTTTCAAAAAACCGGTCAAGGATTAAGAGCAATATTGACATGGCATCCATAGCCCCTATTTCGGAATTTCAAATGCGGCTACGATTGCATGATTGCGATGGAATATGTTACTCTCCGGTGCCTGCTTACATAGGCATTATTTGCGTCTATCGCAGTGTCACGCCTACTTCAATCACAGATGCAATAATTCCGCAGTTTTTTGGCTGGATTAAGGCTTGCTAGGACGTGTAAATACAGAATTTTAATGCAAAGACAGTATGGTGCAGTTATTGAACGCGATCTCAAGTCATCCAAAGCACCGGTAAATAGGACTCTTGTATCAGTTCTATATCTTAGTTCCCAGCACTAGCAGACACCTTCCAGACTATAAGGTACACTTTATATAAACTGGTAGGTCATATTT